GTAGTCGTACTAGTTGATCTTGAAGTAGTGCTAGTAGTACTTGTCGTGGGATGTGTCGTAGTGGTGCTGGTTGATTCAGAAGTAGTGCTAGTAGTACTCGTGGTGGGCCGCGTTGTAGTGGTCCTAGTTGACTCAGTAGTGGTGGTACTAGTACTTGTAACTGGCTGAGTTGTAGTAGTGGTTGGCTGGGTAGTGGTAGTACTGGTACTGCTGGTGGTTGGACACTTGAACTTGAAATTAAAGTACTTCCCCGCAGCATTTCCGACTTGCACCCCCCCTCCCGTTCCCGTGCCCTGATTCACATCTGCGTGCGTGATGATGTTCATGGTCTCATCACAGCCTATGCTTGGGCATTCGGTTTTGATGGCCGAGAGGGGGATTGTGCAAGAGGCACTGCTCCCACCGCCACCGACAGAGCACTGCGAGTTGAAATTGTACTGGCCGGGCGCCCCCGTGGGCGGGGAACTGGACGAGGGATTGATGTTGACATGGACTTCGTTATAGGTCCAGGATCCGCTGGGGTAGGTCACGATGACATTCGAGCCCGAGACAGCAACGCAGACTTGTGATCCTGTGGCACTTCCGCTGTCAGAAGCCCCGATGTTGAAGTCGGCGCAAGTCGGATTGGAGTCATGACCGCTTGGAGGCCATGCAGTGCTTTGCCGTGAATGAAAACTATGAGCCTTCAACCGGGGCCTAGTCCGCCATCCAGGAGATGCGTCGACAAAGGCAAACAGAAACTCGAGGAAACAGAAACTGAGAAACAGCCGGGAAGATAGTAGCTTCATTTTGCCGGAGTACCCAATTGGACTTCAGGAAATGAATGCTGTATCTCTGCTTGAATCAAAAAAACATAGACAGAAGCCTCGACGATTCTTGCTGCCTCTTATATGCATCGGTCATCAGACTGAATGTGGCCAGCAGGCTCAGCGATTCTCCTACATGCCTAATGTTCTCACAGCAAAGAACTGATGCCGATGCAGATACTACGCTGGTAGTCCTGACGTTTTACACATGGTCTAGATCAGTATCCGTTTCTTTGTCTTGAAGAGCGGTGTTTTTTCGACAGGAGACGGTCTTGATAAACGCAAAGGCTATGAGTGGTGCGTGGTCAAGCCGTGAATATGGCCTATCGAGCGTCATCTGTACCAAGTCCTCGCAGCGTTACAGTGCCCAAACTCTACGCAGTCTTTTCCTCCTGTTTTCGGATGCCTCAAGCTGTATAAGCTACTATGACTTTTCAAGTAGGTATAGATAGACTTTACCTCCCCGTCATGGGGGGAGGCCCGTCTGGTTCCGGGATGTTGCACTGTCGGCCTCGGATCTAGACCGCGGACGCCAGCTGCATGATGACGGGCTGTGAGTGAAAGAAAGATTTCATTTCTACCTCATCCTTATGTTCTCCTGTTTACCACCGACCGGACTCCTAAGCCATAGCAAGGAGGTTCAAGCATCCCCTTCAAGAGACACGCGCATTTCAACACCTGCTTGAATACTGTGTCGGCGCGGCTACTCTACCCCATGTATACCTTCTCATCGCGATTGAGCAACGCAAGCCGACGCAGCTCGACTCTCTTCCGAGCTGTTGTGCTGGTACTGGTTGTAGGACTGGGCCTCAACACAATCTTCCTGACCCTCGACTACCACCATTCGCTACAAACCCTCCACGGCGATGTATCCCGACTACAGAAACGGGCCGCACGCGACTGGGCACCAGCCACCGGTACACGCCCCCAACAGCCTCTAAGCGTCCCCTACGCCCATACCCCCGTCAGCAAAGAGGCCGCCGACTCCGAGACACTCGCCGGAGATCTCCGCGAGCTCTTCTCCTTGCTCTCCGACTCCTCCCACACCGAGGAGCTCACCCGCCCAATCCAAGGCACCGGGGAAGCCAAACTGCGCGAGCTGGGCTTCCGCACGCGCGCCTTCAGCCGCCTGTTTCAGAGCTGGGAGCGACTGCACCTGGTCGAGGCCGGCGAGCAGATGCTCGTGCGCAGCGACCTTCTGCAAACGCTGCAACGCACGCCCCACGTCGCGAGCCAGCTGCACCTGGACCCGGTCGAGCTGACCCACCGCTACGAAGCGGCGCGGGCGGTGGTCTCTCACCTCTCGCGCCAACTCTTCGACTGGAGCTGGCCCTACTTCGGGGACCTCCTGGGTCTGCACGCCCAATACTGGGCCCCGAGCCGGGGCATCGTGTTCACAGCCGGCAACGCGCAAGCCCCGTACCTCCTCACCTCCATCCGCTCGCTGCGCGCGATCGGCTGCGAGCTCCCGATCGAGGTCATGTATCTGGGCGACGAGGACCTGGACGAGGATTTCCGGGAGGCGCTGGAGGGGCTGCCGGGCGTGGTCACGCGGGACCTGCGCGCGATGATCAGCGATGCGGGCTGGACGCTGCGCGGCTGGGCGGCCAAGCCCTTTGCCATCCTCCTCGCCAGCTTCCGCGAGACGGTCTTCATCGACGCCGACTCGCTGTTTGTGCAAAACCCCGTCGCGCTGTTCGCGGAGCCGCGCTACCAGCAGCACGGGGCGCTGTTCTTCCGGGATCGACTGCTGATGCCGGGCTCCCGCAAGGAGTGGATTCGGGAGGTTCTCCCTGAGCCGGTCTCGCGGCAGGTCCGCCGCCACAACCGCATGTGGACGGGACAGAGCATCCACATGCAGGAGTCCGGGGTGGTGGTGGTCGATAAGTGGCGGCATTTTGTCGCCTTGCTGTTGGTGACGCGCATGAATGGCCCGGATCGCGAAGGGAATGAGGCGGAGGGGCGGCGTGGGGTCTACGATATGGTCTACGGTACAGTTCCCTCTGTTTGCCCCCCCAAAAAACCAGTTGCAACTATGCTAATGTGGGTGTCTGTCGATTCCGTAGGAGACAAAGAAACCTTCTGGTTGGGCTGGGAACTCGCAGGGGACACGGAGTATGCCTTCCACGAAGGAGCGGCGGCCGTGATGGGGCCCGTCCAGAGCAGCACGTCGGTTTCACGCGTCGTGCAGGATAACGCTACCAGCGCAGACAATCCCCCCACGGCTACCCTTACAGCCCCGTTGCAGATCTGCGCCCCCCAAATCCTGCACCTCGGAGTAGACGGCCGGCCGCTCTGGTTCAATGGGTGGCTGCTGCGGAACAAGTACGCCACTAAGCAGGAATACGGGACCTTTGAGGGCTTCATTACCGAGCCCCCCGATGCCCACGATGACGGGTCCTGGAAGCTGCAGCAGAATAACGTTTGCTGTATGTCTGCGGACCGTGTGACGGGGTTCACGGATGCGGAGCGGGAGGTGCTGGGGCGGATGGTGGAGATTGCGAGGGAGGTGGGGGGTGGAAGATCATGATCTGAGGGAATGTAACGTGGAAGAGCCTTTAGTTCTATGTAATCACGTCAGTGGAGAGCCTAGAATGCGCTTCGTAGGGCCAGAATTGGGGGATAGACGCCATAGAAGAGCGGTTGTTGAATAGAGAGTATGGTGGGAGGATCCGTGCTCGCGCATTGCTTTCGATACCTACCTACTGTATTGAGTAGCGTCAATATCTCTGCTGGGTCTTGATATCATAACTCAAAGTACTGGCAGGTTGAAAAGTGGTCTTCACAAAGAGATCGGGTCTAGAACATCGCTATAAATATCAATTCACACCGAAATGCTCAGACAATGGGATGGGATAGCTAGAACAGGTACGCCGGAGGGAGGTTGATGTAGCATTCTGTTTCGTCATCATAAGGCTCATCATGCATCTGTGGAACGACGAACCGACAACAAAGTCACTCAGCAAGATGAAAACTCGATTGCTGCTCTGGTGCTTGCTTGAGGGCCCGTTCCGGCGAGGGTCGGATCGGTGGGACCTGGACGACAGGAGCTGAAAGGGATGAGGTGATATTGACCTGCCTCATCTGTTCGAAGACCTTGGGTGGATGTCAAGATATGAATAAACGTCCGTGTCAGTGGCGTCTACGAGCCCTGGTTCGGTGGTTAAGCGAGTATAAATAGATCAGGATTACCACGGTGGTTCGGAAGGAGATCCCCACCGCAAGTGTCATGCAAGTCATGACATCAGCCCGTGGTGGATGCCACATGGACGAGATTCTAGAACGTACAGTACATGTCTATCTCTTGACTCTTTGCGAAGAAGGTGTGGTTCGGAGTGTCGACGGACGGTCTCCGTGGATGCAAGCAGGGAGTGACCGAGACTGCTCACGATCCAACCTCGCGTCAGTCCCATTCCCCTTTTAGAGGTAGATTCATTCGCTGTAGAGCTTGACTATCCACAGTAACTCAATTGTATGTTACATCGAAGATTCCCTCGCACTAAGACTCAACTCCCATCACCACCAACCCATCCAAACAGCTCACTGCGCTACTCGACACATACTCACAGCGTACAAAACAATCCCAAACGAGGCCAGACCCACCCCCAAAACACTCTCCCACCCCACCGGCCCAGAACTACTAACCCACCCCAACCCGATAACCAGACAAGACTTGAGCTGCCCCACGACGGTGCTACTCACCGGCCCGGTGCCGCCAATCACATAGAAGGTGGAGAGATTCACCAAACACGCGCAGCCACCGCTGAGGAGAAGCAAGCCCCACTGGGCAGACCGGACCGAATCCCAGGCGGGAAACGTGTCCGTGAACAAGGACACCACGCCGATCAAGCTCGCGCAGAAGGGCATCTGCTTGTACAGCAGCTGGACGCTGGAGACGTGGAATCGCGCGTAGTAGTGCGCCACCCAGAGGATGTAGAGCGCGGAGCAGAAAACCCCGCTTAGGGCGTAGATGATGCCGAGGGGCGAGGAAGAGGAGGAGGAAGAGTTTGTAGGTGCATGGGGATGCTTGCTGAGACTTGAATATGTCACGAGACCGGCGCCTGCGCAGGCGGGAACGAGGGCAAAGACAGCGGTTGAGGGGATCGTCGCGCCGTAGCAGAAGAAATGGATCAATGCAGTGAGGGGGGTCAGTAGCACGCGCACGATTTGGTAGCCCAGAATGGAGCTGTGTGCCAGGGACAGGTTCATCAGGACGATGTTTGCGCACATGAGCAGTGAGAGGGGGAGAATCGAGAGGAGGGAGAGCTTCGTCGGCGCGACTTCATCCTGCGCGACACGCCGTGCTATGAATAGCAGGACGCCGGTGATGGTGAAGTGGTAGGCGACGAAGCTGAAGTGACATTGCGACAGGGAGGGGTCGGAGAAGATGGATTTATTGACATATACCTTTGAGAGGAGTTTCTGAGCATTCTTTCCTCTCGACTCATGTCTTTCGAATGGGGAAATGACTTACAATGGCAACCGTGGCGGAAATATTAATGGCGGTCCAGATGAGCGTGCGCTTGCTGGTGGTATGCGTCTGCTCTGGGGGATCAAGGCGGGCGTGGTCCTCATGCACCTGAGATTCTTTCTCGTCTCCCGAAGGCATTCTAGTTTATCTCTGATGAGGGAAGGTGTTTCTGCAACAAGACTGGTTGGTCATGTCGAATCCTAAATACAGAGGTAGCTTGTCAACAGACGTCAGCCAGACTCAAGGCTAGAACAAGGCTACTGGTGGCCTGAGCCCTGGAAAACTCCATGAGGCTCATTGGAGACCCCGAGTGATGATCTCGAAGACTTTTGGGAAGCTGAGGACAGATGCTCGAACTCGAGCTGCGGGACCAGACCTGCTTACGTGCCCCTCGAACAAGCTTAAAGATCCTTTCCCAAGGATCATGCACTGCTCAATGGCTCAATGGAGTAAAAGATGGTCTGTCATATAGGGTTTGGTGGGGAGATCTGGACCCAAGTGAAAATCACTGCAACGGTCCCCCGGGCGATTGGACGGCGGATATTTCCGGTGGGGCCGTGGCTGATTTTATGTGACATTCACACATACTCCCACACTCTGAAAGAAGCATTGACAGTGGTGATGGAGCAAGACTTTTACTTCCATGGTCCATCTACGCTGGGTTGGATATGGTGGTCGAGCCAGCCAGGTATGTAGAAGGAAGCCCATGCTTCCGTGGGCAATTCGTCGGAGTCGACACCTTGGCATCTTGACAATAAGACAACCACACCAGAATACTGCATTCCAGGTAGATTTGTTTGGAAGATGTGCCCAGTCATGACGCTGACATCGACAACTTCTCCGGTTCATACTACCTACTTACTTATTTTCTGGAGTACTTCGTCTGACCAGATGCTCAGGTCTGTTGTATGCCATGGTTCATGCAAGAGTCAACAGATTCGATCTACTTCACTCCAGCCGGGTGGTTCCGATGAACTCTGCCTGGGTGACTAGATGAGCAGAAGAGATCCGGCCGAGTGTTTTGTTCTGCTTGTCTCGGATGGGATGTCGAACTTTACAGGGAAGGAAAGAGAGGCGTTGGAGGGGACGATTGAGCTGGCCAAGGGACTGGGGGCGCTCGGACAGGTGAATCTGAATCTTGTGTAGTTGCAGCCTAGTAGTCTAGAGCTAGCTATGGATGCCTCGGAATTTAGCATCAATTGATTTTATTATACAATCAGACTCCTAGCAACTCCTCTCCAACTTCCCCCACCCAATCCCCCTCCCCCTCCTCCCCAAACACGTCCGCCATCTCTACCAGCAAGCGATAGACATAAATCGACATATCAATCCCCCTCACCACCCTCCGCGACCAGTCCGCCCCCGCCTCCGCAATCTCCGCCGCGAGCTGCTCGCCCTCGGGATCATGGAGAAAGTAGTCCACGAGCGCGGGCAGCTCCTCCAACCCCATGCTGACGGGCACATAGTGCGCCCAGGGAATCAGACGCTGGTCATGCCACTCCTGGAACCAGGTCTGCTTGAGCACGAGGGCGCGCTGGCCGAGCAGATGATAGAAGCGGGTGCTCATGCTGTTGCCATCCAGATCGAAGAGAATGCGGAACTGGCGGGCTGCATGCTCGCCCTCGAAGTGCGCGGGGCCCAGCACCCGCTCCATGTCGCCGCACACCTCGTCTTCGCATTGGATGTAGCCGGCCATTTGCACGTCAAACGCGTTCGCAATCTGCCGGGCCCGGTGTGCGTCGTCTGCCACGGAGGGCTGGGGGTTGGTGCTGGTGTAGAACCGACTCATCCCCACCGCCTCCGCCGCCCGCTGCAGCGCATGCACGAACGCGACGAACCGCTGTCGATGGCCAAACCGCCAGGTCGTGCGCTGCGCCTGTCCGCCAGTTGACCGGCCCCGCCAGTAGACAGCCTTGGTTTTGTTGTGGAATGGAATCACCTCGCCGTCGGCTTCTTCTTCTACCGCTGCCGCTGCTTCTGCATGATCCAGGTAGCACGGACACGGCACCAAGATATCGCGAAAGGCCGCCATGCGCCCGAAGCTCAGGATCGGCGCGAGCGCGTGCGTGTAACTGAAGGTGGCGGGCGAGGTCACCAGCCCGTGCAGTTTGCCGGGCGCGGCGGCGCGACAGACATCGCGCTCTTCGTCCACGGACCCCCTGGTTTGGTGCTGTAGGGTCGCGCAGGACTCTTTGACCAGCGACTCGATGGAGGCGGCCCCGCTGTGCTGGATGAAAGTCACATTCTCATGTTCATTCTCATTCTCATGGCCAGCCTCGAGTGCACCAGTCCCCGTCCCCGCGGGGGATTGAGCGCGGGCGAGCACGCGCGGCTCGTCGATCGTACTCACGTAGACGAGCAGATTCCGCGGCACGGCGTGCGCAATGGGGGCCAGAAGACTCGCCCATTCCCCATGATACAAGAGTCCCCCTGAGGTCTGCACATGGCTGTGTCCCTCCGCGTCGGAGAAGAACCCCACCCGGCGGGTGTACGGCCAGTCGTCGGGGCGTTGGTGCAGCCGGCGGAGGACGCGCCGCGCCTCCTCGCTCCGGAACGGGCGGAGGTCGAGCTCGATCTGATCGAACTCGTCCAGGATCTGCGAGTCGTGGTCGAGGGCGAACTGCGCCCATTCCCGGAAGCCGGCCGGGGGTGGGCGCTGGTAGCGTTGCGAGTAGGTGGCGATCGCTGCCTCGGGGGTGCGGGATTGCGACTCGATGAGTCGGCGCGCGCGGGTCTGCGCGGCGTGGACGCGGCAGCGGATGGCGGCAGCGGGGGAGAGGCCGTTGGTGGGGGGGAGGGGGGGACAGAGTGTGGAGTCTGCATGACTGGTGGGGCGGAAGATTCCTTTCTCGTGGTTGTAGAGGTAGAAATGGGCGGAGGTGAAGAGGAGCAGGATGGTTGCTGCCAGTAGGAGAGTGACCCGGAGTTGGCGGAGTACCGGGAGACTGGGGAGTTGAAGCAGAGCTGGCGCCATTGCCTTTGCTGTCCGATATGGTTTGTTGATGTAGGACGGACGCAGCTGGATAGCACTGCTGTGGGAGGCTAGGGCTTTCCTTTATCAGATGCAGCCAGCATGGAGCACTCTTACTTAGGGATCTAGCGGAAGAGGACTTGGGAACCACATAAGTATGGCAAGTTTATGGGCTCAAAACTCCCACCAAGTGTATGCGTGTCATTGATTCAGGGTGGATGTAACCATAGAGTCGTTGGGGGGTGGAAGTGCGGCAATTTTGCACAAAGAACTTACGGTCTACGGAGTACGTCTTGGTGGATCAGATTCCAGACGGAGATCGAGATCGGTCGTTCTTGAAGAAAAGTCTCCAGTCCGCTGGGTCTGAGCTGCTCATAAGCACGAGGGCCATCAAGAAGATCTACTAAGTGCAGCCTCAGGCATAATCTAGGATAGGAGAGAATCCAGTAGATAGGTACCCCCCCTCTTCAACCAATTCTATCCTGACTATCGGTCAAATCAACCTCTCCCCCGAAATCATATCCAAATCCAACTCGTCCAGCCAATTCAAAAATCCCTCGCTGGCTAATCCCATCTCCAGCTCCTCGGATGGAAGCTGGAACCCTCCATACCCAAAGAACCCCTGCGGCATTAATTCACCCGGATCTCGCACCACACCACCACCACCCCCCTGATAATCCAACGCTTCATCCAACAAGCGACTCACCACCTTCGTCAACTCCATTTGCAAGGGCTTCGGGAGGGATACGGACAATGCAGGCAAATTGTCGCTGGATCTCATGCGACTGGTACATTCGAGTAAGGTCCATGATCATGGACAGCACCTGTAGGGAGGTGGCCATCAGGTCGGCGGTGGCGGCGCTGTTGGTCTTACAGCGGATGCGCTGCAGGTGCAGCACGCTGAATTGGTAGTCGAAGTGGATCAGGATCCGGGCCAGGGATTCCATCAGCTCGTGGCGGATGCGCACGACGGTCGCGGGCATGAAGCTGCTCTCGCGGTGCCAGCCCTGGTCGTCGAGACGAGCAAGGACGGCAGTTATGGGCGGAGCGTCTAGGAAGAGGTCCTCGTCGGCGGGGTCGAGGGGCGGCGTGCCCCGCCAGGACCATCTCCTTTGTGAACATCTCGCCCGTCATCTTCTCCCCGTCCACCAGTTCCAAGACATGATGTCCGGGGTACCGCAGCAAGGCACTGAGACCCGAGGAGGCGAAGGTCAAGGCGATGAACTCCCAGCGCAGGTTGGGGCAGGCACAACCGTGCAACGACTGACCTGATGGTACCACTCGATTTGCTCCCGGTGAAAAACGATCGCAGAGGCCAGACGGATCAGCCGCGAGGACGCATAGGCATGCTGTGTGCGCCTGTACCCGAATTTGGCGTACAGCGACCGATTTGCTTTGCTCGAAATCCCGCGCGGGGTCTCTTTCAAGACCGACAGGTAGCCCAGGAACTCCGAGTCCTGGCCATGTTTCGTCTCGGAGCCCGTCTCCGGCGAGAGAGACCTGCTCGGGGGTGAGTCATGCACCGTGATGTCTAGCGTGGGAGTTGAAGTCGAATTGCCTCGTTTTGACGCCGCACGAGGACGTCCCACTCCCCCATCTTTGACCCGCGTCAAGGGAGCGGGATGGTAAAAGCACTGCCGTCGGTGGTCAGCGAGGATCCGCAGACGAGTTGAGTCATCCTACCTACCTGGTTACCATTGTTCGAGACTGACAATGTCGACAGATAGGAGTGGCATGATCACAACGGACCTTGGAGAGCCGACATGGCTCGCACGAGGTCGGCTTCCGTTGCGACGAAGCATAAATGTCTGCGGGGGGATGTGGTTGGGAAGTGTTGAAATTGAAGATAATCTCACTGGAAGGAATTGGTTTCAGCTTATCAGCGGGCGAGAAGATCACCCTCGGAGTCAGTCGTCAGTCCGGCCAACAACACTCGGGGAGTGATTCCGAGCCGAGATGTAACTATCATTTTTACTGCGTACATGAAGCCATTGGAAGTTGATTTCTCCTGTGCATCACGCCATAGTAGCTCTTGGCATGGGAATGTCCGTTTTATTAGTATCAATCCCTCCCCAAGCGGTATCTGGACCAGGAGGGGCGGCAGGGCCGGGTATGAGGAGCGGGCGCTGGATGGGGAGGTGATTGTGTTGTGGGAGGTGTTTATGAGGAGGTCAAAGAGAGTAAAGTGGTGTAGATGGTGGTGATTGGGAAGGTTGTTATTATGCTGTCATACCTCGAGCAGAGACCGGGCTTATGCGCCAAGATGGAGAGTTCGTATCCACGTACGCTGTTCTACTCACAAGACGTGGTAGCCTGATCAGGTCTTCTTTGTAGCATAGAGAACTACAGTGGATGACGCAGCAGCTTGCATATCAATCTCGATGATCGCGAACGCCGTTGTTTCGAAACATGCCATGTGGGAGCAGATAAACTGAACGGTTGTGTGCAGAACGATATAAATAGCGGATTGCGACCGTGGGTGCACTCCGCCAAACCACGACTTCATTGTCGAGAGAACCTCAGCTGCGCCGGAGAAATCATTCACGTTCTGTCGAGATAACCATGGGAGGGAGGTCGAGATTCGGATTCGGTGACGTGAAGTGCTCGTATCGATCTGCATTTTCACAATGGAGGGCCATGAGCGCAAGTGCAATGCTGTGAAGGTGGTCCGAATCCAATCCAATATGCAAAGCAGTGATGGAACAGATCCATTATTGGCGCCTAAAGGGGGTTAGCGGTCGATCACCGGCGGGGACCAACAAGCATGGAATGAGACCAATTGCTTTGTCTTCAACTCCAACCCCAGCGCGTTTCTTTGTACCTCCTCTCCCAACAAAGGCCGTGACTTCATTGCCCGTATCTCCGCCAAACACACCCACTCTCCCTTGCAAGTAACAGGTGGTCCCCTGCCTCGCGACTCGTAACCAACTGGCGTCGTCCCCGGGCAAATCTGGAAGAGAGCCAAGCCCTAACGCAAGGGCGCGGCAAGGGGGGACTGGCCGTGGAATGGGACGCTGTCAGATGTCAGGACTTTTCGAGGAGAAATGGAAACGTATGCATCTCGAACAAGGGGGGAAATTGCCAATTGCACAGGTGGAATTGGTACGTTCCGGTCGAAATTAGAGGTCTCAGTTGGGGTACCACAAGTCTCGAAAAAAACAACTCGGTGTCCGGACAAGGCGCGGGGGATCACGTTCCGGTTCAGTCGACAGGTTCGATACGATAATGATCGACCATACCTTGGATAATTGGTTTGTGCAACTTGTATGTGAGACTGGAAGGGTAGCCAAGGAACGAGCCAGCCACAATGAAACTTGACCGCTGGATTGATATAAAGGATGCCTGGTCGGAAGTTCTTGTCGAGCCGCCATATTTGCTACACGATTGAAGGCAGTGCACGTCCACACCATGCGGGCTTTTCGACTTTTCCAGACGCTTCTGGGGCTGGGTAAGTCAATATCCTCCCTACAAGAAGAATCCCTTTCCCTGCTGAAGGACGAACGCACTGACGAACTCAACCCACCACAGTCCCCCTAGCCACCGCGAACATCGTCACCTTCTCCCCCTCCTCCGCCGAACCCGACCTCACCTACAGCGTCACCATCCCCAACACGACCACCGCGCAGAATGACGGCCCCATCTACCTCCAGATCCGCGCCCCCGCGACCATGCGATGGGTGGCGCTGGGCCAGGGCAGCCACATGGCGGGCGCCAACATGTTTGTCGTGTACGCCGCCTCGCCGCGCGAGCTGACGCTCTCCCCGCGCCTCGGCCGCGGCCACATCGAGCCGAAATACACGCAGCTCGCGAACGCAACCCTGCTCTCCTCCGCCAGCAACATCACCGACCACACCCTCACCGCGACCATCAATTGCACCAACTGTCTGGCGGGGTGGTCCACCCCCTCCGACACCAACTTCCCGCCCGCCGCCACCGCCGCCCCGTTCATCTGGGCCTACCACACCGGGCCCCCGCTCAACGCCTCGGCGCCCGATGCCAGCATCACCATCCACACGGAAATGGGCAGCACCACCGCGGATCTCTCGGCGGCGCAGTTCGCGGCGGACGCGTCGGCCCTGACGAAAGACGATTTCAACCCGTTCGCTTTATCCAGCAACCATTCCACGGCTGAAACCACCACCACCTTCCCCTCCCCCTCCAAAACCCGGGCGATACTCATCACCCACGCCACCCTCATGGCCCTCGCCTTCCTCCTCCTATTCCCGCTCTTCGCCCTCCCCATCCCGCTCTCCGTGAAGCGCTACAGCATCACCCTCCACGCCGCCCTCCAACTCCTCACCCTGTGTTTAGTCCTCGTCGGCCTCGGGACGGGCAGCTACCTCGCCACCACCGTCGCCACCCTTCACCACGCGCACCCCATCATCGGGATCGTCGTGGTCGGGGTGCTCGTGCTCTTCCAGCCGCTGGCCGGGTTCCTCCAGCATCGACACTGGCGGCGCGAGGGGGCCAAGAGCGTGTTCGGGTATCTGCATCGCTGGGTGGGCCGCGGGGCGATTGTGCTCGGGATGATCAACGGGGGCCTCGGGTTTGGGTTGGCGGGGCGGGGGATGGGAGGGGTGGGGAGTCCGAATGTGCCGCTGGCTGCGGTGGTGGTTTATGCGGTGGTCGCGGGGTGCATGGTGGGGGTGTATGGGGTCGGGGTGGTTTGGGGGAAGACGAAGGTGTTTACGCGAGGGAAACAGCGGGAGACAGTCGCGGGGAATAATGGGGAGGGGGGAGGGAAGGGAGGGGGAAGAGGGCATCGGGAGAAGATCTGATGTGGTTGGAGCCGGGGGTTCGAGGATGGGGTGGATGGGCGTTGTTGAAAGAGAAGAATTCATGTTTTACTTCGATTTGACGTTTCAGATCGAAAACAATCAAGGGATTCATTCATATTCAAATTCATCATTAAGAGATCTCTATTCAGACCCTTTTAAGGTCCCAGTCCATGGTATAATCAGTAACAGTAAATTATTAAAACTTCAACACAGCCTTGCCCTTGTTCTTGCCGTAGAAGATCCCCACCAGCCCCTCGGCCGCGTTCTCAATCCCCACCGTCTCGTGCGTGAGCGCCTTGAACGATCCCTCCTTGATCCACTTCTGCACCTTCTCCTGGTGCTCCTTGGTGTACTTGGGGCCCATGCCGGGGTCACTAACAATGAACCCGCGCATGGTCAGACGCTTGGTCAACACGTACGAGATGTTCGAAATGGGGTAGGGGTTGCCGTTGTACACCGAGATCATGCCGCAGACGACCACGCGGCCGAAGTTGTTCATCGCCTCGAGCGCCGCCTCGAGGTGCTCCCCACCCACGTTCTCGTAGTAGATGTCGATGCCGTTGGGGGCGAGACGCTTGAGCGCGTCCGCGGGCTTCTCCTTCTTGTAGTTGAAGCCACCGTGGAAGCCCAGCTCCTTGGTGATGTACTCGAGCTTCTCGTCGGAGCCGACGCTCCCGATGACCGTCAGCCCCTCGTGCTTGGCCAGCTGGCCGACGAGCTGGCCGACCGCACCGCTGGCCGCCGACACGAAGATCGTCTCCCCCTTCTTGGGCTGTCCGATCTCGTACAGCGACGAGTACGCCGTCAGACCGGGCATGCCCAGCGCGCCAATGAACACCCGGATGTCCTCAATGCCCAGCGGGTTGTCCAGCTTCTTCACGGCCGCCATCTTCTCCGCGCCGACGGAGATGTACGACTGGATCGGGAGGAAGCCCTGCACGAGATCCCCCTCCTTGTAGTCGGCGTGGTTGGAGCGCAGCACCTTGCCAATAATCGCGCTGTCGATGGGCTGGCCCAGGATCATGGCGGGCGAGTACGACTTGACCTCGGCGGGGCGCATGCGGCCGCGCATGTAGGGGTCGAAGCTGGCGTAGAGGGACTGGATGAAGATGCCGTTCTCGGGGGCGGCGGCATTGGCGTCATAGGAGACCGGCTCGACGCCAATGTGCTGTCCGGGGACGGGGTACCCCGTAGGGATTTCCTTGAAGATGAGGGCCTTGTTTTCAGACATGGTGTGTGTGTGTGTGAGAGAGAGAGAGAGAGAGAGAGAGAGAGAGATTGTGGGTGGGTAAATGTGAGGGGATTTCTGTTTCGCAAGTAGGAGTTCACGGCGGCGATTGCAGCATCTTTATACAGTCAGACACCAGTAGTGGTGGGGGGGCAACACCCCAGGTCGATTATCAAGCATCCATTTGGCTGACGCAGCTGATCGGGGGGGGGATGGGGGGGGGGCGTCAAAGAAGCTTCTCGAGAGAACTGAGAAACAGAAAGCGATTTGCCTAGGTACCTGCCAAATGTAGCGAGCTGCCCCGGCGAGGGAAGGACAGACAGAACGCAGACCGGGCCGGCGGTCCTCGCCACGACTCATTTGCAGGGCGGAGTGAAGCAAACCACGGGCACGGCGCACAAGTGGAGCCTGGAAGAGTCTGTAACGGAGTTCATTCGGGGCAGCTGCTTCTTCAGGGTACAGATACCGGGCCGAATGGGGCATGGCTGTTCAAAAACTGTTGGCTCTCGAAGGTGGAAATACCGAGAGCTGGAATTTGTGCAAGAGTGGCTCGGATTGCGCGGGGAGAGAGTGTAAGTGTGAAGTCATGATTACTGGGCAAGTTGAACAAATTGAGGTTCAAATATGCTTCATGACTCGGAAAGGATGAATAGTTCGTGTCTGAATTAAAAAAAAAGAAGTGGATCGACGGAAGGAATTAGAGGAAAGTGGGATTGTGTCGTGATGCACTTAGTTATGCACTGCTGACTGATCCCTGTCAGCAGTTTAAATTCTCGGCATGGATGGATTATTATTAATCCCTGTCCATCCCGCAGCGTCCCTCGGCTTTTGCCTCTTTGGGTTCTTCCACCGACCTGGTTTACTCTCTCTCTCTCTCTCTCGCTGCAAAGTGCACCACACCACACGATACTGCATCCCTGCACATCTCAACCCATTTTCAACGCCTCCCCCGAATGCCCCACTCGACCTTGCGCTTTCCCTTCCCGTCCTCCCTGCTTGCCACCGACTCCGCCTTCGACTTCCCCAATGACCACCACACACCGATCAAACCGCCGACTCCGCACCCCCTGTTCGAACATCGCTTCCAGCTCCTCAAAGGTCCGCCCCTGCGTCTCGGGCAACCACCAGAAACACATCCCCGCGGAAACGAAGCTGGCGCCCGCAAACAGAAACCCCAACTTGCCGCCCCAGTTCCCCTCGTCCGCGTCCATCGCGTAGGGAATCACCACCGCAAACACCACCGACCAGACCAAACAGCTCACCGTCGCCAGCCCGATCGCATAGCCAGTAGGGCGGGGTCCGGGCAGAAAGGGACGAAGGCCAGCATGATGCAAGGTAGCGCCCACTGCGTGGCGATAGGGATGCGGTAGGATTATTCGCTGTCCAGCGAGGTTGTCCCCTTCAGGATGCCGGATTGAGGCTGGTCCGGGGTCACATCGCCGACGTAGGCGGAGGCGCAGATCGGATAGAAGGCGATGACGCAGCCGTTGATCAGCTCGCCCACGAACAGCTGGGCGGGCGTCTGGCTGAAGAATTGCACGAAGTTGAAGCCGATCGACAGGCAGGAGCACACGGTGATCAGGATGCGCGGCCCGAAGCGGTCGTAGGCGACGCCGGCGCCGAGCGCGCCCACAATGGCACCCAGGGGGTTGGCGTAGTTGAAAGCCGAGAGCCATCGCGCAGCAAGAATGTAGCGTCCCTCATGCTCGTAGCCGTAGTTCTGTTTGAAGACATCGAGCCCGACCAGTCCTTTGACCACCCCGCCATCCTGGTAGTCTGTCTGTCAGGTCTGCTTGGATGAGTGAGCGAGGGCGTAAATGGACCACATACAATTCCTTTGAGAATGGTTGCCTGTCATTGAGCCAGTCTTCATCAGCATATGTAAATCTCAGCTGGGCGCTGGCTGCAGGCGAGCCTTGCCAGGTTCATAAATAAAGCCCACGCAACGGCTGGGCAGTGCTGGCGCAGGGCGGGCCAGAAGGTCAACGCATGCTCCGCCGCCAGGAACTCCTGCGAGTCGCCCTCCTCCTGCAACGACGCTGTCGGAACAGTCTGGATGATTGTCTCAAGTTGCTCGCTCTTCATCTTCATATTCTCTGCTTCTTCTGGGACCTGGAGAATGAGAAAATCATCAGAGGGCAGGAGACGGCGACCGCAGTCTCCTCCGCTCAATTGCCGCCGCTGTCTTGGCTGTCTTGGCTCATGTACCTTGAGGACCTCCTTGTAGGACAGTAGGCTTGAGTAATTCAGCGTATCTGGGTCACCCAAAGAGCCTTTTCTCTCTTTGTTGGCTGGGATACCAGCTTCACTAGGCTGTGCCTCTTAGGTACTCCTATGGGTTCGATGATGGCCAATTGGGATATCAAAGCTTACTATCTTAGCATCTTATGAAATAAAAGGGGTTTGTATCCTATCGCAAGCGAGGAGAAGCTGATATTCTCAGTATATACCGATGATCCCGGATGACCGGTACTCGTCACCATCAAGTCTCACTCAACTACCATGACCGGCTGAAGCGACCCTTGGGTCCCTGCTTTCGACTCATCCACCACCAGAAGATGCCGATCGAGGAGCAGTCGCAAGCGATCCGACGCCCGCGCCCCCTCAGTGCTTATGCTGAGTGCGGAGAGAATCTCCTTGATGGGTGCTCGATTGCCGGTCCAGTCCAAAAGCACCCTCAGATGGTCCACTTGGTCGTGCATGGCTAAAAAGACGCTGTCGGGCACAGTGGCGCCCTGGTACCGCTCCAAGACGGCGCGGAACTCCTGGCTCGTGTTCCAGGGATTGATGTACTTGTTGGGGTTTGTAGCGGCGGCCTCGAGGAGGTCCGCGGACACCGTGCAATCTGGGCCCCGGAGAGGCAGGAGAAAGAGCAGCACCGATAGGCCGCGGGGTTGATTACGCGCGGCCGCGAGAAGCAACTCGTCGCTAATTGGAATCGTCGAGCCCCCGTTGTCCATCAACAGCTGCATGACTTCCTTGGTATTGCGTGTCGCTGCATGCATGAGAATCGGTTCAGAGACGGTGAACCCGGCCTGCTGTCGAGCGAGCAATGCCTGAAGGATCGTGCAGCCGTGGAGGCTGTTCCCGACCGCGGCGATCATGGTCTGTTCGCCGATATCGCACTGCGGGCCCCATTCGTCCAGGAGATAATCGACCAGTTCGCGATTATCCAACCTTTCGGGGGCCACAGCAGCAGCGAGGATCTCTTGGCGGGTATTCAAGCTCAATTCTCTCCCGGCCAAGAGGCGGCGGAGCATGGCTCGAGCGTGAGGATTGCCGATCGCTGCACGGAGAACCGTCGGCTGCATCATAATCTCATCGCCGTACACTTGGCGCACGAGGTCCACGATCTCTCTTCCCGCGCCTCCGACGAAGATCTCGGCATGTTCAGGCTGCAGGCAGGCGATTAGCTCGCGGTTGTGCAGAACGAGGGATGCTAGGCTAGGATTGGACCACGAGGCTCTGGCCACGGTGTGCATCACTGCCTCTGGAAACCAGACTCTTTCTCTCCGTCGCTTGAGCAATACTTCGAGGGTGCTGGCGTCGTCGCGCTCACTGTTCACAGCTGCTTCGACCAGCTCCTGGGTGACTGATTCTGGCTCGATGCCGCCACGATCAAGACATAACTCGAGAAGAGCGGCCGCGCAGTGGTGGTTGCAGGCCATGCTGACAAGGAAGGACGGATCGATGGTGTCACTTTCTTCACTGCCACGCAGCCCGCCCATATTCCACAGCAGGTCTATGATTAGGGGCAAAGTGGCATGGTCTTCCGCGGAGCGAGGGCGAAGTCGATGGAAGATCTCGTCCACTATCTCAGGGGGTACTGTGATGAGACGTTGTAAGAAGAACACCAATACTGGAATCTCGTGGCGCGATGCAAAGACCAATGTGCTTTGGTGGGACCGGCCACCCGAAGCATTCAGGGGGTCAACGCCGGAGTGCAGCAGCAACTCCACCAAACGGTGCAATTGCAGGAAGATAGCCGCGTCGATGGGTGCTAGGAAGTTCGTGCTCATCCAGCGGCGCCAGGCGTGTTTGGTGTCCTGGAAATAAAACGAGCGCAGACGCTGCCAGTTGAGATAGGTCACCGGTGTCGTGAAGAGCTTGAGCATCATGGCATATACTTCAGGCAATTGGTCGGAGGTCAAGCTCTCTACTCTGCCCAGATGATCAATCCACCTTTGGCTACAGTATTGCAGCAATGAGTTGCTCATGGCGCCCATGAGCGATAATTCCTCCTCTTCGGCAAGGATGCGCGGCAGGCTCTGGTTCAAGATAAGCTGATGTCCACCCAGCTCGGACATGCGACACCAGTCGGACGACTGCTCGGAGAGCAGGAACTCCTTGACCGAGAAATGGGCAAGTCTTATGACCCCATCCGAGGTCTGCAGAGTCACCAACTGGGTTGTACAGATCTCAATCACGCTGTCCGGGGAGGGGAAGCCGGCCACTGCTGCTACGGCCTCTCCATAGAGAGGCTCCAGGGAAAAAGCGAGCCAGGTGAGGATCGATCGCACCGCCTCATGGTACTTTGGCACAATCTCCTGCTCCAGGATGGTTCGATATGTGGCCTCCAGGGAGGCGGGGATTGTGGTTAGTGCGTCGTCAATGTCCCCAGGCAAGTGGCATCGCTCGAGTCGCTTTATCTGCAGATCAGCCCAGCGGAAGCGCCTACGCCACCAGTCAGCACCAACCGGAGTCATATAGTTACCAAACGCATCGATCGCTAACCTTTCAGGGACATTCAGTAGCCGCTTCTTGATGCTTTCACGGATGGATGAATCCCAACGTTTCAACCTCCCGTTAGTCAGTCTGTCCTGCACAAACTTTGCAATGTCTTCACTCAGAGCAGTCTCCAGTCCAAATAACTTGTGATGCATCAGCTCGTGATGGATATCAGGCTCCGGTCGGCTGGTGGCAAGAACATGACTCCTTGTTGGATGGTTCTTCACCAATTCATCCAGAAAAAGCAGCAGACGCCTTTCTCGTGTCTCGATAGGACACTCATCGAGAGCATCGAATATGAAGAAAACTTCTCCGGGAAGGGAGCTAATAATATCGTTGAGAACGAGCGTGAGCCCCTCCCAGTCCGGCTCTCGATTTCTTCGATGGTCCGCCCATATCGTCTGTACGGAGGCTGGAATGGGTCTGGGACATAATTGTCGGATCAGAGATCGAATCATACTCTCCATACTATGGGTCGTGAGATTATCGAAACGGAAGTACCAATACGCAAGGAGATGAGGCATATTGTGGTGGCAGTGGTGCTCAGTGTCCGAGATGATAGTTGAGCTGGGGAGAGAGAGTCAGTCAGGCCTGGCCCAGCTCGAGAACGAGACTCCCTACCAAAGCACCGACTTGCCGCAGCCCACAGGGCCATGCAGCCAGAGCAGCTGACCCGACGTGGTTTTCCATCGTTGATACATACTGCTCGACTGTACGAACCATGTTCCCGTGTCGGGCGAACGATTCTTCTTGGTCTCGTTCTGAATGCTCGAGTAATCGAAATCGGAAAGCCAGCCGAGAATGGCGAGGTCCTCTTGATCTATATGTCTGTCAGTGAATATGCAGGGGGTCAAAGAGGATGAGTGGAATATATACCCACCATTCGTTCTAACATCAATGCTGTGCACCTGCTTGGCCATCACGTCAATGCGCATCAATATATCTTCAGCACAGCGTTGCTGATCTGGATGAAATTGGTTTGAGTGAAGTTTCCGAACGTGAGGAAGGCAGATCATGGTTACCTTCATCTCTGACCACCATTTTCCACTGATCGACAACGGCACTTTTCTGCTCTACGGCAGACTTGAGCTGGTCCAGAGGCTGGTTCACTAGAGCAGCTATACTCTTTCCCACCCGAGTAATGACACTTTCTGCCCTAGCTTTCAAGACCTCCGCCGTATACTGTAGGATTGCAACATAGACCTCTACCAATGCATCGTCGAGTTTGGCCGAGCTCGGAATATTCCCCTTTCGGTAGTTGTGCTCAATAATGGTATGGTACGCCAAAGTCTTCGCGAGGAATTCCGCTGCATCCAGGACTGCATCTCGCCGATCAATGTCGTTTTTGACCAGGGTGAGGCCAAACGAGACAATAGACCATGCCGTCGAAGCATGGCCGGTGGGGTCGAACGCCGCCACCGCTTTGATAAGTTCCTGGGCCTGCAGGACACATACCAGGACCTTCTTGGCTGATCCTCGGATATCAACCCTCTCGGCGGTAGCGCCGCGCTTCCGGATCGTCAAGCCGCCCTTCTGATACTCTTCATACTTGATCGTGATTTCGTCGACAATCTTTCTCAGAACATCCTCAATTGAGCCGGTCGCGTTGCGGGTGTCGATCAGAAGCAACTTGCGACTTTCAGCGTTCAATTGTTCCTCCGCTCGCTGCCACAGACCACACTTTTGATGCAACGCTGAAGCTCTGCGTGGCTTGGGAACTGAGACAGAAGAGGAAGACCTGGAGATGAGACGGACGGGTCGCGGAGGAAGGGCTCTAGCCCCACCATCACCACCACCACCGGCTGCACTTCTGCCCTTGGGGTTTCCCCCGCAGCAGCCCCAACTATCGACGGGCATGGCGATTGCCAGTCTCAAGAACGTGTGGAGATCAAAGAAAGTGATAAGGCAGGCGGGGAGAAGGCTGTAAATAATCAGCACAGCACCGCTCCCCCTTTCCCTCAGCCTCCCTCCCTGTACGCGCTGCATGTCAGCAGAACCATCGATTTAGTAGGCGCTGGTGCATGACACTAGGCCCATCGTCGCGCTTTCAAATCGCCAATTGAAATAGCCCTGTGGTGGCATGGCCAATCCCTCGTTGCACGGCTTCCCTGCTAAGCGGCAATTGACCTGCCAATGGAAAGATTGTCCGCGTGGACCCACCGGTGCTGAATTGCCCCATGCAATTTTGGATAACATATCATTATGTTGTGACTGGATTCGGTATTCAAGGGCTTTTGAATAGTGGTGGGGAGAGTCCGGTTATTATAAACCTAGTAAATACTGTGTAAATCAATAGTACTACGCGCGTACACCACATTCTGCCCCAGATTGCCAGGTCTGGATCTATGCTGCTCCCCTCAGCCTTACCGCCAGACCATACGCGCTCTATCAGTCGCTACAGCCTACTCTCCACACTCTGCAGATCATCACCAGCATTATGAACCGACAAGACATAGCAGGCAGCACCCCTGACTATAAATAGCATGTCAGCCCCCCCGTGTTTCAGGGTCCCCGATTGACGTCATCCCACCCCGCCGTTAAAAGCCACGCAATCCCCAAGTTGAAAAAACATCTTCATCACCTTCAGCCCTGCACCAGCATCATCGTCACCTTTCAATTTCATTCTCTGTATTCCACCTTCCAGACACCATGCCTGACTTTGGTCATAAGATTCTCAACAAGCTGGGTCTGCACGATCACCACGATCAGCAGCAGCAGCAGCAGCAATCCCCGCAACAATATGGCCAGTACAATCAGCAGCAATATCAATACAATCAACAACAGTATGGTCAGCAGCAATACTATCCACCACCTCAACAACAAAACTACGGCCCTCCCCAGCAACAGATGGGCTACCCAGGTCAGGGCCACGGCCAGGGCCACCAGCAACCGCAGCGCGTCACTTGTCGCGTCCACCACGACGAGCGCTCTCTCACATCCCGTCGAGGAGGCACTTACCCACGTCTCGCTCGCCTCTCCGACGGTTCCCTCCTTTCCTCCTTTACTCGCTTCGAGGACAACCAGCGCGTCCTGGTAGTCGCCCGCAGCACCGACGGCCACGAATTCAACGACATTGGCGAAGTCACCCGAGGCAGTGGCGACACCGACAATCTATTCCTGCTAGAAGTCGCCCCCTCCGTCGTGCTGGGAGCTTTCCGCAACCACGACCACGGCCCGGACGGCCGCCCCACGCACTACCGCATCACCGTCTGCCGCTCGCACGACGGCGGGCACACCTGGCAGTTCGCCTCTCAGGCGGTGGAGAAATCCGGGGGGGACGGACTCGGCGTCTGGGAGCCGTTTATGCGCATCGGCAGCCAGGGCGAGGTGCAACTCACCTACTCACAGGAGCTGGCCCACAACAACCAGTGCACCATGCTGGTGACCTCGACCGACCAGGGCAGCACCTGGTCCGAGCCGAAGTGTCTTCACGGCAAGGACGATCACCGTCGCGACGGAATGAATGGGATCGCGCGGACAGACGACCAAGGCCGCGGGCAGCCGGCGCTGGTCATGGTGTTCGAAACCAACACCAAGGGGCCCATGCAGATCGAGGCGCTGATCTCCTACGACGACGGATACACCTGGGGCAACCGGCATGTCGTCTATTCGCCCCACGATGGTCACAAGCACAACGCGGGCGCGCCGCAGATCGCCTCCTTCGCGGACGGGTCGATGGCCGTGGTCTTCATGACCGACGAGGATCACGATGTGGTGAAGTGGGTCCAAAATGCGTCGATCAAGGCCGTGTTCGCCCCGCCGCCATACAACGGAGTGATCGATTGGGACCGCACCTCCACGTCCATTTGCGCTGATTCGAGTCACTGGCCCGGTGTCTTTGCGCTGGATGGACACACACTCTTGGCTACTTACGAGTGCAAAGGACCCAAGGCGAGGGCCATTTCGTCGCAGTGAGAGTCATCTTGGTGATTTCGGGTATGATTCCTTACCGTCTTGGTCAGCCTGCACTCGGTTTTTTCATCACTAGACATTCGCGGGTGAACGACCCCTTTAGTCCTTCTGGAGTGAGCACGGAAACAGTACACTTGATGGGAAATGTAACATATCACTTGGGTAGAACCAGCTTTCCATAAAGATGTAAGATTCCAGGGCAGAGATATCCAACAGATTGCGTTAGCTCATGATGACAAACAGCTTCGACCTAGGAGAGATTTTGCATTCTGCTGTCAGTCAGCCATTCCAGTTTCTCTGCTGCAGAGTGTTGAACCCATGGAGCAATTGAGTACTTCGGGCCCCTCTGCCTTAGGCGGGGCCAGTATCGTAGTGGGAGTCTTGACTAGTATCCTTCAGAGCAGACACTACCGCGGAATCCGATTGACCTCTTCAGATGTATTACTTTCTCTTAGACTTCATGACGATCAACCGAGACAAACTGACTGATCCCCCTGCCAATTTGAAGAAAATCGATCTATCAAGTCCAGGATATATTGTTTGTGCTGCCACGTCCTCGATCAGGCATTTCAGTAATAGCTGCGAGGGGAAGGCCTCGGTTTAGATTGCAGCAGGAATTCAGCAATCAAAGCTTTGTTTTATTGGTTAAATTGTTTTTCTCAACTCAACCGAGCTGCGTGTCTGGGAAAAGACCCTGGAAGCGATTGAAGCCTGAAACAAGCGATGCAGCGGGCAGACTAAGACGAACCCAGCGTCCCCAGCGAGTGATGTGTGGCATCCCGCAGAAATCCGGGTCAGGAACTGGCCATGGTTTTCCAAGGTTGGCGGCGTGGCGCAGGATGTCAGATTGGCCCCTCACCTGCCAATCATCACCGCTGACAGAAGGAGCAGATCGTGGTTCCTGGCTGAAAAGAGAAAGTTGAGGGCAAGCGAGGAGGGGGAGGGGGGTTGTCCTGGCGGGGTGCTAGCTGACAAAGAGTCAGAACGGCCCTAACTACTTTTACTTCTTCGGGAGGGGAATTTTTAAGCTTGCCGGGCGGGAAAGCCCCCGCTAGTTTCCAGCTGCATGATTTCATTGGTGGACACGAGGCAGCCGTGAGCGGAGAGAACCCACCAGGGCGGGGCGGACATTAGGTAATAGCAGACCGCGATTGGCTGCGGGGGAATTCTAGATGTAACTTGGCCGGGTCGGCAGAGATTGAATGTCCATGAGGCAATCTGGTGGGCGAATTTCCGGTGACTCAGAAGGCCACCTGCCACTTTCTTTGCAATCAGGCCAACTGACGCCTTTTGTTTTGTTTATTCACCCCTTCTATCGCTGCAATTCGGCCTGTTAGGAAAAGCTAGGTGGCAGCTGGAACACCTGGAGCTGAAACTATCCGGTGGATAAGATAGCCCTGGTCGCGGACGATCCCGCCTTCCTGCTTTCGGAAAAATTCTGCACCCCAGCTGGTTCGGTTTTTCTTTCACCCTGCCTCCTTCCCACCCTCACACAGCACACAAGCATGTCGCGACCCATGAGCATGGCCGCGGAAGGTCATGGCACCACTGAGTTGGATCATGCGCCTCAGTACGACCTTGCTTTGCGCGACGAGGAGAAGCAAGAAAAGCAGGAGGACCGCAAGGGTAGCCCCATCTATCAGGACACCTTTGGTGATGAGGAGTATGCCGAGGTCAAGTACAAGGTCCTCAGTTGGTGGTATGTCCGCCTTACTCCGGGCCCTAATGCAGCATGGATTGAGCCTGTTTGACTGACTGATTCACAGGCAATGTGGTTTTCGTAAGTGCTAATCACTGTCGCAATGGTAGCTGAAGACTAATTGGATAGTCATGGTGGCCGAGACCGTGTCCCTAGGTATCCTGTCGCTCCCTGCCGTCGTGGGTGTCCTGGGTCTAGTCCCGTATGTATTACTGCCTTTTTGTGTCTTGACAAGACACTGACTTCAGCCAGTGCTATCATTCTTCTGCTGGGATTGGGTCTTTTAGCCACCTATACCGGCTACACTATCGGCCAGTTCAGATGGGCCTATCCGCACATCCAGAACATGGCTGATGCCGGTGAAGTCCTCTTCGGGAGTTTCGGCCGAGAGTTCTTCGGCACCGGTCAACTCCTTCTTGTTGTATTCATCATGGCTAGTCATATCTTGACCTTCACGGTCGCCATGAACACCATCACCTCGCATGGCACGTGCACGATTGTGTTTGGGGTCGTTGGTGTAGTCATTTCTTTCTTCTTGGCTTTACCCAGGACTTCAGCTAATGTCGCCTACTTGTCAGTGGCTTGTAAGTGGTTGACCGCTCCTGCTACCGATTCCGCTTCTAACCTCTGGTAGCTTTCATCAGCGTGTTCTCGGCTGTCATGATCGTGATGATCGCCGTCGGTATCCAGCGTCCGTACAAGGGCGCTCTCGAAGTTACCGTTGACACTAGCTTATACGAGGCCTTTCTTGCTGTGTGCAACATTGTCTTTTCTTTCTGTACGTTGTCCGTGACACATGTTGATGATGTCTTTGCTGATCAGTCAACAGCCGGCCATGTCGCATTTTTCGGTTTCATGTCGGAGCTCAAGGATCCGCGGGACTACCCCAAGTCCCTGTGTCTGCTGCAGGGTATTGACACGGTCCTCTACATCGTCACCGCGGTTGTGATCTACGTCTTCGCTGGACCCAACGTGACCTCCCCGGCTCTAGGTTCAGCCGGACCCATGATTGCCAAGATCTCCTATGGTATTGCTCTGCCGACGGTAAGTCTTATATCCATCTTCCCGATGCACCGATAGCTAATCGCAGTTAGATTATCATCGGTGGCGTTGTCAACGGCCATGTCGCATGCAAATTTGTCTACGTGCGGCTCTTCCGCAACAGTGACCGCATGCACAGCCGCGACCTCGTGGCCACCGGCTCATGGGTTGCTCTCATGCTGGTCCTGTGGATCATCGCCTGGATTATCGCCGAAGCCATTCCTGTCTTCAATGATCTTCTTAGTTTGATTGTAAGTTACGTTTCACAGCCCTGGAGGTTCATCTCTGACCCAAACATTTAGGCTTCCCTCTTTGCCAGTTGGTTTACTTGTGAGTCTCCCGATCCCTACCTAAACTTCCTCCTCGCGCAACCCCTAATACTAACAAATCACAGTCGGTTTCAGCGGCATGTTCTGGCTGTACCTCAACAAGGACCAGCTGTTTGCCAGCCCCAGGAAGATCGCATTGACGATCCTCAACGCATTGATTGTGGGGATCGCCGCCTGTGTGGTAAGCTCTACCCTTTCTTCATTAGATTTATACCTGCTAATCGTGAATTCAGTGTGGCCTCGGATTGTACGTGTCCGGACGCTCGTTGCATGATGACGCAAACGGCTCGAGTTTCTCCTGTGCAAATAACGCGTGATCGGAACCAAGGAGTTGTATATTTTGTTTGATCTGAATGTTGCATATAACTGCATGATTGTATAGTATTTTGGTTCGCAAGTTTTGGTGTACAAAGGTCTCCATATGTATAGACATTTTATTTCTGCCTGCATCTGTCCTGTGCGTCAAATGGTGATCTGCTCCGCCCAGAATTTGAGCCCGCCTCTGCGCCAAGCCCTCTCTCCGCCCTGATCCGGCCTGCATCCGGCTTGGTCACGTGCCATCGGCAGTCGATTGTGATGCTTCGAAGAGGCATCAAATTCATCGATTGCCCGACGTGAAGGTGACAATGGGTTTTGATGATCGCCAAAGCTGATAGGTCGGTTGATATCTTGCGAAATACTTGGGAGTTGTTGCCATGTAGCAAGACAAAGTGGCACCTCATAGGCTAGCGTCCTCAGAGCTCATCAAAGAAAGGTCGAAAAGGTGGAGCAGATGTAAACCCCAGCAAGTATGCAACACGCATCTCAAGAACAGCTCGCAACTAGACCGTCATGTCTCATCGACAGGGGTCTATCTCAAACGTCCGTAGTGCGCTTAACTACCTGCCTCTGGCTGCAGCCAGGCTCGGTCATGTGACCGGCGTCGAGCCCTTACTTTTGTACCTTTTTCCTTTCTGGATTCGCCAACAATCAACTATGGATATAATCTTCGACGCTTACGTTGGGGTTGAAAAATGCTACCTACCAATGAACAAACGGCGTTGCCAATGGGGTTGAGAGTTGGTACCACTCGTAAGAAGCGGTCTGCTATTTGTAACAGACTGTTTCCTTCGAACAGCTAGAATGCGCAATGATATAGAGTGAGAAAACCCTTCTATTCTTGTCCACGATGCAAATCTGCAATCCAGTGGCCTTAGTTATCATGGGTCTGACAGCCTGACAGAACTTACCCACTATCGATACAACGACCGAGTTCTCCTTACCTTTAACTGGCCGTGCTGCACTTGCGAAGTGACAAAAATTTGAATGAGACTCTGGACACACCCGAGATCCATGTGAGCCTGTTCTATGAAACGCATATCCACAAGCTCCCGTTCATTTGTCTACCGCAACACGCCATATCATCGCTTATACATCTGATCTGCGAAAATACAACTAACACGCAGGGAAGCTTATCATCCAGTTGTTTATGTGCAATAGAGCGAGAAACTGCAGCTTCATACTGGTCAGGTCGCCTGCGCGGTGCATTGACTTCCGCCTGAAGTCAAGATTCCCTCTCCGGTAGTGCATTTATTCCGAAGCTGAACCACAGAAACAAGAAGTATATCTCTCTTGGTTGACCCCCCTGGTATGAGCTCTATCAGTGCAGTCTCCTCAGTCGACGCCTTCCCTCGTTGTTCAAACTCGATATCATCCCTCGTATAAGAGTCACGGTGACCATGACCACCAACGTCCTCATCACCGGAGCCAACCGCGGCCTCGGCCTCGGCCTGGTCAAGCTCTTCCTCCCAAACCCGACCACGTACTGTTTTTGCCCCCCCCTTTCCCACCATATCATATCATCATAACTCACCAAGAGAAAAGCAAACCGTGATACCCGCCATTCGCCTGTGATGGCATGGTGGAGGTGTTGACGACGGGGACTAAGGCGCGGGTGGGTGGGAAGGTGGTTCTCTTTACTGGGGAGATTCAGGAGTGGTCACTAGGTCGTTGGTTCAGTTGCTGATTGGGGCGGCCGCGGCCTGGGAGTGATGTTGGGGTATGATTTCTCGGCTCTCGCCTCAGTGTCGGGACAAGGGCAGTTTTTGGAAATGAGATAGGTGTGGAGATCTTCCTCAGAGATAGAATGAATCATGATGGCGGCGATGACTTGGTATTCATGGCCAGATTAGGCTACTCTCCTCACCTTGTAGTAGTGCTGGCGATGTAAGCAGTGAGGAACGAATGGCGCGAGGGCCGCCTATAGCGCGCTTACTATCGTGAGGAAATTAGGGCTGGTCCGCTGCAATTGAGTCAGCAGCAGCTCGATTTCCTTGAGAAGGTACTGTGCTAGTACATCATGTCTGCTTGAGGGTGATGATGCCAAGTCAGGCTAGTTTGAACAACATATGGGTTAGACTTAAAGATGCTTTCGCGGGGTGAGCGCATTACGAGTGGGTAAGTAGTGAATGGTGAATCTGGATGCCTTGTCCCCGGATCTGATCTCGGAGCCAAAGCGAGGCAGGATGCAATTTCTCCGATTGGATTACCGATACTATCTCCGAGTAAACAAGCCAGTTTACTTCGGGGCAGGCTCATAGTGTTTAGATTCATTTGCAACGAACATCAGACTACATGAAGAGACAGACTAATTGGAGTCCGCCAGCACCAAAATCTGAAAGATGGCCCCAGAATTAGATTTGCGACCAACACTGTTGCTTAGGCGTAGCACCGTATGGAGCAATCGGATCATTATGGTTCCCATATAATCCAAAAACTCCAACTCGGTACTCTCGCACTGGCATTAGCCTCGGTCTGACTTGGGTCTAGCGGCATCAACTTCATTTCTTTCCATAGCTCAGAAAGAGGATGGAGACTCAAGTGGTAAGACCACTACCATTGCACTTTAGTCTGGAGAAACCGGAGGTACCGCGGAGACCTCGCGGAGTTCCGGATTGCCGAAACCAACCCAGCATGTCTTTTTAGTCAGGGAGGCAGTACTTTTGACAGCTAGGCAGCCAAAAATGATAGGTCTTTACGGGGATAAATCCGGATCCCCATCTCCGCTGAGATGAGACCCACTTCGTCGATGTGAAGGGATCCCGCAGTGGTCCGCTTGCCGTGCTGGACTCACCACTAACTTTTAGCACTGGAACTAACCCCTTCATCGTGATCCCCTGTCCCCACCAGTGCTTGATTCAGAGCGCTTGCGTACTGCGAAACCCCGATGACCGACTGATGTGTGGTATGTAAGCTGGAGCCTCGATTTAATCAGACTAGTCTCCACTACTTGTTCTTTTCTTTGAATCCTTCAGCCTCTCATCGAATCTGTCCATCATGACCCTGAACTGCCTTCCGTCAACACAGTGCAGCGATATCAGTCTTGCCGTTACAGAGAGTGTCTTTCTCCACGGCGACGGAAGGAACATCAAGGATACTGTATCCAAATCTCCCGCAAATGCACGTGCGTCGAGAAGGTTCGCGAGAAGATCTCGCAATGGGTGTCGCACCTGCCGGTATGTATCGTCTCCAAGATCACCTCCTGCCAGTCTCTGTCGTAGTTTGTGTGTTGACTTCCAGTTCTTAGTGCTCGACGAGTCAAATGCGACGAGACACCTGGGATCTGCACCAACTGTGCGCGAACAGGCAGACGGTGCGAGTATGATCTGCACCGAATACCCGACCGAGCGCCTCGAGGCAGCATTGTCGCCTCAATTGCGGTGCCGTGGAAAGTGACTTCGGACGAACGACGATGTCTCTCATACTTTCAGAACCTTTCCCTGCCGCATCTCGTAGCCTTCTTTGACTCCCCGCTATGGCAGCGTCTGATCCTTCAGCTTTGCCACCGTGAGCCTGCCGTGTTCCACGCCGTCATCGCCTTGGGAGCTGTGCACCAGGCGCACGAGCTGGGGGGCGGACGCTTGCGGCCGGGACAACGCCAGGCCCTCTTTGAGCGGCACAGTGAACAGAAGCAATGGTATTTGTTTGCTATGGCGCAGTCCGGTCGAGCCATCGCGAAGCTGAACGAGCGAGGGCAATCGCCTGACCCGCAGTTCCAGCGTGTGATCCTGGCCTGTTGTCTCCTCTTCATCATGGGCGAGCTGCTGCAACAAGACATGAGCCGCGCGACTATTCACATACAGGCTGGCCTTCACATCCTACAGGGGCTGGAAGTCCGGCGCCGAGCCTCGAGCCTCGACCTGACCGTGGCAGGGGGAGGCGACACAAATGGACCCCAAGTGGTGGAGGACTGCGTGGTCGAGGCCTTTTTGGAATTGCAGATGTGTTCGATCTTCTACGGCACTACAGAGCCGCTGCATCTACATGATGAGGTTGTCTACGACCGTCCCTACCGCGACCTGTACCTGACTCAAAGGTTTCGGAGCCTGCAGCACGCCCACCAAGTTCTCACTCCGCTGCTCGACACGATGGCTCTCTTCGTGTGGCAAGGCTCGCATCTCTCCGACGAGGACATTGCGCGGGACTATGCATCCCTCCACACTCGCCAGCAGAGTCTCATCGCCTATTTTACCCGCTTCCTCCATCTGCTGGACGAGTACTGCCACCACGACCACCACCACCGTCTCGTCCCGTCAGCTGCCGGCAATACGCGCCGCCACGGCACCAACAAGGACGCCCCTCAAAAATCCCTCCGCGAAGCACACATCATGCGACTCTCCTGCATTTACGGCCGGTACAGCGTCCAAATCGCGCTCGCGAGCAAGGAGAGACCGCTCCCCGCGTCGCTAGCAGACGACGCCTTCGCCGTCCTCGTCGCCGCCGAGACAGCCATGGCCCAATTTACCCTCACCGAACGGCCCGCGGTCACCACACGTTGCGAGATTGTCCCCGCGCTGTGCACCGCCACCATGCGGTGTCCGGATTTCCGTCTCCGCTGTCGAGGGATCGAGAACCTGCGCGCCTGGGACGCCCAGGAAGGGTTCATGAACGCGGCGTTCAATGCGGATCTCATGGAGGAATTGATGAAGGTGGAGCTGTTGCGGCTGTACGCCGCTGGAGCGCCTCCACCGCCGGGCGTGACTCTGGAGAGGGAGACGGTGGGCGCCACGGGCAGCAGGGATGGTGGAGGTGAGGGCGCGAATGGCGGGCCGATCGTGGCGCGGATCGTGTATTGCGGGAGCGACGGGGCGGAGCGGGAGCATCGCGTGCGGTTGGTGCGGAATGAGACGCTGGCGGCGGACCTGCGCGCCATTGAGGGGTCGGAGACCTGGCCTTGCATGCGATTATTGGGGTTGATGGATGAGTCTGCGATGCTGGTGGAAGCCACTGCAGAGAAGAATGGTGACCGCAGCGAATGACCGCGGGGGATCGGATTGTCTACAAGAGATCCACTCTGGGGATCATTGGAATGTCAAGATAAAGAAACTCGAACAAAACAGTTGAAACTCAATTGTTGAGCTATGTAAGAACCACTAGAGCTGGATCGACACCATCAGACCAGGCACCCAGCTTAGCCTAATACCCACTCCCCAATCTGGTATCAGGCGGAACTCGCCCACTTGCGGCCCTCGACTTGATTGCAGAACGCAGTGACTGCCCCCGGGAATTCCGACATGAAGGCATGAAACTCCGACTTGCCCCTGTGCTCAAAGGGGGAGGGACGCTGTTCATGCGGGAAGGGCTCTTCATACATGCGCCAGTAGATCCCCAGCCCCACGACAGCCCCCATGGAGGTGTCTACGTAGTGTTCGGGGTTCTCGGCCCGTTCGCGCTTCCAGTAGGCTTGAATCAAAAGGACCGCTTCGTCCCAGTCTGCGCAGTCCACGTCCGGACGAAGGAAGAACTGAGTGATACGCAGGTACTTGAAGCCGCAATATCTGAAGGGGGTGATCGCCGAGGGGGGGAGTGCGTCGAGATCCGGGGTCCCCATGTTCGTGATCGTTGGTAGAAGAGCTTGGATAGACTGTAGAATGCCCATTGGAGAGAGTTTAGGTGATGGTGGTGAGAGTATTGGGATAGTGAACTCGATGGCTGTATTTATAAGTTTGGTTGGATCGCATAAAAAGTTCCGGTTCCATGCCCAATATCGCTTGATCAATGAGTGATTCTCTTCCGGAAGTCTCCTTGCAGGGGTGACACATTGGATCTTGGTCTTACAGTCAGACGTAATGGAGGAAGATTTCACGAAAATACCTCCTGCCGAACAAGAAGGGCTCGGATTCAGTGAAATGGTCATTGTGATAATGAGATCGGACTAGTGTGGGACCATCGTTTATGCATTCGTTTGTCCTTTGTGTGGCAATCAGAGCAGGTGAGAGCAAACAGCTGGATATGGCTCTGTTTAGAGTCGATCTCCGCTTGAACTTCATTACCTTCATTGCCTTACCCTTATTTACCGATCCGAGAGTTGGCCCTCCCCACGGAATACCATTTGTCAGACATTCAAGGCAGTCTTGAAGAGCATGGGATCTGATTCAACCGCAACCATGGGCGAAAGCTTACGTTAGCTCTTTTTGTAAATGCAGGTCCCTAGCCCGATGCAGCACCTGGGGTTTCCACTAATCTCTTGGTTGACTCTTTTTTCTCCTATAAATTAATTTGAGACACAGCCTCCTTTGAACCAAACGCCGATGGCAGAAATGGCAGTCAGGATGATAAACCCTCATTCCTACATACAAAGGACCAGTCTCAGAAGTAACTGCAGTACAGGATCATTCGCCTGTCAATGCTCCAACCTCAATCATTCCAACATCCCAAGCCCCTCAATCAACGAAGCCCATGATCGACAGCCTCGAGATTGTTTCCAGCAGGATCAAGCACAAACGCCCCGTAATACGCGGGATGGTAGTGCGCTCGCAGCCCCGGGGTGCCGTTATCCTTACCACCGGCTCCCATGGCAGCCGCGTGGAATTTATCGACGGAATCATGATCTTTCGCCAAACCAATGGCAAGTTAGCCATCGTCGACTGTTACCTTCAACACGGGATTGGGCAGCGCATGCCGTGGCAAGTAAACGCAAGGTGAGCAGGACGCTCAGAAACAGCCTTGGACCCAAAGACCCAGAAGTCTGCTTTCTGGTAAGTGCCCACGTCGTCATGGATGGATCCGAGGCCGACGATGAACTCGCCAAATTGGTAGCGGAGGCGATAACCTAGCGGCTCGAGGGCTGTGAGGTAGAAGTTTAGGCATTCTTGGAATTTGTCCTCAGGGACGTAGAGGCTGGTGTGGTCGATGGCCATATTTCTGTGTTGAGGAGGAGTGATGAAGTTGTGTAGTAGACAGAAAAGAGATGGATGGTGAGGATGTATGAGGAAGGCTTAAGCTTGTCAGCCCCGCTCGGCCTTTATACTATACGATGTGGGGAATTTCCTGACAAGGAACTTCGTATTCTTTTTGGTCGTTGCAGCCTGAATTTCTTGGCGGGTTGCCTGGAGATGGACCTCTGATTCTTGCGGGGTCTATACAATAGTATGTGCAACACATGATATGAGACAGGTTTAGTCGAGATAATTATGTATAAGTATACATACTATGTGGTTGGTGGAGATCATGGGCTTGGACTACAATATCTGGCTCGGACTAGCTCACACCATCCAGCTTACAATCAGCTGGCACAACGCTGCTTTCCGAGGATGTCAACCACTATCTATACGCAATAGGAAAGACACGAATGGCTTGCAATGTACTGCCTCGTGCATACAGTTGACTGACACACTTTTGACCTGTCAGGTGGTTACAAGATCTCCACATGAATATCAGCCCGACGCATTTCATTCCTATGGATGAACACAATGCGGGGCGAGACCCTGCAGCGTTCCTCTTCCTTCTCATCCCAAGCTTGGGATTCTTGTTAGTTTGTTAGATCTGTTCATCTTTTTCACACTTTTCAAAAGTCACTCATGCAAACGCCATAGTGTCATTAATGATCATTCCCATTGGATGCTAAGAAACACAAAAAAGACGCAGATCATATCACATGGAGTCAACATTACAGATTACAGACCCGCCAATTGTTATCATCTCCACCACCAGACGCCGCATCAAACGCGACCATATTCGACGACTACCACTCAAAGATGGACCTGCCAATGCCCAGTCGCATCCCCACTCGAATACGCATCCAGCGTCTTATTCACCGCCTCAACATCCAACCCCCGAATCACCTGATACCCAGTTGGCTTAACCGTCCCCTCCGCCAGCAACCCCTCCACCCGCTCCCACAGCGGCTCAGCTACAGCGGGCCGGGCACTCGACGACCCAAACACATTCATCACCTCGTACCCAGCAGATTTTTCCGTCGAAAGCTTCGACTCATCCACCGGTTCCGACGGACGCAGACGCGCCAGCTTCCCCCTCTGGGAGTTCGACAGCGCCTCGACGCCGATATACTGGCTATCGGGCGGGTTGATCGTGTCGTAGGCGTAGAGCAGCTCATCGCCCACAATCTCCCTCACCGCCGCCGCGATCTCCTGCCCGGACTTCCCGGTCCGGTCGACGATGTGCGTTGCGCCGAGGGCGCGGGCCTCGGCTTCACTGCGCGGGCTGGCCACCACAACGATCTTGCCGATGCCGGCGAGGGCGGCGAGCTGGATCCCGAAGCGGCCGGTGTTGGTGCCGCCGCCGAGGATGAGGAGGGCGGTGGCTGCGTAGTCGAAGGTGGAAGCGGCGGGGGTCCAGGGGGCGGGGATGCCGAGGGCGGTGGTGTCGAAGAGGGCGACGGCGGAGGTCACGAGGTTGGTGGGGAGAGTCGCTAGCTGGGCGTCGGTGAAGGCGGAGGGGACCTTGGCTGAGTAGCGAGCGTCCAGAACGGCGTACTCTTGGAGTCCGGAGCTGTTGTTCATGGCAAGGGCTGTCTCAGAGGCGGGGGCGTCGGAGCCGGGGGTGGGTACCCAGGCTTGGCCGAAGATGTGGTCGCCGGGCTGGAAGCGAGTGACATTGGGGCCTACGCGAGTCACAACGCCGACCACGTCGGCGGCGAGCACCGCCGGGAGATAGTCTTTGATGAATAGGCCGTAGTCGCGCGCTTTTGCGTCGTGCGGGTTCAGACCCGCGACGGTGACCTTGATGAGGACTTGGCCTTCTCTTGGTTCGGGGATAGGGCGCGAGCCTGTACTTAAGGGTTGGCCTATTGCCGTTGCGAAGATAGCTGTTTGATTCTCCGCCATTGTGTATTGAGAGATGCGTGGTAGACACTGTTGAAATTTCTTAGAGTACTGATCTGATTGAGATGGGTATGGTTGCTGAGATATTGGTGGTGTGGAGAGGTGCAATACGTCAAGTTGTTCTTATACCTCGTATGTCGGGACGGAGTTAACTTTACCTGCGCTCGGCCCCGGATTCTTCGTCATGAATCGTGATTATCAATCCATCCGACGATTGATAATCGCTCGGCTTTGGCGCATGTAAGCACGACCACTGATGCAATCCCCGGGGTATTCCTCGAGATGAAGCAGAATTCAAATACCTCGAATTTTCGAAGGGATGAGGGAGTCAATGCCCTCAACATCCCCCAAGGTATTTCTTTCCGAGAAGACAGGTCCCACTGATAGGGATCAATAAGCCCACCATGATGGGATACACTTTCGACTTTGTACTCCAGTCTCACTCCCTTCGGTGTAGGGTCTACTTGAGATGACTATCATCTCTTCATCTCAAAGTTCCAAGTATCATTGATTCTAGGAATCTTACTCTTCTCAGGTGTTTTGACTTTGCTCTCGAGAAGTTGACCGACATGATGGAGACAAAGGCCAAGGGCGGGGCATGCCGTGAGATGCGACCGAGAACATTCTTGGACATGTGAGCTGAACCAGGAGATTTTGCTCAGGCAGAGCTGTCTGACTGATTCCATCGAAAACTATCACAATTCGAGTGATGCATCATTCAAAGCTACAGTTCTTCCGGATACCAGTGTCACTACTTACACTCTTCGATTGTTTCAGCAACCCCGAGATGAAACAACACTAAGCCAATCCTGGCACGGAGATGGAAAATCTTGAGCTGTATATTATATCACAGATAACCTATTCGTAGCATGATAACTGTCTCTAAGTTATAATACTATTTTTACCCATGTTTCACCTTGTGCCTCTACATTCTCTCGAGAAACAGTAACCGGTTTAAACCACTAAGGGTGGCAGCTAAATCACAAAAATCAAGAATGTCTTCTCATCTAGCTTTATAATTATGCTTAAACTTAATTATCTATGATATTTTGATCAATGGAGAGCTTAGTGCTTCTTATATGGCCGAGGCTGCTAAATGCAGTAAACGAGCAGTCTTGCGACTGCAATCTGACTATCTAATTTATCTAGTAGCCTTCAAGCCATCTAATTTAAGGCGATCGGCTTGAGAAATCAGTTATATAGTTATACTAGAAGCTTGCTATGATGAACCGCTTAAGAGACTATATTCTACACTATATAGAGAAAGAACCTTTACTGGCCAAGTATACTATCCTGGTATGGCTTGGTTTCCAGCTCAAGATCATGTTATCTATCTTCGACAGACTAATTAGGAGATACTCAAGCCGGAGAATCCTGGATATACTCAGTAAAGCAATATATATTTATATTGATATCTTGCAATTACCTTCAAAGCTCTCTACTTGAGCCTTTAATCTAGGAGGCTGGCACCAATCCAATAAGACTGAACCTCAAATCTTGGCAGCCACTCTCCGCCTCTCTCTTGAGAAACGACCGTATCCCCATATTAAGGGCTGTTTCATCAAGAACATCTTCATCTGCTCTCAATCGTCCTCTAATAAGTGGGCCTTTTCTTCGACCATCAAGCTCCCAGAGATTGCCAGTCCCTGATTTTGTGAAACAAACAAAATGCAAGTCCATCGGTGTATTTGCGGCAACAACCTCGCTTTGTCCTTCGCGCGCGGCGAGTTCATTGGCTATTTCGAGAGCGTGGCTACTGCACAGCGCATTTGCACGTTGCAGAGGTTGCATGGGTAAGATCTCCTGGTATAGTTTCCCAAGATCCGACTCAACTCCAACAAAGGAGCGAGCTTTGCCATTGAGCAAACAGTGCAAGAGTGCGATAATACCACAGCCAGTCCCTATGGTTTGCTGGAACCATATTACCTCCTCCTCGCCAAATCCATCATAAGCATCCAAAGTCTTATCTTCTTGGGTACGAAAAGTTTCGGAGGCTTTATTAACTGGAAAGACAAGCAATAAACCGTAGCAGGGTCTTGGTATCATTGCGATTATTTCAGATTCATCAATACTATAAATGTCGATGAATTTAACTGTTCGAGAGAGGCCTAGGCGCCAACTCAAGCCCGACATGATTTCTGGGTTGTTTTCTTTACACTAGAGTTAGTCAAAATATGACGAGGCCATTTGAGCTTACACTTGCCTAGTGGAGTGAAGCATTTTCGTATGGCACCAGAGGGCAGTGACAATATGTTTGTAGGTAAATCAGCCATGATTAACTTGATATGTGTCGCTTACCCTAAACCTCATATTGGGAGGCAGGATTTATGAAGACGAAGGAGATGCATTTGGGCTGCGATTATATATAGGAATCGCTGTCACCGGACGAACGGAATAAGCTGGATTGGATGCACTACATGCACTACCTTCGCATTAACACTATTCATTTACTGGCCAAAAATATACCATGGCGAAAGATATTGTTATTGAAGAGGGAGATGTAGCTTTTTTGCCTGGTGGATAAATGGATATTACTTACACGAATCATATTCCGTTCCTGATGCGGGGTCTCGGTCCTGGTGGGGTATATGAATATCTGGAAAAGGCATGACCCGCTCGACCCGCGCGACCCTACACACTCGGACATAGCTGCTGTGACGGACTTTACACTGCTATAGCACAGTAGCCAACTTTGTACTGCTAAAACGTAATTAGATCCCCTGACCAAAGCAGCTTGACATATTCTAGAGGTCTGTAATTCTCTTGCTTATTTTCTGGATACCTCGAAAATAGCAAGCTCAGATGTGTGAGCCTATAGGCCTTAGCTCTGTATAGTATAAACTCTTCTGATCTCTAGATTATACAGCAATTGATGTTAGTTCGCCACTTGCCGTTATCCTAGATAGTTGTATAGAGATGGATAAGTAATCGATTGCCATCTTACATAGTACATGTTCATACAGTATGCTGTAATGTTAGATCGAGCCATTCTTCCATTTAGTGCCAAGCTTGGTCTAGCGTGGTTTAGTGCTGGGGTTAGTAAGATAAACAAAGAGTGTAGGTGATGACACCGGTATCCGGAAGAACTGTAACGTGTAGTGGCATACTCCAGGCGGGCGACGACAAGACCCTTTTCGAGTGTCGCAACCGTAATCCACTGACATTGATTCGGATTCGACGAACCATTTCACCCCCAAACCAAGAACATGCATTCAACCAAGCACCACCAATACTAGGCAACTCCCACAATCACAGCTTCTGTAGGTGTGGATCGATCCAACCAATCTCAAGTGTAAGTATGGTTGTTGATAGCATCCTTGCCACCATAGGTGCGTGCAGTATTTCTCTAAGGGGGGTCCGGCCGGCGACAGCACATCCTGATCCCTGCAGCAGCCACGTCAGCATTATCAGACAGGGCAAGGCTGACATTGGTCAATTCTGATCCAGCCGGAGCGCGGGGAATCTGGGGTTGCGGGGGAAACAATCTCAAATTGAAGTTCGGTGGTTAGCACTGGTTCCTAGACATCAGTCAAAGCAGCCATGGCGACCCACTCGGTGCCTCAAGGTTTGTCAGTAGTAGCACCAGGCACAGAGCTTCTCATCGACCAAGAACAGCAGGTCTTACTGGCGGCCATCAGCACGTTGCTCATGGAGATGGGCGCATTCTGCTCGTCCCCCAGCCATCGCTCGAGGATCCAAATGATCCGCTGTTGTGGCCCGCTTGGAAGAAGTGCTGGGGCCCAGATGGGCGCCACGCTGGCTATCTCGTCCAGCCTGGACTGTCACATCGATCTGTCGGCCGAGATGATGGTGACAATTTCATGCCTGAAGTCCGCGGTTGCGTGGATCTGGACGTGGTGTATTGATGACTGGGTGACGTCTAGTGGGTTGTTGGTGGTATTTATGTGTATGGCGGCTGTGGATGTGGGGGTTTATGGTACGACGGTTGTGTTTTACCTGTATGGGAAGAGAGTGCAGATTTGGGTTCAGACGAGGGACGCTATGGATTAGGTAGTACGGATTTAATGAGGTTGCATTCGTGTGGGTACTGAACATAGGTTCTTACGACGGTATGGATTAAGGCTGACTTAGCGCAGGGCGTAACTAGCACTAGCCTGGGAGACAATATTTACTACACTATTTTACTGAATATAAGTAATAAGATTATAAGAATTAAATAAATATCTCGGTATATAAACTAAATATAGATATATTTATCTTAGAGTATTCTTCTAAGTTTTCCTATTTGTAGAATACCTATTCTTTCAGTACTTCTATAAGTAGTCTAATAGTTATAGATTAGTTGTGTAAAACTACTATCTCTTTATTCCCTTTGTGATAGCATCGCGAAGGTTGAAAGGACTATAGTCGAAGATGATAGAGTAGTTCTGTATTATTAAGACAAATAGGCTATTTTAGTATCTCAAAGATACTTTCGCTGTGACGAGGCCGTCCAAATACTGGTGTAGTGAATATTTACAATCGTCAATAGGCACGCAAGGCACAGTGACTGCTTAGTTCGGAAGTACATCAAGCTAGGTACTGCATGCCGTCTTCGCAATCAACTCTCCATTCACCGCATTCACCGATACAATAGCTCTTTTCATTATACTTATATGGGCTTCTTCCTTCGAAATTTACACAAGACTATACAGCGGGAATCCATCCTCCATTAGACAGACACACAACTTCATTCACCACAGCAACCCAGACCAAGCCACTAGTAAGTAGCCTTCGCCAAGTTCGCATCAAAAGTCGCATCCTTGAACGGCACAATAGCGCTGCCAAAATCGGTATCACTGAGCGCCGTGCTCGCAGCAGAGGGCAGGCTCTCCCAGGCGACGAGCGGCTGCGTGCCACCGACGGTAGTGGTCAACCCACAAGAGTGGTCGAGGGGCCAGATACTCTCGTACTTGATGAGGGGCTTGACACCGTCCACCGAGTAGCTGTCGGTGGAGCAGTCCCATTTGCCGTGGGCCGAAGGACACACGGCCAGAATGTTGTCGGCGGTGTAGACGGTGGGGTCGGAGAGGTAGATAATCACCCCCTCCCAGTCGTGGCGGTGGCCGAGCCCGGTGGAGGGCTCGTCCTTGGGCATGTACCAGCTGTAGAGAAGGGCGGTCGGGTAGGTGTAGTCACCCGTGGAGGAGATGTTGCTGCGGACGTAGATTTGGCCGGTGGAGGAGCTGCAGTCGCCATCCGTGGCACCAGTAGGGGCGAGTCCAGCGCTTTGTGGAGGTTAGAATTGTTGTTGTGGTGAAGGAGAGGGGGTGAGGGATGGTATGGAGCGGGAAGATGCGGGGAAGGGTTGAGGGTAGACTTACTTGGTATCACCCTCCTCGTCGACAGCGGGGAACGGAACACACCCGTTGACAACATACAGGTAGGGTTGGTAGTTGAGATACAGGGTACCCGTGGCATCATCCGGCACAGTCTGGTTAAATCCCACAATCTCATCGCTGGCGATGGTGCCACGCGCAGCCAGCGTGTTGGTGGCAGGCCGAGCCTGAACCAGGGACAGGCCCGTAGCGAGCAGGAGAGCAGACCGAAGAGACATGGTGAATGGGATTGAAAGAAGGAGGGAATTTGACTTTGATAATTAAAACTCTAAAGGTTGTTCCTGACAGCAGGGTTTGGCAGCGATGAGGCGCACCTTTTATGCTGGTCGCAAAGAGTAGGAATCGGCGGGATCGGCAGTCTTTTCCCCCTGAAGAACCAGGTGTGCAGGTGGAGAGAGCGGACATCCGCCGCACAACTCCACCACTCATGTATTCCGAGAACTGCCCATCGGATGCAAGTAAGACAGAACGTGGGTGAAGGATGCAAGAGGAAGTGGTCGAAGGAGCGCGGACTGTTGAGCGGGATCGGTATTAATCCTGCCAGCCACTTTCCTCCAATCAGCGTGGGCCAAAGTCTCACGCCGTGGTGAAGGATCAATGCGTCACCCAACACTCTGCCAATTCTCTGGCTAACAGCCCACGATCACAAATTAGACTAGCTGTAGGCACAACGCTTAGTCTATTGCTTGTTAAATCTTGAAGATGACTTCGTCGGCTCAGTGGACCGTTGCAGCTTAGGGCTGACCGGACGTTGACCCGGATTTCAGCTTGCCGAGGTCAAGGATGAGCATCCTGAGAATTTATTAATTTAGGTAAAATGTGATAAGAGGCTCTCACAGACACCACCAGGGTAACTACCAAGAGGATCATCACCTAGCAAGCATCCCAGTCAGACCATGGCAGCCGGCTGTTGCTGTAGTCCTTCATGGCCCCCAACCTGGCCCACCATCGTCACCCCATCAGGAGCAATCCTTCTCGTATTCCTCGCTCGCCGGATAACCGTTCCCTCTCCCTGGCCTTCGCCTGCAAAGACCTCTTTCAACAGACCTCTGGGATGCACAATGGACACTCTCGCCTCTTCGCCGTCTTCGCCCTCCAACATCTCGCGCACCGCTCGCATCCGGACTCGCCATCGCATCCCCAATCGTGTCCATTCCTGCTCCCGTAACCACTCCAAACTGATTACGTCCATCTTTCTTCCTGTCCTTCCATTCACTAACCCGCCAGTTTCCGACAGGTATACCACCTTCTCCGGACGAAGCGCCCGGGCCAGCGCACTGGCTGCCAGATCGGCGTGCACGTTGAGGACCTGCCCATCAGAAGTCTCCGCCATGCAAGTCACCACCGGGACACAAGACGCACGCAGAGCCGCCTGAATGGATGAGTCTTCGATCTGGACGATTCTGCCTACATGGCCGTACTTGCTTGCGTCCAGGTATTCGGCTTGGAAAACGCCCGAGGTCAACGGGCGGGTCGACACGCCGATACTCTCGAGCTCTTGAGCAAGCTTGAAGTTCTCTTCGAGAAGGGCGGTGCGAGCCAGTGCCAGGGTACGGCCATCAGTGACTCGGATTCCTTCGTGGAATTCTGGCTTGACCCCCGCTGCCGAGAGTGACGTGTTGAGCTGCGGCCCTGCGCCATGCACCAGGATGGGGTAGAGACCGATATGACTGAGGAAAGCGATGGCCGATGCAAGAGACGGAAGGTGGTCGGTCAAGATAGCACCACCCACCTTGATCACGGCAAAGGGCCGCGCAGAAAAGGTTGGGGTGCTGAAGTAGGAGAGGTACTGTTGGGCTGTGTGTTTGGAGTCTATCTGCCGCAAAAGTTGCGCGATCGTGGAACGGGTCGCGGCCACTTGGTCGCTCTGAGTTTGGGAGTAGAGTCGGGCATTTGGGAAGGATTGTAGCAGGGGTAGTGGAAAATTACTTCGGAAGGAGCGCGTGAGTCCCAGGGGGGCCGATATCGTTGGGGCAAAACGACCCATATTGTGGAGAAGACCTAACTAAGGTAACTATAGTAATGTGTCGGGTTTGGGGGCGAGAAAATCTTTGGTAGAATCAGCGAGGATCAAAGACGGCTTTTATCGTCCGCAATGAAAGAGCACAAAACCAGTGCCATCTACGGAGTATACTACGTTAGCAGTTGTTTCCACAATGTGGTTGGGTTGAGATATATCCCTCATTCAAGTTGTACTAAGCCCGCGGTCGGCATGCAACCGATGAAGTATCATAGCCGCGACCGATGGTGGAGTTGGACTGGAGCCATGGTTCCTGGCCTCATGCCAAAAATCAAGTCTTGACAACCACCAGTACTTATCATCCCGATAGACTTCGGCCACGAGACCGTTTCAGAAGGGGTCGATAGTGTTGCGACACTGGATGACACGAATAGCCCGTGGGGCGCCCAAAGTCAGCCATCCTCCCAGCCATGCGGCTCGGGCAGGCACACCGACAAGCTGACAGCAACCAGGAGGTCTGGCAATGTCCTGCAGATCCACGTATCTCATACCGCAACTGAGTTTTTGGAATTTCGCATTATCCTCTTAATACGGATTATCGCATAGCGCGCTCACCGCTGACCCTGCCAGATCTCCAGGCGGCATTTTTTGGTCCCCGCTGGGTGCGTCATTTATTTTCCGGATGTGTCATTGGTCAATCAAAGCACTCTGCAGAGACCTGGGAGCACATGCATTGGGCACTCATGAGAATCTGGCCAGGTTGAGATGCTCAAAGCAACAGAAAGGCATCAGGCGAGAGCGTGCCAAGAACTCGGAAAAAACTGGAAACCAGTTCACGATTTCGTGTGTTCCGCACGAATTAGATTCAGCCATGCTGACGGATGCAGCTTTGATAGGTCTGGGCGCGAGTGTGCGATCGTACATGGCCCCGGGGATTTGCGGTTGCTTACCAAATCGGTACAACAATATGACCATGCTTGATGTGCAGGTCTCATAAGTCGCACCAAACCATTCTGATCCATGAGCCTGTTTTCAACACAACGCGTCTAACCCTCAACCACCATTGCTGATGACGGCAGGCATACTCATGCTGCAAGTTGTAGCTAAGACATCTCACAATGCAGCACGTCTCTCAAACCAAGAACGTCATCGTTGGCAATTGCCGGCGATTCACATTGTAAATCACAAGTCTGTAACCATCAAGCAAGTAAAATGGCCGGTATAAGTGCTGAAAGGACAATGCTCGGCTCATCCATCACGGCTAAGAGGAAGGAGACCGTGGCAATCAGCGGTGTTGTGTAGTACCCGAGACTCAAATAGCATGGTGCAGTCGTCTTGTTGAAAGAGGGTGGGGGAAGCGATCGTGGCACAAGAGTTTACCATGCTTTCCCATGGGACAGCATTGAAACCCTCCAGGCTGGCATCACCGCTTGATCGGACAATGCCTACCATCACTCACCAAAACATCACAGGTTACAGGCGGGGGAAACCAATCTTCAAGCCTCAAACTCATCAGCCTCAGTCAGTTGGCTGTGGCGCAAATCGCAATATGCATTGCGATCACGATTCACGGGCCGACCCACGTTTCCTTGATGACACGGATCGCATGTGGTCATTCCACGGGCATCCTACGCCACTTATCCAGTACATCCTGTACTCTCAAGCAGAAACCGATGGCACATGGGCAATTTCTCCGATCGGAGACCTGATCCATTTTCTGGGAGCAGTGATAAGGTACGTACTGTGCTGCGATAAGCATTGAGTATGTATAAGGGTTGGGGCGACTCCGCGGCCGAGTGGCGCATGGATCGCTGACCTATTCGTGTGGGGCTCCGTCAGTCGCAAGTTCGGCTGACAATGACTCCAAGCCCCTCTTTTAACTAACAGTCAGACAACTGCTTACCCACCAGCTGTTCTCTCCGCTGCTCTTCACAAACTACCTACTGAGAACACCATGAAGGCAGCCGAACGGATTCGCGTCCCCCAAAGGGATGGCTCCCCTCTGCGACTCGAGTTTGCGACCGTCGAGGACCTTCCCGAGATTACCGACTTGTGGTACAATGCCTTCTCACCCAGCATGTTATTTCTCTGGCCCGACACTCCCGGCGTGCGAGAGTGGTGGAATGAGGCCAACCGCCATGACATGCTTCACAAACCGAAATCAAAGTACCTCAAAGTTATCGATACGACGCAAAACGGCCGGATAGTGGCTTACGCTAAGTGGTCCTTCGAGACCGCCAAAGAGCGCGGGCCACGATGGCCCGCCTGGCATCCTGACATGGACGCGGCCACGATGGATCGGTTTCTGCTCCATCTGGAGACCAACCGTGCCAACGCTGTGGCAGATACACCCAAAGATTTTTGTACGTTTGATCCCCCCATTTAGTTTGTGGTGGTTCGTGCGGCTTGCTGGCTGAGAATGGGACTCACGCGACAACCAGACCTCGACATGCTGGCGACGCATAACGGGTATCGGAAACAGGGCGCGGCGCGGTTGTTGCTCGAATGGGGGTGTGAAGTGGGCGACGAGGAGAACGCGCACATTTACATCGATGCCAGCACCGACGGCCAGCCAGTGTACCGGAAGTTTGGCTTCGTGAGCAAAAACGATCCCACGACCGATCCCTTTGAAGTGGCAGCCATGGTGAGGGAGCCGGGGTGGAAAGCCACATGACGCAGTTGGATTTAGAAGTTCAGTGGTTTGAGGTAGACAATGGCACAACAGGACATTTCGAACAAAACGATAAGCAAATTCCAGTGAAAGTAAACTTCAATCGTGCAACGGTTACGATGAATCGTCGATTGGGACTAGATCAAGGTCTGGTTAGAAGCCATTTAATAAGTTAGCATTCCGTATTTCTCAATACGTCCCGTGTTGCTCTCACCTCTCGCTTGCCGCTTCTCCCCATCCGCTTTTCGCGTATCTGTGTTTCAGGCCTCAGGCCGGAATTCGAAAAGCCTTACGTCCGTGGTTCGCAAGGAGCATCAACGTTCACAAACCCTCACGGAGTAGTCAACGATTACTTCCTATAAATTGGCTGATGATCCCACAATACACTGACCATTTCTAGTCTTTGGCCTGGCTGGGGTTGTTGATTCAAATGGTAAGAACGGCAGATTCAGACAGATCGATGCAGAACCGCAGCGCATAGAATTCGTGCGCCGTGTTACATTTGAACAGGAAAAGCACAAACAAAAGACCACGCGAAGAGGCAGGATGCATGTTCGGACTTCGATTCGGAGCACCCTTCCTTCACGGCAGCCTATAGCCGCGATCATGAAATGCAGAAAAGCAATTTATCATTATTCTTTTCCTGTACTTCTGCCCGCAGAATCAGTCTTTAGGCTGAATATATAGGAACACCTTTGGTGCGAGAAGGCCTTTAGTGAACAAAGAGAATCTTGGGTCTAGAAAAATATTGGCTATAGAAAGGTCTTCCTACCCTAAAGCTCCTTTCTTATTGAAAGTTTTTTTATTAGACCTAATTGATCTTCTTCATAAAGTTAACTATTCCTTTTTTTTCCTCTTTCTTTATGGCTCTTTCTATCTCTTGATACATTCCTGAGTAGAGTAAGAATAACAAGACTTACTCTCTGGGTAAGAAGTAAACTTGACTAATATGAAAAGATAGTCAATTTAGCAGTCAAGGGACTTGGTCACGAAAATTGCACTTTCACAATAGCGGCTAGAGGCTGCCGTACCCCTTGATATACTGCACTGCGTTTGAATCTACAGCAGCACAATCCGAATAACCACGACCTGGCAAGGTTTGCGATTCATGATAGTATTGGTCTGTTTTTATTGCGAATACAAAAGATATAACTATTGAGCTACCTAAACCGCGGCGCACCCCGGAAACCCTTCGGGAATGAACAAAGAGACGCAAGCGCCAGCTCCGCCCACCAATCCTCCTCATACAGACTACGACTAGGATGAATCAACAGATCGGTGTTTGAGGTGCGAAAAGTGACGAGATGTGTCTCGGCGCTCCTTTCTCGCTAGATTCGCTACGGGGCCTGCACCTGGTTCATACTTCCCTCCTACTAGGAATACTCCGGTCCCTCCGTGAAATGAAGAAAAATGGGCTTCATCCAAGAGCTATCAACATTAGGCTATCATTGCCCACAGTCCTGATACATCTCGTAAATCATGGCTTATGACCCATTGGCGCTAGTTGCTGCCCGACTGCCTTTCCTCTCAGGCAGGAAGATCCCTTGTAAGGCGTGCCTCAAGCTCTGTCTTTGACAGCACTGTCTTTGCCGTCTCCCCATAGATCCTGTTTCTCGATCTCTTTCTCTTGAACGGTGCCCGCATGCAGGTCAGGTTTCTCACTTAGGGAACCCTTTCCGAAGAGCTCTTTAGTGAGAAGCGCGCTGTTTAAATGCGCGTTGTTGAAAAGCTCGTCGTTGAGAAGCTCGCTCTGAATCAGTGCCGTACTTCCATTCATCGGATCGACGTCCACATTGCCCTGATAGTCCGCATCAGCCAACTGTTTACCTACCGCTCTTCATCCTCAGCACAACACTCACTCTGACGATTATCACTGACCTGTCTCGGCTCCTGCTTCAGCTTTTGTCCCTGCCCCTGCCCCCCTTCCAACAGCTGGGCCCGCTCACTCCTCAAATAGCACCCGGTCCCACATCCAGGACACCCAAACGCATGCACCCGCCCGTTCTGAATCTCAATATCAAACATCTGATTCAAGCAGGAATCATGCCACGTGCGATAGGTGCACACCCGCCGCGGACACCACCAGAAGCGCGTGTCGGGGTCTGCGTGGGACCGGTGCTGACATAGCCCACATACAACGTCCTGCGGTGCAGCGGCGATGTATGTCCACGTAAGGAGGACTTCTTGGGCGGCGCGGACATCTCGCGGGAGGGTGGCGAGGTAGAGGAGATTGGGGTGGACGGTGTGCAGTTTGCCTAGGGTGGGGGGGTTGTGGCTGGGTTTGGTTGGAGTGCTTGTAGTGGTCATGTTTGTGAGCAACTTGCGGGAACTATGAGAATGAGGGCGAGGAGAATGGCGCTGGACGTGCTGCTTGGTGGGTTGTGTAGCCTTCTTGGTGGTGGTTTTGGGAAGGCGGAGGTCCCCCACGGACAAGGGGGCTCTTATGTTGGGGGGATTCATTGTTGCGAGTGAATGAGCTTCGTGGGTCCGCTGGGGGAAGGTTGCTAGATAGTTCTTTCCAGCGGTAAAATGAGTGTTGAAGGTGTCGTTATTGTGGTGGTAACAACAGGATTGTTGCTTTTCGTTGCTTCAGGCAACAGGGTTGGTCCTGAAGAGGTGAAGGAGTGAATGTGTTTGTTGAGGAAGCAGGATTTTGCACCTTGACGAGAAAGAGAGGGCTTGCAAGGAAGGTGAGCTCCAGTTGAATCGGAGAAATTTCTAAGAACTGGTCGATCTCTCGAATGAACGCGTTTTCTTGCTCGAGAGACTGTCGGGATGAAACTCCATGAGTGTCAAACTGCTTTTACTCGTCTCATGCCACTGTTCACCTTTGACTGAGATATTGAATCAACGGACGATGCACTTTCTGCACTGAGTGAGATTAATGTGATGGTGACTGCCAGAAGATATCTCAGAATACTTCGGCCTAATTACTTGAAACTGGAAGAAAGCGAATAGTTTCAAATGTAGGGTATTATTTAAGCGAAGGCCAACCGAAGGCCATTCGGCGAAGGATTCTTGTGCGACAGCATGGCAATTTGGTTCCTTGCATGCTCTGGGTGTCACCAACCTGGTGACTATGTCCTTTTGATGGACTGACACTCGACCATGTAGAGGGTAGTAGTTATGATATGTCACGGATATGCCAGATGGAATCCGTATAAAGGCAGAGTGGGTCCTGGCGGTGAGCGGACCAACCAGGACTGAAGCCTCCAGGTTCAATCGTCAGGAGGATTGCTCCATCCGGAACGGATTCCACTCAAGGTTCAACTCCTTCAAGGTTCATTTAACAACGACACTCTCCATCTTATAGTCCTCAAACTCATCAACACCCCCACTGCTTTTAGCCCTACGTAGATCCAGAGACAAACAGCACAATGCCCCTCTGGCCCCGCATCCAATTCCACGAAATCGGCGACCAATCCTGGTGTCCAGCCTGGCTTCACCAACACGAGCAGTTCACCCTCACCCAGCTCTGGAACCTCCGAATTCCCTTCTGGAGCCGCGGCAGCCTCGCGACGCAAGCCTGCGGCGTCTTACACGAGCATTTGTCTAATCTCTCCTCCTACAGTATCATCGACTTCTGCGCCGGCGCCGGCGGGCCTACTCCCGTTCTGGAGCGAGAACTCAACCAACCCCTCGAAAAAGCTGGCTACGCGCCCGTGCAATTCCTACTGACGGATCTATACCCCCATCTGGAGGCGTGGCAGCGCATCACCAAGAAGCAACCGAATATCTCCTACGTTGCTGACCCGGTCGACGCGCGCCTCGCCCCGCGATACGCCGACAAAGATCGCAAGGAGTGCCGGGTGTTCAACATCTGCTTTCATCATTTTGCTGATGAGGATGCGAGAGGTATTCTGAGGAGTGCGGTGCAGGAGGGAGATGCGTTTGTGTATGCCCTCGCTTGTTTAGCACAGTCCACGCATGATTGATTCATGATGTCCATGGTGCTAATGGTATGTAGGATCTTTGAAATCACCTCCCGGGATGCCTGGACCTTTCTCTGTTCTCCGCTAGTGTTCTTCTTCAACTTGCTGGTGACCCTGCAGGAGTATTGGTGGTCGCCTCTGCATCTGTTCTTCACGTACGTGGTACCGGTGACTTCGTTGTCTCTCTGGCTCGACGGGTTGATTTCGTGTCTGAGGACAAGAACGCCAGCGGAGGTATCGGTACTGCTGCAACAGGATGGGCTGGAAGTTGGAGGGTGGAAGTTTGCCAGTGGGCAGCGGACGGTGCAGTGGCCGTTTATCACGCTGCATTATTACGTGGGAGTAAAAGCTGCGTAGGTGTATGTTGGCATTCGGCTCTGGCGAAGTGGTGTGTTACGTGGGTCGACTGATAGAATTGCTGTGTGGTTGTACTTGGCTCGATCCTAAGTGAATTTGTGTTAGCCAATACAGCCAATTCAGTTCCAGGGTACGTATCATGGCTCTTTGGTCGCTGTGCTTCCTGCGGTTCTGAGTGGGACTGGTGGCATTCAGTTGCCGTGATCTTCTTGTTGTACTAGGAAATAGCCTCGTATTTCCTCTTTCAGGCCCTTGTTCTCACTTAAGAATCTGTGAGAGTAGTGTTCATTTGGTTCAGATTGGTTCAGATCAAAGCTCACTATAATTGTTGTTGGGTTCGTTGGACATCCTGGGGAGGTTAGGATAGGCGCGATCAGAATTCGGCAAACGTGCCAGACAGTGTCATTCTACTCATTCCTTCAATTGTGCGGGGTAGTGCGCAAGCACAACTTGAACGTTTGGAAGTTTGAGAGGCTGGCAGAAACTGGGCTAAAGGCTCTAACATGGTGAATGAGATGTGGAGTGGGGAACGAGAAATGACATACGCAGTTCGTTTGTTATGCAGTGTTCATGGCGGATCCATTCCTGCGGAGTCTGACCTCCCGACCACCTCTGTATAAAGTGCAGTGGCTTCTTCTTATCATCTCCCTCTATCTTTCTAATTCTCTTTCATTCATACCCTGCATTGTTATTGTGAATTGCTGCCACTCACGAGCTCCTTTTCCTCACAACTAATATCAGTTCGAGAACCTCATTCTACCGACTCGGTATTCTTCCTCCAAGGAAGAACATGAAGAACTTCCTTGACTCACTGAAGATGACAATCCCCCGTCCAAGTTCGTCATTCCATCTGCGTTCAGATCTCAGACGTGACTGACGAATTAAACAGCGACCATCCTCCTTCTCTCACGCTGGTGGGCAGGCCCTCTTCACCTTCGACCCCCAACAAATGCGTGACGTGCGACACGAGGACCGCATCGAGGACCGCATGGCGCTGCGCTCGCTGCCACAGCTGCCACTACTGCTCGCCAGAATGCCAGACAGCCGACTGGCCACACCACAAGATTCTCTGCGAGGCCTTCACCGCAGTGCCCCCGCGCCCCTCCGCCCAGCACCGACTCGCCATCCTCTTCCCGACAGACAGTTTCATCCCGCACTCCATCTGGGTGTATTTCCAGTGCGTTTCTAACGAAGAGAAAGAACACCTCTTTGGTTGACCCAAGCTGGACGAAATTATAGGCGGTTCGCGCATCTACCTTATGCAAAGAAAGGACCCGGTCCCGTCTCGGGCACTACATTTCCCTGTGGTACGATGGCAACTCCGCGTTGAATGATTCCCCGAGATACCATGCTCTGTTCATCACTGCGGTCCGGGAACTGGTCGGGGAGGTTTTGATCCCGTGGGCTGGACAGTTGGCTCTGCTTCGAGGGCGTGGGCGCGACGAGGATGAGGATCCCAGATACTATGCGGAAGTTACCCTCGCTGACTATCGTTATCTCTTGGGGGATGCTGTGAGTTAGTCCACGGTATCATTCCGCATCCACCGAGCTGGATTCGTAAAGATGCATTCTCGGGTACGAGAGGGCATGGGCATGTCATCGGTAGAAAACTGTTCAAGTTTGTTGGTGCGTCTTGAAGGTTCGATGTTTGCTTAGCTATTGTTCTGGTAACATTGACTATTCCAAGGCAGAGAGCATTGACACTCTGAGTGCAGGAAAAAACCATTAGCATAAGTATGACCCCCAAGCCCTCTCTCTGTACCCCCGGAGCGACCAAGCAACCCAAGCAGAACGGAAAACTGGCCAAAGCGCCCTCCGCCCCACCCATCAATAATCACCCCATCGAGTCCCCATCCCATCACCCCATTTTATCCCACCCCCCTTCCACCTCTTCTCTATCCATACCCACCCAAACAACCCCAAGATGCAATTAATAATTATAGGCGCCGGCCTGGCCGGCCTCACCACGTCCATCACCCTCGCCCACCAAAAGTCTGATTTCCGCATCCTCATCCTGGAAAAATCCCCCTCCATCTCCTCCTTCGGCGCGGGCATCCAAATCCCGCCGAACGGGACGCGGATCATGCAGTCCCTCAACCTCCTCCCGCAGCTTTTCGGAGCTGGTGCAGCAAAGACCCTCCAGCATGTGGATCTTCGGCGCTACGACGATGGCCAGCTGCTCCGGCGCATGCCGTTCGGAGAGGCTGTTGAGCGGGAGTATGCGGCGCCGTGGTTGGTGGTTCATCGGGGGGATTATCATCGGGTGCTGTATGACGAGGCGATTAGACTCGGGGTGGAGGTTCGATTTGGGGTTGTTGTTCAGGGGGTTGCCTTGCTGGGTAAGGAGGGTTCTGAGGGGCTGGAGGTGCAGGTTTGTGGGGGGGAGGGGGTGAGAGGGGATGTGGTTCTTGGTGCTGATGGTTCGTAATTTTTTTTTTTCTTTCCTTTCAGGTTTCTAGGTGCTGGGTTGAAGGGGATGGGCTGTTGAGCAGTTTCTAATATGGTTTTAGGACTCTGGTCGCAGGTGCGTGACTGGGTGATCGGAGGCTACACGCCCCAGGAAACCGGGGATTTAGCGTATCGAGCGGTCATCCCCAAGGAGGAGCTGGACGCACTCCACAGTGAGGATGTAGATGAGCTGTGTCGTCGGGTGGCGGTCACCAGCTACATTGGCCCACAGAAGCATACCATCTTCTACCCGGTGCGGGGCGGCAGGGAATACAATCTGGTGCTGTTGCGGCCGGATGATCTGCCGCCGGGGAAGCGGAGGGAGGAGGCAGGAGTGCAGGAGATGAGGGAGAGTTATGCGGGTTGGGATCCCACGTATGTCTTCCAATTACCTGGTGGTGCTTGGGCTGCCTGGATGAAGTGGTATGCTGACCGCGTGCAGACTCGAGAAGCTCCTCTCGCGAGTCTCCTCTGTCTCCAAGTGGAAATTAACCCAACTCCCTGAACTCCCAACATGGACAAAGGCACGTCCAACCCTCCTCCTCACTGCCATCCCAGTATATACTAACCAAGCACAGGGCCCGATCGCTCTCCTGGGCGACGCCTGCCACCCCACCCTGCCGTACCAAGCGCAAGGGGCGGCGATGGCAGTCGAGGATGGCGCCGTGATCGGCAGACTCCTCGGGCTGCTGCAGGCGCATCTAACAAAGTCTCGATCAGAAGGCAGAGAGCTGTCTACCTCGGACAGCATCGCCTCAATCCTAAAGTTGTACGAAAATCTCCGGAAAGCACGTACCACGCGGAATGTGCGTGCGGCGCGCATGAACCGGTCTGTATTCCACCTTCCAGACGGGATTCTGCAAATGATTCGGGACTTTTTCCTGGGGTTTATGGGTGTCACGAGGGAGAGTGACTGGACTGGGTTCTTGTCGTGGAGAATGAGGCAGACGATGGGGTTGGATGTGATTCGGGACTGTGAAAGGGCGTTCGAGGAGTGGGTTCGTCAATCGGGTGAAACAAGGTTTAGCAAGTTCCGAGTCCGATTTGGAGATGAATCCTGGGTTAGATAAGTTGTATAGGTCATCAAATCTACGACAGCAACTCCCCCAGAAGCCACGAGACACAGATTGCGGAGAAAAGCGTGTTGCAATGCGGCGAGAGTCTTGCATCCTACACGGCCTCCTACCCAAGCAATTGAGTACCGAGCTATACTCATTGCTGTCCGTTGAAAGCGTCAATCCATTCGCTTAAAGCACTGGAAAGTGTGCAACATGTCAAGCACAAGCCATATTCTAGCTGCCGCTTGCATTATAATCCTTTACCCTCTACGGTGGCGAAACAGTTGGAAAATGGATGTAAGATTCAAGCCTTAGTTATAATTCAGCTAATGTACAAATAGTCCAGCAGACTTTCAGATCGACAAATCGAGCTAAAATACGCTACACAGCACTCATCTAAGCAGAAATGCACTGGTAGTAGTAGGGGTTGTAATGGTGGCAAGTGGCACCCTCAACACAAGAAGTAGCACCAGTCCAGTTGATACCACCGCACTGCCCGTACAGAGACTGAGTGGCACCGCTGCTGCTGCTAGTGGTGGTGGCACCAGAGCTGACGGAAGAAGTCTGGGGCTCGGGGACAGCAGCCGGGGTGGTTGCGGCAGGAGCAGCAGGAGTGACTGTCACCAAGGTGGTCCAGGAGGAGGGCACCTGCACGGCGATCTGGGAGTAAGAGCTGCTGCTGCTGCTGGGCTGAGCGATCTGGGTGTTGGCATCGGGGCTGGAAACGGCGGCAGCGGTGGTGGCAGCGGCACTGGTGGTAGCCACGGCAGCCGAGGTAGCAACGGCGCTGCTGCTACCGACAACAGCAGTTCCGGTAGAGGTAATGGCTGAGGTGGACTGGCTGACAGAGACAGCACCGCTGTACTGGGTGGGACCGGGGACGGTGTAAGTCGACAGGGAATCGTAGATGTTCACCACGATACCAGCCCCATCCTCGGTGTAGAGCTTGGTGCCGAGGGTACCAGCGGGCTGGTCAGTACCGGTACCAGTGATCTGAAGGTTGAAGCACTGAGGGTAGTTCTGAGCACCATCCTCAGTACCCGCACTGTGAAGAGCAATAATCTCGTGGCGGAGAACATAGTTGCCGGGGGCGATGGTCGGAGGGATCTCGACCAACCAGCTGTTGTTGTTGGCAATCAGTTCATCGTCTCCCCAAGTGCCAGGCACGGTGGTATCATTGAGCAAGCCAACGCCATCGATCTTGAAGAACTCCAGAGTAGTCTTGTCAACAGTCTCACATTCACCGTCGCAGCGAGCAAGGTAGTCGAGGACAGGGCCGTGGTGAGAATCGGGCCAGGCGGTCCACTGAATGTTGATCTTGTCACCAGCCGCGACAACGACGTGGGCCTGGGCGTTGGTGGCGTTCTCGTGGCAAATAATGTCGGCGCTACCGTACTCACTGGGAGAGATGAATCCGTTGCCAGTGTTGGGGGTGGTCCAGGCGGCAACCTTGGGGGGGTCGGACTCGTAGGGGAAGGTGTTGATATCGAAGCCCTCGTAGTAAACACCGTTGACGACCAGGTTGGTGACGTGGCCGTGGGCAGCGACACGAGTGGCCGACAGAAGGGCCGTGGTCAAGAGAGACAAAGACTGAGCCTGACGCATTGTGCTGATGGTTGGAAAGAAGAGATTTGGTGAAGAGAAAGAAAATTGATTGAGAGAATGGAATTGGTTGATTGGAAGAATGAGCGACCCAGCGCAATGAAAGTGAGAACTTCAGTCAATGAAGCCCGAAGGAAAGAATGTGATGGAGGCGAAGTAAAGAAAGAACCTGCTGATGAAAATAGATTTAGAAGGGTGGTGATGGAAGTCTTTATAGATTGTTCGTGGTGGTGATGCCCTTGAACGGTCAGGAGGCTAGACCCGGACCACGGTCGCACTGGGCCATTTCCGGAGGCGCCGAAGCAATTAAGGTGAGGGTGAAACTGTCGCATGGCGGTTAGGGCAAGGGGTAATTGTTTTAGGTTGGCCGCCGATGGGGTCGATAACGAAGCTATTCCTGCACTAGTGTCTTGGCTGTCGGAGGTGAAACATGTGGTTGCGGTGACATCTCCACGGAGAAATCTCTGTCTGTTTCGGTCATGTCTTTATCGGTCGGGTCAAACGTGAACTGAATGAAAACGACACTTGCGTCGAAAGAGAACGGATGTTCATACTGTCTGACGGAACATTGCATGAACTGCCGTGGCGGCAGACACAGACAGGCAGCAGTGGAGAGAGCTCGACCGATAACTCCGGGCTACATCCTAGCTCGGACGTTGCAGCCCATTTGGGATCAGGTTGGTCCCAGCTCACCCAAATTAGGCTGTTTTGCGCCCTTCCCAGCCGCCAATCGAGACCCCTCGTCCCTGCCCCAGTGCGGATTCTGCAGGATGTGTCCCTGGCAAATTTTACACCCTGTCAGGCCCATCCGAGCAGCCGAATTAAGCCTCCAATTGGACGTCAAAGTGACATGTGCCTTGTCTGCCATGCTATGGTCGAGCCAACGGATGCTGTCCGTCACCGGTTGTTTTACTCTAAAAAGGGCGTTGCTCCACAGCTGACTCGGACACGACAGTGGAACGGTGTGATGGGTAAGATTCGTGCAGCGCCAGAGGATTGTGATGCATTTGTCGGTGTTTCGCCCGGACCACTATGGTTCTATCCAGAGTGCTACGAGAACTCAACCGAATGAGTCAGGCCTCTCGTGAATGAAAGAGACAGACATGTGAGGAGTCCCCAGGTCAGTAAACATGCCGGATCCCTTTCATTTGTAGACTTGTCCGCGCGGTACTGTCAGACATTTACCTGTAACAACCCTGCTTCCTGACAAGATGGCAAGCGTGCTTCAAATATGCATTTGCCCACCGACGCGGACGCCTGACTCATTGTGGCTTGCGTTATCGAAATACATGACTCGTTCGATGGCCCAAAGCCAAATGTAGCTCTATGACAAGAGCTGCTGCATGGAGAAAGGGGAAGAACGGCGATTTGGGCGCGTGTGCTGGACTGGCGACAAATTCATTTGTGTCGCCCGGCCGTGGGACCTGCATCGCTTTCGTGATTAAGGACTTACTGCTCGAACCTGTGCGGGAAGTCTCTTGCTGGGCGTTCCATTTAGCTTGGACCGTTAACCGCCAAAGCTCCTCTCCGAGTATCTCGACCCGCGCGGAGATGTATGTGCCTTACTCATACCAAGATGAGAGCCGGAATACGGTGTTAAATCACGATTTGCAAATTCTTCATGCAATTGAACGCGAGATGTTGTCGAACAGATGAAAAGCTTTAGCCAGGACTCAAAGTGGGAGCAAAAGTCAGAAACGTGTTTGCTTTCAGCTTTGCACTGGTCACTTGACTCGCGGTTACATGCTGTTGCTTCCTCATTTCACCATAAAACAGTCTATTCGGCACCTCACCATCGTTCTTCGCTTGCATCCGCGCTGTTGACCGAGGCAGCACTTACGCCTTACACCCTGCTGGTGTGGAAGTGAATGAGTAAGTCCAGAGTCCGGGTCCCAGCAGTAGATGTGGAATGGCTATCCTCTTCACCTATATCGCATTGAGTCTTGCCCTCCTTTCTGACAGTGTCATCTCTAGACTTTAGTGCTAGTCGAATCTAGTGCGCCCGAAAAAACTCCTCTAAACCACGAACCGTAAGCCGCTCCTCCGAGACTACATAAACAGGAAGGGAGAGAGATTTGCCGGTCGCCAGACCTCGAGTTTGGACTGCGGCAGCTCAACTAGTGATTTTCAGGGCGCCAAAAAGCTGCACGGAGCATCATGATCTCTAGGACTGTGGAGTTTGAATATTGTTGTGATCAGAGTTCGATGAATCATTGTTAACCAAGGTCATACTCGAATTTCACCGGCAGAGAGAGCTATGTCCTTTGGAAGTGCACACGCAAAGGTTTATGAGACCCATGGCACCACTCAGAGGTCAACATGACAGGAGGATAATGAATTGTTAGTCTAGTCGCGTGCTCTGGCCGCCATCGTCATCCCGCAGTGCCCAGGACCCAGATATATATAACTGGTAATGGCTGTGATACCGCACTGAAGATTTCTTGGCCTCAACAGACGACAGTCAATGAACTACATCAGTAAACAACAACATGCTGGCTTAACCGCCTATCGCGGCGTTCTCTCCCTGGTGAACCCCGATACAATGGAGCTGACCGCATCGGCACTTGAAGTACGGCGCCCGATTGTGTCACTCCCGTCATTTCCCACCTGCCGCGCAAACCTGCAGGGGGTTCCGCCAACCACAGCTTTGCAGTCCAAGCCTTCGGGCTCCACCAAAGCCTGTTTTGGAGCATTAAGTCACTTCAGCCTTATGAGTATATGACATCACTGCCAGGGGCTTTTTTCACTCCCCAGATTCTCCGGTCAACAAACACCACTTTTTTTTCTTCCTCTGTCACTCTTTCTGTTTTCCCAGCAACCATCAACCCCCGAGGACGAAATCAGCCCGCGCAGGACGCATTGCATCTTGTCTTCTCACAATGGCACAGGAAAAGCCCGCCGCAATGCATTGCGAGATCGACCTCCTCCAACTCCCCATCGTCGACCGCCTCCCCACTTCGGTCGAAGGTACGAGCATCCACATTCCAAGCGTAACGCTAAACTCCTCTGACTCCGCACCAAGACCACGACGAAGAATGCATTATATGCCTCGAAGACCTAGAATCCATCAAATCCTACCGCCAACTACCTTGCCAGCACTTCTTCCACCAACCGTGCATTGATGACTGGCTGACACGGCGCAATGCAAGCTGCCCGCTCTGCCGACGAACCTTTGAGCACTTGCGCCGACCGTGCCCGCCACCAACAAATGATGTTCCTGTCATGCTTAACAGTAGTTGGGGTGCCGCCCGGCCTGTGCCGCGGTATTTGCTGGTCGTGGGACCAGCCCCTGGATCACCGGAGCTCACGGTCCCAGCTGTCAGCACAGAGGCAAGAGAGCCCGCGCGTCAGTCCGTACGGGCATGGTGCAAGAGGAAGTTAAAGGTCGGACGTGTCGCTTGAGATGAGTCGTGGAGGTCTGCATTGGTGGCAGAACCCCAGGTGTTGGTCGGCAAGGATACAGGCGTTGGGATGCTTTATGGTTATGACTGAACGGCTGGCTCTATCAGGTTGACATGATACGTCGGTCACCTTCGTTGCTGTTGCTTTTGATTTGTCTTTTTGAGATTCCCACTTCTGTCATATGTCGATCCTTGTTATGATGCCAAGTATCGAAATTCCAGTTATAACGACATTCCTTTGCCGATCTCTCCTGATATTGAGTACCACTGCCAATGTGCAGCGGGTCTTGTCTTCTCACATTGGGAATGTCGGGGATTTTTCCCGTCGTCATTGCATACGTACCAATGCAAGGGGCATGTAACATCAAAAGACACACCCCTCCTTTTCTTTATTTATACTAATCTTGAGGATGGCCCTTGATCCGTATCGAATGTCGCGCTTCTGGTGCCAGGAAGTTAGGAATCTCGCGGAATCGCCGCCATGCTCCTGAACAACCCCAAGCAACACCAGGCTCCAGATGCTCAATTTACCGATCGGCAGCGTCCTTCGGCTAAATCGCAAGCCAAGTCCATAGTCAACCCCGCGGAGAAGAGCCAGCCCGATTGCTCGCCAGGCTCTCAATTGGTTCACGACTGCCCTCCGGACGGCGGTGTCGTTGCCTGGTCAGTGGTCCTAGGGGCCTGGTGTGCCATGTTCTGCAGTTTCGGATGGATCAATAGTCGGTTTAACAAGCACCTACATCCACCTGTCCGGAATCACCACTGACACAGAGTATCACACGATGCAGGCATTGGCACCTTCCAAACCTACTACGAAACCACGCTCCTCCCTCAATATCCTCCCAGCACGATCGCATGGATTCCTTCACTGGAAGTGTTCTTCATGTTCTTCATGGTTCGTCCCCCTGACCCATTTGCTTGGATAGATAAGCACTCTTCCCCACACACTGACCGAAACACCCAAAGGGTCCTTTAGTCGGCACTCTAAGCGACACCGTCGGTGCCCGCCTCGTCATCCTCGCAGGCTCGACCCTCCACGTCTTTGGACTCCTCATGACCTCCCTGTCCACTCAATACTACCAAATCCTCCTCTCGCAAGGCATTTGCAGCGCAATGGGCATCTGCGCCATCTTCCAGCCATCCATGAGCGTGATTCCCAGCTGGTTCCGGCGGCGGCGGGGGGCGGCGTACGGGATCATTGCGTCAGGGTCGAGTGTGGGCGGGATTGTGTTTCCGATCATGACACGGAGGTTAGTGGAGAGGGTCGGGTTTGCGTGGGCGATGCGGGTGGCTGCGTTTCTGATATTGGGGCTGTTGGTTGTAACTTGTCTTACTGTTCGATCGAGGGAGTATGCAAGTGTTGCGGATGGGGAGGAGAAAGAGGAACTCAAGAAAAAGCCAGGCATGACGCGCGAGACGATGCTCAGGCCCTGGCGCGAGGTTAAGATGCGGTTCCTCGTGGCGGGATTTGTGCTGCTCACGTTTGGTATATACATCCCCACCAACTTCGTGGAGACGGCTGCGATAGCGAGTGGGATGAGGGAGGGGCTGGCGCAGTACGTGGTGCCAATATTGAACGCAGGCAGGTATGTGTATAGTCTCCTCTCTATGGCCATGGTTGGGGATGAAATTGTTGACGCCCGGGGTGCAGTCTTATCGGCCGTATGGCAGCAGGCTTCCTCTCCGACCGTGTCGGCACGTACAACATTTTCCTGCTCGTCTGCACGCTCACGGGCATCCTGATTCTCGGGCTCTGGATGCCCGCCACCACCAACGCAGAGAACATTGTCTTCGCCGTGCTGTATGGGGTCACCTCCGGCGCGTACTTTTCGCTTCCCCCGGCCCTCGTCGCGAAGCTGGCGCCCCTGCCGGAGATGGGGTATTGGACGGGCGTGCTTTACCTTTTCTCGTCGATTGGAGGCTTGACGACGAACCCTATCGCTGGGGCGATCTTGGCTCGGGACCAGGGCTCGTATACGGGCATGAAGGTCTTCTCTGGCTTGCTGCTGTTGGCGGGGACGATGCTGGTGCTGGTGACGAGGGTTCGGCAGACTGGGTGGCATGTGAGGGCTAAGTTCTAGGCCTTCACATGGTGGTTTGGTTAGTCCTCTTCGTTATGCCTTTCCTTGGATAAGGCTGATTTCAGGCTTCTTTGATCAAAGTACGTGGAAGCGACCAGAGACTCGAACGAGACCCTTGCTGAACATGGCAGGTCAGGGTTGGAAGTCTTCAACGATGTAATGCAGTCATATAATCTCTGAAGATCTACCGCCAGCTACTTTACGAGGCAAGCTCAAGGAGGTCTTTGACACAGTGACAGCGGAAGGCAGACAAAGAACCCATACAAGCTCCATGGAACGTGTGCACTCATTGTCTTTAACAACTTGACAATCCGATTGAAGTAAACAATGAACAGACGGAGTTGACATACTAGGAGCCCATCCCAACACAGCGCAGTGGTCAGCCTTGTAAGTATAAATCCAGATGCAAGCGCTTCGCAAAAACATGTAGCTCATATACCATCCTTCACCAACACAGATAACAACGGAACATTGACAGAATGGCACCCGTCAGATCACTACAACTCATCATCCCCCGGTCCCGCCGCACTCTAGAACTCTATATCTTCTTAGTCGACCGAGACACCGGCGCCGGCGACTCCGATTGGAGGCCGGACTGGTTCAAGTACCAGAGAATACTCGCAGAGGGATTCTGTAGGATGCGGGCACAAAATCCCGACTTGAAGGTGATCTTTGGCGAGGTTCATGCTGGTCGGTGGGGGAGAGTGTACCGGGAGCTGCTGGTGCCCGCCGGAGGGGTGGAGTGCGAGTGCGTGCAGTCATTTCTGCTCACAGATGATGCAGGGGAGAGGGTCGTCAGGACGAAGGAGTTGATTCGGGAGCTGTGGGGACCGCTGTGGGAACCAGCCAGGGACGAAGACTCGGGGCCTGCGACGATGATGGAGGAGCCAGAGGACGTGGCGTCTCTACTGGACCGACTTCTTCTTCTTTGAGATTGCGATGATGCAAATGGCTCTTGATTTTCTTCTGGAATCAGTGCTGAGCTCCTTGTCTGAATTGGTAGTTAGTATACAATGCAATGTGGAATGACTTTTTTTTTCTTTAGCCTTGAAAATCTAGCATGATATAGCGTCTCTCGCGCCCTACAGAATTCTTTTCTCTTTGCTTGGCTCGTTCCAGGTTCGTCGGTGGAAGGTTGATAGTTGACACCCAATACATACACGTCTTCACAGTGTGAGCCACGAGGGTCCATGAAGTAAAGCGCCCAATCTCAGCAGATCAATGCCAGGTGTAACACAGCAGAGAATTGAATGAGGTAAAATAGAATATTACAGATTAGTACGACTGCACTTTTTTTACATAGTGCTCTTCATCGTGCTCCAGCCTGAGGCGGCAAGGCAGTCTCGCCTGCACGTGCTCTCGCGGCGGCCATCCCTGTCGGAGCCGATGCCAGTCTGGCCTTTCACCACCCACCAACATCTGTCCTTGCAAATCCGTCAGTATCGCTAAGTCAATGGAGCATCTACCAAGGGAGCTAATCCTCTCCATCGGACGACTTTCACAAAACTCTACACTGTGCTCTCTAGTCCGGTGCTGTCGACGCCTCCATGACATCCTAGAGCCGCTGATCTACTCGAAACTCCGTCTGGTGCCGCCATTGAGCAATATCTATGTCTCTTTGTTTATGCGCCTATGGCGACATCCTGATCTAGCACGTCTGGTGCGCCTTGTGGAGATTCATCTGCCAATCTTTCGTCAGGGGCAACCCCAATACCAGCTGAACGAGGATAAGGTGCCTGACCTTCCTCAATTCATCCAGGACGTGCAGAATGAGTTGTTCGATCCTAAGGATACGCGCCCACGTGTTTGGTGGGGTTCGAAAATGAGAAGCGGCGACTGGAGTTTCTGGCTGGGGGTAATGCTGGTCCGGTGGACACATCTCGAAAGCGTCGAGTTTGTGGGTCTCTACAACAACCATGCTATTTGCGATCTCCTGTACAGGGCCGGAAAACGGCATCGGCCGTTCCACGAGACTCCGCCGTACCCGCTGCTGCGGCGGGTTGCGGTACGAGATTGTGAGCAAGGGTTCGATCTCGAAGAAGTCCTAACCCCTTTCTTCTACTTCCCGGCCGTGGAAACAGTCGATGTGGCCCAGTTGTGGGAGGGTCGCGGAAGGGAGGAGGACTTGCTGTCGTGGCGGCGAGAGAACAGCCACGCGCGTTGCCCGGTCAGGCGGATAACCATTCGTTCACTGAAGCACTCCCGCGGCACCCTCACCTGGCTGGCAGACTGCTCCGATCTGGAACATATTTCGTTGCACATTGCCTGCATCTATGTGGGTGACCCTGATATACGGTTTGGCGTCCCGTTTGACCCTCCGCGCTTCCTCAGAGCGCTTCTGCCGTTCACCGACAGACTTTGAGAAGTCTGCACGTGGAGTACGATGAAGTATACAACGCATTACTGAACTGCGACGAGCCGCCGGAACTCTACTATGAGGACATCTATTGGCTCACAGAGGACGAGAAGAATCTAGATCACTGCAATGCGCCCGTCGATACGATGCGCGGATTCGAAGTTCTCGAAGATGTGTCGCTTCGACATGCTAATCTCCTGCCACTCTCAGATGGACTTTATCCTCCAGGTATTCTTGTCCATCGACTTCCGCGATCTCTTCGACGTCTTCAAGTTTTCGACGTCCTGAGGAGTCGCAGTGCAGATCTGCTATCGGAAATATTCATTCTTGTCTCTGCTAAGTGCGAGGACTTTCCCTGCCTGGAACACATCCAGCTACCGAGCGAGTCAATCAACGAGACGTCATTCCATTCCTTAGATTTGCACTGCAAGAAGTTCGGTGTGTCATTGACAGGCAGTCTTATGAGACAGTAGACACCTCGCAAATTATACCCTCAATTCTATTATCTACCACCCAGTCCTAGAACTTACAAACAAGTCAACAAGCTGCTCAACCGGTCCAAGACCACCGCCTGCACTGTGGCATCCGCATCCAACTTATCGCTGGCTACTCCGACCGACACACTCGCATAGCACCCGTCTGTGTCCACGACTGTGGTTTCCGTGGGCAGACGCGTGGATCCACACGTCTCGACATCATCCGCCGTGATCAAGGGGATCGCAGTGTGAATTCTCGACAGGACAAACTTGAAGTCGTCCGCCGTCGTACAACTTTCCCCATCCGTCACGGCGCCAAAGTTCACATTCAACCACACATTATCCGGCAGGTACGGGGTGCCGCCCGCAATCAACTCGTCGGTCAACTTGGTCGCCAGTTGCGCGTAGACTTCGCTGTACAGGGGCACAGAGGAGACGTTCCAGGCCGTCTGCGAGCCGGTGGCGCCTGAGAAAGCGATCGCGGGAATCCCCGCTGTGTTGGCCGCGTAAGTGGCCGCACCGACGGTCCCGGAAAAGAACACCTCCCAGCCGAGGTTCGAGCCGACATTTGGACCGGTGACGGCCAGGTCCGGAGCGGAGCCCGAGAAGTACTTCGAGGCAAGGGTGTTGATGCCGTATTTGATGGCGGTCACTGGGTAGGAGTTGACGTAGTTGAAGCGCGGCTGCGAGGCGTTGTAGCCGTAGGCGGGGCTGCCGGCTGGGCAGCTGTCGAACTCGCAGGCGGAGGTCAGAGCACTGGGGGTGGCGTCGTCGGAGCCTGCAATGTGGATTAATACTCCATAAGACAAGGTGCTGTGGGAGGGGTGTTTGCGATGCAACTCTTACCAGTGCCGCTCTCGTTCTCTGCGGGCGCGGAGATCACCACCGAATGGCCCGCAGCAGTCAGCGAGTCGTAGAGCTCGCGGATGTTGATCTCAGCCCAACCATCATCGTTGGAAGAGACGATGTTAATCGCATGGGCAGAGAGGGTCAGCAGGGCGAGGGCCAGGGAGAAATGCATGGTTGCGAAGGTGTCTGAAGCGCGGGGGGAATTGGTCTCTGAGGTCTGCGATGGCCGGTCTATATACGATCATACGAGCGCACGGAGTAACTACTCCCTGTCCGCAAGAATAGCCGAGCTGGCTGGTCACCAATCCTTCGACTAGACCATTCAGGAACAGCAACTCCACCTGTCGGTAACCGAAGATGTTGTCAGTCACCAACCAGTGCAGCCACGTGCAGAGTAATGCAGTGTTCGGCTATATTGCACCCCCCCGCCGCTCTAAATTAAAGACTACGGAGATGAACGGACAAGCCGTCGAGGACATTCCAAGACGGGAAGTGGATCCTAATGCAGGCACCAGAGCCTGCAGGAATCCATCAGTGCTTCGTTATTTGCACACATGCACTCTTCTTCATCCCCTGACTCATTAGCAGCTTATGCACTGCACGGAAAACCTGGAACCGAGATGCAGAACACTAGTAACTATTCACACGGTCCGTCCCCAAACCCTCTCGGCTAGTCTCTGCACGAGCTGCAGTTTCTCCCACATCTTCCCTTCCGTCATCCCAATGCCGCGACCGCGACCAACACTCGAGAAACCACATTGCGGACTCACCCCCAACGTGCTATTAAGAACCTCCTGCCGACTGCGGTATTGACCCTGAGCAATCACATCTGCTGCCTCGTACACGCGGTTCTCGAGCTCGTCCAGATCCTCGAGGGCCGGGTCCTTGGTCGAGACCACTCCCAGCACCGCGTTCTTGCCCACAGGCAGATGGCGCAGCGGCTGGAAGTCGCCCGCTCGCTCAGTATCGTACTCTAGGTAGAAAGTGTCAAAGTCCAACCCCGTGAACAGACGCTGCGCGATTTGCTCGTAGGATCCGCTGACAATGTGAGTGGATTGTGGCATGTTGCCGCGACAGAGATGGATCCCCACGTGCAGATCCGCCGGCCGACCGCGCAGACACTCGTTGTGCGCCCAGATGTACAGGTCCAGCAACTCGTCCGGATTTAGGCCATCCGCCCGACAGCCTGCGCGGAACTCGTCCGTCAGGAAATACAGCAACTGCGGGTCGTCCACCTGCACGGACCGCAAGCCCGCATCGTACAGGGTGCGGAGCTCCTGGGCGAACGCCTGCGCCAGATCGGCGAAGTACTCCTTGTCGGTTGTGTAGGGGCTGCTAGAGGTGAAAGCCGTGCCGGCGCGCAACTGCAGGTGCTGCCAGGTGATTGGCGGTAGGGTGAACTTGCACTCTTTCCACTGGGCCGGCGATGGCATCAGGCTCCGCAGGTACTCCCAGTCCGCCAGGTAGGGGCTGCGGACATAGCGGATCTTGCCAACTGCAATGACTGCCTCGCGCATGGTCATTCCCAGGCGAGCCATGACGTGCAATACAGGTAGTCCGTTGCGTAGCCCCGCGGGAACTGGCACCTCGACGATCCGGGTGCCCTCGAGGTGCTCGAAGAAGCCGGCGTAGTAGATGCTGCGCTCAAACTCCCCGGACATGATGGGCCGGACGTTGCGGTCCAGTTGCTGCTCGACCACTTGGGCAATCGATTTCTCCGTGAGCTTCTGGAGTTCCTCAGGGATGGGCTCTGTGCTGTATGACACGGTCTGTCCTGCGGCGGTGCGTGCGGCGATGAGTTCGTCGGGTCGGAGGAGAGATCCAATTTGCTCTGCACGGAATGGGGGCGCCATGGTGTAGATGATGCGTGCGTGCGTTTCTTTACTGTGTGAAAGTGTCTGGATAGTGGTTCCAAGATTGATGACTTCCTGTCACCGCAAGGTGGGGGCTTACAGTATAGAAGAAGCTGACGTTTGAGGGGCCGAGAGCCGGGGGTCAGACGTGCGGAGAAGCAGGTGCGGAGTCGCTGCGGATAAAATCATTTCCAGCACTGGAGTTTGGTTATAAGCCGTCCATATCACACAAAATGGCAGCAGCTGGTCTATTGGAGCCAGAACTCCGACAGCCAGGTTGTCCACGGTTGAGGGTAGCGTCCAGTTTGACATTACGGGAATAAGCCTTAGGGCTTACACCGTCCCTAAAGGAAGCCCGAATGGGACCAGTTGGGACCGTGACTCCTTTCGCACCTGGCCATCAGTCCGAATCCAGGATCTCTATGAACTGTGCCATGGTATACTAGATGATATCTTCAAGGATTCTGAGGATCCAGTATTCTGAGTATCCAGTGCAGGGTGTATCAGTCAGATGGGCTGACATCAAGCACCAACCAATCTTGTGCCCAGCAGCGGGGGTCCGACGGGATTGTTTCCTAGCGTCGGACGCACAGGTGAAAGTAAGCACACACCGTGGGGTGATAAGACCACATTACCCCTCGCTCACCCACCTCTCTTTCCTGTATCTTCCACACCACCACAGCTTCTTCAAAATGATCACCCAGGACTCCATCGATCAGGTTCTCGAAACCCTCCCCCTCCGCTACAGCGGCCCCGGCGGCGCCCTCGCCATCCTCCAAAACGGAAAGCTCCTCGGCCAACGCGTCTGGGGCTACGCAGACGTCGCCAAGCGCATCCACATGGACCCTGACACGCGGATGCCCATCTGCTCCATCACCAAGCAATTCATCTGCGCGCTGCTACTGGACCTCAAACAGAACCCCACGCCCGCGATGACAGCTAGAGGCACGGACATCGACGCTCAATTCGAGGACAAGCTGCGCGAGACGCTGCACCCGGACATTTTTGCCGCACACCCGGAGCTGAGCGTCCAGCACCTGTGTGACATGCAATCCGGCCTCCGGGACTACTGGGCGATGACGGCCCTGTGGGGCGCGGAGCCCGAGGGCGAGTTCCGGCTCGCTCGCCAATATGCGCCCATGCTGACGAGAACAAAGTCCTTCCAGTTTGCCCCAGGGACAGAGTACTCGTACTGCAATGTCAACTTTCACGTGTTGGGGCGGGTGATCGAACGGGTTGCAGGCGGCGAGCTGGGTGGGTTGCTCCGAGAACGGGTGCTGGCGCCCGCGGGGATGGACACAGCGGTCCTCTGGCCGAGTAACGCCACGCTCCCCGGGCCATGCATCGGGTACGAGGGGACCGAGCAGACGGGGTACGTGGCGGCTGTCAATAACATGGAGTGGTCCGGCGATGCCGGACTGGTGGCTTCGTTAAAGGACATGATCGCCTGGGAGACGCATCTGCATCGCTTGTACGCAGAGGGCCCCGATAATTGGTATGCCCGAGCAGCGAGCAAGCCGACCACATTTGCAGACGGCACCACCCCGGCAATGTACCATTTCGGACTGATCCATGAGTTTGCGGACGGGGTGCACACGGTCGGACACTCTGGGGCTTTGCGCGGATGGCGCAGTCATCGCCGCCATGCGCCGGAGGCGGGCATCTCGGTGATCGTCCTGTTAAACCACGAGGCCTCCGTGGGCCCGGCGGTGGAATATGCCTTCCAGGCTCTTCTGCAGAAGTCGGCGCCGGAGTCTCCCATCGTCGAGCCGACTCCCGCGTGGGAGGGGAGTTTCCTGGACCGTGACACGCAGCTGGTGGTCCGCGTGCGCCCAGGCTCCAAACGCGGTCAGCTGGTTCTGGCCTATGCGGGTGCCGATGAAACTCTCCGCTTGACGGACCCCTCCCACGGCGAAACGGCGTGGATGAAGGCGAGGATCGACGGGGATGTCCTGCACGTGCACCGCATCAAGGAGAACAGGAAGCTCGAGGCGCGACGGCTGGTGTCCCGGCCGTCGAGCTTCCAGGACGCCTCGCTCACCGGCGATTATCGGTGCGAGGAGGTGGACTCGGTGTTTCACTGCTGGGGCGAGGCGGGTCTGCTGTACGGCGAGTTCGATGGGTATCTCGGCAGGGGAACCGCGACAGTCATGCGGTACGTCGGGGATGACGTTTGGGTGCTGACCTGTCCGCGCGGGCTCGATGCGCCTGCCCCTGGGGACTGGACGGTGGTGTTTCGCCGTGGTGAGGATGGTGCTGTCGAGGGGTTCACGATGGGATGTTGGCTGGCGAGGCGGGTGGAGTTCGTCAAGCTCAAGTCTGCCATCCACTTAGAGGATATATAAGAGAGAGCCCATGGTGTGGACAGTTACGAGTTCCGCTTCATCGAATAAGTAAAAAAAAAACGATGTGTCTGCTAGAGATCAAATCTTGTCGCCGTGATATCACTGTTCTATCGTGTTCAACCGTGATTATGATGCTGAGAGCATAGGGTGCTTCGTATCGTACTTTGGACATAGTCGTGATCTTGTGGTAAGCGGGGCATTACAGATTTCGGCTGATGTTAGCTCACAGCCTGGATTTGAAGCACTTACAAGCCTGAGATAAGTGGTAAGTGGTAAATCTATTATCTAGTTATCGCACGCTGGGATGTCATCTCTGCCTGAGACAGAAAGCCTCACGTGCTCCCTAATGCCATCCTTAATGCAGCTTACTATATCTCTTGTGGTGCACAAGGACTGCATGCAAAAGAGACATCGATTGGGTGGCCCACTCCACAGTGGACGGGAGGCTTGAAGATGGTACCTTATCTCCAGCCAATAGCCAGGAGGCTGACCGCGAGGCCTGCTTTTTTTCAGTTTGCATGACGCACCTCGAGGCTCGGCCGTGCCCGGTCCTGACTCTCGTCCAATCGATCCCAACCGCTCACATCCACTTATCCCCTGCACTTCCTCCGTCTGGGCGTCTGGCACATATTCCACCCTGATCCTTCCCCAGCTTCTTCCTCCGTCCTAATCCTCACCCTTCCCCTCGTGCAGATGCAGTCCAGCACACCCCTGACTTCCGCCCACAACTATATGCCTCCCCTGCACCACGCATGCCGCGCTTCCTCCCCGGCAACACGAGCAACAACGATACGACCGGTCTCGAGCGACCTCTCGGCAACCCTCGCGTCGAGGAATATGTCTTCCCCATCCTGATCGCGCTGGCGTGGTGCAATGCCCTCGAACTCGTGGTGCTGTGCTTCAACACCTTCAAACGCTACGAGGGCCCTTACTTCTGGAGTCTCCTGGTCGCCTCCCTCTCCATCATCCCCTTCGGCCTGGGCTACCTCCTCAAGATGTTCGATCTCACGGCCACGCACTTCTACCTGGAGATCGCCCTGTCCGACCTCGGCTGGGCCGGCATGGTCACCGGCCAGTCCCTTGTGCTCTGGTCGCGCCTGCACCTGGTCCTCCACAACGCGCCGCGCTTCCTGCACGCGCTGTTCTGGCTCATCGTCCTCGACGGGCTGCTGCTGCATAGTAGCGCCACCGCCCTCGAGTTCGCGACCAACGCCCTCCCGCACTCCCCGTCGGTGACCTTGGGGTTCGGCGTCATTGAACGCATCCAGGTGGTCTGGTTCTGCCTGCAGGAGTTGGTCCTGTCCGGGGTGTATATCTTCGAGACGGCGCGGCTGCTCAAGTTGGATGCTGGGGGTGGGAGTCGTTCGCGGCGTCTGTTATCGCAGTTGCTGGTGGTGAATGTGGCGATTGTGGTGCTGGATGTTTCGGTGGTCGCGATTCAGTATGCGGGATATTTTACCTTCCAGGTTACCTTCAAGGCGTTGGCGTATAGTATTAAGTTGAAGCTCGAGTATGTGATTTTGGGGCGGTTGGTGGATGTGGCGCATCTTAGGACGCAGGGGGGAGGGCCAAGGTTTCGGATTTAACGGCCGAATTTTTTTTTAGGTGGGGGGGGGGGGAGAGGTTTGCTGCATTCTTGATAGAGTATTCAATGTATACCGTAGTATAATAGCTAACTTATTATGACCAGTAAATCAGAGGAACAGTTACAATTCGCGAACATTTAGCTACCAGCTAAAGAAAATATCCACCCATCTCTCACCTAACCACCGTAACTTACGTAGAATCCAATGATTGGAATGATTGATTTAACCGAGAAGAAGATAAAATGCCAATGCTATGACGTCCTCAGCCCACACAGCCCACACAGCCCACACCACTGACCCACACACCTCCCATCCACCGTGGGGTAGTTAGCTGTAGCTTATCACGAAAGTTACTGTGGGAGTCTTATCCATGCTCATGGGTGGTTCTGACTTCATGCATCACGCGCAAAAGTACAGTACTCTGGTCCAGCACCGCGTCATCCCGACGCCCCCCCCCCCCTCTCCACATGTTCCAGATCCAGAGAAGGGAAAACCGGGGGACCATGAAAAGCTTCCCGTGATTGCTTGCTTCGGTATTTCCGAGGGGACTACCTATCTTACTCCCTATGTCATAGGAGCTCGTATCGGAGTGACAGGGCTGGACGGGATGATTCAGCCTGTGTTGGGGTTTTTCAGAGGGGAGGTTGCCGGGTACGGTACACCTCCATCGAAGGGGTGTGCAACAGGGTTAACTACAGTAGAGGGGAACTCTGCGGGACCACGGCTGCCTCGCTTGCGAGAGCTCGCTGGGACAGCCACACTGTGTACTACTATCTAGCATCTACGAGGTTGATCGGCTGGAAAGAACTATCAAACTGAGTATAGACATTCAACCTTGCTCTGCATATTGCGCTCGATAGTAGTATGGACATTCATCTGCATATAGACAATCCCCAAATATAGACACAACAGAACAATCGACAATATACACATTATGTTCACGGTCGGCTCCTCCAAAACTATATACAACACCCAACCCTCACTTCTTCTCCGGTTCAGCAGCAGGATCCACCTCCAACTGCTGCGCCTGGACCATCGTCGCGATTGCATCCTCAGTCTTCAGGTACGTGTGTCTTCCCTGGATGAACCAGAACCCCACCGCCACCACAAGCATCACCCCAAACACAGCAATCGCCCAGTTCATATCGCTTGCGGAGGGATTGGGGGCGCCCGGGAAGAGAAAGAAAATCGTCGTGACCACACAATAGATCACACTGATCCAATTGATCGGTGCGCCCCAGCGGCCGAGGTGGAACTCGCCGGGCGGGAGCTTGTCGCGGCCGACGATCAGCAAGGCAGCGATGGGCAGGCCATAGGAGATGGTCAGGGCGATGGTGCTGACGCTCAGGATGGCCTGCAGCACGGTGTTGGCGAAGAGGTAGAGCACGCCCACCAACGCGATGAGCACCCCCTGGAACCACAGCGCGCGCGCCGGCACCTTCCACACCGGGTCGACATGCCCCAGATACCCGCTCCAGGGAAGGCCACCGTCGCGCGCGAAGCCCCACGTCAGTCGGGAGGCGGTTGTCAGGATGCTGATGCCCTGGCCGAGGCCGTTGAAGATGAACAGCGCCAGCAAGGTGGCGCCACCCTCCAGTCCGACCGTCTCGAGCATCAGCTCCATGAACGGTAGGCCCGTCGCGGAGTTGATCACCCCGTCCACGTCCTGGATCGAGAACAAGCACACCACCATGAAGATGAATCCCGTGATCGCCCCCATCAGCACCGACAGCCAGATCACGCGGGGGGCGTTACGCCGCGGCGCCGGGATCTCCTCCACCATGTGGATGACCGCGTCGAAGGCGGTCAGCCCGTAGGCCGCCTGCACCAGTCCGATGAACCACACCACCCCGTCGTCCCAGCCGGTCTCGTTCATCCACGCCCCGAACACGAAGGACGCCGGCTGGAAGGAAAGCCCCTTCCGGACTCCGACCGAGATGAGCAGCGCCAGCGAGAGGATCACAAACAGCGCCGTGAACCAGACGCCGACAAAGTTGTTCAACCAGGGCAGGGCCTTCTCCTTGCGACACCCGAGCAGGTTGATCACCGTCAGCAGCAGCACACACCCGATATACACGACAAACTCCAGCCACCCGGTGCCCGCCCCGCCCCACGAGTTATCAAACAGCACTTTCATCCCCAGCAGGAACTCCGTCATGAACGCCACCTGCGAGGCCGTCAGGGTCCACCACCCAAAGGTGTTAATCCAGGCACACATGTAGGAGGCAAAGCGGCCCAGCGGGGTCTCCCACAGGCGGAACACCCAGTAGGCCTGGCCCAGCGCGGTGGGCATGCTGCTGGTCAGCTCCCCGAGGGAGACGGCAACGCAGAGATTGCATGCGGTCACCAGGACCAGACCCCAAAGGATGGCGATCGGCCCTCCATTGGTGAGTCCGCTGTCGAGATCCTGGGCAAAGGTCGAATAGGTGCCTGCACGATGCCTCAGGTGTCAGCCGGCCTCCATCTCTCGGCTAAGCGTTGAAGCGAGCGAGCGGGTCTCGGGCGGAAAAACACGGACGGCGGCCACATTGGAGGCCGATGAAACACTCACCTAAAACACAAAAGGCAAGCGACAGCATGCTCCAGATATCGAACTTGCGGGTCAGGACCTGGTCATGGCCCATGGCCGCCAAATCGTGCGCATCTTGGGCACTTTGGTCGCCCGAGTCGATCGGTTTGAGAGTGTCGGGGTTTTCCACGTCCATCCGGGAAGGGGGATGAATTCACACAAAATACACAGTAAAGATCTCAGGTGGAACCGACAGGGAGTGCAGTTGTTGATTCGGGAGAAAGACAGTTAAAACAACTGTCCATTTTCTGCTGCTGAGGCAAGTTTGTAACTCTGTTGGGGGGGGTGCTTTGAGGGGTGCTTGATATATGAACCAAGCAAAGGCGCAGCAGCAGTGAAGTGGCAGTCCTCGGGTTGTTTCCCCCTCACGGCACAAGCATTCTGGGGCCCAGCAGCACAGACAACAATGAGTAAGTAAGGGAAAGGGAAAGAGGGTTATCAAAGTCTGACAAAATAAGAAGAGGGGGTGGAAGATAATCAATGAATTGAGTAATTGGTCATAACTCAAATCTTTGTGAGTGGACAGATCGAAGATAAGTTGGTGATAAGCGAATTTTTTTTTTTTCTCTCTCTTGCTCGGTTCAAGGATTTGCGGGGGCGCTTGCGATTTGCTTAAACTTACAGTAAGGCTCGGCAGGACTTCCCAAGTGGGGTTGGCAGCTTTTGTTCAGTGTTCGACCAAATCCACCTTTTTTCTCTCCAACGTTGACCGTGCTTGCTGCTGTTATGCAGACATGTACTCCGTGGATTTGTAGACAACTCGATTGTAGTAGACGAGAGGGTGGACAATTGCGTTGCTGGTACATACAGCCCCGGTTCACCTGCCCGACGGTGACCCCCATGACATCACAGCAGCACTTGCTCTTCCGCAGTAAACAAACGACGTCAGCCCTTTCCAGATACATGGTACAGTATATCCAGTGCTGCGTAGCTGTCATCCGCCCAGATTCGATCTTGACGGATGCAGCAGAGAACCATCCATTCCCGCGATCATCTCTTAGACCCGATTGGGCAGGTGCATGCGGTGGCGATAAGTGCGTCCGGGGAACCGATTGTCGATCGCATCCATGGCGATTGTTATCTCCCCGTGACCCATACCTAGTTATATCCGTGTCCAGCAGACCCATGACATAAGTGGGTTGATCGCATTCTGCTCATGATCGTAGGAGATCCCGGATGGCTCAGAAGCCATTCTTCCGGCCTGAGAGGTTATCATCCCACGCAACAGTCCACAATGCATCGGGATATCTGAATCTCGCTGTGAAACCGGGGCTGTAGCAAGCCCAAACTCTATAGCCCTCAATCCGGGCATAGCAGGGAGAAAATGCGGGGTTGCCCTAAAGTGACGATTGGAACCGTCAGGGACACGGCCCTGTCCGACACCGGAAGGGCGCATGTAGGTTGCAGCACAAAGAAGCTGCATGATAGGTCCAAAACACCGAAGATAGCAGGAAAAATAATCGCCCTATCTTATTGTTGGCCGTAGGAGGAGAGGGACTAGTAGTCCGTTAGTTTGAGGCTGGATAAAAGCTCGGCTAATCCGTCGACCTCTGCACAGCTTGCTGAGGGATATTTGAGCGATATTCTTGCCTACAACCATACCATGTGTGGAAACATTATCCTCTCGTTTTTTGCCTTTTCATGACATGCGGCATTTAGATCGCCAATCCGAGTTGAAGTTGACTTTGATGTTTGATCCGCCTTCAAGGGAAATGTTCGCACAGCTTGATATTTCTGGCAGTGTCGTCCGAGTGACTGTCTGTGTTGACTGCATGTTCTACAGTGGCCGAGATACGGCGTGAACCAACGTGCTCGAGTTAGACCAGAACATACTACCGCTAGGATGGATCCATGATCAACAACACCGAGGAAAGGAAGTCCCGTCAAGCTCCCACCAGGTGTTTATTACCTGGTGTGAGTCATACCTTCAGGCACACCATTGTATGAACCACAGTAGGTATCATGATAGGTCGGGCTACTCCCTTCCCTCGCATCTCCGTCTAAATCCACCCCATTCCGCTTCGCCCAAGCCACATGCCCCGAACACCCAGTGCCAACTTTTCACGCCTCACACATCCTTTTGTCGGCTGTTAGACCTCGGCGTATATGAACAGAACATAGATATTCTGACGACCCCAATATGCAAGCCCATCGCCATCGCCGTATTGATGCATTGATCAATACTGCCAAGTCCGAAATTACGAGACGGCATTGTGATTCGTGACACGGACCAGCTATGACAGTTGTAGATAGACTTAGCATATACTGTCAATATATGCGCGAGCCTCGAATCTTCATCGATGTTGCCAGTCCTTGTCAGAAGCATATTCTTGATGTCAACCAAGATCGCTCTATGCGCAGCCACAATCAACCACCCGCCCACTATTTCGAAACTCGAGGCGAAATCTTCGAGAAGAGAGAAGTCTGCTTGAATGGCAGCAGGTGTATGGTAGGAAGATGTTGTAGGGAGGTGTGTTCCTGGAACTGCGGTGGCTTAGATCAAGGTGGATGTAGGTCCTGCACGTCTTCCTCTTGCAAGCACTTGCAAGACTGACCCTGCGACAAGTCGGATGGGACCTGGGCTTACAGTGCCAGTTCAAGGGTAATGTGTTCATTGGATGGGCTGTGATAATCTTGTTAGTTGGGCTTGGCTCATATGTCTTTGACGATCTGGAAGGACATCACTTACAAATCATCTAAGGGCTACACCGGCGAGGCTACGCGTCCACCGTCCACACCTCCTACAGCACCGTCACCTTGAGCGACTCGACACCCAACGTCTCTGTCGCAACGACGCTTACGTCGATGTCCTCCACTAAGTCCACGTCGCCTACGACATCCGCACTCGCCTTGACCAGCCGCAGGTTGTCCGAAAACCTCTACTCGAACCTCCGCGGAACAAACGACCACTGTGATACTATCGACCACCGACCTCCCACCTCACTCTCATCTGCCTCAGTATCTTCCCCCACTGCACCAGCGCAAACCCAATCTCCCACTAGCGCGGATATACCCCTTCGCACGCCCAGGAGATGATGATCCTTGTTAGACTCGCAGTCGCCGCTTCTTGGTATCTGCTCTAGTTAGCCCCCCTACAACCATCTACCTCTTATTCAACTTGAGCAATTCCCCATACATGCCCCAAGTGACGCACTCCCTCGATCCAGAGGTAGTACTAATAAGCTCACGACTCATAAACCAATAACCAACTCATCACCTCGCCTACAGACTAAGCCCCAATCCCAGGCCCACTGAACCCCGACAACCCACCATCTAAAGAGCAGCAATCTGACCACCCAGACACCACTAAACAAGACAAGCTCATCCGCCCTACAGCCCGTTTGCTCCCCCTTTGCAAACTAGCGATCGCATCCCGATCGCATCTGTCCTGATCGCCCCACTCTATATACACATCTCCCTCCACCAATCCCGCGCTATCCCCCATGTCAGGACTTATGCTGGTAGCCTAAGCCCCGGGCAACAGTGTCACTCCCTAATCCGTGCTGCACAAAATGACAACGTGGTATATAGAGCCAAGAGGAGCAGGGGGTACGGGCGGAGCCCGTCGAGGGGGAGATCGTATGATCGGGTTGTTACGCTGGCATGGCACCTCCGGGAGGTGCGGATATTGTTGAGGGAGTTTGTGGGTATTTATGGCGGTGTGGGTTTGGTTCGTGAGTGTAGCGTATCTGGGAAGGGGTGACTTTTGGGTAGCAGAGGGGAGTTTAGGGGGATTAGTTGTTTTGGTGCTGCAGGGGGGCAAGGGGTCCGGGGGAGGGTAGGGCTATAGGTTGTATGGCAGAGATGATGGTATTGTTGGTTGTTGGATAAGTTACTGAAGAAGATATTGAGCTAGCTGGATAGGTGAGTTTGAGGTTCGTGGTTGTGCGTTCATATGAGTGATAGGTTACCTTAACTTGAAGGCTGTTGCTCTCAGTTCACGTCTACCATCGAAAAGAGTGAGTTATATACGATAGTACCCCAATCTACTACTATACAAAGAGCTGATAGTTTCGTCCCCTGTCTTCAAACTCAACATCAGAACGGAGTATAGCTAGCGATAATCTCTCGTGATTTACTCAATAAAAAGCCTGTAAGGCCAGTAAGCCTTACGAATCCTCTGCCTCAGGCAGTCAGAATGATCAGTCAGACTCAGTGGATCCACAGTAAGGACTGACTCATGGGATGCATCGGAACTGTGGGCAATGATAGCTTGATGAGCTTTGTTTCTTGGTTAATCCCACTCTGGGTCATTACAGTGCCCCAGAGTGAGACCGTAAGCTATGCTCACTCACCAAACACGCAGAACCAGAACAGACCGGCATCGGGTTTACACATAAGCTTGCCGACAGGGGTTTCACAAATCACCCAAAATAAGGCACAAAGTACTGTATTCACCGTCCGACAAAGAGAATCCACCCCAGATCGATCATCCGCCGAACCATGGACCACCTTGTCGAAGGACCGACCCCTTTAGGTCTAGCGTCATCGGCGGGCGGATGGGTGGTAGATGCCAAGACATCACGGGATCCGGTGCAGTGGCATACTTACCGCCTTCTGCGCGTCCAGATATTTCTGCCGCGGCTGTATGCATAACTTCATGCTAGCATCATTGTTGCACAACCAGCGGTATGATGGTACAGATTCTCGAGGACATGGAACACCGTAGAAAGCTGTGGGGCTCGGTTGTTGAGGCAGCGGAGTGTCCTAAGTGCAATGATTAAGGACGCGAGAACTGCGTATGTTACCCATCTATACCAAGATAATCCTGGGATTTTCATGGCGCTACAAAGTAGATATCAGAAACTTATATCTCTTATATTCTTATGATGAACTTTGCCTTTAGAAACTGTCTCCCGCTGGGTCGAAGCTCCTCTCTCGTTGCTGTGTTCTTGCAAACTATGAACAATCGATGAGTGATCATATGAGCATGCTGTTGTTAATCCATACTGGGGTTGTATCTACAATATATCTTCCGCCCGCCGTTCCGATAGAGCACACCATGATGATCCACAGACCCCAAACCTCGTCCGATTGAACGAGATAAAATACTATAAGCACAAAAGAAATCTGAACTCGAATAGATCAAAGAAGGTATTGCAAAAAGCTACAACGCATCCCCAAGGTGACCTGATTTGTAAGCGCGGTGGATCAACAGAAATCCCCACCTTGGCACCCGATATAAGGACAAAAGAGGACAGACAAACTGTTCAGACAGTGGTAAAGAGCAGTCAGGCGTCAGGTATAAGCCACCCAGCAGAGACACAACTACAAACTCGGTCATCCTCCTCATTCCTCACGCCCTCACCTCAGTCCTCTCTCAATCACCCCTTCCACCGGCCACCCGCACCCCTTACGTCATTGCATTCACTTCCCTCTGGGAAGTACTTGAGTTACTGTACATAGCAGGTCAAATGCCTCAAATCTGCGTCTTCCCCGCCGCCGGCGCCCTTGGCACCAGCACGATCAAGCACCTGGTCAAGCTGGTCCCGGCCTCCGACCTGGTCCTCGTGGCCCGGAAGCCCGACGCGCTGGCGGAGCTGGCTCGTGCGGGGGCCACCGTCCGTCGGGCCGACTACGAGGAGCCCGCCACGCTGGACCGGGTATTTGACGGGGTGGATGTGCTATTTCTGGTCTCGTATGCATCGATTGAGATTCAGTTTCGCTTTGAGGTATGTCCTTGCTCCTCCATTGTCACTACGGGGTGTATACCGCACGGCAATGCTTACACAGTCTACGGATCCCGCGGGGTTCACTTCACAATCACAAAAAGTGAGTTAACATCAAGATACAATCAACAGGCACACAAGCATGCTATCGACGCCGCCCGCCGCAGCGGCGTCAAGCACATCTTCTACTCCTCCCTGGGCTTTGCGGGCGACCTCGCGAAGACCAGCGTCGCGCACGTGATGGGCGCACACCTGAAAACGGAACGGTATCTGGCCGAGCTGCAGGAGTCATCTTCCGGGCCGCACAACCAAATGACCTACACCGCGGTGCGGGAGGGAATCTACGCCGAGTCGTTCCCGATCTACACCAGCTGGCTGGATCTGCACCACCCCCCCACCACAAACGAGGTGCTGATCCCGCACCCCGGCGACGGGCCGGGGGTGACCTGGGTGAAGCGGGACGAGCTAGGCGAGGCCACCGCACGACTGATTGCTGACTACGCTAGGGACCAGCGCGGGTTTGCGTATGTGAACCGCGTGCTGTTGCTGTCTGGTCCGAGGGAGATCTCGCTCCGGGAGACGGTGGAGATCCTGGGTCGGGTGTGCGGGAGACCCCTCGCCATCCGAACTGTTCCCGTGGAAGATTTTGTGAAGCTGCCGCAGCATGGGAAGAAGTTCTTTTATCATGGGATTGATCTGACGAGGGAGTGGGCGACGGCGTGGGATGCGATCCGGCGCGGGGAAACGGCGGTGGTATCCCCGCTGCTGGGCCAGATCTTGGGCCGTGAGCCGGAGAGCTATGAGACGACCATCCAGGCGTTGTATGACTCTAGTGGATAATAGATAGCTGGTCGCAACTGTTTTGATAGGTGTTTTCGAGAAAATTGAGATTGTGCTTTTGCATATGAGAAGAGATGGTGACGCAAGTCGGATTGCGCATGGCGGGGTAGACGGTGGGTGGCCGTCGGGCCCTCCATCGCTACAGTAACTAGGTACCCGAGGGCGCCGATGCCACTTGCCGATATTCCTCTCGGTCGGCACTTGACCCTGCAGACAGGATACAGAGTTTATCAGGCTGACCGGGCGGGAATACCCAGGTGGGCTCGTGACTTTGTTCTGGCTGGGCTGCCAAACGGCCCCTCCCCCGCAAACACCAACCGCTCGTCTCTGCCGTGAGCGGGAATAATCTCTTCCGGCGGGCAGGATCTGACCAACTCAGCTTGTCTTGCACGGCATTCGCCCCACGTCAACATCAGCCGTCGGGAGGTCGAGGATCCGGGGTGCGCTGACCTGCACGGCAGATTGCCAACAAGACGGACGCAGGCCCGGTCCGGCTCGTGTCTAGATTGGGCAATGGTCAGTGCTTGTGAAACTCGATGACGGTTGAGGCTGGAGGGGTCGATACTGCACCTACCCTCATTAGAGCTTCTGGGAATTTCGGGGAAGGATGCAAGCACGGGCGGATTGCACCCAAGTTGAGAACGCACTCGAAGCACTCTGCTGGTCACAGTGCAGACCGACCTCAAAAGACGTTCTCGACAGAAACATTGCTAAGATCTCGAGATCGATCTCCTGGCGGTGATCTTGCAGCTGGCAGTGATCTCATGGAAGACGGCAATAAGATCAGCCAAAGAGCACATCCGGGTGGCTGCTGCGGGGTTACCCTTCTGGGCTGGTGTTGTGAAGCTAAAGTCTAACCTTGTCCTGTGCCGCTAAAGGGTCTCAGATAGCATGGATCAATCATAATGCAACGCATAAATCTTGAGAGACCATTTGTGTCGTATCTGACTGGTGGTTGACGAGGCATAGGGCTGAAGCCTGAAGGGGCTGACGTAGCCGAGCTTCATGCGAAGGGACACTCCGTGCAAAGTAGTTATCAGCATCCTCAAGGAGACTGATATTATGCTCTAAAACAATCTTTCCCCCATATCATGACCATCTCGTGTGCCGGAAGCACCTGAACCGAAGAACATGATATCTAGTCAGCTGCGGTCGACACGGAAACCACCGCAGTCACGCCTTCTCGGAAAATACTCGACTGGGTGTCAGCTTAAAGCCAAGTGTGAGATCTCTTGACGGTTTCTTCCGAAGAGCGACGAAAATAATGACGCTTCTACTCCTGTTGGGAAGGTCTCATGTTCCAGATTTTGCGGGAGGGAGAGGGGCAGGTCGGAGACTAACGAAGGCAAGCTCTGAAGCTGTCAAGGGTTCTGAAGATGCCGGATCACACCACTGGGTGGCATCGCAACAAACCCTTGGGATCCGGCATCCGGCCCGCCTGGACCACTACTACTACTAGTCTACTAGTCTACTAGGTACTGTGTACTAGTCTGGCGCTCCCGCGGGCGAGGGACCTGAACCTTACTCGACAAGGTTATTTCTCCAGTGCTGAAGCCGAAAAATTTACTAGCGTCCGTTCACACCGGGGTCATAGTGTAAAACTGTAGATACGGTAGCACTAGCACGTCGGAGATTTTTCGATGCCGACTGCTTCGTCGCTCTGGGTTTAGTGAGGTAGCTCGCTTGTTTAGCTTATTTAATCCTGTTTTTTTTCTTCTGTCTCATTTTTTTGTATGGCCCATGCCGAGTTGGTGGTTCTCGGGAGTGATGCTGGAACTGTCGAACGTGACGAATTCGATGCATGTAGCAACCGGGAGTCGGTACCTTTGCCCAGGGTATGGAGCCAATGCTGTCTCCTCTAGTCAGGATCTGGTAGGAGGGGTAATATTTTCCGACACGGGACTTCCGAGACGTCACTGTAATCCGCTCTGACACCCACAAGCACCATTAGGCTGGATATGGTTATGTCACTGCATACGAAACACATGAATGGCAACAAAGACACTGGACGAGGGCATCGCAATCAATACGTGCAACAAGCCTGCGAATCGTCCGCGGAGTCCGCCTCAACCATTATTTGTTTGATACGTACACACATTTGTGTGTGCGTGTGTGTGTGTGTGTGTGTTTGTTTTAAAGGCATGCATAATATGCTGGTCATATTGGCAGCCGTCATCTTGTCTAGACTCTAGACTCGCTCCACCCGGACGGTTGCCGATCCACTTGCCTTGGTCTGTGTGCCCCGTGATCTAAATCAGGGAGTCGATGGCCGCTCGTAAATTTATGCTCAATCATCTCGGGTCTGATTCGCTTGTGCACAGGGCCGAGAAATATCACGTCTTAGGCGAGGTATTGCATCGTTTGCTATAGAGTAGAGATTTGGCTCTTTGAACGGCATTGATGGACGACTCACGAGTCAATAAACGTGCAGTAGATAATAATCAGAAAGTACAATCAGTCACTGCTACCGAGGCAGCAGTACCTTGCTGGCCTGTTGGGCACCAGGCTAGGGGCAGAGGGCACTGCAGGGGCGAATTGTCAATGGTAGCCTCACTATTGGTGGACACAACGATATATTATCTGGCCAATATGATACAGATCGGTTTCCGACTCGTGTAGGCGAACAAAGCGAGGTACGAGGAAGTTTCGGATTAGTCGTGGTTTTCAACCCCTCTGCTTGGGACAGATCGCCTTGCCATCCGGCCTGAGAGAGAGTACGTACGACAGTACTACAACCCTTGCGCGTAGGGCCAAGAGTAACGGATGCTTGCGGCCAATTTTCACACGGAGCGTGCTTGACTCCTGAGACAAGACGTGCAGTCTTCCATGATTCCCCATGTCAACTGCCGAACAGTCGGAATGAAGAAAAGACTCTGCATCTGATTGACTTTGTTGCAATACTGAGTAAGGTAACGGAAAAAATCATCTCAAAGAGGCAAGAGACACGATTTGCATCGATCCAAGACATCCCAGGCCGGGGAAAAAATCAATTCCGCCGATGCAGGCTCAGAAACTGCCTCTCTGATACTGTGTTGAGGAAGGATGTTGAAACAGTTCCAACCAGCTTTTGGCAGCCCCATGGACTCCTCCGGCCGATTGTTCGGGTCCGAGACTCGGCCGCCGGACGACTTGGCAGAGACGCCTTTCCTCTTCTGGAGATCACGGGTCCACCCGAGCTTTTCCATGGATACCAATCAGGTCTAGATTCCCCTGGGTTGCCCACTTGGAGCTGAGAAGTTTCAACGGTTGTGCATCATCGATCGATCCACTTGCACCCGATCCCCTCTCCTTCTTTTCCCCCCTCCTCCACACAAAGCAGAGACAGAGGCAAAAGGTTGATGAGGTAAGTTAAGGTAAGGTCAGGCAGTGTACACACACCACACATAATTACAGTACAGTCGTAGTTGTCATGCAGGCACAAGCAGTATTATCGATTTGCCTCCCGTCTTCAGCGTGACGGCGGCCATTGCCGCCGTCCGTCTGCCAGGCTGGTTTCTCAAGTCAGCGGAAATCCGTGCCAGTGACCTCAGTTGAATATGGAGGATACCCTGCCGAGTGAGGTACTGCTGAACTTTGCCTTGCTTCTCAATGGAGGATCCGACGGACGGCTGTCTTTCGGAGCCGGCCGAGTCAAAGGCAGTCAGGTTCACACAGTCTGGAAGAATGGATGCTCTGCATCCGGCTGGGGTGATCTCGGCTGTGCTTCACCGGCCCTGTGCAATAATCGGTTTGACAGGACTGGTCACTCACAGCCTTTCGCTTTGCCTCGTTCTCTCTTTCCCCCCATTCCATTTTCTCATCATAATTAATTTTTTTTCTTAGTATAATTTTTCCCCTAATTAATTTTATGCCATTGTTGTGGTTCTTTTGACCTGCCATTACATCATTGGCTTCGGTAGGTCTAGGGATCGGTTTCCAATACCGGCTTCTCCTGAAATTCTCCGTCTGCCTTTATATAGAGCCCCTCCCCGAGCGCCTCTCTGTCCACGATCCTTCAGATCCATGGTTCTATATTCAGAAGCTTCCTACCCTCTACATCTCAATCAACAATCAAATATCCGCCCCTCGACCTTGATATTTATCCATCACGGTCGACTTTGAAAACACCACTCTTCCTTGCAATTACTGTCTTCTATCCCAGCGAAGACATCCAACAATGGCATACACCAGAGCCGATACTTTCACATTACCGGAGGACGAACGAATGTTCTTGAGTCAACCGAGTCCACTGTCTCGTCCCAACGACTCGTTCCCCAAGGGCCCCGACCCATTGTCGGCCAACTGGAACTACGACAGCGCTATCGATCTCTTCTCCTTGAACACCATGATGCCCGAGACTTTCCCATTAAATGATATGATGACCTTGGATCCCAAGGATTTCCCAACCGACTTCTTCGCCCCACCCCCGGATATCAGTGGCTTCACCATCTCCAACCACTCCGGCGAAGATGCTGCTTCCTGCGGCTCTCTCTCTTCCGTATGTTGTCGTCTCCCGAAATTTGTACTGAAATATAACTAACATTCTATTCCCAGGACCTCGAAAGTGACGATCAGTCCTGGTCTCCCACCTGCCGTGTCTCCGCTCTGGACTCAATGCCCATGGAGCTGGCCAAGCCTGCGTCGAGAACTGTCAAGAGTGCCGGCCGCCGCAAGACTGCGACCGCAACCCGGCAGCAGAAGGTCCGTGACGATATGGTGACGAGATGGTCGTCCAGTCCGGAAATTACACCGCAGGACTACCCCGCTGCCAGCGTGTCCCCTCTCCCCACTCCTTCATCCCCGGTCACCACCGGCCGCAAGACGACTCGCAGCATGTCCGGCGACTCGAATGCCAGCGCAGGCCCTACCAACACGGCAACGGGCCGGAACGCCGCCAAGCGGGCCGCCCACAACATCATCGAGAAGCGGTATCGCACCAACATGAACGCCAAGTTCGTGGCCTTGGAGAAGGCGATGAGCGGTGGCATCCAGAAGCCGACCAAGGGCGGATCGGCGTCGCTGAAGAAATCCGAGATTCTCACCAATGCAATTGCCTTTATGCAGGAATTGCAGGAGGAGAACAAGGCTCTTCAGAAGGAGCTGACCATGATGAAACAAAATATGGTCCCCAATGGGATGTGGCGACACAGCAAGGGAACCGAAGCCTTTCATGCGTGATTCCTCCTCCGTCCTCGCCAGTGAGGCTTCCTTCTTCCTCTGTTATGACCGTCACGAATTTCTTGTATACTATAATTATGAACCTGCCCCCTTTGTGTGGATAACCCATTTTTTATCTTGGGTCTGAGACCCCTCTCCTGTCGTGGATGGCGAATATGGAACGGCTTGGTTTGGATGGAGTCTTGATATACCCGGGATAAAAGTCATCATCACGAATTAATCTTATCCTCTCTCTTGATACTATTTGGTGTTCCTGGTAGATTATTGTTTTTGTATGCTTTCATTGAGAATCATCCTGTCCGGAGTGACCTGGTCACACCGCCAACCCCGCCCAGCGATACCCAAGCATTCGTCTCTCCATCATCCATTGCCAACTCTCCCGTTCCCGTCCGTCTGTCCCCTTAGTTGACAGGCGGTGGTCCAGCGGTTCGACTGACCCAACACAAACCCCACTCACTTCCTCACGAACCTCCGACCGGTCCAGATTCTCACTCCTGAATCTAGACCCCTCCCCAAGGCCTGGCATCTATATTACGCATAAGTTCTAGACTTCTCCCCCAAGTTTTTAGTTTTCAAGGTTCCCTCTCCAACCTTCTTCATCTGTACACCCTGCTCACCACCAAACCCGAAATACAGAATCCTTGAGGCCGCAGCTACGCCTAAACATCGTCCACCTCGTGATGCCTTTTCCAACGTCCGCCCGGGTCTGGACCCCGTCATACTCATCTCCCACACCGCGTAAGACTACTTGAGCACATCAACATGCATGCAAGATCGGCCGTGCTATCAACCCAACCGCCAGGAACGAGCAAGCATCCATACACTGTGATGTAAATCCTGCGCTTGTAATCTGCAGACACAGAAGCCGCCGGCACAAGCACACATACACACCGTGCCTGGGATCTTCTCGATCGCCCTTCATTGCTTTGCTCTGCGATGCGATGCGACTGCTGCCTGCTCTGGCGGCAGGTTGACGTAAACACGAGGCTACTCAGGATGGCTGCTTTTTACATCTAGATCTAGACCCTCACCGGGAATCGTGAGGCTTTCCGCGTGTCTGGTCGAATCTATCGGCTTTGCGTTTTGTTTGTTGTTGTCTTTTGCATGAGCTTGGGAGTAGTGGGTATATATATAGGAGACTTAAGGGGGGGATGCTGTCATTTCGTCACAGAGGCAGCGCGCGTTGTGACTTCCCTTGCTTTGCTTCTGCTATCCGGAGTCTAGCAACTCATCAGGTGTTTGCACAGCTGGAAAGCAGTTCACAGGACGAAGATCACCCAAAACAGCTCTTGCGCCCCCTCCCTCCGACCTTCAGGCCTCATCGATCTGCTCACTTACCCGTCCAAGACAGAAGCAGTGAATATGCCCGAGTAGGTCCCCCTTCTTGCTCTCTGGATCTCACCAAGTTGGAGGCTGCGGAGGGTATCTGACTAAATGGGCCCTATGCCCCTCAGGACTATCGAAGCAAATTTCTCGGAGACGAAGACAGCACCGTCGATGGCGACTACGGGGACCATCAGCGATCCCTTGTCGTTATCATCATCCGTCCTGAAACAGGTGACGGTGAGCGTGATGCTTCGGCGGTACTTGGAGGCCCCGGCCTCTGAAGATCCATACTACCCGCCGTTCTACGGGCGCGAAGCTCGTGAGGTACATCGGAGCCAACTGGAGAGGAAGTTGACTGAGGCTGAGGCGGTGTTGGGGAAGAAGTCGAAGCGTGAGGCTTAGAAACATTGGGTCAGGATATTAGGATGTGGTTGTTCCTGTCGATGGAGCTTTGCATGGCTACTCAGTGTTGGCGGCTGGATCCCTCAAGCTCGTACCTACTTCAAGTTGTTCTTTCTTTCATTCTGGAGAGCGGTGGCGCGGTCTGGGCATGGCATAGTCGAAGCAGGAAAACATAACGTGACCGCAGAAGACAAGTACGAATGGATTCTCAAGAACGGCCTCCTCGCGCGTGCTGTTTCCACGGGTCACTCGCAGCTGTCTAGTCCGCTGCACTCCACCTACTTACACTCATCCTGTCTACCCACGCTGCATCTCTTGGATGAGATGGTGCTGATATTGAAAGTGGCACATTCTTTTCCGACGCATTATTGTCGTTCCTGTGCCTCCCTAGGCTACCACAAGCCTAGCAGAAAACTGCTTCCACATTGATACTACTGACGATGACTAGTGATTGATTTGATGTAATGTATATTATCGTGGTAGGAGACGGAGACAGACACCAAATATCACCCTGACCATGCGCGGACACTACACCGCAGGTACCCCCCCTGAACATCTGCTCGAAGACAGAGCCAAAGAAGCTGAATAGGAGTAGGTAGGTACCCTTTCAGACTGTCGCTAGGAAGCAGTCAGCAGCAGCACCCTTCTAATTGGTTATCCAACATCACGTCATGACCTGCGAAGGCCTTTGGTCGGTTGGCTCCTTAGGCCTGTACCCCTTGAACTTACCGAGCGGAGCAAGAATACAAGGCTAAAACAGGAAAAAGACATGATATGATGGAGATTTGCGTTCAAATTCTTATAGAGCGTCAAATTATCGGAGGCCAAGGGAACTGACGCCAATGCAATTTATTTGTCTCAGAAACTCGGACTATTTTCAATCTTCATCTCCCGGGATGATGCCATATACCACTCGTTCTATGTCTCATCCCACCTCCTCACGCCTCAACAACAACTTTTCCTTGAACGTCATCATACCCAAACGGATCCGCCTCCCTGCCCAGTAACTTGATCGGATCTGTTCCGTCTACATGCCCACAACCGGGGGAGCCGCGGTTGAAGGCCTCGGACACGGCCGGGACGGGGTATGAAATGCTTTGGTAGCGCGTGCCAGCGTGGTGAATGTTGCTGCCCTAGTGTTGCTATGTGCTCTCTTTTCCTTTTCTGTTGGAAGCAAACAAGAAGACAACGCACGATGCCTCTTTCAAGAGCGCTTTGGCTACCTCACGATAATCGGGTGGTTGATCGACTCCTGGGCGAATTTGTAGGACAGTCCCTCCGGGGTTCTCGACAGCTTTGGCGGTAGTAGGCGTGGTGGCAGACTTCTCGAGGCTCTTGGTGAAGAAATGTATTGGTGGGTGTTTAATGCCTTACATGAGCCTCGTCTCTCTTACTTTTTAATACTTTTAAGCAGAAAGCAATACCCTCTACTTCGTGATAACGAGGAGGCCGGGGATATCTGGAGAGGGACAAGAAGATGGTCGACCCCGGGGGAAGCTTCGATAGCCGCGGCTAGCTTGCCCTAATTCGGACAGCCCGCTATCCCAGTCTATGCGCATCGTACTGTATTCGCAACGAGAAGCGGGATTGTCTGCTTTGAACATCAATGACAATAGGTGCATTTGAGGTGCTACACCGATCACTGTTCCACAGCGAATCACTTCCTTCGCCTCAGCTGTCCGCCACAATTCCTCTCCCAACCCACGAACCCAGACTCACCCAGGTCCCCGCGACAACCCCCGCCTCCACCATCCTTGAGATCCTCCTCCGAGAAGGCGGCCTCATCGTCGAACAAATCGTCAATCATTCCGTCCTCGACGCTGTCCAGGACGAATTACAGCCCCGCATCCGCGCTAAGAGACACACAGGCGGAGCCTTCTCGGCCAACGCGCGCTAGGTCGCCGGTTGAGCCGGCAAAAGCCGCACCTTTGCGACAAAACTTCTGACAAACCCGCTCTATGAAGAAGTCGTTGACCTGCTGACGGGAAAGACCACGACCGTCGCGCACAGCGGCACTGAGATGAGATGAGAATAATCGTGTCCCGCCCGCAGCTGACGAACTCGATGGCATTTTACCTGGGCCCTGGCTCTAAAGCCCAGGGCCTCCATCGCGACGACCGGTGCCATTATACACGACACCCTGCCCGATACGAGACGGACAATGGGATCAAGTTCGCGGGTACGAAGTCGTACAAGGCCAACGGCGTGACGAATGTGGTGCCCGGGTCGAATCACTGGGATGACCATCGTAAGCCAAACCCTGAGGAGGCGGTTCCGGCGGAATTGGAGAAGGGGGATGCTCTTATCTGGTACGATAATACATTCCATCTAACGAGCCACTGGCTGACCGGTACATGTTGAGGCTTGGATCGACGTATCATGGTGCGGGTTTCAACTCGACCAAGGACGAAATGTCGCCTCCTCCTGGCGGCACTTACAACTCCCGGGTGGTGTCGCCAGGACGAGAAGCAGTATTTAGCTTACCCTCAGGAGGTTGTTGACGGCTACTCCGTCGAGGTTGCGCAGGTTTTGGGATACTGTCCCGATGGATGAGGTTTTCCCATTCAGCCGACCGAACGGTGGAAGATGATCTCTCGGATTGATGAAGGGGTTTTTCTTCTAGCGGAAACTCGTATGCAGCCTGATCCATGTGAAAGACCTCATCTCTACGGTTATGGTCAGGTATCCTCTAGGCGGTCTCCCACTGCAAGTCTAGTATTGACTCTTTATGCTGGGATAGTTCATATCATAGAAATGTCACGGGTTGCTCGGGATTAAGCGAGATTAAGGTGTTTACGTTCGCTTGCCTTTGGGTAACAATGGGGTCAGAGGCCGACCAATGTCTTGTCCTCGTGTTCCAAATACCATCATCCCTTGGATCTCCCCCGCATGCCCCTTGCTGCACTTTCCAGGGACAACCTTGAAACTGACATCATCCTGGTCAGCTTGAGACCAATGACAGAGGTCGGCTTGTCGTGCAATTGTGGTTTAAGAGAAGTGATTCTTCACTCCGAAGCGGAGAAGAAAGCACCAGCTGGATCATGCATCGCCACATGCGCATTTTCCCACCCCTGAAGTGGACCCTGTAGATCTCCGGTTGTCATCCGCGGTGCACCAAGATAAATTGCTTGGCAACATTGGAGTAAGTAGTAGTCGCAGTTACTCGAGGTCGAGTCGTACGGCCGGTCACTCAACGAGCACCCTCGCTCGCCGCGCAGTAATAACGACCAATATCCTCCGAGAAGGACGCTGTGCTTCTTCGTTCATAGCATGAGGTTACATTGGAAAGTGGAACAGAAAGGAAGGGAGGGGGGAGCGGAAGGGGAAAGGTGGGTGCCTGAGGCTTGGCATACCCCGTGGGAACAAACAAACAAACAAATCAGCGTCCATTCCTGGCTTTCCTCCCTGACGATCTTCCCCCAATTCTTTCCACCTCCCCTCCACCTCCCCCTAACTTCCAGTACTTCCAAGCTACCTCCCAGCCCCCAGGCCTTGACTTGTCTCTGTTCTGAAATCCTCGCTTCGCCTCTCCGACGGCGTCCGCTCTGAAAAATGCTTCCACCGTCCCTCAGATCCACTATGCGGAGCCAATCATCTACCCCAATGGGGGAAATCGGCATGCACATCCAGGCATCACTGGACGCAATTGCATCCGACCTTCCCCCTCTCTCCCCCCAAGACATCACGCGAGATGCAGCTCCTCTCCGCCCTGTTGCACAAGTGCTAGCCAGATAAATACACCCCATCTTCCTCCCCTCTCTCATCAAGTGCACCTTTAGCATCGCGCTCATCCATCCCTTCCTCTCTTCTCACCATGCTGCCCTCGCTCCTGAGCAATGGCGCAGCTCTATCGCTAGCAGTCCTCGCGCTGGTTCCATCTTTTGGGGCAGCGGAGGTCTTTGAGAAGCTAGCTGGTGTCCCACAAGGTAAGCAATTCTGGCCCGCGCCGGGACTACACGCCCGGGTGAAATGACTTGGAACTCACAATTCACCTGCCATGTAGGATGGAAATTCTCGGGTAACCCCAGCGAGAATGAGTCTCTTCGCCTTCAGATTGCTCTCTCTCAGCATGACCTTGCCGGGTTTGAGCAGGCACTCCTGGACATGTCCACACCAGGCCACTCCAACTATGGAAAACATTTCCGCACCCACGATGAGATGAAACGCATGCTTCTGCCTACAGACGAGGCCGTCGCCTCGGTTCGCGAGTGGCTTGAGTCAGCGGGAGTCAGTGATATTGAGCAGGATGCCGATTGGATCAACTTCCGCACGACGGTGGCCGATGCCAATTCCTTACTAGATGCCGACTTCAAGTGGTATACCAACGAGGCCACGGAGATCCGACGACTGCGCACCCTGAGCTATTCCATTCCTGATTCAGTGACGCCACATGTGAATATGATTCAACCGACTACTCGCTTTGGCCAACTCAAGCCAAACAGAGCCACCATGCGCAGTAAACCCAAGCACGTTGACGAGCAGTTTCTAGCTTCCGCCGTGCGCGCCCAGAACACCTCGCAATGCGATTCCGTGATCACACCGCACTGCCTCAAGGACCTTTACAATGTGGGTGATTACGAAGCTGATCCCAAGTCTGGCAGCAAAGTCGCATTTGTGAGCTACTTGGAAGAGTATGCCCGGTACGACGATCTTGCCAAGTTCGAACAGAAACTTGCTCCCTCCGCCGTAGGCCAGAACTTCACTGTGGTCAAGTTCAATGGCGGTCTCAACGATCAGAATTCCATCAAGGACAGCGGAGAAGCCAACCTCGACCTGCAATACATTGTTGGAATGAGCTCCCCACTGCCAGTAACCGAATACAGCACCGGTGGCCGAGGCCAGCTTGTTCCGGATCTTAGCTCGCCTGATCCAAATGACAATAGTAACGAGCCGTACCTTGAATTCTTCCAGAATGTCCTCAAGCTTTCCGACGCGCAGCTTCCTCAGGTCATTTCGACCTCATACGGTGAAGATGAACAGGTGCGAAGCCCTTTCTGTCCCTTTTGTCATGGTTCACACCTGCATCCCTCACTTATCTTTTGAGCAAGCTCAGAGCTAAATATTGCCATAGACAGTGCCCAAATCCTACGCCCTGACTGTCTGTAACCTCATCGCCCAGCTTGGTAGCCGCGGCGTCTCGGTAATCTTCTCCTCTGGCGACTCGGGTGTCGGAGCTGCGTGCGTGACGAACGACGGCACCAACCGCACGCATTTCCCCCCTCAATTTCCTGCCGCTTGCCCCTGGGTCACCGCGGTCGGTGCCACTACATTGACCTCTCCCGAGAAGGCCGTTTATTTTTCCTCTGGCGGCTTTTCCGACTACTGGGACCAACCGTCCTACCAGTCTGAGGCTGTCGACAATTACCTTTCGAGCCTGGGCTCCACATTCGCCGGCCTCTTTAATAGCTCGGGTCGTGCGTTCCCCGATGTGGCTACTCAGGGTACCAACTACGCAGTCTATGACAAGGGCGTCCTTGCACAATTCGACGGCACCAGCTGTTCCGCACCGACCTTTGCCGGCCTGGTTGCTTTGTTAAATGACGCGAGACTTCGGGCGGGATCGCCCGTATTGGGCTTCCTGAACCCATGGCTCTATAGCGCCGCCGTGGAGGGGGATGGATTCAATGATATCACCCAGGGCGGTAGTTTGGGGTGTGACGGACGTAATCGGTTCGGCGGCACGCCCAACGGCAGTCCCGTTGTCCCTTTCGCGAGTTGGAATGCTACGACCGGGTGGGATCCCGTGACTGGGCTCGGATCGCCGGACTTTGGAAAGCTCCTTGAGGTCGCTCTGGAGTCTTGATGCTCAGGAAACTGTAATTTCTTTGTTCATATTGTGTCATAAGTATGAGGTGAAGATATCCGATCTCTTTCCGACTGTGCTTCTCCGTTGATGGTCCGCGATGCGGTCTGCGACGTGAGTAGTGATGCCAATTCATGATACCTTAACAATTTAATCAATTACACCTTTGAAGTTATTTTTAACCTGTCAGGCCAGCACATACTGAGGACACCTGCTTGCCAGCTCACATTTAAATGATGGCAACTACATGACCAGGCATCTGCTGACTCAGCCCGCATGTACGACTCCGAGCTTCGGCCTCGTTTACGATTCCATGTTGAGCAGACTGCGACAATGCATGCCTGACAATCATCACTCTGCATACTTTCGGTCTGTTTTCAGATTTTGGCATCCGAAGTAGAATTGACTCGACGGGAATCCCCCGACAACCCCCCAACATGGCTACACCAGTCTTGATGGCTACACCAGTCGTGACATAAAGACACTTTGCGACGCCACTGTTGCTGGGTCCAGATCTCCTGGCACTGTTTGTCCTTCGACCTCAACCATGGACACTTCACCGGTGATTTCCCTGATTCGTATGGATACTTTGCCCATGTCCGGACATCGCTCTATATGCGGTGAACCTCATGCTTGCTACAAACACTCTGTTCGGTCGGTCTCGGCCGGCGCCTCTCTGCGTAACAAGTCATGACGCCTTGGTCACGTTGCCAAAGACCAATACCGGAATGGGGTGTTTGAGCTACGCCTTTGGGAGCGTGGTTTCTATAAAGCTTGCAGGACGCCGGCTTCTGAAGAAGTGACAACACTGACACTGCTCCTAAGTGGGACTTTCCAAGTATAGCAAAAGCGAATATCCGCTGACCTGTTTGAACATATTTTGACTCCAGAGACACAGAGGTCTCGATATAGATGAAGATGCCTCAATGGGTCCCGGGCTCTCGGGATAAGGTCGAGTCTTCTCCTCCGGAGAGATCAGGCTCTGCGCCCACTCGCAACCAGCTGCCGATGCTGCATCTTGCGGACACGGCACGGAACAATCTCGTTGCTGCAGTGAGCGAGTTCGTGGGCACTTTTCTCTTCTTGTTTTTCTCTTTCGCTGGTACGCAAGTTTCCAACACCCCCAAGCCGGCCGAGGGCGCGCTACCGAATACCTCCAACCTGCTGTACTCGGCGCTATGCTTCGGCTTCTCCCTCATGGTCAATGTGTGGGCATTCTACCGTGTGACGGGAGGGTTGTTCAATCCCGCGGTAAGTCAACGTCTCCTAACGAGTTGGAATAACCATGGAATATCCCTGACTGACTGGGCTTTGTGGCATAGGTCACTTTGGCACTCTATCTGGTTGGGGGTCTCAAGCCATTCAGAGCGGTCTTTGTCTTCGCAGCTCAGATCGTGGGCGGCATCGCATCGGCGGGGGTAGTCAGCGCTTTGTTTCCGGGCAGTCTGAATGTAGCCACCCGGTTGGGTGGTGGAGCCTCGATCTCGCAGGGTCTCTTCATTGAGGTCTTTCTCACAGCCCAGTTAGTATTCGTTATCATCATGCTTGCCGTGGTTAAGCATAAGTCCACCTTCTTGGCTCCGGTGGGCATCGGGCTTGTCTTCTTTGTGACGGAGCTGGTTGGTGAGTTGCCATTTCCCCACATACCCACTGTATTCATCGTTATCAGACTCCACAAGTACTAACGAAGCACGGTTTGTGATGATGACCAGGTGATTATTATACTGGCGGCTCCCTCAATCCGGCGCGCTCTCTTGGCCCTGATGTCATTAACCGTAACTTCCCCGGCTATCACTGGATATACTGGGTGGGCCCATTGCTGGGGAGCCTGCTGGCGTGTGGGTTCTTCATGTTCCTGCAACTCTTCCAGTACCACACCGTCAACCCGGGCCAGGACTTCAACGAGTGGGAAGCCAAGATGGGCCCGGGCTCGTGGGATGCTTCGATGCATCGTCCCTCAATCCTGTCGGATTCCAGCACTCTAGGCCGGGCGCATTCCCCGACGAGTGGACGGCAGCCGGGCAACGGACAGTACCCCGGCAATGGACAGAATATACCACGCGGGGCCGAGCAGGTTTAGGGCGGGCCGCGGGGGTTGACCGGTCCGCTCGGAAGACGGCGTAGGGGCGGATCCATGGTACGGGTACCCCCCTGTCACGGGCATCGTGTTTGAGATGCATATGTTGCAAGTATGACGGCTTCGACAGGTGGGGATTATGTTTTTGGTTGCCGTGTGTGCATCGACCTAATTTTCGAACGGTCCAGGCGGGGAGGTCGATCTGGTCTGTTGCCTTCCTTGGTAAAACGGTCGTCTACCGTGTCGGGTGTAGCCCGCCCATTGGAGGGCTTTCACTTCACCCTTTCATTTGTTATTAATGAGCGAATTGATTGATTCTGAAGTAGATACGTAATGGGTTAAATATGAGAAGCTGTTGCCGTTTGCGACCGATACCTCGCCTGTGACTTTCTTTCCCCACCAGATCGGCTGTGTCGGTGGACCAGGTTGCACCATACCAGAGGGCAATGCCCAAGTGTCGTAGCTCGCTGTATTGTGCAGAGCTGGTCTAGTAGTCTTCTTGCTCGTCATCGTCTTGATTGCGGTTCAATCCTTGCATAGTCTCTGCCTATCAGTGTGTTTCTGTGCAATGACCAGATGAAGTGAAAAGAGCAATACCATCCTGCCACTTGGGCGTCCGTGGATCGCCCGAGCCTAAGACACACATCTGGTACTGTACATTAATCCAAAACTTCACTGCTAGCCTGTTCTCCCGGAGTCGAACGAATTGCAATGGTTTTCCCCCAACATTGAACTCGCTTCCACGCACCACCAGACACTGGCAGATATAAGGCGACTACTCAGCTGCCTTCCTCCGCTCCTTCATATGTCTTCATATATTGGGGACGGGGTTGTTGTCTTGTCATTAGTAGTATACGTGCTCTTCATCCGTTGAAACGTGGCTTTCTGGGTAGTACGTGTTGAGGGTGCTGATTAGGGAGTCACTAAGATGGGTAGGTAGTATGCAAAGCACCGTTGTAGGCACTGGGTGGGTGTTAAGCTGGATTATTGCGTGGGTGCTCAGGCGGTGGTTTCAGGTGGTGTACAGGTACGGATCTTGGAGAACGTGTTGGAACTTGACGCTTAGCTATAGAGTCGACGTAATCGGGAATTATTTTTTCGTTGGCGGTGGTTCTGGGGGAGGATGGTAGAGGCTCGAGGGATGGCGAACAGAATATGAGGATGGAAGATTGGTTTGGTGCTGTAGGTAAGCATAGAAGTATAACTACGTTGACGAGCTGTCTAGCTCAAGCAAAATCGATACGTTGCCAGTTGCTCCCTAAATGCTCAGTAGCAGGGATGTTGGAGTGGAGCTTGAATGGCTATAACTAATTTATTACCAGGCAGATCATTCCACTTCCAACGGGGGGCGGGGCCAGGTGAAGCGACTGTTCCCAAGCTATGAACGTAAAGCGCAGTTCCAATTCAAAGAAGTCAATCACCAACCACCAGCATATACCCCGAGCGAAACATCTACTAGTACCCATCCCCAATAATCCCTACCTACCTACACCTACCCAGCAATCCACCACTCCAGAACAAACATCACACCACCCCATCCCATGAAATCCCATATATGAATCCTCCCATCATCACCCCAGAGCCTTCCACATATATCTCTACATTGAATACCACAGATCCCCCCCCCTTTGAATCCTTCCTTCATCCCCACAGCCACCGCCGCACCCTATCTCTATCTCCCTCCCCAGCCCTGTTATCTCTCACCAATCAGCCCGCCCTGATACAACACACCCTCCTTATCATACATCAACCCTGCATTCATCTGTTCTGTTTTTTTTTTTTTTTTTTTCCCTGCAAATACTGCACTAAACCCTGAAGGGCTCTCTGATCCGGGGATCTCAGATAGACCCAATTAGAGACTAGAATCCAGTCAATATGCATATGCAAACACTCACCCCCCCCTTCTTATCAGTTGGAGTATGCGACCCTTGCGCGGCCCTTGGCAATTGTGATTGTGATATCATATGCTGTTGACATCTGGGCGGGTGGGTGATTACAGTCATACCGATTAGCCTGATAATGTGGCGGAGAATATTCGGATCGTGTGTGCTATGCCAAGGGGTTTTGGGAGGGAGGAGGAATTTTGATAGGGCTGGATCTCTGTTACGTTGCTTGGGGCTGAGGGGAGGTGAGGCGTTCGATAAGGGATCTTTGGCTTGGCGATGGATGGATGATTCGGAATCCCAGGATTGAAAGGGAGGATTCGGGGCAGGTGGAGCACGTTCGCGATTGATGGCGGATCTTGGATAGGTCTGCGTTGTGGGCCAAGACTGGGATGGAATTTTCAGGGTAAGTTCGGAAAGGGGGGTGCGTTGGCATATATATTGAAGGAGATTCAGTTCCTCGCGGGATCTTGGGGTGGATGGTGAAGGTGACTGCTATTGTTCTGGTATACCTATATTCTGTGCGAGATGGCTACGGTGAGTTTTGGTCTTCCTGTGTTCGCTGCCCGGTAGCAAATCAAAACTGACGATGCGGTGGACATAACAGCCTGTCTATAATGCCTCGATGCCCGAGGGCGGCGACCCGCTCACCGTCGATGTCAACGCTCAGTATCTCGGTTACGAGTACAACTACGTCTACATCGTCGCTTGCACCTTCATCGTCTTCATGATCCTGCCCGGAATCGGGCTGTTGTACAGCGGGCTGACGCGGAGAAAGTCCGCCATGACGCTGCTCTTCCAGGCCTTCATGGTTCTTGCGGTGTGAGTTCCGCCCAAGCCGCACGCCCGTTTGTGATAGATCAGACCTGGCTTACTGGTACCATGCAGCTCGACCTTCCAGTGGCTGTTCTGGGGGTACTCGTTGGCCTACTCCAGAGATGGAGGTCCTTTCATTGGTACACTCAAAAATTTTGGGCTGAGGGAGGTTCTGGTGGCCCCCTCGCCTGGCTCGGCAGTGCTGCCGGAGGTCGTGTTCTGTCTGTTCCAACTGCTCTTCTGCGCATGCACGGTAAAACCCCTTGTTTGTCTTGGCACCAATCAGCGCTAAGAGCCGCAGGTGATGATTGTCGTCGGTGGCACTTTCGAGCGAGGCGCGATTCTCCCTTCTCTCGTCTTCAGCTTCTGGTGGGCTACGGTCGTGTACTGCCCCTTGGCTCGCTGGACCTGGAGCAGTAGCGGATGGCTGTACAACCTCCCAGCGATTGACTTTGCAGGCGGCGGCCCGGTGCATATCGCGTCAGGTGTCTCGGCCTTGGCCTATGCGTAATCTTGGGGAAGAGGACGGATTATGGCGCTCCGTCGTTTCGCAAGCCTCACAACACCACCCTCATCTTTCTGGGAACTGTCTTGATTTGGACCGGCTGGCTGGGCTTTAACGTGAGTATCATACAGCTTGGGTTCTCACATGTAGTCTGACATCCAAGGCAATAGGGCGGCTCGAGTCTTAACGCGAGCATGCGTGCTATGGTGGCCGTATTCAACACCAACACAGCCGGCTGCACGGGTATCCTTGGCTGGGTCCTGGTGGACATGATCAAGCACCGAGGGAAATTCTCCATTGTTGGTGCGTGTGAAGGTGCGATCGCGGGGTTGGTCGGCATCACGCCGGCGGCCGGCTGCGTCTCATTCTGGCTTGCTGCCTGCATTGGATTCATCACTGCGGTGATATGCTCGCTCTTGCAAGATGTGAACGAGTGGATTGGGGTCGACGAAGGCCTGGACGTCTTCAAGCTCCACGGCATCGGTGGAATGGTCGGGGCGTTCCTGACGGGCTTGTTCGCCAGCCAGAAGATCTCCGCCCTGGATGGCAGCAGCCTGGCGCCCGGAGCGATCGATGGCAACGGTGTGCAGGTCGGAAAGCAGCTCGCGGAGATCTGTGCCATCGCGAGCTACTCGTTCGTGGTGACTAGTGCGCTGCTGCTGATTCTTAAGTATATCCCCGGCATGAACCTTCGGGTCAGCGAGGAAGCCGAGTTGTTAGGGCTGGACCAGACCGAGTTTTACGACGAGCAGATCGGGGACTGGTCGATTACCCACGGGAGTACCAGCAATTCGGTGATGGGCGTGTCACAGAATTCATCCGGCTCTATAACCAAGGAGGAGTGTCACGTCAAGGGCAGTGGGGTATAGATCGAGTGGATACTGTGCTTTGTTTATTGTTTATTTGGGGGGCCAACTTGATTTCGGAGCGTTTGTCGATCCAGGCCCGTAGCTGCCGGGAAGCAAGCATTACACAGTCCTCCGTACCAGCAGCATTAACCTTGTGGTAGACATGGGCCGCGCGGCCTGCAGTTCTTGCCGTCTCGTAAGTTCTGCGTGGTTGCTCAAGGTCACGGTTGTGGTGGAGGGTGGTGCTGCAAGCTTCGGCCGCAGTAGCGGGATGATGATGCCATCTCACCAGCATCGTGCGCCAACAGGCTGGTAGGGTAACTAAGTTACCGGGGGGGGTGGAGTTCAAGCTAAATCCGGATACATCGTCATCGTCACCCGATTGTCGTAGGGGAGATCGGATACATCCGACGTCTGTTGTTGAATGAAAGATGGCTGGGTGGTGTCAGGCGTCCAGTCGCAGTGATGGAGATGAAGGATAAACTGGACTCATGGAGGGATTGAAGAGAGAGTGGATGGGAAGGTGGTGGCAGACGGGCCAATCACACATGCCGCCAGTGGAACAAGGCGTGCAGAGCTTACGTCAACCCCGGCCGGGGGTATTTTTCAATTTAATTTCAGTTCAATTGCTGCCATTAATTTCACTCATTTCACTGCATTCCTGGACCAGGCAAGGCTGGCCGAGACCTTCATTCACTGAATCTCTCATAATAGACCACTGAATCTCCAGGAGAATCCCAGCAATGGAGAAGCAATCAGTAGAAGTGAACCATACCTATATACGGAGTAGATCTCTATCTCAAGTCAATGCATCATCGATCTACCGGTTATAGGCAAAATACGAATGGCGGGAAACGTGGAGATCGTTCGAGACAACGAAAAAAGGACAAGTGAAAAGTCTGGACCATTCCCGGATAGGCTTAAATCCGTCTTGCTCCTGCAACCCTTTCTGTCTCCTCCGTCTCCTCCTCCTCCTCCTCCCAATTCATCCACTCTTCCTCCCCACTTACTCCTCTTCTCCCTTCACACTTCTCCCTTTCCCCTCCGTTCCGCCTGCGTCCACTCTTCTCTGGAGCTGAATCTTTGGTTTCTCCTCTCTTAGACTTTCAACTCCATCTTGCTTCCTCATAGCAAGAGCCATTCGTTTGACCCCATCCTTCCCGTCGTCTGTCGCATCGCCTTATCTCAAACCGGCTCCCCCCCCCACCTCTCCTACCGCTTGCGACCACAACCAATTTCCACGCCACACCTTTTACTGCTGACCACAATCGCTCTACTTCTGCTTGTCGGATTCTGAGATGGTCATGCTGCGATTTTTCAACCATCCATAAAGTACCTAATCATAATAAATCGTCGCGATCCTGATGGGCAAATGTAAGCTGCCGGTCGCATTCGCCCCGCCGCATGTGGGTTTTCAGGGTGCTAATGCAGGGTCTCATAGGGCGCTATGGAGTCGTCCTGGACGCAGGCTCGTCTGTACGTTGAAACTTTGTCATCGCACCAGCCATTCTGATACTAATCCGGACAGGGGACTCGAGTCCACGTTTACCGATGGTTAGACAATGCTGTTGCCCGTAAAGAGGCTGACGGAGATGAACTCAAGTCTCTACCGGAGATCAAAACTAAATCCCACTGGACGAAGAAGATACACCCAGGTACTACTCGCAGCCCACGGGCGGTTCTAATCTCATCATCGAAACAATACTCATTACTTCTAGGTGTGTCTTCGTTCGCCGACCGACCGGAGGATGTGGGCCCCCAGCACCTTGCGGAACTCCTCGACCATGCCCGCGAAATCGTACCCGATGATGCCATGGACCAGACGCCCATCTTCCTCCTCGCCACCGCGGGAATGCGTCTACTTGGCGATGTGCAACGGAAAGTTTTGCTTGAGCAGATTTGTTCCTACGTCGGCGCGAATTCGGACTTTCTGCTTCCCGACTGCGACGTGCACATCCAGGTCATTCCAGGGGTAACCGAAGGGTTGTATGGGTGGATTGCGACGAATTACCTTCTCGGGAGCTTTGACTCGCCGGGATCCCATGATCACGGCAAGGGTCATCACACGTACGGATTCCTAGACATGGGCGGCGCCTCGGCGCAGATTGCGTTCGCGCCCAACGCGACAGAGAGCGAAAAACATGCAAACGACTTGACGCTACTGCGGCTGCGCAATATTGACGGATCGGAGCAGGAACACCGAGTGTTTGTGACATCTTGGCTGGAATTCGGGGTGCATGAGGCTCGGAGACGCTTTGTCGAGTCTCTGCAGGCGGCAAGCGCGGTTGGAGAAGTCACGGAGCTCCCGGATCCTTGTCTACCTGCGGGGTTGCGGACGACGCTGGACGGCAAGCCGCTGGCCCCGGGAGATAACGCCATTCATCTGCTAGGGACTGGCAAGTTCGACGAGTGCTTGCGCCAGACCTACCCTCTGCTGGACAAAGATGCGCCTTGTCCGGACCAGCCATGCCTCCTCCGTGGCGTACATGTACCGGCCATTGACTTTGACGTCAACCATTTCGTCGGCATCAGCGAGTACTGGCACACGACTCACGAAATTTTCGAGATGGACCACAAGGACAAGGCTTACGATTTCCACACCTACCAGGACCGCGTGCAGTCTTTCTGCTCGCAAGACTGGGCGGCTATTGAGGCCGGTCTTGAAAGTTACCAGTGGGGTAAGAAGGTCGACCGGGAATCGGCTTCGGAGGTCTGCTTCAAGGCGTCATGGATCATCAACGTGTTGCATGACGGCATTGGGATTCCTCGTGTGGGCCTTGACGCAATGAAATCCTCGAACCACAATGGGACCAAGGAGGTGCTGTCTCAAGGTCAAAGCAAGGGCTTCCTGGATTCTTTCCAGGCCGCTAATAAAATTCAAGACACAGAAGTGAGTTGGACTTTGGGCAAGATTGTCTTGTATGCATCTTCGCAAATACCCACCGAGACTCAAGAAGCACTTCCCGTTGGGTTCGGCAGCAATGTTGCCGGTATTCCTGGCGACTTCCAGTATCCTAGTGCGGAGTTGTTGCCCGATCCTGAAGGTGCGCATAACGGGTCGTGGCGTGATGCGATGCTTGACGGCAGCTCATCCCGCAGAGTGCCTGGCCTCATTCTTTTCCTGCTCATCATCGTGGTGGCTGCATTCTTTCTCTGCGGTCGCAACCGTCGGCAAAAACTTTATCACAAAATCCACAATGTCTTCGGTGGTGGTGGGCCTTCGCATCCCAGCTACCCCAAGAGACGAAGAATCTTTGGTGGCAAAATACCGTTCTTCGGCCCGCGGAGTCCCACCTACGAGCGCGTGCTTGAGGATGGCGCCGCTGATTATGATCTTGGTGAGACCGCTTCAAGTCGCAGTTCCATTGACGGCGGTCGTCCTTCGGAAGCGGATTCTTCCAAGTTTATGGCGCCGAAGCGAGCATCGAGCTGGGGTAGTGGCAGCAATACGCCGACGTTCAAGTACGCGCTGGACAACACATCTTCAGCAACCATTGGACTCGGTATTACTCCCGGTCCGGGGGTTTCGGCGATGGACCGCCATGGTCTGGTGGTGAGGACGGAGAGCAGGGATCATCTGGCGCCGGTAGCACTAGGACCGACGACGAATGGCCGGCGGTCCCGCGCGGGCAGTCCCTCCCGATCACATCCCAACAGGTCACCAGTCATGACCCCTCTGGCCGATGAATGATTCCCTGTATGAATATGTTATGTTGCGGTTTTGCATTTTCAGGAGTTCGTCTTTGCAGCCGGGCCAAGACCCGGCCGTAATATGGAGCTGCTTCTTGGTACAATCATGTGGGGCATGTGCTCCTGGGTACATAGTTACTCTTTTCGAAACATCTGTGAAAATGTTAGACAAGCCGTTTAGTCAATGCCAGGTGCAACCATTTACCTTCTATATTCGATTCCTCTCCTTCAAATTCCGTAAGTTGGGTATCGCTGTAAATCCGAGCATCACGTGTCAAGCCGGAAAGCTGAGTCATCACTCACCGCCCTGGCAAAATCATCGCGATCCTGAAGCCGGACCGGGCGAGGCGCAATGGAGCTTCCAACCTCATTCTGTTGTCACCACCACCACCGAAAACTTGTTCCAATTTCCCATCCTACTTACTCTCTGCTTCATATCTTTCACTCGCATGATACCCCAATAGAAAACACGACTGTTTACCCACCGCCACCATGCGATTGACCGTCGAGCTGATCCAAAATTCCCTTTCATACATCAACCCGCTCAAAGACCGCGAGCTAGATCTCCGAGGTGCGTTTTTTTTTGTCTTCGCGTGCGAAATCTGAAAAGTTCAGATACTACATTTCTGTTCTAAAGGAGCTGGATTGATATCGAACTGTTGCCGGATGGTGGGTTTGTAGGGCACAAGATCCCCGCGATTGAGAATTTGGGTCTAGCCAAGGTATGTCCTCTCCAATCCATCCCCCGGGCCCCCCAAAAGGAGGCTCGCAGTTTCATGTGGGTTTTAAAGGGATGAGCGATCCGCTAATTATTTTTTTTTTTGCCGGGGCGGATAGGACCAAGATGCCATCGACCTCACGGATAACGACATCACGACGCTGGGCAACTTCCCCTTCTTCCCGCGGCTGCACACGCTGCTGCTGGCGCGGAACCGCATTAAACAGATCCAGCCGAACCTGGCGACCTCGGTGCCGAACCTGACGGCGATCAATCTGACGGCGAACGCGGTGGCCGAGCTGGCGGATCTGGATCCGCTGCGCGGGTTGAGCGGGTTGACGCATTTGGTGGTGTTGGAGAATCCGGTTACGAGGAAGGAGGTCAGTCGTTTTTTTCCCCTTCTTCTTATTCACTGCTTTACATTGTTGTCGCTGTTGTTTGGGGGCAGTTGCTATTGTTTTGGTTTGGGAAAGTCTTGTTGATGTTTTGCTAGCACTATCGACACTACCTCATCTGGCGCATCCCCAGCCTGCGGTTCCTGGACTACCAGAAAATAAAGGACGCGGAGCGCGCGAAGGTTACTGAGCTGTTCGGCACGGCGGAGGAGCCCTCGGCGCTCGCGTCGAAGATCATGGGCGTCAAGTCGCGGACGTTCGACGTGCCGGCTTCTCATCCCGGGGCTGCGGGCGGTGGTGCGGCTGGCGGTGACCGGGCGGTGCGGGTGAAGTTGACGGAGAAGGAGCGGAAGCGGGTGGAGAAGCTGATCCGCGAGGCGAAGAGTCTGCAGGAGATCTCGCGGCTGGAGAGGGAGTTGAATGAGGGGCGGATACCGGGGGGTGCGGTGGATTATGCGGAGAGTGGGGATGAGATGGAGACTTCTTAGGATTTTCGTTGTATGGATGGGTATTGTGTTTTCAATGGAGTCGGTTTTGGGATAGTATTTGTAGCTTTGATGGTGATGTGTAGAATCTCCCGAAGAAGGGGATTGCGTTTATCTAGGAAGCTGAAGAGAAAAGGGGGGTCTGGGGGGTTTTTCCCCCAGAACGCCTGCCCTGTGTGTGTGTCTATGTTGAATGCTTGGAGTAGAGTATCCATGTGTCCGATAAGAACTCACGTGAAGATAGGCTCAATGTAATGTAGTCCAAAACGTCATCACCCCATCCTACATTTACACATAGTTGCATCTTCTCACCTCCCACCCTCCTTTTCTCTGCTCTAAATTCCCTAGCTATACACATCTACGAAACCACCGTGGCTACACTCCCAGCAGCTATCCGCCTCAAACACCTAACTCGCCTCCTCCCCTCCGCCCTCAATCCCACCCTCTCCCCTCAATCCAGAACCCACCAGACCAAACCCCACACAACGACCACCACCACTACAACCCCCAAAATGCCCCCCTCAACTACAACTAAAGCAACAACAGCACCCCCCTGGTCCCCCCTTTTCAAATCCCACCTCACCTCCCCATCCAACAAATCCAAATCCTTCACTCTCGCCACCGTCACCACCACCAAAGACGGCACCCCCGTGCCCCGCTCCCGCACCTGCGAGCTCCGCGGCTTCTTCCCGGAGGTTTTCAGTCTGCACCGCAGCGCCGCCGACGCGCTGGAAGCGCAGGGCATCGGCCGGAACCCCGACGGGCGATTTGAGAGCGATATGCCGGTGTTCACGACGGACGTCCGGATGAGCAAGTTGGGGGAGTTGGGGGTTAGTGGGGGTGTGGTGGAGGGTGTATTTTGGTTGGAGGGGGTGGGGGTGCAGTGGCGGGTGCGGGGGAGGAGTTTTGTTTTTGGTGGGGGGGATAATGGTGATGAGGATGAGGAGGGGGGCAGGGGGGAGGTTTGGAGCGGGGTGAGGGTCAAAGATCAGACGGATCAGAAGGAGAATGACTGGGACTGGGAGAGGATGGTGACGACGTATTTTGCGAGTCATTCGCCTGTGATGCGCGGTTCGTACCTTTTTCTTCCCTCTGGATATAGGGGGCCGGAGATGGGGTTTGCGGATGCTAATGTGTATGGATATGTAGGATCTTTCCGGAATCCCCCGCCTGGACAACCCAGATCTGTCAACCCAGATGATCTCAAGATCGGCGACAAGGTGGAAGACCTCAAGGATCCTATCGCCAGAAAGAACTTCCGAGTGGTGGTTATCCGACCCGACGAGGTGGAGATGTTGGATCTCTCCACGGCGCCAGATGCGGTGCGCAAGCGGTGGACCGTGGTGAGGGATGGACAGGAGGAAAAATGGGAGGAGATGGAGTTGTGGCCTTGAGTCTCGCCGTATCGATTATCGGGGGAAGAACGGATGTTCGATACCAAGGTGTTTGATGATTAATCCTTTGTTAGACAACGAGTACAGGGCGAGTGAAAAAGTCAAAGGCCGTTTGTTCATGCATAAAGGTCGTGCTGGAAGTCTTGTTGCTCATTGTGTGCACACAAAGACTAGTCCTTGTGCCGGATGTAGTCTCTGGATATAGATGTTTGTGCCTTCAGGTGTTCTCGATATAGATCGTGGTCGTTGTGTGGGGTCATGCTGGAATCATTGTTGTATTCTAATGCTATTCTGATGCTCCTGGACTTTTGTAGCTTCGGCTCTGACATATTTAATATGGCGGTTGGGGCCAGAAGTTAGTCCAATAATCATCAAATCCAACGCCAGCTACTCATCCACAATCATCCAGTTACATATGGGGATTCTCGTCTATATACCTACTAGCCAATTATATCACCGCATAGTCGCATTCGTTTGAACCACGCCGTCAACCGAGCTGTATATCCCAAGTCATGAAATCAGGATCTGAGCCCAGCGCCAAATCCGCTCAACCTGCAGCCAAAAGTCAGAGCAGATCTGCTGGCTCTGGCAAACAGGCCGCACCAACGGTCACCAAACAGGCCGTACGAGCCGCCAATGAAGCAGCACCTGCTGCCAAACAAGCCGCACCGCCTGCTGCGAGATCCCCTGCGCAACCGACTAGAAAAGGGAAGAGACCAGTATGTTGTTCATTCTTAACAAGGTCAGACCTAAGCAATGTCTTCCGCTAATTCTCCACCTCAGTACCATCACGTCAAATCTAAGCCCGCGTGTGAGCCATGTCGCCGCGCGAAAAAGAAGTGTACTCACACGCTTGAAGAAGTCCAGGCCATCAACGCAACAGAGGCAGCAAAGGAGGCAGAGGCGGCAGAGGCAGCCGCGCTAGCAGAAGAGGAGGAAGGCAGTGACACGCCGCAAGCACCAAAGGCGAAGAAGGGCAAGAAGAGAAAGCATGGCGATGACGACAGTGATGATGGCCCGGGCCAGAAACTAATCCTGAAGGGACCAAAGGGAAAGCAACCTGAGACACAAGCACAGGACAAAGCTGGGCAGCCCAAGAAAAGGGGAAGACCTCCTAAGGCTTCTCCAGTCGCCCCTCGGTCTCCTGTTGCCGGGCCCTCAGGCAGTGCTGCCTCTTCACCCTATTCCGATCCATTGGACACATCAGGCGAGATTGTGACGCACGAGTTCATGAGTCGGCAATTGCGAAAGTGCCTCGACGGGGCCGAGGCCAGATGGAAAGAGGCCATGGACGCCATGGCGACGGCCGAGCAGGCTTTGGATGCTTGGAGAGACTTTTACGTGAAGAGCGGTTGATAGCTTTGAGCCCTCCCTCAGCATCTCAGGCCAACTAGGATGTATGAACCTGATTTTTCGGAGTGGAATAGAACGCGTACATTTGATGCATCTGGCTTCTATGAGTATTTTGACTTAGGCAGTGACGGAGCTGTGGCTGCGAGTTGTAATCTGGAACCGTTCGGCGAAGCCGAACTTGCCAGACGGATGGCTTGCACATGACATAGTTGTGCTCCGCGAACAATCAATAAAGATACTGGAAGCGCGTCTAGAAACGTTGTGTGATGATCGAAAGTTGGCCCGGGATCGCTTGGACGGCATGCTTCGTTGCGGGACATTTCCCGAAGTATTATGTCGTGCGCTGTGGCCGATGGGCGGATCAATAAGCATCTCCTTCTCGTGCTCAATCCTGTACCAGCATGTCCAGCAACCAAGGAATCACCGATGGACAAGTCATCGCGACCAGGGGTGCTGCTCCGCATCTCGAGCGCATCACACAACACGACGACTGTCGAGCCAACCAGCTACCGGTTTCCTCAATCGGGGCGATCGGCAATCTCCCCGGCTATAGTATACTCTGTACACCGCAAAAAACAAGCTGCAAGAAATATCAATGGCTACGTGGTTTTTGCTGGAGTTCTAGCAGGCGATCGCCCGCTTGAAACTCGTCCCTAATGACGGGAGCAGGAGGGGGTATAACGTCGGGCCATAAGCACGGTGAGATGCTAGCGCATCCCCGCCGTCATCCGTCTTCCAAGGTGCAGACCGTTACGTGTCATGGCTCGCTTGGGTAAAGTCGCCGTTGCCAATGAGCAAATTACTCGGTGATGAGCGACCACTGTGTTTTCGGCATCCGCTGCTGGTTGCATCGTTCATGAGTTCCTTGCTGTTTGACAGTCATCGGCCTTAAGCAGGCGGAGCGGGAGGGTGGGACAAAGTGCATTCTGTTTTTACAACTGGGTTGTGGTCGCCGAGGCACGTGCTGCTGGCCTGCTAGCCTGCCACTCCAGCTGTGCGGCTTCTGGTGTTTGAGATTGATGAACTTCAGGCTTCCAGAATCCTCAAACATTTGGAGAATGTAATTTTCTAGAAGGTCGTCCACCTCTGTCGATGAGAGTTGCGGCTGAAGTTGCGAGTCAGCGGGGGGGCACAATCGGCCCCTTTACTTAATCAGTTGTTCTCGTGCATCGCAGCGGGTGGGAGGAACCGTAGCAGTAGCGGTTGTTCACCGCTTGTTCTGGCTTGTGCAGAGGACATGGATGCGATTCCATCTCGGAGTCGAGGGGAGGGATGGTTTTTGGAAGGAAAGCAAGAGGAGTAGTAACCAGTGGAAGTAATTGATTGTAGTGGTTATAACTTAGCGATGTGAGAAAAGTCATCACATGTCCGAGTAGTGGCAGGGATCAGCTGTAAGATTACCGTCATGACGACCACAGACCCACGTTTCGGGCTTCACTTTTCGGGGACGTCACTTTTAGCTTCCTTGTCCACTACTTCCCGTCAAACCTACCACTCACTCGCTCTCACTCAAGTCTTCATCTCCTGCCTCTTCCTCAATCAAGTCTTCTTCTCTCCATCATCGACCACCCCCTCTCCTCCCCTCCCCTCGCTACTCTCTTTTCCTTCTTGCTATCCACTAATCTTGCTGCTAACTTGGTTCGATCCTTTTTTGTGTTCTTCTTTTTTCGCTTTTTTTTTTTTTTATTTTTTTTTATTGTGTTGTTTGCTTAATCTAAATCTCCCGTCCGCTAATTTAGTCACACCCACACACCTTTACGTGCACTAGTCCCTGACCCATGGAAGCCATCGTTGGAAGGGTCTTATTAGAGTAGCCAAACCCTCGGCCTCATCGTCACTATCATCGCCGACTCTAATGATCTCACGACGAGACGACTGACCACTCGCACCATTCCCGTCCCAACACACACCTCCTAGCCGGCTGCCTGAGATCTCCTAAACGAATCCCGGCACTATCGCGCGGTCCCACAAGCTTCCAGATCGACCGCGAACTCGGAAGTGCATATCCGAGGGTCCGAAGTGCACTTTTCCCCCTTTCTTCAACAAAAAACCCCAACGCGCACCATGCCCACTGGCGAACAAATGGACGCTCTGGGAGCTTTTTCTTATCTCTCAGACAACGCACCGACCTGGATTGATCGGCTTTCTGAGTTGGCTGCCCATACCGCAGCCAAACACGCCGAATTCGCCAATGCTCACAAGCGACACGCCGTCCTGAAAACCCGCCATCGCAAGAACAGCTCCGTCTGCTCCATTCGCACAAATGACCTGAACTCTACACCGCCTCGCTCCGGATTCCCGTCCCTTTCGTCTGCGCCCGAGCCTAGAGAAGGAACTGCAATCACTACTCCGAACACCTCGGAGAACCAACCAAACTCGAACCCCCGGAAACGCAGCGCCGACGAAGCACCCTTGGGAGAGTCGAGTGACCGGGACTTCGTCGTCAGCACACGGGATAGCCTGATCATTGAATACGATGGACACACACAGAAGGTCTTGGAGGAAATGGTACGCAATATCGGGACAGCCCGCAACAACATGCGCCGTGGAAAGATGTCGCAGCTACGCACATCCACCTATCGTGGCCCCATGACGAGTCGCGGGTCGATGGTGTCTCCCATTGCTGCCTCGCTTGCCGACTCCACTTCCACGGAAGGCGACGTCCTGTCCCGCATCCGGAGAGCCCGGAGACAAGGGCCCCCGACCTCCCGAGCCCCGCCCCAGTCGCAAGGATCGCCTTTTGATGCGGCAGAGAAACTGCTGGAGCTGGCGCATGGGGTGTGCGAGACTGCGGCCTACCAGTTCCTTCGGGCGGGTGACTGTTCATCTGAATTAGCTACCGTGAAGCAAAAGCTCCAGAGCCTGCTCGATCTGGCGACTAAAGAAGTGCAACGACTCAAGGCAGAGCAAGTAGAAGTGACGGTAGTGCAGGAGGCGAATGCACCGACACCGACACCGACACCGGCACCGGCACCGGCGGCCGCGAAGCCCACCACGACGATGGACGGCGACCGTCTCTCCGTGACCAAGATGGAGACCATCGAAGTGGATGACGGGTCTGACTCGGTCGAGTCGATTGATTTGATGGTCTTTCGATCTAGCCGTATTCAGGGGTAGGATTTGAATCTTTTGAATTGGCGAAGCATAGCGTTTGGCGGGGGACACTCATTTTTCACAGCATGCACGGGGTCAAGCGATCGTTTTTAATATTCCCCTGGCGATGATACCACTGGACCACACTTAGCCAGCGTTCTTCTATATACAAGCGTGGCTGTCAATTCTTCAGTAGCGTGGTTTTAGCTATAGCATAATGGTGTTTAGTTTGTCGATTAGTGAACATTTACATACTACCCCTTCATCTGAACTCCCATCTTGAAAATGTCTCGCATGCCAGTAACCTGAGTATACGTATCCATCATCACCAGTTCATCCAATATCACCGGTCCACTGCTAACTACAGCTCACGACGAACGGGTTTCGTAACGCGACCCCTAAACTTACCGGGCTCCATCCACCCGCATGATCGGGCTCCACTGCGCCCGGCCACGGCAGATTCCCAGTTCCTCATCCAATCCAGGCGCATCATGATTGGCTCCTTCGTATGCGGCCTGCCATCCGAACAAAACAAACCGACCGGGGGCAGGGGGGGAAGGGGTTTTATGTTAGACTGGTACCCACAGAGTAGACTAGACTAAGTACTAAATAACTAGAGGGAAAATGAAAAGGAGGGGCGCAGGGAAAGCCACTCCCGACAAAGTGAGCGATGGGTGCCGGGCGATCGAAACTTTGCTTGCCTTGACTTTGACACCTCCAGCAAACTGACACAGTAGCTAAAATGGTTTGTTTGTTTGGCTAGTAGTGTTTGCTTTTTGAAAGGTCGGGTCGGAAGTAAGCTTCTTGGTTCGTGTTTCGATGGACCAATTAGGGGTTTGGTCGTGGTGGTGATCGGGAGGGGTGTCGGGGAGGGAGATCTGGGTGATTGGTATCCTTGGGCGGGGTGTACTACTATGTACTGTAGTTGGGGTTGGATGTATGACGTGACGGGGGGGGTGTGGGGTTTATATGGGGGACATGTCAGAGGGAGATTTGGGATGAGATGGGATGCGATCTCTGTTTGGATGGATGAATGGGAGGTACGGAGCGAGAAGAATCAATGCGAAACATTGTTGTTGGTGAAGCAGCACTGAAGTGTTACTCTGGACCTGCTGCCAGTGCTCGGTAATGGACGGAATACAGTAAGCTCTTTAACTTGGGTGATCGGTTGCGGAACCCTACCGTGTGAGTGGGGAAGTGACAGGTCGGAACTAGTTCCGGGGAGAGGCGGATCTAGTGAAGACGGCGGCTGTTGCCGGTTAGTCGGGGTTTGTAGCAATGGTACTAGACTTATAGGTACTGTACATCCAGAACTGCGTTCGTTGGGCAAGCAGGGTTGGGTGCTTTGGTACACTAGACTCAAAGTGAAGGTTGGCTCTGCTCGGCTTATCATGGTTGGAGAGGCTCATAGATTACCGTATAACTAGTACTGCTTGCGGGGAATCTCGATGAACCTGGGCCGGGTTCTGGCATGTTGCCTGACTTGGTAAGAGCTATTTAGTTCGATGATAGACTCAACCTGGCCTGACAAGAACGAAGGGGCTCCCAAGAATCTGAGTAGTCGATAAGATGGTTGATGCTGCCTTTTATCTGTTCAGCGCCTTCGCGCGCAGCATCATACATTTCTCGAGCACTATGCTCAATACCCTCTGAGTCTCATTGCCTTGACCATATAAGCTAGAAATCGAGATGTCTCACTGCAACTTCGAATAGTGTTCCTGGCTCCTGTCTCTAGGACTTGATGTCTATCCTTGCTTTGGCTTCACCATCTCGTAAGCATCGGAAAACGTGGCTGTGGTGATCTTTACAGATATTGCTTGATTCTCTTGTCAATTTACTCTCACAGTAATGCGATGTAAGCACTTGGTACAACTGACTCGCCTTGAACGTTAGATCCTGGCGATTCGACTGCCATTGGATCATGCTTACCAATTAGTTGAATTCAAATATCCCTTACTGGAAAAGTTTATGGAACATGATCAGTACAATCAGACCAAGCATGGAAGATACTTGCAGGTCGAGGCTTCCAGAGACGCTGATAGCAGTCCCCATGTAAACGATATATTGATTAGAATCTTAGTATACAGATAATGAGAATTTGAAGATGGAATCCAGAACTAGTCGAGGTAGCCTGCTGTCTCTGCCGCTGCTCAGCGTTAGCTCTTCGATGCAGGCTTGTGGCTTGCTTTGCGTGCATGTAGTCTCGTCGTCTGAGAGTACAGAGAGAGACAGACCAAACGACCCTGTCAACAGCCAGACATCATGCATATGACCAACAGAACTCATTCAGCCGACTGTTAGATCGTAGTACAAACCATCAGGTGCGGGCCGGGAGTGACCATGTGCCGGCGGTTGTGCCTGCCATTCTGATCACCCGCTGGTTGGACAATAGTATGAATGTATTCTCTCAGACGACAACAAGCCTCAGTCACCTTCTGTTCATGTTTATTGTTATCCATCCTTTTCCTTCACGGCGACATATTCTTAACACATTCCTATAAAGCCTTACCACCGCCATCTGATGTTGACGCTTACCATCTAGAAAATGGATCTAGCTCACCTTGACTTCAAGACACACAAGAATCTCCACGATGAGCCATCGGAAGCTTCACGTTATCATCGTCGGTGCCTCAGCCTCTGGCTTGACCCTCGCTCACTGTCTATCCAGCGCCGGTGTCGACTTCACCGTTCTCGAAGCCAGGACAAGTCAGATCTCTCATGGTGCCGGGCTCGTCATTCAGCCAAACGGGGCCCGCATTCTAGACCAACTGGGGCTGTATGATGAGGTACAGCGGCAGGCAGAGCGCATCGCCTCGCACAGCACATGCTTCGACAATGGGCGTCTCCTCCTGAACGTTGACACTCGGTTTCTGACTTCCCGGCGGTAGGTTCTGACTTTTGAACGTGCGCTGCACAGTAGCTAACTCGAGGAATAGGACCGGATATCCACTTTTCATCATCTCACGACAAGCATTGCTGAGTATCCTCTTCGACCATCTTCCTCGTCGAGACTGCGTACGCTTTGGCAAAAAGGTCATCCGAGTTGCACCATCACCTGGGGATGTCACAGTCCACACCGCCGACGGCTCCGCACTTGCCGGAGATCTGGTCGTCGGGGCAGATGGCGTCCACTGCGCTCCCAGATGTGGCAATATATTCGGTCTCGTAAAAGCACTGCTGGTTTTGTCCTAGGAAGGGAAATACCGTTAGAAACCTCGTTTGCGGGTGTGTTTGGGATTGCCGAGTCCGTCAAAGGACTCAAACAGGGAGTAGCCTATCGTACGTTTGGAACAGGCTGGTCGATGAAAGTCATGGTTGGGATGAATGCGCAGGTTTTCTGGTACGTCTCCATGATATGCCCGCAGTTGAGGGGGCAAGCGTGGCGACGTCAACAGGGCAAGACAAGCGTCGGGCCCATGTTGGCACCATTTCTCAATAAGCATGTCTCCCGGGATATCTTCTTTGGGGAAATCTATAACCGCACAAGTTCGTTCACTTACGTACCGATCGAGGAGTCTTTCCAGAACCAATGGTCAGCAGGGCGGTTTGCATGTATAGGAGACGCAGTGCACAAGGTCGGATTATACCATGGTCAGTACTAGCATTGTTATATGAGGTCGACTAATCTGCCTGCAGATGACACCCAACATAGGACAAGGAGCGAATTGCGCTATGGAGACAGCTGCTTCCCTTGGCAATTATATCCTCCTGGCCAATGACACCTACGCTACCTGCACGGAGGCCTCGCTTGAGTCAATGCTGGGGGATTGGGAGAACGACCGCAAAGGCCGGATGAGGCTGTTCTATTGGGTGTCAAAGTCAGCAGTACGCATTGAAGCAGGCAGGAGCTGGTGGCTGAGAATTCTTCGATCTTACTTGAGTTACTTTCACGCTACAATGAGCATTGTGCTCCTCGGTGACATCACTCCACAAACGGCACGAGTACAGCATCTCCCGTTGCCTCTGCGACGAAGGGAGCCTTTGAAGAGTCGAAGGGATCTGCAGGAAAGACCTTGGAGCATGTGGTTCTCAGGATTGCCTGTTGTATCGACCATGATTGTGGCTTTGCTCTTCGTTGTCCAGTCGCTCACAAAACCGAGGGACTGTAGAGCGTCTTAGGTTGCTGCGCTAATCGGCCTGAAGAAGAAAGCTGAACTTGTCTCACATGATTTACATCGCGCAAAATGATTCCCTATAAGAGGTGGGGGGGAGGCAGCTGTATTGCCTTGGGACGGTATAAGGCGAAAAGAGGTTTGGGTCGGTTTCTGTTCCGCCAGCTGAGCCCACTTGCGGGATTTACCAAAGCCACTGATCTCAGTTCCTATTTAGCACTCAGACCACACCTTGCTCCGATTAATGGCTCAGAATAAAACCCTCAATGTCGTACTTACCATGTGGTCTCAGTGGAAGGCTACCGAGCTGCAGCCAAAAATCTCGCATGACAGATGCACAGCAACGGACGCATGGTTGACACCCCGCGGCATGTTAACCCAAGTATAAAGAGCAGCCAGACGCGATACCTCTTGGTCTGGGTTTCTCGCTCTTGACATTGTCCCTCACCTGTCTTATATTGGTGTTTGTCTCCTTGTTGTCTGTTCGATCGGTGTCCGTCTTCCCCAGAGGCTCTAGTCAACATGGCGCACAAACGAGCCAGCTCGCCTAAAGCAGAGGCAACCCGCCTGCGCTGGCAGGAGGTAGACGAGGAGAGCGGCCTTCAGCCAAAGAAGCCTCTTCCAGAGCTTTCGAGGACTATGTCGGCCATGTCAAATAGTTCACAGCTTTCTGCACGTAGTCGGAATCGACGAGCGACTGTGGATCCTTCACTTTCACTACCGATCCATTACCGCACTGTGTGAGTAATCCCTTGGCCCCAAGTTCACGAGAACGAAGAGTGCTGATGAGAATTTGTATAGCTCTTTTGATATCGACGAAGCAAGAGAGAAAGAACGTACCGAGGCTGCCAAAACGAACAACACTGTCGTGACAGGTAAAGACTCTCAATTCGGTATTCTGTTGACATTGGGCCTAACGGGAGTCTTCCTAGACCTCTCGAACCTTGACTGGCATCAAATAACCATTGAAGAGCTGCAAAAACGATGGAGTGTGGATATTGCACAGGGTTTGTCGCGCGACCAGATCCAGCAACGCGTGCAGGAATATGGAAAGAATGCTCTTTCACCGCTGCCACACCAGTGGTTCTGGCAGATTTTTGGCTACTTTTTCAAAGGATTTGGGGCCATTCTTCTCATAGGGAGTATCCTGGTGCTTGTCTCCTGGAAACCGCTGGGCGAGCCCCCAGCTATAGCCAACCTTGCCTTGGCGATCGTCCTTCTCGCTGTTTTCTTCATCCAAGCTGGGTTCAATGCGTGGCAGGATTGGTCTTCATCCCGAGTCATGGCTTCAATCACTGCCATGCTACCGGAAAGCTGTCTTGTGGTCCGTGACAGCTCGCTCACGGTGGTCTCTGGGCCGGAGATTGTCCCCGGTGACGTGGTACATCTCAAGGCTGGAACCAAGCTGCCAGCTGACTTGCGCTTGGTTGAGGTATCGACTGATGCAAGCTTTGACCGTTCAATCCTTACTGGTATGTTCTCTTGCAGACACTCACAACTTCTTCTAATCCAGGCTCGCAGGTGAGTCTGCCCCGATCAATGGAACAATTGATTCCACAGATGACAATTACCTCGAAACACACTGCATCGGTCTCCAAGGCACGCACTGCGTTGCTGGAAGCGCCGTTGGGATTGTCGTCTCTACTGGTGACTCGACCGTCTTTGGTCGAATCGCCAAGCTGACGAGCGAGCCCAAGAAAGGCTTAACCACCCTGGAAAAAGAAGTGTTGCGCTTCGTGGCGTTCATTGTCGCGATCATGGTAGCCATGATCATCCTCGTCGTCGGTGTCTGGTCAGTGTGTCCCAAATCAAAGACACTGTTCAATGCTCATTATTTTTAGGGCCGGATGGTTACGAAAGAAACATCCTGATTGGATAAACGTCCCGACTCTGATTGTTGACTGCGTGAGCGTTGCTATCGCATTCATCCCAGAGGGCTTGCCCATTGCCCTCACCGCAAATTTGACAATCACAGCCAATCTTATGAGCAAGAACAAGATTCTTTGCAAATCCCTGAAGACGGTGGAGACTCTGGGTGCTGTCTCTGTCATCTGTTCGGACAAGACTGGAACGCTCACTAAAGTTCGTCTGTCAAGCCACACAATCGAAATCACTGCTAACAGTTCCACACAATAGAACAAAATGTTTGTTACAGAATGCGCCGTGTCAACGACATGCTTCAGTCCTGATTCGGCAAGAGACGAAATGGTCAGAAAAGGCAAGAAGAGTGGAGTTCACCAACTTCGTGCGATGGCTGGTCTCTGCAATGCAGCTGAATTTGATGCCGGATCTATGCAACTCCCGCTCCACGAGAGAGAAATTCACGGAAATGCCACTGATCAAGCCGTCCTTCGCTTATCCGAGGAACTTGGTTCGGTGGCTAAACTACGGCAAGCATGGAAGAAGACTTACGAGCTGGCTTTCAACAGCAAGAACAAGTTCATGATACGGACGTTTACGCTAGCAGAATCAGGAGGGCTCGGACTCGCGATGTCTGCCGCAGAGTCAGCGCAGTTCAAGCGCCATGATATGTAGGTTGACATCGCCCATCCTTTCGACTCGTTACTTACAGACCCGGGACAGTCTTTTTACGATTAAAGGTGCTCCAGACATTCTCATTAATCGATGCACACGGTACATCGACCTTGATGGTAGCGTGCAGCCACTGAAAGCGCGCATGCTGGCTCGGATGAAGGAAGTCAAGGATCAGTGGTCCGCAGAAGGAAAGCGCGTGATTCTTCTCGCGCGAAAGAGTCTTTCTGCGTCCGAAATTATGTTCCAGCCATCCTCACACGAATTCGAGACAGAAATGCTGAGCCAAGCTAAGACCGGGCTGATCTTAGTGGGCATAGTTGGCATCGTTGATCCTCCAAGAGAAGAAATCCCAGATGTCATTAGTACCCTGCGCCGCGCAGGGATCCGGATCTTCATGGTGTGATGTCCCTTTGCATATAAAGGAATCTCAAGCTGGATTGCAATGTGCTAATGCACCACTAATAGGTCACCGGTGACTTCGGTCTCACAGCACTGGCCATCGCACGCCAATGTGGAATCATCAGCACTAATAGTCTCGTCGACGATGTCACTGCTCTCGGCCGATCAGGGTCCTCTGAGAAGCCTCCTCGTACACCTACCGCATCCGCGATCACCATCAGTGGAGCCGACCTTATGAGCCTCAACGACCACCAGTGGGAGCAGCTTTGTCAATACCAAGAGATCGTATTCTGGCGAACCACTCCTGAGCAAAAACTCCGCATTGTCCGTGAGTTCCGCGCAAGAGACGAGATTGTTGGCATGACCGGTGACGGTGTCAACGATGCGCCTTCTCTCAAAGCAGCCGACATCGGCATCGCCCTGGGCAGCGGCTCGGACATTGCGATCGAAGCCTCGGACATGGTCCTTTTGGAATCATTCTCCGCCATTGTCGAAGCGGTGCAATACGGTCGCGTCGTTTTTGATAACCTGAAGAAGACGATCGTCTATCTTCTGCCGGCGGGTTCGTTCTCGGAGTTTTGGCCCGTCTTTTGCAACGTCGTTTTCGGTCTTCCTCAAGTCCTCTCATCTTTCTTAATGATTATCATCTGGTAGGCGTGTACCAACCTCCTATTCAAGTATAGCATCATCTAACAAGTGTGATTCGATAGCTGCTTTACAGATTGCGCCGCCGCCACCGTCCTCGCCTACGAGAAGCCCGAAGCCGACGTCCTCCTCCGCCCTCCCCGTAAACCTAAGCAGAACCGCCTTGTGAACTATAAACTCATCTTCCATGCCTACGGTGTTCTTGGAATCATCGAGACCGTCTGCTCCTTTGCCATGGCCTTCTGGTATCTCGAGCGTAACGGCTTCCCCTTCTCGACTTTCTGGTTCAAATTTGGCGACTACCCACCCGATATCGACCAGGACGTGCTCACAGCCCGATTGAACGAAGCCAGCTCCGTCTACTTCATTAATCTTGTCGTAATGTACGTGACTCACCTCTTGTGTTCTTCTTTTCACCATACTCTGTCGGATTTCAACCACTAACAACGGCCCCAAACAGGCAATGGTTTAATCTCATGGCCATCCGCACCCGCCGCCTCTCCATCTTCTCCCACCCACCGGCCTTCAACAAGAAAACCCAAAATCTGCTCCTGTTCCCAGCCATTCTCTTCGCCCTCTGCATGGCGATCTTCTGGCTCTATATTCCCCCTCTCCAGCAGACGTTGAACACGACCTCTGTTCCCGCGATTCATTACTTCTTGCCCGCGGCTTTTGGGTTGGGCATCCTGGTGCTCGATGAGCTCCGGAAGGCTGGGGTACGGCGCTGGCCCGATGGGATTTTGGCTAGATGTGCGTGGTAAATATGTTGTCTTGCGGGAGTGGTCATGTGAAGGGAGATGGGATGGGATGAGGAAATATATAGTCAGAGGGTTGAGGCTAGACTAGTTGGGCTACATACATGTGTCGGTAGCATCAGTCTAGGTTACACCCGGTCGATCACGGTGATAGTGATTAGGACCGCCAATACCCTACCAGCCTTTGACCCTTGGTAGCGAAGGCTGGCGGACAGGGTGGTTGCTGGATGCCAGTGGCGGTGGGCTTTGTGAACCAATTCTCTTTTTGCGATGGTGGTTCCATTTCGTCTTTCTTCCTCGTTTTTCATGTACATAGATGGATACATTTATATGCAACATATTATATCATGTTCATCCCATGTGGCTGTTTACTTGTTGGAGCATGGTAAGGTGTTGATTTGTAATGCGACCTTCTCTCATCATATTGCCCTCTAGGCAGGTATACTCCACTCTGTATCGAGTTGTGGGCATGAGGACACCGAGGTACTATACATAGAGCTTGCAGACATGCTCTAACCTGCGTAGCATAGGCCTTTTGGGAAGATCGGTATTGTGTGGGATATGATCGATAAGAAGTCCTGTCCGGCATCCACGCTTTTTACGACGGCCCACCGCGCAGAGAACCAATCACCTTCAACAGGAACATCCTGCAGTGCTCGTGCATCTCTCTTACTCATTACCATCACCATCACTCCACCACTCATCCATGCGGATTTCAGACTTTCATTGAATCATGTTATAATTGTTCATCGATGGGAACTTTTCTTCTTGCTCAAAAACCAGGATTTCCAAGGACATGTACAGCCAACACCAAAAATAAAAAAAAAAAAAAAAAAAAAAAAAAAGACAACAGGATTTATAAGAGAACATGCGTGAGATCGTCGCCGGTGGGCGGGCGGCTGGTAGTAGAAGAGAAAAAATTACAAGGTAGATAGAGAGATAGATGATGGGAATTTGGGAGGAAATCACGCGAAAGAAAAGCTTTGGAGGAGGTTTGCCAGGGTATTCTGTACAGATGCGGCGGAAAAGCGAGGGATGATGGAGGATCTGTTATCAGATCACCAGAAGTACGGGTTACCGTAGACGTCTTCGTAGCATTGGTAGGCGTCGGGGCAGCTGTTGATTGGGCGGTCAGGTTAGATTTGCCATCTCTCGCAACGGAAAAGGATGAAGGGGCCGTACTAGACAGGATCTTGCCCGAAGATGATGTGCCAGGTATACTCCATGACACCGCCGGCCAGTTTGTCCGACAACGGGGTGGTCAACACCCACTCGTAGAACCACTGGTAGTCGCTCAGAGGGCGCTGGAGCACCTGCTCGCGCGAGACGGCGAACTGCGAGCAGCAGGCGACGGCGACGACCTCGGGGACATCGGTGTTGTTGAAGAGCTCCTTCCAGGCTTGCGCGTAGACCCGTTCGGTGGTCTGCCCCGACTGGGGCGGATTGCGGAAGGGGCGGATTTCGTCCGGGCAGCCGGGGGAGAGCTGGCAGCGGAGGTTGGCGTAGCCGTTGCGCTGAACGAAGTCGGTCTGCAGGGCGCGGATCGAGTCGACGTTGCTATAGTCCATCGTGTCGGTGTGCCAGGCGCCCGGGTAGCCGTCGCGGTGGCTGTGGATAAAGACGATCGTGGAGGGGAGGTCGTCGTAGTGCTCGATGATGTACTGGAGGTAGGCCAAACTCTCGCGGCCCTTGTTCATGGGGGTATGTTTGGCGGCATTGACGTCGTCGACCGTGTAGATGTAATTGCGCCAACTGCGAGAGAAACAGAACAAAAAAGCTTGGTCAGATACGTTTTCATATCGCGATTTGAGATCGCACGGCGAATCTCCCAACCAGCCACTTTGGCAACAGAAACATCACAGGTTCGTAGGTAACATACTCGGCCAAATCATTGCTGACCCATGCTGTATCCTCCGCGGACAACTTGGCCATGACAATCACACGGTCATTAGGAACAATGATCGGGGTGGTCTCGTAGACCGGCCGGGACCCAAGTGCGATATCGTCGTCGCCATCTGCGGCAGACTGGTCCTTGTTCGCATCTCCCACCACGGAGAATCCGTCTTTGGAGTCCGCGGCCGGGGCATTGGCGTCGTTCTTGCTTTCGCTGGCCACGGGAACCGAGGAGTCCGAGCCTCCGCTTATGCCGTTGAAGCTCCAGCCGGACTGGACGCGCGAATCATCCTGGACGAGATCGAGGTGGCGCTTGATCAGGATGATGGCGACGATAAGGAGGGCGGCCGTACCGATACGGTAGGATAGTCTCATCTCATAACATTTGCTTGCTGTCTTGCGGCCGGAGAGGAGAGGGAGGGGGTGGAATCAGGCGGGCGACGTGGCTGAATTCTGAATAGAGAGGTATTCCAATGAGCGGTCGGAGTGAAGCAAGGAGAAGGAAGGGGGTGAGTGCCAGAGAAGAGGAGGAGAGAGGGAAATCGGTGTGGTAATTAGAGACGGGGCAAATAAGGAGGAGAGGCAGTAGGCAGCAGACACGGCAGGGCAAGACAATAAATTAAACATGAGCACGATTCAGGAGGACTTACTCTATGCCTGGAAGGACAGGACGAGTCTAGGCAAAAGACCGGGGTGGGGAAGGAGAATGAGGAATTGAGTGGAACAAGAAGAAGAAGGAAGAAGAAGCAGAAGAAGCAGAAGCAGAGAAGCAGAAGCAGAAGCAAAAGCAGCACAAGCTTAAAGCAACGAAGCAGAAGCCAAAGTGCGGAAAGGAACGAAGCAACCGACGGGGGCCTGAGGCTTATCTCCGCCGACTCTCGGGGCGGATTGGTTGGAGGGCGCGGTGGAGTAATGCAATTGTTACCGTATTTGATGGATACGGTTGAGGGAAATACCAGCCGATAACAAGTGGAACTTCTGCAATCAACAACAATGCATGGGCTATTCTTACTGCAATTGTATTCCGTAGTCGATGGTTCTTGTCTTCTAGAACACAACAATGTCGCCATTCCCCCTTGGAGTGGCGTTGCTTATTGCTCCCCTCTTCCTCCCCTCACGTTATGTAGACTAATTCCACTTATACTCCGTGCACTCCATCTCCGGTGGGACAAAGAACAAGGACGCACTGCGCAGTATAACCTGGCTGGGGGGGAAAGGGAAATGAAGCAGATTGTGGTGTGCCTGATCTGGGCCCAGTATCCACCGCCAAAGCTGAGTCTATCTCAAACGTTCCACTGAAGCCGAGAATCTGAGTGGCCAACCCTTTCCACTTTTGAACCCTTTTTTTGTACTTTTTTTTTTTTTACGAGGTACGAAATACTAACCCTTTTCCCTTTCATTGTCTTGCCTTGTGTCACTCACTCACTGACAATGCGCTCGTTACCTACCGGTAATTAGACAATGACTACTGTAGGTACACCACCCAGCTAAAAAAAAAAAAAAAAAAAACCCCCCCATCTATCTGTCCGTCTGCCTCGTGTGCATTAGACAGATAGGAAAGTCGCACAGCATAAACAAAACAATACCCTTTGTTCCATCTTCCAAACCCCTCCCCCTCTCTTAATTGTCCCCAGCACAACCTCGGCAATTTTAAATCGGGTGTCAATCTGGGATTGTGTCAACCTGGAAGTCATCCAATCCATCAATAGGAACAATCCTCACTCCCACCGGATGAATGTCGATCAATCTATTCGTCCCTATCAGAAGCAGAGACTTGTCTTGAAGGGCGGAAATCGACCGACAAATAGTTACGGAGTACAGTAAAGACCGGCAGTCGGTCACCCTGAATCTGAAACACGTCTTTGCCAGAGAGTGAACACAGTCAAACTGTCAGCCCGGAAGTGGAGTGGGGCGTTTTTCCTCTCGTGTCTATTAAGATTCTGGCCCGTCTCGAAAGGTAGTGGTGGTGGAAAGGGAACTAGAACCCTTCAACTACCATTGGGGAATGGATTGGATTACTTATCGGTAGTTTAGTTACAAGGATAGTAGGTAGTTGCACGGAGAATATTGGTCGATTTTAAGGTATTCTGAATTTTCGTTTGCTGCGCTAGTACCTACGAAGTACAATACACATAAGTGGACATTATCTTGGTATGCCTCACTCGCTGGTGATTGTGCTTGGCTTGGACCATGAGGGTGATACTAATAGTCCGCAGTACGAGGTCATGGCTTGAATTATGGAGCCTTTCCTCTCTTTTCATCTATCAGTGACTGTCGAACCATGAGTCCGCTAGGTCTCTGGTTATAGAGTGCAGTCAAGTTCATAACTTATCCTGTTCATTAGATTCCCCCACAAGTGCGCCCCCATAAGTGTTCCTATCTAGAAACGAATCGATGCCCGATGCCATGCCAGCAGTCATAGTGTAACAATTCAAGCAAACAGAAATCGCAACCGCCGGATCAGTAACTCAAAAGCAAATACAGAAGTTGGGGCAGAGAATAGAAAAGCAGAAGAGTCGTGTACATCATCATATCATGCAGAAGTGGAAGCGAGAGGCGGATACCGAGCAAACGCCCCAACCGAAGTTCATGTGAGATCCAGAAGACGAAGGAGAATTGGTCGGAACCAGATGAAAGCGCAATCAGCAGCATCCCGACTTCTTTCTAGCCACCTCCACCGGGACATCGACCTCTTCCCCCACACTGCTGGGCGGGAACCCGAGCCAACTGCGCCGCTTGTCGCCGTACCCAAGTCGAAAACTGCCGCCACCATCGAGATTCGCCGGACTGGCCGGAGGCATTCCATCCAGCGAGGAAGGCGACAGCAGCGAGGGACTCAAGCCGGCCTCGCGCTTGTTGCGCTGCTCGACAAGCTTCCTGGTGATCACCCGGAACACCTCCTCGATGCCCTCCCCATCCTTGGCGCTGATCTCGTGACAGCAATCCCACCCGATATCCTGGCCCCAAAACCCGCTGCTGCGCTTGCTATCGATGCCCTGGAGCGTGCTGGACGGGGGGCCGAATCCCGCCGATGGAGGTGGCGTCGAGGCTTGGGTGGGGTAGAGCTGTTCGGCGACGTACGCGATGGTGCGCTCGAAGGGCACGCGACGGCGCGATGGTTCGATGGTCACAATATCCGATTTGGTGCCCACCACATGGATCACGATGGGGTCGTCCTCGAAGACGTTCTTCTTGAGCTCGAGGAGCCAACCGGTCATTTCTTGGAAACTCTGTTCGTCAGTGATGTCGTAGCAGAGGAGACAGGCGTTCGCGCCCCGATAATAGAGTCGCGAGATGCTCCGGAACCGTTCCTGGCCAGCAGTGTCCCAGATTTGGAGGCGAACAATGGTATCGGAGGCGCTGTCGAGGACGCGCTTGGTTACGAAGGAGGCGCCGACGGTGGAGGCGGTACCGGCGGGATCGAAGGCATTCTTGACATAGCGTTGGACGAGGGAGGTCTTGCCCACGCCTGCGAGTGTGTTAGTGGAGGTGCAACAGAGATGTGTTGTGTTATGTCATGTTGTGTCGCTTGTTGTCGGGGAAGAGATGACTGACCCTGGGCGCCGAGGACCACAATCTTAGCCTCGAGAGATGAGCTCATGGCGGGGTTGACAAAGAGGCGGGGCCGAGGGAAAGCTGGATTTGCATGATCCAGCGGAGAAGGAGAGAGTGTGTGTGCACGCGCTGATCAAAGAATTTTTTACAAATGAAAGAAAGAAAGAAAGGTAGAAGACAAAATGAGTGAGTGAGTGAATGAGTGAGAAAACAAGCGAGAGGCGTGGAGTCTGCGATATGATCAGTCAGTCAGTCAGAAACAAGCAAGCAAGCAAGCAAGCAAGAAGCAGGATTCAAGGAAGTGAGCGGGAACGAGGCTCAAACAACCCCAAACCCACCAGCCATTCGTTCATTCACTTTGATTTGCCTTTGATTCATTCACTTCAGTCCCCCCCCTCCCCCCTCCCCACCACTTCATAAAACAAATCGGAGCCATCACGAACTAGAGCAGATCAGCCGATCACTGACGTCTATCTGTCGTGCCTCTCAGTCTGCCCTTTTCTCTTCAATACGATAAATAGTGCTGAGAGGTACTGTAAAGTGGTTAAACGTACTTCACAACCTTCGACCAAGTTCAAACTGTCTGAAAATAACTTGATGCAGTCAGACTCGCGCGCAAAATGCAACCAACCTGCGGCGAGATCGCAGTCCAAGAGAGTTAGTTAACAGGGAAGCAGAAGAAGACCCTCCCTTTGGCCCCCTCCCCTTACAGGGGATCAGCTGGCCTTGGCTGCAGGATTCCAGCCACGGAATTCGCCTCGAACCATCATAGTCATCATCGATCTTTTTCCAGCGGTTGGACATTTCACCTCATGGTCATTCCGCCAGCAGTCCCCAGCGCTATTGCCAGGGCACAGACCGCTAGAAGGTGCGAGAATAGGACTGAGCTTCTAGTCGTGTTCTTTTACCCCTCAAGAATCAAGATCGACAAGCGACCGACCGACCGAAGGAACTCGGACCACCCTGCAGCACCATCTCTCCAGACGATCGGGAACCTAATTAATACGAAATATTTCCAAGCGTCATGTTATGCGGTCTAGAATTACAATAGGTGAAGAAGATGCGCAGTTGGAATTCTTCCATGTTCTATCTACTCCATTCGGAGCAGTGATCGGCCATTATCTCTAAAACGACGTGATCCCAAGAAATGTACAGTACAAAATTCACAGGACAAACGTTTGAGTCTCAGCTGGTTCCACAAGCCAAGTAACTCAGGGGTAATCGCGTGGTGAAGCACCAAAAACAAGAATCAAAACAAGAATCTGGGGAATCTATATGTCCAGCGGCTGCGCCGAGTCGGAAGGGCGTAGCTAAAATCATGCAACTCCAGCCGCATATTTCGGTCATAATCAAGTGACGAAAATGTAGGAGAGCGGGGTACCCAACATCTCAGAAATAACAAAAAGGGGAACAAACAACTTGAAGTGACTCGTAGCCACCTGCAGGGGTGCCATGCGAGACGGACTCTCATGCAGACAACAGGGCAGACAGCGATCCTGGAAGCCCAGATCATATCACGCACAAGCGCATCATCCTCGTAGGTTTCATTGATCATAACAGCGGGATACGAGTGCTCTACTCGGTTTCCTTGCCGCTGTTCGAGCCGGACAGCTCGGCGGCGCTCGCCTTCTCCTCGTCGCTGGCGCCACCGAAGCCATACTCCATGGCCCTCTGCTCGACTTCGTCGTCCGTGAGCTTGGGAAGGTTCTTGGCAGCCTGGACGTAGCTGATGTTCTCCGTGTAGCCCTTGGCGAAGATGATGTCGATCTCCTCCAAGCTCCGGTTGGCGGTCTCCGGGTAGAAGAAGTAGATGAAGGGGATGAACAGGGCATTCATCGCAGCGAAGAAGCAGTAGGTACCCCAGCCGATGCTAGACACCATGACAGGGGTGATCATAACGACAAAGAAGTTGAACAACCAGTTACTGCAGGTGGAGACAGCGTTGGCCTTGGCACGAGTCTTGATAGGGGACAATTCGGCAGGGTACAACCAGGGTAGAGGAAGCCAAGCAGCACCGAAAGCAGCCATGTAGAGGAAAATACCGAAGATCGACCCCTTCGCGGCCGACGTCGTACCAGGAATCAGACAAGCAAAGGTGATAATCATGGCGATGCACTGGACAAAAGAACCACCCAGGAAGAGCTTGCGACGGCCGATCTTCTCGATAAAGAACCAGGAAAAGGTCGCGAAAATAGCATAGACGATCATGTTGACACCGGAGATCAGAAGAGCAAAGTTGGTGCCCTCATTCAGGTTCTCTTCCAAGAGCAGGGGGAGATAGTAGATGACCGCGTTACACCCACCCAGCTGCTGGAAGATTTGGGAGGAAGACCCAATCAACATACGGCGGAGATGTTGAGATCGGCCGCCGGTGAGAAGGTCACGGTATGTCACACCCTGACCTGCAGCACTCGAACTATTACCAGAGCGTTAGCAACGAGATGGTTTGACGGAAACATGGAAACGGAGTGAGTAGACTTACGCTCTGATAGAGTCAATGACCAGCTGCTTCTGGAGTTGCGTCTCGTGGTCATTGATTTCAAAGCCACCCAAGGCAGCCAGCACGTACTCTCCCTCCTGAACACGATCCTTGGCGATGAGAAAACGCGGCGAGTCCGGCAAGAAATACATTCCGACGATAATGACGATTCCGAAAAAGATCTGGAAAGCGATGGGGAATCGCCACACGAGATCCTTATTACCAAAGTGGGCACCGTAGTCGATCCAGTACGCAATGGCAGTACCAATAGCGATAATACCACCCTCGATACAGATCAAAAGACCACGGTTGCTGGTCTTGGAACACTCTGCCTGGTAAGTGGGAATGGTAGAGGTATTCATTCCGTTTCCGATACCGGTGATGACACGGCCGATAAAGAATTGCAAGAGGGGAATGTGGCCAGCGAAGGAGGTGACCTGAATAATGACGCCGATAATCATGATGGTAGCTCCGGTCATAATCATGATGCGTCGGCCAGTCCTATCACCGAAAAATAAAGCAAACAAAGCACCAGCCAAACAACCTGCATAGAGAGATTATCAGTTATGATGGTGGGCCTCGGTAGAGTAGAGAAAAAGGGTACGCACCCAACTCGTAGACGGAGGTCACCAAAGCCTGCATGGTGGAATTGTTCTTGGTGGCAGTGAACAGATCTTGAAAGGCCGTGTCGCTAATGATTCCGGACATGACACCCTCTGTAGTTCGTCGACATTAGTCAAGTCTCTTCATGGTCGATGAAGGGTGAAGACATACGATCATAACCGAACAGAAGAAAGCCCAAAGTAGCAACGGTCGAGATGGACACGGACAACTTCTTGCCCGACATCCCTGCGTAGGTCGGCGCCATGATGGAGTAATTTGTACCAGATGACGATCAACACTTGGGAGGTAGAGGTAGAGGAATCCCAATCCAGATAGATGTGAAGCGATCAAACAGTTAAGTTGAGTCGCTGTCTTCTCCGATAGACTCCTGATGCGATCGAGTCTCCTTGAGCTCAGTTTTCACCCTGGACTAGGAAAGAAGAAGAAGGAAGGATAAGATTGAGACCGAGAACGAGACACAACGGAGCGCGGAGAAGTTGGGGAGGGAGGAAGGGGGGGGCTTATATCTACTTAGGGTATCTCCATGGTGCTCACGGTCTCATGCATGCTGGTCAACTAACAATCTCTCTAACCCCGCCCCCCAACCTGCACGATACTCCACAGGTCAGTCAGCGACGGTCATTGAAAACATAACCACACCATTATTGTTTTGTTTTGTGGAGCAGCAGGGGACCGAATGCATCAATAACGCTGAGTTAAGCATCTTTTGGGGGTGGAGCCCAGGCCCACTGTGGGTGGGCAATGAGCAATGACATCACGGCATTTTCCCTTGGGACCACTAAGATTTTGTTATTTTTTTTTTCTGTTTTTATTACTGATTTCTTGATCAATTTCGAGAAAAGAAAAGGAAGACGGGAAAAAGATGATGGGAGAAAAGAAAAAAGATTGTAGTCACCAAAAAAGGGGGATTCGGGAGGGAGGCAAAGAAACCGAACCAAGATTGGTGGTTTAACTTTTTCTCATCCGACTGACTTTGCCTGAGAATCGGGACGGGCCCTGCAGGTGTCATTAATTGTTGTCCCTTTCCGATGAAGGGAGGAAGACGCAGCATGGGAGACCTGACTCTGGGCTGCGAGCCTGTGACGTGTCTACATAGTGGTAGTCACAAATACGGAATATCGTGAGTATACCTAAGTTAGGTAGAAGAGGAAAAGAGCTGCCCGGCCGATGTCCCAACGTGGAATCAAGTTTGCAGGGCTGACTTGCCTGTTGGTTTGGCATGTCCCACTCAATCGAGCAACTCAAGCGAAGGGGAACCATCCTCGTGCCCGCTAAATGATAGTTGGTCAGTGAGTTATGTAGAAATGTAGTGAGCAGCCGGAGTGAGCGCCGGAACTCCAGCACCCGCACCCGGGGGAATCTGAATGCGGACGCCATTGTGATTGCAGTATTTGAGCCTCCAAGATTCGATATTCCCCGGCCCAGAAAATAATCCCCATGATCAGGGTTCTGCTAGCACATCTCAAATTATGGTGCAACTTGCCAACTACATCACGAAACAGCATCTCTGCCCTAGGCCATGATGGTGGTCATGTTCCAAGAAGCAGCTGGCCCTCGTTCGGGAAGCCGTTTCCGTACCGCAGGAAATCCGTAGAGTTTCCCCGACAGCGCCTAGCGTTCGACTGCAAGGTGAGAAGGACCTTGCGCCAATAGCAATATCGTGTGTCTGAAAGAGGTTACATTCATGGATCTTTTCCCGAGTCCTTCAGTTCATCGCAACTTGGTGGGAGACCCTCGTTGCTGATTCGATCCCACCGGTTACCGATGTGTGGTTGCTCTCCACTCTTTCTCCATTTTCTGAACGCGCCGGCGATTCCATCTCCCCCATTTTCCCCTCCCGATAATAATAATTTGGCTTAGTATTCCTCCGCACCGGACTAACCTCCCTGCGATCCAGGTGTTTCTTTTGCGCCTTTCCCGGGCTTTGAAGTCCGAGTATTCATGATAAATGTACCTACTTTGTTGCCTTTTCAAGAATAAGTTTGTTCGGGTCAACTACGCAAGACCTCATGGCTGAATTTTCGCCATAGAGTGCAGGGGAAACGCCTCTACTCCGTATGGCTGCAGTACCACTCGGAACCGGGACACCTCAAAATCGGGAAGGCCGTTGGCCCGTCCCAGGTACCCCCGAATCTCGGCGATAAAAAAAAATCCATGATCCAGTCAGACAGACTGTCGACATGAGACAGCCAAGCATGCAAGAATCAGTCGACGTGTGTGCTCCGATCTGCCTGGTTATTGTACCTCAAAAATCCCCACTGACACTAAGCGAATTCGGGTGATCCTCTGGAACCCACATCTTGGCTGGCGCTGACAAGCAATGAATCAGCACTTGGTTTGCTTAGCAGAGCTTAGCATCACACAGTAGCTAAGTCCGAATGGTCAGTCGAACGATGACATACTCGTCGCCTGCCATGAAAGTGGCGGTGATTATTACAAGCTCAGTATACTTCCTAATCTTAAATACGTCAATGGCGCTTTTGGTGCCCGCACTGGCCACGAGGCGTGATTCAGGAACCCCGGGCTTGCCTGACCATGGTATACGGGATGTCGGCCGACTCCAAGCCCTCGTCTCGGCAAGAGACGGAGTGGGGGGAAGCTTGTGGGGAAAATCCAACCTTTTTGGGCAGATCAAGTGGGGATAATTCGGGGGGCTACCACGACGCGCACCTGCCGCCAATCGTCATATCGAATGCTTCGTCCTCTTGCACCCAGCAAATGTAAGCCATTGGTCGACGTGATCGCTAGCCACTGAGTTCCTGCTTCTGTGCCAATAGAACTGCTTTCTGGGCAAGACAATCTGCCAAACCTCCGCCCCCTCAAGGCCCCATCCTGCGAATGACCCCATCATTACTCATCGGGAAAGTCATTCCCCTCCATGAATAAGGATTTCGAGCAGCATCTTTGGCACTGGCTTACTGGCATTTGACGGGGAGTCTCATCACACAAGTGGCTTGAGTCAAGCAGCGAGTCGAAATCTCCTCGGGAAAGTTTCTGATTCGTACTCGACATTAGTTCGAAGAACAATGATGTAGCTTGTAAGCTATCAACAGAGCGTCTGCGGATGGAGCGGTCCGGGTAAAGATTTTGGTGGGGTTCGAAAGTAAGAACCGACAGCCGAGAAGGTGACGACATCGGTCATAAATCGTTTAGTTCTTTTGATTTGAACGTGAGATACCAGGCCAGAAGGATGGTCACCTGCATTTCCCTAGCTTGAGATGCGTTGTGGGTTTGAATTGCAGACACGCATCAAATCACTGACAATCTGGCGTAGTTCGCTTGAAGCCGTCATCACCGCTTTAGGCAGTCATCAACAATCGCCCGATAAAGGGAGTCGGCGCCGTCTCAGGCACCAATCATTCTAGTCTGCCATCCGTAGACGGAGAGCACGTTATTCTTTGACCGCTCAACACAGACCGAGTGGGTGCAGCTGCCTCTACGCGTGAAGAAAGTTATACAGCGGGGTGTTGCGGTGAGGCCATCGATCTTCACCCGACTTCTCTCCGGGACCCAGGCCGAATTTCGAGATAGATCATAGATTGACTGGCGCAGATATCGACGGAGACGGCCCGAGGGTTGAAAGCGACTGCACACGGTCGGGCTTGGCTGCGACAAGAGTCGGGAAGTGAGCAACGGGACGGGAATTTCATGTCGAATCTGTCGACGCTTCAGGAGAAGCGACCCGCCCGATAGTGTGGAAAATTTTGTTCCGCATACACCGTATCACGTAAGAGATTACCGTTGCATGATCAGCCCATCATTGGCGGACACGAGTGGACTGAAAAGAGTGAGGTTGAGTAAGAGAAAGTCAGAATCTGAATGCTGTCCCAAGCCAAAGCACACAGTTGGACGAAACAATGGTACTAGCCAAGCAGTCTTGTTGAAACGAGTAATCAGTTACCTATTGGTTGGCCGGAAATTGGTATTGGCCCGCGAACGATGCAGCTTGACGATAAGGTTGACTTGAAGACGACTTTGCTTACAAGGTGACAATTGAACTGAGGTGAAAGGATGCAGGCATGAGCAGAAGGCACACATTATACTGCCTTTCTTCGCGCATGAGCTTATGGGTAAGGGGGTAGAAGGGCCGGGAGGCCGATGCTTTTTATACACCGAGCAGCGGACCCGGCACCGGTGTGCCGAGTGTTGATGGCCATCTCGGTCTGGATGCCGGAGGTCTCGGAGCTTCAAGTCACGGGGACAGGCGAATAAAGAAAGAAATAGAATTGTGGCTTGCACTCGAGCCAATCCGGTCATCACGGATCATCTGGAGCTCGAACGACTCACTGTCAATCGAGCTCCAGAGTGCGAAAAGGGACATGTGTATCTTGGGTTCTAGAACCACTTCAGTGAAGTGCGCCGGCATCAGCTCCTCTTCCATACAGTCAGCACCTGTGCTTGATTAGTTCCGGATGAATCGAACAACTGTTCAACCTTGGGCTAACACTGGCAAGCATCCCTCATGTAGGTGATCAGGAAGTCACGCAGTTGCTCGCATCTGTCGCATACGGGATCAGTTCCTGGCGTAATGATCCGTGCATTTCTGACAGCGGTAAGTTTAAACATCGTCTGCTCATATTATGTAAGCACCACCTCAGGAAGAGTCGTTTGTTCGGTTTGTCTGGCTTTTCTCGGCATTGTTCCCCCGATTTCTGCGGATGCTAATCTCACTGCGCGCATTCTTGGACACATTCCTGCATGACCAGACCATCCGAAGATGATTGTAGAGCAGCATTACATTTTGCCAATGCACCTGCATGCATCCCATGCATGTCACTCTATCCCGTGAATATGCTTGTGGCACACCCAGCCGTTTTTGCCCTTGCTTCTCGAGGGCAACGAGGGTCATTACCATTTGCCTCCTTAAGTATGCCGTTATGTGCTACGCCCCCCTATTTCCCCCTCAATGCCGTGCTGTCCCAGCAGGACGGTTCGGTTTTGCCGGATGTGTCGTGAGGAGATTACCCGCTCTGTCGATTGCCGCGATCTACCTTTGTAGTATAGCATCTTGGTCACCACTAGCAGCCAATAGACCAGCCGATCGCTGCACTGGACTTTTGCACTGTTGAATGTTACATGCATTTTTTAAATCTTCACCGATGCACCGCAAAGTTTACTGCCATAATCCCTTCAGAAATCTCTCTGTCATTTCCGAGGTGAGCAGTTCTTCCTGTGCCTTCGTTCAAGTACCTAGCCTTTTATGATATCGCTATGTCCCTGCTTAGGGAAAGTTGTGTATTCGTCTGCATCTGAGGTGGCTGGCAACTTCGGTGACACAGGCAGAAACATTTACTATCCAGTCATCTCCATCATGGATGCCCGGTGTTATTGGTGCTTCAATCTGGACAAGCATAATTGTCTCGCTTGTCATTGGCAGAACATTGCCCAATGATTTGCCTATCAGATCTACTTCGGCGTACACTGTTACGACAACCCTCAGGGCTACGCACAATGAGTTCTTTCTCCGGATTTTACGCCCCTTGTCACATTATGAGAAGAAGCGTAGAACCATAGTAGCGTATTCTCAGGTACCGGATTTGAGTGAATAGTATCCTTATAAGGCATGTTTCTGACGTGACAGTTGAAAGGCCTGTCTACCAGAACTGACAGTCTTCTATCGTCACAGTAAGGTGGAATCCAACGAGTCTACAAGTCTGGCTATTTTGCAAATAATTGGAAGCACTGATCAAGCAGTTTCAAGGCCAGACCTGAAGCGACAATCGATCAACTCCATCCATGTGGACAAACGGGAACGTGGAGTACATATCCCACAAACGCCAGGACATCATCGCCTGTCGGTTAACCTGCCCCTTCAGATTGACGACCCTAGCCATTTGCAATCTCCCTGATATTCTTTGGTCATAGATGCACGGACAGGGACTTCTTTAGACCTCTTAGCTCAATTCTAGCGCGAGGTAATACTCTAGCAGACTGCCGCAGTCAAATCTACTGTTTAGTCCACAGCTACCATCCGAGGTTATGACGACTTCCGTCTTCTTTCTCGGCCCCAAAATGGTAATATCGTCGCTGCCGGGCAATACTCCTGAAAAGCATCTCCAATCATGTTGCTGTGTCATGAGCTCCACAGCCGCGTCAAACTGGGTTATCCCCGGGCACGTCGTCATTTACGGAGACGGCCGGCTCCTGGGGCAATTGGATCCCACTCATGATTCTTCCCCTCATTTTCCCCAAAAGAAATCTCCCCAGAGTCAGCTGTCCCACATATCCCTAGCAGAGTGACCAATGGACTCCGAATTCTGGGGCCAACGAGCTTACTCGGGATAATGTCTTTCCCGCAGCGGTAGTCTCCTGCGCATACTCGTTCCGAGGGCTCTTTTTACAACAGGCGGTAAATTCTTGCACCTGCTGCTTCAACCCCAGTGGCGGAATTTATTGAAGAGACTTCCTACGTCTTCGCGAGCGGACATGGCTATATCCCAGACTCGTGGCAAACTCATACCGTGATGAACAAGCCAGCCGCGCCTAGCTGGGAACCTTTTCCTTCATGTTCAGATATGCTCTAAATGCCAGGCATCGATTTGCGCCATGCTGCAGGAACCTGAGAAGTTTGGTCAGGATTTGATGATCAATGAGCGCATCATACCTCATCTCCATATCTCCACGCTGTTTCAGATTCAATGGAAAAGCTCAGCAGTGTCTTCTGGTGACTGGATACCACGGCTTATGTGGAATTCAACCCTTTTACTCTAGGCAGTGTTTCCTCTGGGCTTTTCTCATTATACGCGGTTATCGCGACTTGACACGCCGATGTCACCAGGCTGACCTGTCTTTGTCTCAGTCCTTCGACTTCACCTCCAAGTCACATCTCAAGGACGTGACCTGAGAAGTCCAGACTACGTCAATTTCTCATGCAAAGTGCCACACTGGCAGTCGACGCGGCGTAACGCCCACTGCCATATAATTTGGTCGAAAGTGCTAATTTTGCTACAAATGGCAGCTTGATCTGACCGCAATCGGCATGGTATCAGGGTAGATGAGCAATCATGATACGGTGGAGACAGTGAGTCTCAGTTAATTAGACTCATCAAAGCAAGATATACTCATGTCTACCACCCCCTCCAAGCGCCCACGCTTTTCTCAAAGTCATACCAAAGAACCTCACTGCTATGCTCAGAGCGAAAACTGCTTGGCATGACCGACTTACGGATCCGGAACCACTCATACACGTTTCGAAACCCCGTTCAGGCCCCAAACACATGCATTGACGAGGTACTTCATTTCCAAAATGGCCAGTAGCGAGGGCTTGTCGTTGGCCTTTCCGCCGCCTGAACCATCTCCAAGGCTTACGCCTCAACAATGAACCATACATGGCAGAGATCCTGTGTAGATGGTCTTTCCTATGAGAACTGTCATGACCAGCTATAGCTTTTTAATATTCGGTCCTACGAGATACTGCGTACTTCGATTGCATTCCAGCATAAAGCCGATAATATATGGACGTCGAAAGAATAGCTTTATTATCACCGTACCCAGGTAGTAGTTGTATATGTGGGATGAATCAACACACCAGCTTTGGCACTATACAGCGACCAACCCCCAGACTATCAAACTATGCAGCAATTAGTCCCCCGCTACACTCCCTTCTGGCGCGCGTTGCGGCTTCCAACAGTCGTACATAAGAGGCACAGTAAATGTCTTGTCGCTTGGGCTGCATGCCTCGCACTGGCCCTCCGGGGACATCGCTGGAACAGCAGCTGGGTCTCCTGGGAGAAGCGTGGTAGCTCTGAACATCGATGTGGTTGCAGAAGGGGCTTCACCCCACTGTTTTAACCCGCAGGAAATGGGTGACGGCAAAGGGGGTTCTTAAGACCGTAGGGCGTAATTGGAGGTGTGCGTTTCGATGCGGGCCTGGTTTCAAAATATTTAGTACTCCATCTTCCCTAGACATCTCATTTCAGCGCCATTGAGGCTCTTATAGGGATTTTTCACTCAGAGATTCCTCTGCGGTGATTGCCAAGGGCTGTGTAATCTCTTATGCCCCTTATAGGCTCAACTGACTGGATTAGAATGGGTTGAGAATTCGTTGGTCCCGGTGAAAGATTGCGTGCCGATTGTTGTTGATACGGGGGCTAAGATATATAAGCAGGTTCAAGAACTTCGAAACAGCACGCGTGAGCGATTACCATTACCTATTGAAGTCACAGTAGCACGCCTCAATCAAGAGTATCTGTGGAAGAATGGCCCAAAGAAGCAATAGCAGATGAATGACTATAATGATGCTGTCTGACAGGCGTGACGAAGTGTTTTGTAATGAGTTGAGCTAGAGAAACTACTCGGGCAATTTGCATTGTCAAAATATGTACCACAGCCCAAGGGATATCAAGAAAAGGCTAAAAGGGTATCCAGCTTTAATTCTTTGCAAGCTACAGAGCAAGCACACAAGTCTGAACGCGACGGCGATGCGGTAATATCGATCGTGTGGAGCAAATCTGATACTGCCGTTTTCGGCCACGGAAGATCGACGGGACCTGAAGGACTCACGAGAATATTCCTTTGGAGCAGCCGCCCTACAATGAGGTATCGCGGTCAGTATGATAAAATCAGGAGGTCATTACAGACTCCAAATGCTGTTTCCTATACATACAATTGAAATCAAGACTGCCAGCCAATCCCTGCACACACACACAAACTCGCCACGCCCGAAGTCCCGAAGCCGAGGAAGGACAAAAATTGCACAAGTACAAGTCGGCCGAGAAGAGCCCGTCGCCCGAATGGACCAACGAGTGGCCTCGCAATTCAATAGGCTCGCTGCACTTTATCCCGAGGATCATTTCCCCAGTCCATCTCATCCATCATCCTCCACAACTCAGCTTCTTCCAGAACCCCGTGCTTCTCGGGCGAATCACTTCCTTGGCGTTGCGAATCTGGGATCTCTCTTGACTCCTCCAGACTTTCTTCTTTTCTACCCTTCTCCTCCTTGACATCCCTCCATCTTATCTCTACCTAAATATCCATATCCCCCCTCTACAATCCGCCCGCTCTCCCTCTCCTTCCCTCCCGTACCACATATAACGTTGCCGCTATGACGAAACTCACCGGCGCCGACGTCGCCCAGCACAACTCCAAGGACTCGTGCTGGGTCATCGTCCACGGAAAAGCCTACGACGTGACAGAGTTCTTGCCCGGTGAGCTTCTTCTTCTTTTTTTATTTTTTATTTTTTTATTTTTCGAGGAGTATCATATTCAACATTACACTAACAACATCGTAGAACACCCCGGTGGCCAAAAGATCATTCTGAAATATGCCGGCAAGGATGCGACCGAGGAGTTCGACCCCATCCACCCTCCCGACACATTAGACAAGTTCCTCGACCAATCCAAGCACCTGGGCGAGGTCGACATGTCGACGGTGGAGCAGGAAGAAAAGGTCGCCGACCCGGAGGAGGTGGAGCGCCAAGAGCGCATCAAGCGCATGCCCCCGTTGGCGGCCTGCTACAACCTGATGGACTTTGAGGCGGTGGCCCGCAATGTGATGAAGAAGACGGCCTGGGCCTACTACTCCAGCGGCGCTGATGATGAGATTGTAAGTTCTGCCTGCCTGTGAGAAAACACATTGCAAGATGCCTCGAGACCGTTTGCTAAGATGTTCCCCCCCTCCCCCCACTAGACCATGCGTGAGAACCATTCCGCATTCCACAAGATCTGGTTCCGGCCTCGGGTCCTCGTTGATGTCGAGCACGTGGACTTCTCCACGACGATGCTGGGCACCAAGGTGGCGGCACCGTTCTACGTGACGGCGACGGCGCTGGGCAAGCTGGGCCACCCGGAGGGCGAGGTGATCTTCACGCGGTCGGCGCACACGCATGACGTGATCCAGATGATTCCGACGCTGGCGTCGTGCTCGTTCGACGAGATCGTGGACGCGCGGCAGGGGGCACAGGTGCAGTGGCTGCAGTTGTACGTGAACAAGGACCGGGAGATCACGAAACGGATCGTGCAGCACGCGGAGGCGCGCGGGTGTAGGGGTCTATTCATCACGGTGGACGCGCCGCAGCTGGGGCGGCGCGAGAAAGACATGCGGTCTAAGTTCTCGGACGTGGGGTCCAGCGTGCAGGCGTCGGGCGGCGACAGCGTGGACCGGTCGCAGGGGGCGGCGCGCGCCATCTCGTCGTTCATCGACCCCGCCTTGTCTTGGAAGGACATCCCCTGGTTTCAGTCCATCACCAAGATGCCCATCGTGCTGAAAGGGGTGCAGTGCGTCGAGGACGTGCTGCGCGCCGTCGAGGCCGGCGTCCAGGGCGTCGTCCTCTCCAACCACGGCGGCCGCCAGCTCGAGTTCGCCCCCTCCGCCGTCGAGCTTCTTGCCGAGGTCATGCCCGCCCTGCGCCAGCGCGGCCTCCAGGATAAGATCGAGGTCTACGTCGACGGCGGCATCCGCCGCGCTACCGACATGCTCAAGGCCCTCTGCCTCGGCGCCAAGGGCGTCGGCATCGGCCGCCCTTTCCTCTTCGCCATGTCCGCCTACGGCCAGCCCGGCGTCGAGCGCGCCATGCAGCTGCTCAAGGACGAGATGGAGATGAACATGCGCCTCATCGGCGCCAACAAGATTGAGGACCTCAATCCCGGCCTGGTGGATGTCCGCGGCTTGGTCGGCGGCCACAATGCCGTCGTGCCCTCGGATACCCTGTCCGCGGGCGCGTATGATCCTCTGGTCGCGCCGCGGTTCAGCGAGAAGGCCAAGTTGTAGGTGCTCATGGGGGTGTTCGTCCTGGTTCTTGCTATGACCTTAGTTTGGTTGTCTCCGTTCTGTTCATATATATGTTCCTATACCCTATAGTTAGACCCTCTATCTGATTGCATTCTTCAAAAAAAAAAAATATTGATGAGATGACCCTGCTTGTGCTTGTATTCATGATAGAGATTCTGATTCTATAAGGTGAACAAGCAACCAAGTAGTTTCTTAGTGCTTGGATGTCTTTGCAGCAGAATATTTCATAGTGATATAAACGCCTAATGCATGATGCAACGCTTTCTGAGATGAAGAATAAGCTCCCATCCACTCACCCCACCACGGGTAGTCCTTTTGCAGCTGAGCCCACCAACTCTCCCTTATTATATACAACCTAGCGTCTTACTGGCTCCTACCCAACTTCCTACGTTTCCGGTTCCTCTGAACATTACACCTCGCAATGATTTACTGAAGCCAACCTCCTCTCCTTCCAACACAACCACCCGCCGGAAATTAAGCATCACAGAACCACAACCTGAGGCTTATTCCGCAACACCCCCTCGTCGCGATAAATGCACGCGGCATTCACCATCCAGCCACACGCGGCATTCTCCCCGCCCCAGACCTTAGCCCAGACGATGCCCAGCACGCCGTACACGATCACGCGCGCGGCGTCCACCCAGCCCGAGACATCGAACAGATCGCACAAGCCACCGGTGAGCAGCGACCGGAAGCGTGACAGCCGGGCGCGCGACCGGCGGGCGGCGCAGAGGCGCTCCCACGCGCGCTGGGCCTCGTCGTAGTAGACGCGCTCCAGCCCGTAAGCGGCGTGGATGTGTCCGAAGACGTGTAGGGCGGGGCGCACGCGCCACGTCTCGGCAAGGAGGGCGGGGCACCCCGTCGAGAAGATCGGGGAGAGGTCGAGGTGCGACGCCGGCGGCGTGTGCGTGACCAAGATATCCGTCGAGGTGGGGACGGTGCCGCTCCAAGCGTCGTGGTGCGGTGGGTAGGTAAAGGCATGTTCGGGGCCAAGGGAGGCGATGGCAGGGATTTGCGGGGCGCCGTAGAGGGTTAACGTTCGGGTGCGCGCGGGTTGGTGGTGCTGGTGCTGGTGGAGGAGAGGGGTGGTTGGGTTGGAGGATGCTGGAGGAGAAGGAGAGGGGGAGGTCGGAGGGAAGGTGAGCGTGATGGAGGAGTGTTGAAGGTAGTGAATGTCGCCCCAGTCAATGCGGTCGAGGTCGTCGGAGGGGAGGGAACGCAGCGAGGCGGTCGAGGAGGAGATGGTCGCGTATGAGGATGCTGTGGTTGTGGAAGCGGCGTCGTCGCGATCTTCGGGCCGGCGCGAGCGTATGTCGAAGTAGCTGTCGTGGTTGCCGCAGATGACGACTTTATGGGCATGAGGCAGACTGCGCAGCCAGTTGACGGCTTCTTGGATCTCGCGGACGGAGCCGTCGTTGCTCAAGTCGCCGGCGTGGATGAGCAGATCGCCGTCGGGCACATCATTCCATTGGAGCGTGTGGGTGTCGGAGATGCAGACGACGCGAATGGGACGGGCATTGGGTGGTGGCAGTCGCGGTGGTCCGCGGAGTCGATTGAGCAGATGGTGGACGGGGTAGATGAAGGCGGCTAGAGGAGAGAAGATGATGTAGTCGGTAAATGGGCGGGGGTGGAAAGGAGAGGACATGGTTGAGATAGGTGAGTATTGTAGATAGGTCGGTGAGGGTGAGGGTGAGGTGAGGTGAGTTTCGGGTGAAATAACTTTCTTTCAAGGTGAGGTTTAACTACTCCATGGTTAGTGTGGATGTCTCAGTCAGTGCTGCAAAGCATGGAGGAGTTCCAGTCGTTGTAGTTGGAAGCTCGGGCTGCTTGCCATGTGCCATTTCGGCCTGAGGCCTCAAAGCCTGGCCTGGGCGTACGTAATCTCAGGATTTTGCGGAGTCAAGTTACCTAAACTTACTAAGGAAAGTGGGGGGACTGAGGCTGCCATGCCGGCCTCGTGCCCGCCATGATTGGCTCTGCCTTGCTTTCCCTCGATGCAACCTGAGGCAGCCAAGTCGGTTTTGCGACTCTCTGTGATGAGTCCACCAGGGACGCTTCCACTTCGGCGGTTATTCTTTCGAATCCTGATCTTTGCACCTTGCCGCTGAACAGGATAAACGTATACGGGTCCTTTCTCAAGTGAATCACTGAATTAGAGCCAAATCAAATGTCGGACATGTACCCGCATGGGCCGATCCGTTAGTTGGAATCATCGACTCCGCCAGCATTGACTACGGAGTAATTGAATGACATCAAGCCCAGATCGATCGGGGGTGCCAACGGGCGGGATCCTCCGATACAACTGGGGATCATTTATCTCGTGTGCTACAGTCAAGTGACATTTTTGTTGGATGGATTATGTATGGTACATGCTCCTGGAAAACTCCCGGAATTCGAGGCTAGAAGCTTTTCTCTGCATGCGACACGAGAAAGACCAATCAGTATCTCACCGTATACTTAATCGACGGTTACTTATGGGATTGTTGACCTAATTGTCATTGGAAGAACTTGGCTCATGGACATGTTAATGATAATGTTGTATACTACATAATACTACATGGTGCTGTGGCTATCTGCCGCTAAATCATCTCCTGTAGACACGACTGCCACGCCCAAGGCGCATGTTCTAGAATCTTATACACAAGTACGGAGTACAACAAGTAAGCAAGTTCTTCAAGTCCTCGACAATTGAACATGATCTGTGATCTCGGGTCTAGGAAGGACTGACTTGTTGCCCATCCAGGCCCAACCGAGTAGATTCCCTTGATTTGCCACTTATTGCTGGTGGTGGTTGTCCACCTTGAATCGTAAGTGTATTGTGTTGGTGTTGCTTCGCGCGCGCTCTCCGTCTCTCTTCTTGATCTCTCCTCGCCAGTACGCTTGCGGACATTCCTTGTCGATCTGTTGTCGACACCTTGTTTCTTCAGCTGTCTGTCTCTCATATCCTACCCTTGGTGGATGTACAATATTTCCTGAAGAGGGTCTAGAGGAATCGAAACGAGGATCACATCGGATGGTGGTTGGAGGTGGTTGCATTGATCCGTCTATATCGTTTGCGTCATAACCCCCGTCCATCAATCCCTCGTCTTTTTGCCCTTTTCTTCTCCCTCTTCTTCGCCTGGAAATCATTAGGCTCTGGTTTCCATATTCATGCATCGCATTCTGCATTATTGCGTCTGCTAGATTAATGAAGAATCCCTTATATCCGAACTGATTCACAGACTGCAGTGCGCCTCATTGAACCCTCAATCGTCTACTATTCATATTTTCCTTTACAACCAAACCCCATTGCGGGCGCTGCTGAACCCAAAACCCAAACCAAACGACCCCTCAGATTCGCCCTACCCAACACAGTCTCTGCCCAGTAAGTATTTGTACTGTCTGTCTGTCTGTCTGTCTTCTCTGTCTCATCTCTGCCCGCCGCCTCCGGCTACAGCCACCAACTAAAGGACGGACTCACTGATTATTGAACTGACTTACTGGACTTGACGCTACTAGGAAGAACACCCGCCATCCCAATCCCTCCCTCCTCCCAACCTCCGTCCTATCTTTTTCCTTCTTTGCCCCCCTCTTCCCTCCCTCCCACCCCCAATAAAAAAAAAGAAACTTTCGCCTCCCTCACTTTCAAACACTCCCCCGACATCCACCCGGTAGTTACGCATTTCTTGTAACATCACCATGGACGGGGTCGAAATCACCAAAGCCGTAATCAATAAGGGAAAGCAGATTGCTAGTGTTGCTGCGGCCGCTGCTAATGGCAATGGCGGTAAGAAGAGAAGAAAAGGGACCGACTTAAAGCCGATCGTCACCAACGAACCCGGTGCGCCTGTCGACCAAGCGACCACCAACAACACTGAGGGGTATGGTCTATTTGCTTGTTTCCCTTACTGCCTCGTGTCTATGACTTCACTTCTATCTCACCTCATTGCTTAAATCTTTCTCGTTGCCTTACTTTGTCCACCCTTACAGCCTGCTTCTCCCTCTAAAAATCCTCTAACCGCCATGTCTGGCAGGAATTCCGCATACGGCGCCCCGCCATCGCGCTCATCCTCCTCTTCCTCCGCAGAAGAACTGGAGACAACCGCCGAGGAGGAAGACTCGGAAGATTACTGCAAGGGTGGTTACCATCCCGTCAGCGTCGGAGAAACCTACAACAATGGACGATACGTGGTCGTGCGCAAGCTCGGGTGGGGTCACTTTTCGACAGTCTGGCTGTCCCGCGACACGACAACCGGCAAGCACGTCGCTCTGAAGGTCGTTCGCTCCGCCGCTCATTACACTGAAACCGCCATCGACGAAATCAAGCTGCTGAATCGCATTGTCCAAGCGAAACCGTCCCACCCTGGTCGCAAACATGTGGTCAGTCTGCTCGACTCCTTCGAACACAAAGGTCCCAATGGTGTTCACGTCTGCATGGTCTTCGAGGTGCTGGGAGAAAACTTGCTCGGATTGATCAAGCGCTGGAATCATCGCGGTATTCCCATGCCGCTGGTCAAGCAGATTACGAAGCAAGTGTTGTTGGGTCTGGATTACCTGCACCGGGAATGTGGAATCATTCACACCGATCTGAAACCAGAGAATGTGTTAATCGAGATTGGTGATGTGGAGCAAATTGTGAAAACCTACGTCAAGGAGGAGGCCAAGAAAGAACAGAAGGAGGACAACCGCAACGGCCGTCGGCGGCGCCGGACCCTGATCACTGGCAGCCAACCGTTGCCTAGTCCGCTCAACACCAGCTTCGAGTTCAAGCACAGCTCGCAGAACTCTCACAGCAGTCTCAGTCAGATGGTGAACGACTCGTCGGGTATGTTTTACTTGCTACAAGGGATTTCTGGGCATCAGAAATCGCTAATTGTAACTGGCAGAGGCTAATTCGGGGGCTGCGTCGATGAAAGAATTATTAGGCATCAAGGACGAAGATGAGAAACAGAAGCAAAGAGAGAAGACTGCGTATGTTGCTCGAGATGGAATGGACGGCCAAGGACCTCGGACTAACCAAAAGGCAGTGACCTCTTGGAACGCGAAGTATCGGGTATCTCGCTCGACAAGTCTTCCACACCGAGTGATGAGCTGGACTGTGACATAATTTCGGTCAAGATCGCCGATCTGGGTAATGCTTGCTGGGTTGGACATCACTTCACCAATGACATTCAAACGCGACAATACCGGTCGCCCGAAGTCATTTTGGGGTCTAAGTGGGGAGCAAGTACTGACATTTGGAGTATGGCGTGCATGGTAGGTTACAATTCCATTGTTGTCGCGTTCGGTCGCCTGACATTGCACAGGTTTTCGAACTCATTACAGGCGATTACTTGTTCGACCCGCAATCGGGCACGAAGTACGGCAAAGATGACGATCACATTGCACAAATCATCGAGCTGCTCGGTCCATTCCCCAAGTCGCTCTGCCTATCAGGAAAGTGGTCCCAGGAGATATTCAACCGCAAGGGCGAGTTGCGCAACATCCACCGTCTGCGCCACTGGGCACTTCCCGATGTGCTCCGGGAAAAGTATCACTTCAGCGTGGAAGATAGCATGCGCATCAGCGAGTTCCTTCTTCCTATGCTTGAAGTCTCGCCCGAAAGACGAGCCAACGCTGGCGGTATGGCTGCCCACGAATGGATGAAAGACACACTCGGCATGGAGGCGGTAGATCTGGGCATCACCCCTGGGAGTCGAGGCGAAGGGATTGATGGCTGGGCGACAGAGGTTAAACGCAGATAAACGCCGGGCAAAGACCATGAAAAGTGCATTAGGGAGGGATGCGAGGACCCGTGATACTCTTTGTAGCCACGGAGTCAGGTGACGAGTTTCCTTTGATATGATTTCGAGAGGCGGATCTTCTTCAAATTCTATATTTTTGGTTCCTTTATGGCCGTTTGACTGGATGTTTATGATTGCCCTGAACATGATTTGCTTGCATGGTCGTCCACTGTGCCGGTCCCCTTTACAGACCCTTTCGCATTCGCTTCGTTTCAAATATTCTCCCGTGATAGAAAGTCCATCTGACTTGTGACACTTATGGATGTTCATTAAATGACGAGGTTCGATTAGTGTAATCTCAGATGCGCCGAGGTGCATAATTCCACGGATGGTCCTCTTGTGGTGGTTTGTTCGCATCTTCTTCGCCTACAGCAGTGTACCGTTCTTGTTTATGTCTGATGTGGGGCCAGTATCGCCAGTATGGAACTATCCTACCATTAGTATGCACAGTACACAACCGACCAGCGAAAAAGATCAACAAACCAACTCGTTCCCATGATCATCCCCATCGCTGCCCCCCCTCACCATCTCCCTCCTCCTCCTCTTCCTCTGAATCCAGCCCCTCCTCACTCGGCAACACCTCAGGAAACCAGCCAAACCGCCCCAAATCCACATAGAATTCCCCCATACTATCCACCTCTACCTCCACACCCTCCGCTCGCAGTGCTTCAGCCTGCCGTTCTGCACTCCCCGGTCCACTGTTCTCGCGACCCCAAGTTTTCCACTGTCAGCGACATTTCCATTTAAATAAAAGAAAACAACAACAAAGAAGACACATAGGACAGTGGCAAGGGAAGCCTTACCGATGCGAGATCATCCCTTTACTATTAATCACCCGCTGCCACGGAACGTTACCGGAGTGGAAGAACGGGGTGGTTGATGCTGCTCCTGCCTCTGCTTCCTCTATTGCCTCCGCAGCTGCATCAGAGGGGGCCGAGGGGAGATGTTTCAGGCTTACGCCTACTTGCCGGGGACGTTTAGCTGGGTTTATGATCTGGTTAGTTTAGGATCTTGGCTAGTAGGGAGTAGAAGGGTTGACGGCTCAGACCAGCCCGGGGAAAACACGCCAGGTTTGGGGAGCTTCTAGTCAACTACTAATGGGTCATGGACAATCAATCAAGTGTAGACATACGATATCCTAGAAGCAGAGCGATATGGCCATAGGAGGTTACGCGGCCGTAGGGAATCTCCTGGATGGCTTCGTAGACGGCGTTGATCCACCATTCTGCTTCGTCGGAGCGGGGCATATTTTTTTTTGATCTTTTTCCTGTTAGGTGGTGTCGTTGCTGAGCGGATTTCTGGAGGACGAATGAATGGGATGGGTGTATCTTGACGGTGCTATATCTATGCATTACATTCGACCTATCTAACTTAGATGCATCATTCGTCTCAAGGGGGAGAGGGAATAGTGTATGATATGGCGGAAGTATAGTATACGCCGTCGTGGGACATTAGTAAAATTACCGTACCGTACCGGCAGAACCAATCCTCCGACACCCAGGCTCCAGCTCAGGCTCTCCCCGTCCAGACTTGGAGCTCTTTTCCCCGAACTAAGTTAGCATTTACTCTACCTTTTCGATCCTCAGATAACACGCACACTCAAACTACGACTACATAACCCAACTACTTGCTCACAGCACAACCTCGACATCTACGGACATACACACACACACGTCCACCTAACCCATCCCGGCCACCAACCCCCCCCCCCCGGACAAACACAATACCACAATGCCTTCCTCCTCACTAGCAGACTACCTCGCCAAAAACTACCTTACCGCCGACCCACCAGCCCCCGCCGACCGCCCCAAAAAGAAACGCAAGAAGACCAGCAAAACCGAAGAAGCTTCCGGCCTTATCATCGCCGATGACGATCCGCCGGATCTCCGCGCCGCCGCTGCCACGGGAGCCCGGATGATGGACGATGACGAGTATAACCCTATCGTTGTGGCGGGACGCGGTGGTGGCGGCGGCGGCGGCGGTGGGGGTCAGTTCCGGCGCGCGAAGAAGTCTGGTTGGAAGACCGTTGGTAGTGGTGCTGGCCAGGATGCGGAGAGTGATGCGGCTGATGCGATATTGGCGTTGGCGGCGGCGGAACGGAGGGCCGGGCGCGGGGGGGATGAGATGGATGAGGATGACGAGCCGGTTGTTGCGGAGGAGGGGGATTTTGATGGAGGGCTGAGGATGGAGTCGGGGGCGAAGGCGGGCTTGCAGACGGCAGCGGATACGGCGGCCATGGTGGCGGCGCAGGAGCGGAAGAAGAAGCTGGAGGCTGCCAGGTTCAAGGATAGCCGGGCCGGGGAGGGGGAGAAGGCACAGGAGACGATCTATCGTGATGCGTCCGGGCGGATCATCAACGTGGCGCTGAAGCGGGCGGAGGCGCGACGGGCGGAAGAGGAGAAGAAGCTGAAGGAGGAGGAGGCCCGCGAGGCGCTGATGGGCGATGTGCAGCGACGCGAGAGGGAGGAGAGACGCCAGCAGCTACAGGAGGCCAAGGCCATGCCGTTGGCGCGCAGGGCCGACGACGACGAGCTGAATGACGAGCTGAAGGCGCGCCAGCGCTGGAATGACCCCGCCGCGCAGTTCCTGACCAAGTCCACCGGGCCCGGGACGAGTGTGACGGGGAAGCCCTTGTATAAGGGCGCTTTCCAGCCGAATCGCTATGGCATTCGGCCGGGCCACCGCTGGGATGGCGTGGACCGCAGTAATGGCTTCGAGAAGGAGTGGTTTGCGGCGAGGAATCGCAAAGGGCGATTGGAGGCGCTGGACTATCAGTGGCAGATGGACGAGTGAATTGGTGATTGCGTATATATTTACCTTGGCTATGACTCTGCTATGACTCTTGTTACACAGTTGCAGTGCTGGACACTGGCACTGATGACTTCGATAATTACCGAATGGGGAGCCCGACGTGGGCTGGAAGTTTCTGCACGTTATGTACATTAAATATGTCTGTACACCAAGTACGGAGTAGATCGGTGCGATAAGGAGTTTCTGCAACCAACCCGTTAGTTAACATGCTTGCTGATGTCATGTCCGTGGCTGCGCTGAGTCTCCGCCATGACCTCCAACTGCAAAGCCCTTCCCCAGCCATCATTGATCACCCGCCGCGCTAACGGAATTCCGATCAGCGACAGGGAAGACGTGCAGCTGGTGACTCGCGGGACTCGCAGGATGCGATCACGTTCACCAGCTCTGTAGCTGACAAGCGTCATCATCATCATCATCAACCGCCTTGCAGTCATTCCCCGTGAGCACGGTGGTCTCCCTTATTCGTCCACCACGAGGCCTGGACTGACACAAACTTGTGCACTGAGTTACATACAGTGTGAACCCTTGCGGAAGAGAAACAAACCGGAGAAGACACGCCAACATCATCATGCCATTCTGCAGCAAGTGAACGTCCAGATAAGCCAACGTGCCTGAAGGGAGTGGATCGGATTGACAACCCATCTTTGGTTCCAAACGTCTCAAAAATATCAATAGTCCTGCTTTAACCTCGGGAGAAAGAACAACGGAGGGGAAGATAAACCATGGGTTGGGGGGGTTTGCAAGTGGCGCTCTCGGGGGATCGGCAGCCTGCGATAACAATCCAGGAGAGGCTACTCCGATACTACTCGCTCGCTCTATCCCCATGGGATTCCCGATAACGAATCTTGTTCTGGCTTCAAAAAGTAAAAACCTCTTGGAAGTTGAGATCAATAAGCCCATTCATAAATCATAAATGGACAGAATGGATGATATTCACCAGATGACCTATCATCCGCCATCGGTTCCCTCTTTCGCCCTAGACGGTACCCCGTGCTACCATTTTCGTATATGACTGATTGCGACTCACTAACCACGAAGGTACCGATAAGTTAATAAGTAGTCACCCTCCAGGAGGCTATTGACAGCATAACCCTCTTTCCCCCCTTCTGGGAATGACTACTAGCCCATTCCCCTCCTCACTAGGTTGTCAACTCTCTTCTCTGCTCTCACCTGCAGTGAGGTTTGTTCCCCTTGAATTGCGCAATTTGCCGCCTTGACCAATATCCGGATCGCTGATGACTGGAAACCAGCCGGGTTTCTTTATGAGTCAGACCAAGAACGCCTTGTGGTAGCCACGGTCATTGTTTATCGGACGTCTTTGGTTCGTGGTTCATTACTCAGAATCAGGACCCTTCTTTTTTACGCGCCTTCGGCCAGCCTTGTTTCCCTGGCTTTAAATCCGTTCCCTCTCATCCCATCACTCGGAGCCGGTACAGGCAACAACCACCCGTTCCTCCCAAAGCGTGTACAACGCGTCTCTCTAGAGACCAGCCAGATCCTTCTTATCACACATACACTTTGACGAACGACGAGTGACTCCGTCGGCCGTCATGTCTGAATCCTTGCTTGATATGCGCCGAGCTGATAAGGAGGCCAAGCGGGCTCACGACCACAAGGCGAAATGGGCTTACGGTACTCGACGTGCTCGTCACATCCCTGAGCCCCTCTCGTCCACCCTTCCTTTCACTCGCCCGGCGATGCCTATTACTCATAGCATGAAGTAAGGACCAGTTCTGCAGGTGCCCCAGTCTATTGCAAATCTGACCGAGGAAATAGCTTCACACGTGCCCTGCAGTTCAATCGCAAGAGCCAAACCAACCACCTGGCCAGCGATGCCAAGATAGCCCTCCGTGCCGATGTCCGGGAAGCCCTCGAGAGTGGTCCGTCCGACTCATCTGGGGATGATGTCGACGCTCCCGGGTCGATCAGTAAGGCTCAGGAGGAGCTCGAGGACAAGGACGGCAGCCTGCACGATTATGACATCTCAGGGCAGACTATACTCTCGGACGCTGTCAGCAAGGCGATTGAGAAATTTGAAGTCAAGGAGACAGAAAAGATCATCAAGACGTATGAGATAATTTCTCGCGAGAGCGAGACGGCCATCGGTTATCTGGCTGACGATGATGACTTTGAAATGGTGGACCACATCCATGTCTGATCTTCTTGCTTTCTTCTTGCTTTCTTCCAGCTCTCATACTGTTATTCTAGCGTCATGATCTTTCGGACTGGAGTTGAGCTCGTCTACTTGGGGGTATTCTTTCTCATTGGGATTTCAGCTGGTTGTATCATCATTAATGCATGCCGTTCCCGCGCTTGGCCTTGGTCCCCGCGATGTAGATGGAGGACATGCGGGGACAAGGCTGGTCTGCTCTTGTTATGATCAGCAGACTGTGGTTATTTTTAGGATTCACTTTGTTTATTAGTCTAGTTTTCCTTTAGACAGTTGCAACAGAGCACGTATATATTCTTGATCGTCCCAATGTGTTTGTTTTCGCGCCTGGGGTGTAGTAATGAGGAGTGCGGGGAAGGTTTAGTGACTACGCGGTCGCAGCAAACCACTCACTCAAGTGGAGGCTTCCCGCATTGCGCTGCGATCGGCTGCAGTCCAGTTGTCGATAAGGATATATACGAACCTCTTGATTGGCAAGGAATGAAAATTGCACTTTATACGGATTACGGCGTAGTAAAATCAAAGATGCCAGCCAGTCAGTAGCTCTAGCCCGCCCGATCGCATTTCTGCAGGCGGGCAGATGCAACCACCACCCCGTCCCAGTCCGCCCTACGTATGCAGCAACTTGTTCACAGCGAAGCTCTTTTCTGGGGAATCCCCATCGGGCTGTGAATTATAACTTCGCCATCCGGAAAAGAAATTCAATACCAAGGGTCGGGTTTCAGGACGGGTAGTTGCCACCAAGCGTTGCTCGGCGGAGGGTATGGATTGTTTACCAAAACAAAAAAAAATAAAGGGAACCAGTAACTTATCGGGAAAAAGTCCAGCTGCATCTGGCCGCTTTCCGACCCCCTCCCTCCTCCTTTATCGTGTTCACACAACCTCAACTTGACACAGTATCTCTCTACCATCTTCTACCCATTCTTTTTCATACTGAATTTTAATTTATCCTGATACGATGGAGCCACGAACGGCGGAAAGTCCGATGGACTTCGAGTGGCAGTCCAAGCCGCCCGGCGATGTGACGTCGCCTTTTTACCAGCTCAGCATGCAGCATGACAACCAGAAGAAACGTGCGTCTGTCAACTGCGATGATCGCAAGTGCTTGTATGGAGACATCTTGCAGAAGCTGACCGTGTCAATAGGTCCTCATAGTATTTTCGACTCCCCTGGAAAGAAGTCCTTGCCTGCCCTCCGAGAGCCGAACTCGCAACCATACCTCTTTTCCCAGCCCCGAACCCAGCAGCCACCAGGCACCCCAAAACCCAGCTTCAACCACTCAGCTTTCATGACCCCGCGCAAGTTCGAGGTAGATTTCTCTTCCGGCGCTGAAAACATGTCCTCCCCCGAGCATGCAGACAACGAAGACACCCCCGAACAACCTACGACGTCAGCACACCGCAACTCGCTGTACAGCATGTACGGTCGGTTCGCACCCAGCCCCGGCCGTGGTGAAATTCCTCGCGTGAGCCACTATTCGAATGCATTGGCGCGACGTGTTCAAAAGAGACGGCGTAGAGATAAGGCATTGGATCTACAGATACGGAAAGAGGACAGTGATGACGAGAGTGACGATGCGGACGCGGGGACTTTGAAGGCGACAAAGACCCGGCACGACCAGATACAGCCGGAAGCCCAAACCGGATCGCGCTTGTCCTCATTTTCGGACTTCTTCGCCTTGCTTGAAGCGCACCCTAACATTCCGAGCATTCTCTCGTGGTGGGCACAGCTAGTGGTCAACCTCTCGCTATTCTCGCTTGCCGTCTACGTGGTTTTCGGCTTTGTATCGGCTATTCGTGCTGAGTTCGACCAGGCGGCCGAAGAGGTGTCGGATACAATCCTGGCGGAGATGGCAGCGTGCGCGAAGAGCTATGTTGACAATCGATGCGCCGGCGGAGATCGTCTTCCTGCGCTGGAGACTGTATGCGAGAACTGGGAGCGATGCATGAATCGGGACCCGGCCAAGGTTGGACGGGCCAAAGTGTCCGCGCACACGATGGCGGTGATCATCAACAGCTTCATTGATCCTATAAGTTGGAAAGCAATTGTACGCCCCCCCCTCCCCCGGCCATTCATTCTTGAGTAGATGCACGGCTAATTCTCCCTTAGATGTTTTTCCTGGCCACCATTTCAACAGTCACCGTTGTCAGCAATTGGTCATTCCGTTCTTTCCGCAACCGCTACAACCAGCATGAATACTCTCATCCTGCTCCGGCCTTCACGAGACAGGCATCCGGTCAGCATCATCCCCCGCCGATCGCTCAGTCGCACTATCCCTACCAGCATAACCCAGGCTACGGATACATGGGACCTCAAGGTCAAGGGTCTGCGCCCGGCTTTGAGAAGCAGGAGGCACCCCTGCTGCTTGAGCAAGCGCAAGGAAAGAGATTTGCGACCGAACGAGGTCGTAGCCGTGACTCGCGCCTACGCACTCCAAGTCCAATCAAGCGCCTGCTGTGATCTGTTTAGTGGCTTACGACCTTCGACTTTACACGTGTGGACCTGCGTGGTAGTGCCTGGGTTGTCCTAAAATTGCATGTGTCGGTGGCGATGGAGTTCGAGTTGATTTTATCAAGGACAAATATGGTTAGGTGTTCCGTGCATACGCCCCAGCTGGGCCTGGAGTTTTGGATAAGAGCTTTGTGTACATTATTGAGTTTTCTCTGTTCAAGGACGTCGAATATCCGTTTCACCTTTAAATTTGAAGCCATGGTGAATACAGCTGTAGTGCTTATCACTAGGGAAGTACCTGATGCGGCGGATGATTAATTTATGACGTCAAGTTCAAGCCACCACCGCCGGTGAGGAGAAAAGAGTAAGACATTACCACCACCCAGCTGCTCGAATGACTCGTCGCTATCAAACACGCACGGGAGATCGCCATGATATTCACTGCAGTGACAGGTAGTGATTGGTTGGGCGCTTTTGCCAGGGGTGTTGCCGAGACATGAGCTGATGCCAGGCCGCAAGGTCAACGAAGGGTCGAGTCCGTGTTCATCCTGACGTATTGCACCAAAAATTAGCTGTACTTTGACATCAGACTATATCAACCTTATCAATTTTCCTATTCTCTGCTAATCTCACTCGATTCTCATCGAAACGATCGATTGCTCGAAAACCACTGCATCGCGTAACTCACCACTATCAACCACTCACTAACTCACTCGTGGGCCCATCATGGCGCGCAGAGAAAGCACCAAGCAAAACCTTTTCGTTGTCTCCAACCGTCTCCCCTTGTCGGTCAAGAAGACCGATGACGGCTCCTACCAATCGTCCCTGTCGGGTGGTGGCCTGGTCACCTCGCTGTCGGGACTGACCAAAACCACTCAGTTCAGCTGGTTCGGCTGGCCAGGCCTCGATGTCGCCGAAGAGAAGGAACGGGAGTCACTTCGCAAGAGCTTGGACGAACACAACGCAATCCCGATTTTCCTAGACAACGAGCTGGCGCATGATCACTACAATAACTTCTCTAGTAGGTCATACCTTTCCTCAGCTTCTTGGTTGGGGACCATAGTCGGGCTAACCCTGTCTCCGCAGACTCAATCCTCTGGCCCAGCCTTCACTATCAATCCGGCGTCAACTTCGACGAAGGGCCCTGGAAATCTTATCAAAAAGTCAACGAGATCTTCGCCGACACGATTGCCGAGCGTGCCCTTCCAGGAACATTAATCTGGGTCCACGACTACCATCTCATGCTTCTACCCCGGCTGCTGCGCGACCGGCTGAAGGGCAAGAACTGCGCGATTGGCTTTTCTCTGCACACCCCCTTCCCTGCGGGCGATTTCTGGAGAAGTCTGCCGGTGCAGAAGGATTTGTTGGACGGGATGCTCGCTAGCGATGTGATTGGGTTCCATACGGAGGAGTATAAGCAGAACCTGGTACACTCTGCCGAGATGCTGTACGTTTGACTTGCTGTCTTCGGTGTTTTCCCACAAATACTGGAGTTGATACTAATGAGATTGTTGGGATGACAGGGGCGCGAAAACAGATACCCCCGGCCAGATTGAGTACCGCGGCCACCAGGTTGTGGTGGAGAAGTTCATTGTCGGCATTGATCCACAAAAGTTCGCGGACTCGCAGGCAAACGAGGATGTGCAGAAGCGCATCAAGCAGCTGCAGGAACGGTACAAGGGAATGAAGATCATCATTGGGGTGGATCGGCTGGACCACATCAAAGGCCTGACGCAGAAGCTCAAGGCCTACGATGCTTTCCTGGATCAGCACCCGGAGCTGAACAACAAGGTCGTGTTGATTCAAGTGGCCGTGCCGAGTCGCGAAGATGTCAAGGAGTATCAAGATCTGGAGACGGAGGTTAGCACCATTGCGGGCAGGATTAATGGGAAGCACTGTGAGTATATCTGTTTGAGAATTACTCCTTTGACGGTCATTGACGGTGGTCTTCTTGCAGCGACGGCCGATGGTTGTCCCTTGATCTACATGCACAGGTCGGTCAACTTCAGTGAATTGACCGCGTTGTACTCGGTCGCGGACGCGTGTCTGCTCACCTCCACACGCGATGGCATGAACCTGGTCTCGTTCGAGTACGTGGCCTGCCAGGCGCAGCGGCATGGTGTTTTGGTCCTCTCGGAGTTCGCTGGAGCGGCTACGTTCATGAAGGAGGGCTGTCTGACCTTCCACCCTGCGAACCAGTCGGAGATGGTTGACGCGCTCTACAAGGCTGTGACGATGGGCGATGAAGATCGGGAGAAGAATTACGACACCTTGCGAAAGTTTATCGAGACGAATACCAGGTGAGTTGTGTCCCGGTTCGGCAGCGGTCATGACGTTTACTGATCAATGGTGTTACAGTGCGAAATGGGGAGAGACCTTCATCGACACGTTGTATGGTCGCTTGAGAAGCTCGTAGGGTTTGATCGAAGCAGATCGATTGGGAGAAGGTTCGATATGATCATACAATTATCTAATGCAAGGTTCGATGCTGTATCTACCGGCGAGAGATATTAAGATAGCATGTGAACGACTACTTTCTGTTCTGCCCTGAGGTTCTGTTTTTGCTCGTGGTCCTGATAGGGTCCTTTTATCACTGAAAGCGTCTCGCTGTTTCGAATGCATGGAGGGTCTCGTAACAAGGGGCCGGGGAGAAGCGAAACTCAGCTGACAGCACTAAACAGACTGCTCGCTTGACCAGACTTTGGCAATCGAGACAATGTAGTCATTGTGTTACATCTGAAGTTCGTGGGTGATGCAGGTTGACCCTGATCGCCGACATCCAGCCCTGTCTTGTGTGTACTACCAAGATGTTCAAGATGTAAGAAAGACCAATGGCCTACATCTCTGGTGCGGTACAGCGAGGAGAAAGACTTTGGTGCGGCAAAGTCATTTGGCAAAACCGACCAAGCTTTTTGAGCTGAAAGCAGGATATTGGCAACTGACAATTCCGTGGAAAATCACCTCCTGCTTAACCATCGACCGACAGATTGATCGAGGCTACCATGGAATGTCTCTGATGCACGAGGTCTGCGTGACACTGCATGCTGAGCGGCTGCGCCCTAGATTTTGTCCGGCTGTTCTATGGTTCGCTGCTCGAGTTAAGCTCTATCTAGGGTCATTTCCTTGCCTCGAAGCTCAGAGGTCTCCAGTACCACCCCACCATCCCCTGAACCTAAACACGAGTCCTTCTTAGTTCAGTTTACTATTATAGATCCACGATGCTCTCACCAGGTCGTCACAGACGAAAACACCGATTGCGCAGCGTCCTAGGATGGAGTAATCGCCCCGCATTCTGACCTCAGAAGAGCCATATAAATTCGGCCAGATCTCTCTTCCTGAGAGCAGCTGGAGCAGTTTATCGAACTCAGCTTGTCATTGTTGGCCAACAACCCTTTTTTATTACCAAACGAAGATGGCACGACTCAGATCATTTATCATTGCTGCCTTCGCAACGATGACTGTCGCAAACCCTCTTCCTGACCCGACTGCCCAACTTCAGACTCGCCAATTTCCCACGGATCAGAATGATCTCGTAGGTGGGCCCTGCAAGGACTTTACCTTGGTCTTTGCTCGAGGCACCTGGGAACTGAGCAACATGGTGAGCTGAACTTGACCTTTCAGCACTCTTTCACCTGAGCTCAAGATTGACAGCGAGATAGGGTGCAGTCATCGGGCCCCAGCTCTGCTCCATGCTGAAAGAGCAAATCAGCCCCAATCGAGTCGCCTGCCAGGGTGTTGATGGCATGTACCATGCTCTCTCCCCCCCAAACTTCCTCAGCGCAAACACCGATGCCAAATCAATAGCCGCCGCGGCTACAATTCTCGAGCTGGCGACTACCAAGTGTCCGAATACCCAAGTCTTTGCGGCTGGATACAGGTATGTGCTTGCTGTCTACTTGCTTCTGGTCTTCCACCTGATCCCTCCTTCTTCCCTCCTCTCTACATCTAGATCAACGACTAATGCAAACGATGAAATAGCCAAGGCACGGCCGTCATAGATTACGCTGTCCAAGAAATCAAGCCAGAGGTCCGCGATAAGATCAAGGCAGTGGCATTGTTTGGATTCACGCGCAACATCCGGGACCACGGCGGGGTCCCGGGGTACCCACAGGACAAGGTCAAGATATACTGCGCGCCGGCTGATCCGGTGTGCGAAGACATTTTAATCCTCACGCCGCAGCATTATACCTACGGGGTCTATGCAGACGACGCATCGAAGTTCCTAGCGTCGAAGGCGAATCTATCCACTTAGGGGATGTTTCAGCCTACAAAAGTATTGAATTGGCGTTGGATGAGAGATTCTTTGTTGTGGATAGATTGATACTAGTTTCTACTTTCCAACAGGTTGAGAGAATTTCCACCTTGACCTTTCAGAGCGGATCAATACAGAATGTATAAGTGCTGATAGTCTTTTCATGCCATATCTGTAGTTGAGAAGGGCGGACTAGTCTGGTTGTCACTCAATGTCCCTGATTCCGCCCATTCTCTCATCCACTGTGACATTGTAGAGATAGATTAAAGCAGCCGTCTGAATTAAATTCGCCCAATCCACAGTCGCAAAGACACCTTTCGTGAAAAGCATCCCACAACCTTCACAGTTCTGACCCGCACCGACCTCTTCCACCAGCCACACATAACAAAGCCTGGTTTCTTTCGAGACGTAAGGGACACAGGACAGATAGTATTGACTCATGCTCCTTGTATAGACTTCACTCCACGTGACCCCAGGCCAGTCATAATAGACACAATCAGACCAAACCCGGCGGCCATCAAGAGTACATACCCAATCTGGAATCCAATCTACCTTACCTTACTCAGGATAGCACTGCACCGCCCTCGCCGGATTCCCCAACTTGACAAAGGTAATTTCCGTCGACACAATCCCCACAACATCCGCACAAGGCAGCCTATCGGTTCTGTCAGTAAGGAGCTGGACCAGTAATTATACAATGCACTCCCTAACTCTCAGATCTTTGCTTCAACACCCACACCAGCAACATTCCCTAGCCACCCCCAGTCCTTATCTGTATATCCTCCATATAAAGAGAAACTAACCAACATACGTACCCGAGAAGATAACATGTCACTTCAAGTGTAGGATCTGGCAACAACAATGTCGCGTTCCTCGCTCTGTATCATGTCATGTATCAGAAACTTGATCAAAAATAACCATAACCATAGCCACTAGTTCCGTCTTTTGCAATATGTAAAGATGACGGGGAGAGACGACTCGACCGGGGAAAGAACTCACGTAAGAGGCAAATCGGTACAGGTGGCAGGGATGACGGAATGGTTGCCGATGGGGACTTGGACGCTGGCGGTCGAGTCGGGGATTCCGACAGTGGAGCCGAAGAAACTAACTTCCTTCGAATGGGTGTTAGTATGGTTTAAGTTAGTGGTACGCAGGGTTGGAGGGGTCTTTTGAAGATAGGGGATGGGGGATGGAGAATTACAAGTTCAACGTAGGTAGTTGCGAGGATGAGGGGCGCTGGGGTGAGGAGGAAGAGGAGGGATGATGGTATGGTGGTGGGTTTCATGTTGATTCGGGGGGTCAATGATTGGACTGAGAGAATTTCCTAAGACTGATACACTTGAGGAGCCGACAGAGGTGGGGAATTTTTGGAAGGACGTTTTCTTATATAGATAGATACGCTGGATCTATAAGTCTGCGGGGTATACATCGTAGGATCTGGAGTAGCATTGCATGTTCAGATAGGACTAAGCTGCACGATGTGACGATGAGTTATGGTCTTGTTGGTTCAGGCTTATGTCTAGTGCTGACCTGAGACAACAAATAATACCTGCTACTGTCCATGTATCATAATTGGGATGAGACCTGACCTATGGGATGTTGAAAGTCAAGCTTTGATGAGCTGTGCTTATGTGCGTCTCCAGACGCATGTCTCGGTTCTCTGTGGTAAGCGAGAAGGTGATAATCACTGTAGTAAGTAACTGACTTATTCTGGTACTACTATGGTATTATAGCAACTAGCAACTTATCCTCAACCACAATATACTAACCTCAATACAGAAAAACACCCCCACGTCATGATCGGCAACCCCATACTCCGCCATCGGCACCGACTATCGGGATCGCGATTGCCGAACCGAACCACGATCTCAGGCCCTCGGTTCTGAAATTCCCCCAATTCCCCGCATGCTAAGATGCAAAATGCTCATGCTAAATGGCTATGGAGCAGTTGCCAGTCTTGTCCGACGTGCAAGGTCCAGTACACGAACTGTCCGAACCAGGAGAACTCAGGGAGGGTACGTATGCCGTACTATCCAAGTAATCAGCCAGCTCCTTCGACTGACAGTGTATGTGCCCAAGAGCGTACCGGGGACATTCCAGTGTGAGAGTTCCTCCACTCCTGGTATCGAATTGAAACTAGCAAAGGCCCCAGAGTATCTCGTCTCCCCTGCGGACTTCGTCTCCCCAATCCCGGAGACCCTGACGCCGGAAACTGTGGCGCCGTTGTTGTGCTGTATGTGCCATCCCCCACTGTCTCACCTCCCTTCAAATCAGATCTGACTATCTCATCAACAGCCGGTCTCATCTTGTACGGCGCATTAAACAAGCTCGACACAAAATGCAACAAGGGTAACTGGGTGGTACCACATCATGGGTGTCGGCGGGGGCTTAAGCCATTTGTGACGTCTCCCATCTCCATCTCCATGCAATGGTTTTCGCACTAATAGCCCCTCCTTGCTATAGATGCATTCAAATCGGTAGGGAAATGGGCTATAGAATCATCGCCGTAGATAGTTGAGTCTTGCCTTGCCCCTCCCTCCCTGCCCGTGTTTCCATGACCTCCATGTCCCCCCCCCCTCTTTTCTACAAACCTAACATCCTACCCAGTGAACCCAAACGATCCATCTGCTTGCAGTCAGGCGCAGAAGCATTCATCGACCTTCAAGACGATGTACGAATTCCAAACCCTCCTGGCGAACCCTCCAAAGTATCCCGCAAACCAATATCAATGCCAACCCAGCCTACTATCAAAATCCAAGCCCTGACTGACAGCATCGGCGCCCACGCCGTCATCGTCGTCGTCGGCCTCGAGAAAGCCTACGAACAGAGCGTCACGTTCCTCCGGCCCGTCGGCACGCTCGTCTGCATGGGCCTGCCGCAGCCGGACTACCATCTCCCCATTTCACCGCTGGTGTGCGTGGACCGCGGGTACAGGATGGTGGGGAGCGCGGTGGACACGGAGGCGGAGATGCAGGCGCTGCTGGGCTTGGCGGCGGAGTGGAAGGTGGTTACGCATATGAGAATGATTGAGCCAGCGGAGGTGAATGAGGTGGCGGGGCCGTTGAGAAGGTTTGCGGTGGAGGGGAGGGCGGTATTGCGGATTCCTGTTTAGGGGATGGGTTGTTGGGATTTGAGTATAGAGGGGTGGTTGTATTAGTGCGGGGTTGCTAGTATTGATGGGTGTGATTGAATTGGATTGAACAAGTTTCATTTCATGATCATGCTGCTGGAAGATCATGCTGCTGGGAATTATAGCTTCTATAAGAAGGGGGCTTGAATCTCGATCACCCCACTATCCCTCCAGCTTAGAGTCTGTTGAGGATTCATTATACGCCCGCTTACTCCAAGAAACGGCCACGCTTGTCCTGACGGCGGTTGTCGTACTCGAAGCGCATCGTGAGGTACTCTATACAACCGAAGAATATTAGCTGCTGTCAACTCTATACAGCAAGGAAAGTCAGCCCACCCTCGAAGTTGATGCTGCCATCGTTGTTCTCGTCAAATCTCTTGACATCCTCGGTGGTCATGGGAAGGCCGTCCTCGGAGATAAGTCTAGCAGCCTTGTCGAAGGTCATGCCCACTGCAAAATCCATGTTAAACCTTTTCAATTCGTATAGGCAGACGGCGTCTAGTCACTCACAGCAGCGGTCAGGGGACTAGGAGCAAATTGCTGTTAGTTAAGCCAGCACGCAACACGGGTTGCTTGAGAGATGTCTTGAATACTCACAGCAGCGTCGTACTCCTTCTTCATATCCTGGAACCACTCCAGGGAGTAGTAGGTGTTCTGTCATCCCAATATGATCAGCTATTTTTGATGTCAGGCAAGAATCGAAGGGTTTAACCTTAGCGTTCTGGACCATTTTGAAAGATGTTATTTGACCAAGGAACTGTTGGGGAAGAAGACTGTCCGTTGCTCGTCGGGTGACTGGCTTGCGATGAAGAAGGGAGTTCTCTGGGTGGAGGAGGGGGTTTATATCTCTTTCTCCTGCCCCCTTTCTCTCAGTTGTCCCAATGAGAGACTATCTACCTTGATCCCGTCGATTGTCTTGTGGTTCGACTACCGCTGGGCTCAGTGGAGAAGTCACTGCATGTGTAATCTGCTTGCTTCTTGCGTGGCAGATTGAGAGCTCAAGGCTTCAGCTTGGGCATTCCAGCATGCAGCTCACGGCTACATAAGTCATGTAGCATCAAGCATATACTAGCATTCGCACATAGTTACGGTACACAGGCTGGTGGTAGTATGCTCCCAGCTGTCAGCAGCTGTAGTAGATAGGCGAGAGCTATCGCGGCACCTCCGACTTGAATTTCGTACGCAGAATGTGGGGCAACCTATATGCTGTACATGCCCTCAGATGCTCAAGAGCTGTACGCTGCATGTCTAAAAGCCCAAATTCCTTGCTTTGGCTGAATCCTTGTGTACAGTGAGAGGCCTCTCATTTGTAATCTGCGAGAAGCAGCATTTCGAATGCATCGTCGAGTCAGGGAGAAGCAGATGCGTTAGTTGAATGGAGGAGGGTTGTATGTGGGCTGAAGACATCGGCGTCCTAGAAGAAAAGGTTTAGATTTAGATTAGAGCTTGCTTCGCGTCTGATTTGGTGAAACATACAGCTTGCGCTGCCTATCCACAGGTTTTGTCAGTACATTTCCCGTCGAGTTAGATTGACAATTTCACATCAGGTACTGTATCCTTGCAGATTGTCGCGTCCCTCATGGTATGCGGTGATCGAGTCATCTTCTTTGGAAAGTCTCTTCGAGATTATCCATGCCGACCAGTTCCCTCAGGCCTCACAAAAACACTATTCATCACGTCAAGAAAAGTACGTACGGATGCTCGTATCCCGAAAGCAGATACTGTATGCATCTTCCACGTAGCACGGTCCTCCCCTGCCACAGCTGCAGTATCCCCCGTGGCCCGGCCGTTGCGCGTATCACAGGTAGAATCCGATCGGAGACGTCGGAAGTTGAGAGCCCAGAAGCACAACCCAGACACGATCGACAGTGTCTCCTTCCAGAATCAAGAGGGAACCGCATGGGAAATGGATCCAAGCTGCATGCATGGCTTTCGCCCTAGCCGCTGGGCTCCGCTTCCCCTCGCCTGATAAGGCTGCCAAATTTCCCGCTGTACGCGCAGGTAAGAAGTCCACCCTATGAATACTATGTGCGATATGATAAATGTAAGAGCTTGTAAGGAGGGGCAGACCAGAAAGCGAAAATACCGCATGTGAGAAGGAGGGGAAGTTGACAGCTCAGAGAGGGGGGATGTTCGTATGGGAAGGTGGGATGGAGGGGTCGAGGAGTGAAGGAAAAGCGACAAATCCTCAGCAGTTTTTATTCACTCTGTCTGCCTTCTTCACCACTCCAGGCAATTTATCCACATGAAAGCACAGCAAGAGGTCTTTACCGTCCAATTTACAGTTCCATCAGATTTTCCTCCCCATCACCTGCCATCAATTCCTCTCTTAGTTCCTCCATGATCATCCCCTCGCGAATTTCCTGCTCGGTCAACTCTGTCTCCCCGAACTCACGGTCTATATCTTCAGCAGGACGTGCTATTTCAGCAAGCTGATGGTTCAGTCCGCCGACGGGGGCTTCGCATTGAGGGCATCGGGCCTCCTCCATAGGCAGTCCGCATTCCCCGATCGCAAACTAGATGAGCATGTTAGCCTTGTGCTGACAGGAATACTCCATGACCTAGGAAAGTAGATCTGCGGCACTGCACTTCAATCTTCGGACAGTCACTTACCGGGTGGTTGTTCGCACAATAATACCAATGCCCGGTGCCACCAAACTGCTCTGCCATGGCTCTATACACCTGACGCTTCTCCTCACTGGTCACAAGAGCATAGAATGTTCCATCGTTGATGGTCTTTCTCGCATCTTCAATATCGTCCAGCAAATAGCCTAGGAGCTTTGGCAATTTGTTGCACAGTCTCTCACAAGCAGTGAGTTCTTCTTGCGCGCGCTGGCGCGTCTTGTTCCCATTCTCCACCTCGACTCTCTTACTGTGTGTTCGCATGTTGCTCAGCGAAAGCATGGAAAATAGCGCAAAGTAGATCCCAGTTTCGACTCTTTCTTGAAGAAGGTTGGCTTTTACGGTGGAATTTCTTAGCAGGACGCATTTATCGATTAGTTTCTTGAGCTGGCTGGCTCCTAGCTGAACTAGGTTCTCGCGGACTCGGTGGTCGATTGTTTGGTTGTTGCATATATGATCGAAATCTCGAAGCACGGCCCAGCTGAGTCGGAGGCTCAAGACATGCCCACGCATTCCAAATCCGGTTTGTATCATTGAATCATCAGCCATGGGTGCCTTAGCCGTAGATTTGTTTTCCCGTAAAGTTGCAGAAGCGAGCATGTCGTTCATCTTGCTCAGCGGTTGCTCGGAGGTACGCACAGACTTGATAAAATCTACCACTTTCTTGTGCAACTTCTTTCCTGCTATTCGATAAGCATAGAGGGCAGCTTTTACTTGATCCAAACTCTTCGATTTACCAGCCTCAAGCGTCCAATACTGCAGGAAATCGGTTCGCGCGCTGTCGATCTGCTTCTCAAAGGTGGCAATCTTGTCTGCAATGTCAGCATTCTGTGAACTGGCGAGAGTCACAAATTTCCGAGTGAATTCATCCAGAAGAGCCTTCTTCAAGATACGGCTGTAGCGATTGATGTCTCTGAGTGGGCGGCGGCATTCTGGGCAGCCCTTGAGCGCTGACTCAGGCATCATCTCCCAATGAGATGGCTTGGGGCCCAGAATATTATTTGTAGCCGGATCTATGTCGAAGTATTCATTCAAGCCTAGAAGGCCATCGAGAGAAGCAATTGTATAAAAGTGGTTACACGGGAGGAATAAAAGAGGCGAAGTGTCAATATCAACCTCACTGTACGTCTTGAGTTCCAGAAGATCAACCTGCTGTTGCAGGACCTCGGGCGGAGCACAAATCTGACAGAACCGCGAAGGCGGGCATGGCTCTCCACACATTCCCGGACAGCGATGTCCACAGAGCTTAAGCATCTTCTCGCAACGACGGTTGCATGGATTGTTCTCGCAAGGAACAGCACACGGCAAGGTGCATGCTTCGCGGTGATCGCAACCAGAGTCGCATGGCTCTGCGCATGGAGGACATGGGTCTTTGCAAAGCTTGGGACACCTGCTGTGTTTGCAGTGCACTTCGCAGGGCCGCCGACACGGCGAACACGCTGTTTCAGGATGGCATATACGGTCGCAGGTATGGGTGCAGTTTGTGAGCCGCTTGCGACAGATACTGATGCATTTTCCATGGTCAACAATGGTCATACCGTGATGATGAATCCGACACAATGAGCACAGCTTCTGACACTTGTGCCCACAAGGTAGATCCATTCCACATATAATAGAACACTTCACGGGTTTTCCTCTCTCGTGACATTGTGCCTTGGTGTTGTGATCACACCAGGGTAGTTTGATAGTCAGATCAACTGTGCATCTGACTGTACTGAGTCTGCTCATCCGGTGACACTCTACTCCCTCAGTGGCATGTCCACAAGGTAGCGTAACGCTAGGAACAATTGCCGTACATGGGCCACATGGCTCATAGCATTTCCTTGCGCAAGGATGTCCACACTTATGCATTCTGTAGCAGTTCTGAAAGCACTTGACTGCCTTATGCTGTCTGGCTGAATGGCATTTAATCATGCAGGTATGCCCGCAGTCCAGTCTCAGGCCGCAGGTCTCTGCACAGCCGCCTTCTGGAGACTGTGCGGTAAAGTCATCGGGACAAGCGACTTCAATCTTGTTCTTAGGGTGACGTTCGCATTCGAGCTCGAGGTACGGCCCAATATTTTCGTTCTTTTCCATGAGTTCGATGACAGAAGACCACATTGGCGCTGTGGACGCGGTGTTCGCGTCGCCAATCAGGTACATTCCATGCTTTGCACGACTTTGCGAGGACGTTAGTGACATGCACCCACTGTGAATAGATTCTCATGCGTTCTTACCTCAATAGCACATTGATTCGGTTTGGTGACTTGAGGAAGCCGCAATTTCTAAACTTGTTGCTCCTGACTAGGGAAACAATCACAACGGTCGCTTCATCCCCCTATTGTGCACATTGTTAGTTATGTGAAGAAAAATAGCCGACTGAATAGATCTTCCCACCTGGAAATTATCAACGGTCGCTAGTTTGAGGGCGTTTAACAGGCTGGCCTTTCGCACCGAGTTAGGACCCTGGAACCATCGCTCGTTTTTGCCACTAGGGTCAGTGGCCGTGTCTGTACACTCGGCTTCCCCCAAATCATCCGCATCTCGCTCGCCAATTATCAGTGTCATTTCCTGCTCGAGAATATCTCTTAGCATTCTCAATTGCCCTACGTACGGTGTCAGAACAGCAATCTCTCCAGGACCATATTTTCCTTGTCGTAGCAGATGTCTGACAAGCGAAGTCACCATGTGAACCTCCCATGTATTCGTTTTGCTATGCATCGGATCGGAAGGATCACCAGCATCTTCTTCGTTTCGATGGTCGAGCCAGAACAGTCTGCGCTTGAGTCCGGGGATGGCAGGATACACAGTTGTAGAAGAATGGTCTTGCAGCTCAGGATAAAGCGTTTCGCGAACAAGATGGGCGACGGAAGGATGCATGCGTCGTTGGATGTTCAATTGGGTAATAGGAAACTGACGTCCATTGTTCTGTGCTTGCTCATCGTGAGCCTCGACAAAGTGACTATTTGCCAGTCGCTCAAAGAGCGATTCATCGAGACCGTAAATCGCGCCCTCACCGTCGTAACTGATTGAGAGCCTAAGATTACTGATACGTGGTCGTAGCTGCAGGTGGTCTCCAATCAGAATAGCATGCTGCACAGATGACAACAGTGCTGTGAGGACATGAGATTCGAGAACTTCGCCAGCCTCTTCGCATATAAGCACTTTGGCTCGAACACTACGAATTTGAGACGAAAGATTAGCGAGCATTGTCGTGGTAACGCCAATAATTTGAAACTCCTGAAGCATGCGAGCTTCTGCCACATGGTAAATGGCCGTCAGGTTTTTTTTCTGTTTGTAATAGGCCTTCACAATGCGCGAGAAGACCTTTCGAAGTTCGTCGAGTGCACTTCCATGCCAAAATTCGTACAACCGCGTGCGTTCTGCAGGCGAGAGGGTCCAAACATCAGATTGCATGAGTTCTTCGGGGGAGCGTTCCTCGTCAGTCTCAACCCAGGCGCTCGAATCATCGCTTTTGAGCCAAAGGTTGAAAGACTCGGTTTCACTACGCTCAGGATCCACGGACGTGATGCGGTCTGCTTCGTATGGGAAGCGCTTCTTTACGAACCATAATGTCATTTCAATTCCCCCTTTCTCGATCAGCTGGCACACTTCTTCGAGCTTGACGTTTATTTCCTTCAGCTTGTCATGGTTTGCATTTCGCATATCATTGTAGCCTCGGATAAACGGCCCTCGGTGTGCCTGCCTGTGGTTATCCAAGGAAAGTGCTTCTAACTGAGGAAACACGCTTCGCGGGCCCAATCGCACAATACTTGTAATGCCGGCATCGAGCAGACCTTGTAAAAATTGGTCGAGTGCATGGGCAGTGTAGCATACACACAAGATTGGACCAAGTTCAAGTTGCTCCCGGTTTGCTGACAGGCACTTGGCTAGTTGTATCCCGACGTAAGATTTTCCCGTACCAGGCGGACCCTGTATGAGTGCTATCTCACGCCGAAGAGCCCAAACTAATGCCTTCGCCTGACCCTTATCGAGGCTAGTTGTCTTTGCAAGCTCATTGGCCAACCAGGCTGGATCATCCTGGAGGGAGAAGGATGGCCTTGGGTCATTGGTACTGTATTCACTGCCACTATCTGCGACAAGGTTGTCGAACAGGCAAGACAGGTCCAAGTAGTTGGATTCATGAATATAAGACGGCGGGGGAACGGTAACAAACTCATCAACCATATCTGTGGTCTCACCACGCCTTGTGCAATTATAACCTGGACGAGGCACTATCCAGGTTGCGAAGGGTAAATGCTCCGGATGTGTATACTGATGTTGCATACATTGCAGAACGCCATCGAACGAGTTTAATAGCACAGCAGGAAACTCGACAAGCATGAGCGGCCTCTTGCCACTCTTGTGGCGTGCAAAGTTGAAGATGTTGGTGAGCTCACTTTCATGAACTCCATTGGTTAGTCTGACACTGATCATCGCGCGGGTGCCACTATTCACTAGGTCTCTGATAGGCGCAGGAACAGTCGCTTGTGGAGCAGGTGGATCGTAGTTGACATTGAGGTTTCTTCTAGAGACTTGCAGGAAAGTCACAGAGACATTCTCAAGGTCCTCGCCATCGACAAGAGCGAGTATCACGGGTGCTTCTTTTAGTGCCTGCGAGGTCTGCCACCATTGCTTTCGTCGTGTCGCATTCATGAACTTGAGTCGAGGAGGTTGGTCGAACTCAAGGTCGATCTCAATGCCCTTCTTTCCACCTGCCTGAACCCTTTGAATCTCCACCCCAAGATAAATACGCACAGGTGTTATGCCACTGTCGCGGAGAACTCTGCGCTTCAATTGCCAGTCAGATCGATGAACAAGGATATCCCAGTTGTCCAGGATCATGCGTATTGAGTCGCGAAGCAATCCGGCGGTATCCTCACGTAGGAGGCGAAACTGACAATCGAGAAGACGACGAATACCAGTCTCGTGCTCATCCAGCTTGTCGAATGCAGGGTCTCGTGCTGGCAGAAACTCAGCCCGCTGAATAGAAAAGATCTCAGAAATAGTCGGAAGAATGCGGATGTTGGGAATGGATGAGTGATCATTGTCATGGCGAGGACCGTTAACAGACAGCTTTCCTGGCAAATCAACCTGGAATCTGACCTTTGGCAGCTGACGGGGGTTACCTTGCTGAGAAGAAAAGCTATGCGAGTGCTCAAGTGACTCCCCCATGAACAGTACGTCCTTTAGCTTCATGAGATTGTCATGAGTCCAGCGCAGATTATGAGAAGCAACGCCATTGAAGATACTTGCAGCATCGTAAGAACTGCAAAGACGTTCAACAATGTCCCGAAACTCAGTCCGGATTGAAGCTTCTTGGTTCAAAGTCAATGTGCTCAGAAATGCTTTTGAAACAAGCAATAGTGCCTCTTCAAACTGAGACGAGTCATTGCCTGTTGATTTCTTATGACCATTGCTTGTATCAGGCTTCATGCGGAAAAGGTGCTCTGTCACTCGATTAAAGAATGCCACAGCGCGTCGTCCGTTCGGTCCATAGATCACATTGTAGATAGTGCCCATTTGGCGTTCGAGTGCCAGAGATGACAAGATGCTCTCGTGAGTTATAAGCTTGAGGAAAAGAACGCAGTGTACCTGAAACATCGGTCCAAGCACGCTGTACGACTTGGCAAAGTCCGATTCAACGATTTGTCGAACAGTTGCGAGACCATCTTCTGCTCCAAGACCAGTGATAAAGTCCTGCCGCTCATCTGGGCTTTGTTCGATCATTGACAGCCCCCGTTCAAGAAAGTCTTTGATTTGCGGTGATGAGAGCTGTTCAACATTGTGCAAGGGTAGCGTTCGATTCAACCTTCGAATCCTAGAGTTTATCAAAGTTCTATATCATTAGCAAGAGGTCTTGATTGAGAGCTTTGTTAATGATCGTACCTGGTCTCGACAGGAGCCTGTGGAAGAGCTTGAGGATAACCATGTTGTGCTCTTCGCACCCGAAGTCCTGGTCCAGGTGAATCATTTCCATGAGCAGGAACTATGATTTGGCGATTAGGGGTCTGCATTTTGAAAGACTGATCTTGAGCGTCATCATGGCGACCGCGACGGGCTCTGCCTGAACCCATAGCTCTTCTGTTGCCCGCTGATTGTTGTTGGCCAGGCCTAGCCATGCATCACAGAGGTAAAGAACTCCAGTAGATATAATGTATCTTAAAGTGTGATGAGGAGGAGACCTTGAGTTGCTACTCGCAGATCACTGGTTCGAAGAAAGCAATGAACGTTAAGACGGGGTCGATGAGGGGATCAAAATGAACAAACAGAACGGGGGCCGGAGGTAGCCAAATAGAGAAACTAGTGGTCTGACTCGAACATGTCAAGATCCGAAGAGCTACTGTAGAGATTTATGAACTAAAATCAACGAAGCCTCACTAGGCCCAGTTCCTGACTTCACATATTCACAAGGGCAGAGTGACTGAGGGTACGTGCACGGACCACTTCAATTAGTATAAAGGTGGGTCTAGGGCTGAGAAGGCGGTGAGGTTGCAATGAATAGAAGTCATCTAACTGAATATTGTACACTAGAAGTTAACCATCATTTCGTGAAGTACGAAGATGCCTAGAGCACGTGATACTCAGTTCGAGGAACTGCAATCCAATCACTAATGGACAACAGAAGATCTGAAATCTTGGAGAGTGTCCTCTGCCGCCGTTTTCTATTTAGCTCATGATCTGAGGAATCTATTGTGCAAGACTGTCTCGTCAGGTTAATGGACATGTCGGTGCTGCATAAGCCTCACTCCGCAACAACTTTTTAGACCATTAGACAGGAGCATGAAGGTATGCGCCGCCGACACTGAGAGCATCACTTGATGTGCAAAGGCTAGCATGGAACAGGTTGCATAGCAGTGGACAATTCTCACGGGCGAATAGAGTATATCCTCGAGTTGGATCCATTGCATGAGCAGTATATCAAAGTATGTTCTAATAATACTTGAGCTGGTAAGCATCAGGCTGTGTTTGGAAGATGATTCAAGGTCCCCTGACCACCGATTTCAGCATTATATGGATATACACGTACCTCACAAGCCTACATACTCTCGATCATAAGCGCACTGTGACTTCAATAAGCCTGATGTAACCATTTCCTATGTTGGAGCTGTCGCCGCAAGGAGAGCGTCGCCATCATATCCGTGCATATTGCCAGTCAGGCAAACATAATCTTCGAGTCAGCGGACAGCCCCAAGCCGCGTGAAATGCCATTCCACCCCGACTCTTTCAGTTCAGGTTGCTGCGAGAAAAAGATTGCTCCTTTGTGGAATCAGCATATCCTATCCTTGAAGGCAAGGCAGGTCCCATTTGTGCCTAAGGCAGCGTGTGTTCCATCGAGTCTCAGATATCCTAATGGTCAAACACATGGTGAAACTGTGCATATTCCATCTCTAGTAAGACGAGGCCGTTGAGTCAGGATCGGGGTATTCGGAAACGGTTGGCGAGAAAAACTCTCACCGTCGATCTACTCGGCTTGAAACACCGAATCCCAACTCAGAAGCGGAACCCGTGGGGACTGAGGAAGTGGCCCGTCCAGGCTCGTCGATCATCACAAATATAGATCAGAGCAAATGATTTGAGAAGTCTCGAAGAATGGTATTTGGGTCGTTGATCGGGGCCTGAAACCTACTTACGAGTAGGACATTTGTTCTGTCAATGCGGAATATCTTCCAGGGGCATGCATGGCTTGTGTCTTTCGGCGTTTGCGTTCGTAGCGCAGCAAAGCTTACCTTTGTTTCCCCACCCCTTTAGATCTTGAAATTCAGGATTTTCCAGCCCGTTTCACACAATGGTAGCATTTCTCTGAGCGGGACACAAAATCAAGATATGCGCATGTGATAGTCAGATGTTCTGCTAGTGCGCAGGATGTCAAGTCGCCGGGAACAGCGGATAAGGTTGCTTCATATCCCACCCATTATGGGGTTTCCAGAAAAACATTGTTGCATAATCCAAAACCTGATACTGTTGGACAGGTGAAGTGTGAGCTTTCTTGACTTGTGGTGTGGTGCGATATTACCTAGCAGACTACAACACACCCAGTATCAGTCACTGATTACCTATATGATTGATTGAGTAGCAACAAGAAAAAAGCGAAAATCTCAGATAAACATGACTCTTCTAAAATCCTAGCATCAGTCATCAGTCAGTAAATTGTCCGGTCTCATTCCGGAGTGTGATAAGGCCTTGTTGCCATGCATCTGAATGGCAACATAATTGATTGACTCATGTGCTCAGATGTCACGTCATGCTCGCCACCTGGTGCAAGGGGTGCATTGGCTGCATCCGAATAAGCAAGATGTGGTCAGCCCCGCGTCAAGCATCATTGTGTCTGAGGATGCCGAGAAGGGGGCGCATGGGGGCATCTTTCATCATGGCTTCAAGGCAAACAAGTGCGTCTTAATCATCCAGTTTGTATACCAAGATAAGACATATTCAACTCCTGGAGACGAACCCTTTGCACGGAGGGCATGTAAGAATTCCGTCTCTTTTCACAACCAGCGAAGCGCGATTCGGATGTAGTGGGAAAGTACTTTGTACGGTAAGTACTCTGTACATGGGCGAAGGGTCTAAGCTACGGGAAATCTCTAGTCTCTTTTGGACCCGTGCGGGGTCCTCCATACCTCGAGCTAAATTAATTAGGCAAGCAGTTCACCTCTCTAGCCTAAGCCAGGCGAAGTGGGTAGAACATGATAGATGTACAGAATGTGAATACACACCTAGTTAGTTTGTCCTGGTATGCTCGGGCATCCACTATTTCCGGTCCTGCAGATCTCCCCGGTTGTCTTTTCCACGCTCATCCAATCCATGTATCCTGAGTTCAAAACAGACCAAGCTCCTGAAGTGTAATATAGAGTCAATCGTCTCCGCAGTCAAGGTAGGTCTGGCCAATTGTTACAAACTGTGGCTATTAACAGCACAGCAACTTGGGCGTAACAACCTAGGAAGTAGTTCCATGGAACTGAGATGGAAAGTGGAAGAACCTCACCGGAGCCCGCGTTCTGGCACTCAATAATCAGTCAGATGGATAGAGTCCGCCCATCCGTGGGGTCGGCCTTACTGCCGAATCGAGGGAACGCGGCGGAAGATCCCTGGTTTCCTCCACCCAACGGAAAGCCCCGAATTTGAGCCAGGGAAGGTGCGGGGTAATTTTAGTTCTCGATCTATTCCCCATACGGTCCACTTGTCTACTGTAGTACTCATCCTCCTCCATCATTCCTGGCACCCCAATGGTGATGTCTCACTCTTCTCACCTTAGTACTCTCAGACCCTGAGTGAGTGAAATTTCTGCACCATCCAACACCGTATCACTCGCGCCTCCCTAGGCCATTCAGCCAATGCAACACAAACAAACAAATGAGAATCCGGGGGTGGGTCTTGGCTGGGTCAGTTTTGGTGGCCGCTAATTGTTGGTTCCTCCACCATTGAACTCAAATCAATTGCTGTTCACAATTTCAATGCAACTCAGGATGAAAGCGCTCCAGCCTCCGAAAGCTCGCCTCCGTCCCCAATTCCTCGTTTATTCTGTCGGATGCAGATCGTCACAGTCGCCGTCTTCCGCCAGCCGGATACCCTGGAAAGAGGCAATCAAGATTGTAGCCACCTCGCAGAGCGGGAAATGAGCCCGTCAGCGAACCGTTGGTCCAGAACGACCATCACACTGACGATCCTTCCCAGCTCTTTCAGGCACCACCCCCTCTCCCTTCCAAATTGGGGTCAATCATGGAGGAGAACCTTGGTCCTTGCAATGACACGATCCGTCGAAGCAGCAAAAGCGTCCCCTAGTCGAAATTGGCCTCGGCCCCGGTACCATATTGCACATGTGAGGATGCCAGTGAGATTCTCCTCTATATATAGAGGTCTGCACTTGCAGCTTTCATGACCACCAGCATCGATACATTCTTTAGATCGCCTGCCCTCACAGCAATCGGACTCGAGCATTCGTTTGGTCTCTGCCGCCTATTATCAATCACTTTAATCCACCGTCGTTCTCGCTTTCAAGATGAAGTTCACCAGTGTTCTCTTCACTTTGGGCTTGGCCACCAGCGTCTGGGCCAACCCTACTAAGGTTGTTCGTGAGCCCAGTCTCGTGGAGCGCGATGTCGCTTCTGTGACTAGCGTTCTTGCCGACATCAGCACCAAGGTCAAGGCCCTCGACTCTTCCATCACCAGCTACAACGGTGGCGATCCCTCCAAGGTTGAGTCGGCCTCTAGTGACCTGGTCTCGACTATCAACTCGGGTACCTCCACTGTCAGTGGCGGCGACGAGCTCAGCTCCACTGATGCTCTTGAAATTACGAGTCCTGTTCAGGACCTGACCAAGGAGGTTCAGACTGCGATCGATGATCTGAACTCGAAGAAGAGCCTGTTCGTCGCGGCTGGGGCTGGTGCGACTGTCTACCAGCAGCTCCAGAAGCAGTACACTGCTGCCCAGAGCCTGGCCGACGCTCTCACCTCTAAGGTCCCCTCCTCCCTGTCTGACATTGCCAGCTCTCTGTCTTCCGGTATCACCGATGCTATTCAGAAGGGTCTCGATGAGTACAAGGACGTTGCCACTAGCTCTGCCTCTGCCAGCGCTACTTCCGCCGCCTCTTCCGCTACCAGCAAAAGTGAGACCACTGCTGTTTCTTCCGCCACCGGGAAGAGTGAGACCACTGCCGCTGCGACTTCGGGTGTCTCCGCTACCACTGGTGCTCAAACCTCGTCTGCCGTGATTCCCACCTCGGCCAGCGCCTCTACTACCCCCTCCAGCTCCAGCACTCCTTCCACTTCCGCTAGCTCCACCCTCTTCACTGGTGCTGCCAGCGTTGACCGCTTCAGCTACGTCTTTGGTGGCGCTGCTGCTGCTGCCGCTGCCATTGCCGTTGCTCTGTAAGGGTGTGTAACCAGCCTAAGATGGCCTGAGCCTGCAATGGATAAAAGATTGTGAAAACCTCAAAGGGCAGCGGTTATCGACAAGTGCGATCATGAAAAGATACGGGCTGGCCATGTATATCTATTCACCGTTGAATGTTTCTAGCCCGAAAATGTGGCTTAATGTCTCTGAGTTTGGTTTGGGGTTTTTTTTTTGGTTCAATAATTAATCGGTTGCGACAATGTAATATGCTCTGAGTATAACGAAAATACGAATGAACAGCTTTGGAAGCTACCTTTGTTGTGGCCTTCCTATCAAGCAGTACCTAGTCTTCCATTAATTCTAAACAATTATCATAACTACTTTTTCTAGTCACAATGATTCCCCAATAGTGGCAGATCCGGCTCCGCTATCCAGTAGTCTAACCCACCGAAGCAATTATCAAGCCCGGATTAACCAGCAGACCAACACATCAGCCCTTGATTCTCACCATGTTCCATGATCGACTCCGAGAAAAACCCTCGTGCGCGCTTGGCTACAGCCAGACAGGAAGTCTAAGCCGCACTGTGGATCACCAACGCGGGGTTGGAAACTCAGTTTGGCTTTTGCTTTCAACCCTCTCGCATATTTCCGGAAGGGTCCGTGCCAATGACGTGAGGTACTAGAGGTTAATCACAAGCCACGGGGCACCTACAGTGGTGTGCCTAGGTAAACAGCACCTGCAGTAACTACTATACAGCTTTTTATTCTGACGAATTTCCAACTCTATTGACCCACTACTCAGCGCCGTACACCAAGATCTCAGAAAAGTAACTTCTATGCTGCTAGGAGAAACTACGGAGAAATGTAGGACACCGACTTTCATGCTACCACACTGCGCAATCATCCTCAGAGAGGGACTGCAAGTAGCAACATGCTTGATTGATGCCCGCGTGGATCTTGGTACTTTGAAAGGCAATGCAGCAAGGACGCTCGACCCTGGGAGTCTAAAAAAAGAATACTCCGCAGGGAGGAATTGTCGGTGCTGGAGGTAAAATACCACTACCGAGTACCGTTGTATTCTTTTCAATTGGGGATAAGAATCGCTGCCTACATTATGGCAGAATCTTGTTTCCCCAGGATGGTGAGAGATGGTGGGAGGGAAAGAAGGGAGGAAGGTGTCGAGAGAGTGATGGGAAGCATTTATCATGGGTGGCTGGCAGCCAGGGCTGGTAGGAACTAGAGACTCATTGGGAATAGTGTGAGGGGGAACCTTGGTGTTTTGTGGTGTGACAGCGGAGGCCAATGGATGGTTCCAGAAGAACAACACATTTCGTTATTCGGTTCTACACTCTATATCATGGCAATGGAACAAATGAGATGTTCCATCTGCTACTAAGCCAGTTTCGTCCCCTCAACAGCCCCCGCGTACCTCGGACTCGTCGCGGAGAAGAACATATTCCCTGCGACGGCTACGATCACCGCGCGCGCATACACCATCTGCATCTCCGACAGATGCCCCAATTGCTCGACGCGCAGACACTCTGCGCTCATCCTCTCCTCTAAGTCCCGGATTACTAATCTAAGCAGCCTTCTGGCCAGAGCATCATCACAACCACCACCTATGAGCCCACGCAATACCCTCACAGCATTAAGCACCACCTCTCCACCTTCCGCCTCCGCCCTCACCTCCTTCGCATACGAATACAGATCATTCGTCAGCAAGAGATGCTTCGCGCACAGCGCCTTCAGCGGCTCTAACTCCTGACTCTCCTCTCCTGACTTTCCAACCCCATCTCCACAGGAGAACCGTACAGTCTGAAGAATCAGTTCAGCCCCAAAATCCTTCAACCCATGCTCAATATACTCGTCCAGGGAAGCAAATGTCCCCGGCCGATCAGCCCCGGTAGCTGACCCCCACGCTATACACTCTTCGAGCAAGCGCTTCCCCTCGTGCGGATCCTCCGCAAGGATTTCTTGCGCGAGGATGTCGTATGCAAGGTACTTCGCCTTCGAGTTCCGACGCTGAGATGCTGCGCTGCGAGGAGGTATTGTCAGCGTGGAGTCTCGCGTGTCGACCGCGTCGTCATGGAGGAAGAGGAGAATATATGTCTTGGCCAGGAGTTGCATTCTGGTGATACTGCTTAAGGGAACCAGGTTGGTAGCGTAGGATACCGCTGTATCGACCAGCTTTTTTGTGCGGGCGGTGTGGTGCGTCAAGAGGGTGGGATGGTGGGCGTTGATGGCTTGTAGGTAGCCTGTTGCTGCTGCTTCGGCTTGGCGCCAGTATTTGGATTGAAAGGCGGCGGGCAGCAGGCTTGGCCATGGGATGCAGTGCGAGGGTGGGTAAATGGTGTTGGCACGCTCAAACCTTTGGTCTTGGGCGAGGGATATTGGTCGGATGGTAGAGAAAGGCGAGGCATGAGGGAGTGGTGTGTTTTCGGCAGGGTCGAAAGCGTGCGTGATTGGGCGGAGGGGGGTTGTGTCTGGGCTCTTGTCGGCAGGTGCTGGCGTGTGCAAAGTTCGTGCATGATGAGCGATGCTTCCTGGTAGTTGAACGCTCGTTGTGCTGTAATGTAGCAGCCGGGCTTCGAGATAGTAGAGCTGAGGTATCGTAGCCCGAGAAAGCGCACATCTTGAGAGATTGACATGTCGCGTCAAGCGGCGGGAGAGACGACGCGTCAGCATAGCGCGTTCGTTCGAATCGCCTGTTCGCAGCAGATGGCAGCTTCTTTCAATGATGCTATCCGCTAATTCGCAGGAACGTATTCCAGGCCTCCAAAAACAACTAAACGTTGAAGCTATTACTACCATGTATGAGTGCGGGTTCGAGGCAATGATGTCAGTTGGCAGCTAGCGGAATTCCTTTCGCTTATCGACCCGGAGACCTCGGAACTCCGTGCAATCACCAAAGCACTAACTAACAACCATCGCCATGCAACCTCAACATGGCCAGCCCAAAATCGTCCCAGACCAACAGACAGCGACAGCGGCCCCCTCCGCGAAAGAAGGCCTGCCTAAGTTGCACCAGATCCAAAGTCCGTTGCAGTCTTGAACGACCCGCTTGTTCTCGATGCAGATCGCTCGGGCGCGTCTGCGAATACTTCACTGCTCCTGATATCCCACCACCCCGTCCGCGTACAGAAGGCCCCGGGGCCACGACTTTCGTAGAGGCTCAGCCTTCATCAACGCTGGCTATACCCATAGCTAGACCAGCCTATCTTAATAATGTCTCCGAATACTCTTCGCCCAGTCGAGAGCGCAGGCATCGGCTGGGGTCCTCGACAAGAAACGAACAGCCGTATCTCGACTTCACCAAGGTCGAGCTAATCCCTGCTTCAGGGGCGGAGAGTATTCGGGACCGCTGGCTTCGGCCATACATCCTTCCACCACTAGGACGAGACGAGGTTCCCAAGGTGTATCATCCATTCACACTACAATACATTTCAAGAATCCTAGCTACTTATCCAAGGTGCATGCTGAAGGACGGAAAAGCACCGCCCATTCTTCATCAAACACAAGTATCTGCGGAAAATCTGCCGCAGGCATTGGCCAATTGCTATAGTCTCGTCCGAATGTGGGAAAATGCTGTGCCAGGAAGTGAGGCCATGGTTATTAACACCATAGAAACAGAGATGGACCGTTTAGCCAACGAGGTAGGCATGTCAAAATCTCTGACTGCACGAGGTTAATTTTTCTTTTATGATTACAAGCTTCCAAGCCGATACGATCATGAACTCCTCTCCACTTTCCAGGCCTACCTAATCTACTCTGTCATGTTATACTTCTCCCCTCGACTCGCTGCCCCAGCGGCTGTCACAGACAAGGTCATGATTACACTCATGGAACTGGCCTTTCGTACAGCTCGCAATGGTTTTTTCTGTGCTGCCGAGTTGTCCCATTCGCGACCTACCTGGGAATCATGGATTGTGGTTGCCTCGAAACGTCGTGCCATCTTCGCAATGTACCTCTTTTGCAGCGTGTACAATTCCGACCGACTCTTGCCCAATTTTATTGCAGATGAAGTACGAGGTGTCTTTGCCCCGGAAGGCAGATCGTTGTGGGAGGCGCCCGACCGAGAAACGTGGGAGCGGGAGTATGAGCGTCATCTGCTGACTTGGGAGGACGGGATGCTGGAGATTTCAGAGCTGTGGCGATCGCAGGATACCGGGACTGTTGAGCAACGAGAGAGGATTGAGCGGTGGCTGCAGACGGTGGACGAGTTTGGAATGCTGTTGTTTGGAGTCACCGCACATATTCATGGGTGTTGATCCGTGAGCCGAATGCCCATCCACTACCCGCTTCTCCACTCGTGTCGGAACTCCGAGCAAGACAAGACCCACTTTATCTATGACCAGGCGTGCTATATATCACCACCGTCTCTAACACCTTGCAAAACATCAACTCAACTTCAGCCTGTCCTCACAAACTCGACTCCAACCACGCGCTGCATTTTTTCGCTAGTTTGCCTTCACAATGACATCCACTTATTCCACAAATCACACCCCCAGCGTTCTCCGCACGCACAACTGGCGCACCCTACACAACTCAGCTTCCTACCTCCTCCCCCACCTCGACCATCTCCAGTCAACCACCCCCAACATCAAGATCCTGGACATTGGCTGCGGCCCCGGCAGCATCACCATTGACCTAGCCCGCCGCTATCCAACCGCGCAAGTCACAGGCCTCGACTCCTTCGCCGACCCGCTTCCCGGCGCCCGACGCCTCGCCGCCGCCGAGGGTCTAACCAACGTCACCTTCGACGTCGGCGACATCCACGCCCTCGATTTTCCCGACAACACCTTCGACCTCGTCCACGTCCACCAGGTCCTGCAACACATCGCCGACCCCGTCCAGGCCCTCCGCGAAATGCGCCGCGTCACGAAGCCCAACGGCGGGTTCGTTGCCGCCCGCGAATCCAGCATCCACACCTGGTACCCTGCCAACCGCGGGATCGAGCTCTGGGACCGTCTGACCCGCGAACTGGCGCAGCGGAGCGGGGGTAACCCGCATCCCGGGGCGAGGATCCACGTGTGGGCGGAGGAGGCGGGCTTTGCGCAGACGCAGATTCGGAAGAGTACGGGGAGTTGGTGCTTTAGTTCGCAGGCGGAGCGGGAGTATTGGGGTGGCTCAATGGCGGAGCGGGCGCAGAACTCAGGGTTCGCGGACCGGGCTGTGCAGAGTCAGCTGGCGACGAGTGAGGAGTTGGAGACGGTGGTCGCGGGATGGAGGGAGTTTGTAGGCTGTGAGCAGGGTTGGTATGGGACGTTGCATGGGGAGATTGTTTGCTTTAAGTGATTTGCTTGGGATTGAAAGTGTACGCAGTTGGTACTAGAAGCGTGTGTACTTTTGACTCTCGCTATGGTCCCAGCTGGGTTCAACAGTCTGGGAGATAACTACTTTTATTCTGAAGAATGTTTGAGAGGTATAGGTGGTTATCGGTACAGAATGATTAGCCCGCTTTTCAGTCACTGAGAAGAAATACTGAATTCGCATAACAACAACCGTGTAACTACACAGATTGCGATTTCACAATTTCAAGAGCACCTCGTACGATCTTTACAAGCAAGTAGTCATAATCTCAACGACCACAATGTGTTGGTACAAAACATGGTGGATAACCTGCACGTTCCCGCCCGGGGGAAAAGTGCGCCAAGAGAATCCCCCTCCAAAAAAACGACCCGCGCCTAAGACAACCCACCCAGGGTATTTCCTGAACAGATCGATCGATCATCCGACCCAAGATCCAGATGCACTAATAACCTTAAACCCAGCAGCAGCAGCACCGCAACGCCAACCCAATGGCAGTTGTCGGGAAGAGGATGACCACATTGCTGCATCACTTGTCTCTGATTCGATGTGACATCACCATTCTAACTTCCGTCATGTCCGCCCGTATGGCTATAGTGCCTACTTAATAGAAGAGGGAGACAATACCTCCAGACCAAAAAAAAAAAAAAAAAACCTATCAATTAGGGGAATTTTGACCAGTGATTTGATTTTAAACGTAACAATGACATCCACCATCCAGACCATCAAGAACACAATTGCCGAGAACTTCGGCGGGCCGTCGCATGAGTTGGCCGAGTACAAGTTCGACCTCAGCGAGGTTCCGGATCTGAGTGACAAGGTTGCGGTGGTGACGGGTGGGAGTGAAGGTATGTTTTTTTTCCTATCCTTCGAGTCGAGTAAAATTGAGTACGTACAAAATCCTAACCACCCCCGGGAGGAATCCAGGCATCGGATTCGGGTGCACGCACACCCTGCTTTCGAAAAACATCTCCAAGCTCTTCGTCACCTCGCTGCGCAAAGAGGTAGCCGACGAGGCTCTCGCAGCCATCGAAGAGGAATTTGGTGCCGAGAAGCGCAAGCGATTCATCTGGCTGCAATGCGACCTGTCCGACTGGGAGCAAACGGCCAAAGTGGCCGGGGAGATCGCCTCGCAGACCGACCGGATCGACATCCTGATCAACAACGCAGGGCGGGGGATCATGACGCGACAGCTGGCGCCCACGAACGGGATCGACCAGCACATGGCGACGAACCACATGGGCCACGTCGTGCTGACCTCGCACCTGCTGCCGACGCTGAAAAAGACGGCGGACGCGGGCCACACGGTGCGCATCGTCAACGTGTCCTCGAATGTGCACACTAGCGCCCCCAAGGACGTCGAGTTCGCCTCCATCGAGGAGCTCAACCGCGAGTACGACCCTAACGCGCTCTACGGCCGCAGCAAGCTGGCGACCCTCCTGCACGCCAAGTGGCTGAACCAGCATCTCAAGTCCACCCATCCCAATATCATCGTCAATGCCACCCATCCGGGCATTGTGGATACCGCGCAGACCAACATTCACATCCATGAGGCGTACCCCCTGATGGGGTACGGGATGTCGCTCGGCCTCAAGCCCTTCCGCAAGACCCAGTTCCAGGGCGCCGTGTCCACCATGTATGCGGCTACCGTCGCGACGGAGGGTGGCCAGTGGATCTGCCCGCCGTGCATCCCGGAGAGGGGCAGCGACAAGGCTAATGATATGGCGCTGGCGGATAGGCTTATGAAGCTGACTGCCGAGGTGGTGGAGAAGAAGACGCGCTCGGAGAGTAGCGCCAAGGGTTGTCCCTTCAAGGAGGACTAGATTGTTTCACGATGTCGATGTCTGTACGAAACTGTAATGCCACGAAATGAGATTCTAGTTCGTAGCAAGAACTATTTTGGACAGCTGCAAGGAGCGAGTTAGCACGCGAGTCTTACTGTGCTTGACTCAGTAAATCCGGGTCTGGTCTGACTGTCCCTTAACTATGACTGCGGGTCTGACAGTACAGTAAGAACCGGAATTAGATGAGCTCGACCGGTCCTAAAGCCACTCACTCATAGAAAGATCCCAATCAGTCATATTCCAACGACGATTTCTGCCTCACCCTGTCCATTCATATCTATCCCGGCCACAGCCAAGCAAGACTTCATCTTTAATTCAACCCGAACACAACAGCATGCAGCCGGATGGACAGCGTTTGCCATTGGGAACCACATGCATGATTCGCTCATCTTCTTCTATGAGTCAACATGCCAAATATGGATCGATGCCGTCCTTCCTTGAGGACTAGACTGCTTATACTCGACTCAGCATAACAGGGTCCATGTAAACACATTGAAGCCCGCTAAGAGCATGATAAAGACCATTTGTGAGCTCACGTACGCATACCCAATGAAGTCCTCTGCTCGGACGATGGAAGCAAGATGATCAAAGCATTTGGCACCTTCGCTGGGCTAGGAATTAGGCTCCGTGAGAACTGGCTGCAGATACCCTAATCAGTGGCATTCTTGGATCGGCACATGGCCGGCTGATGACGAGAGTGGATCGATCGAGCGAGAGAGCGAGGAATGCAAGGGTCTATCAGGCTCTATCTCTCTCCCATCCTGGCAAGCTGGTCTCTAGGTGTTTCTGACATTCCAGCGAGCATCACATATGGAAAGATCACCGTGCTCTCCGTCAATAAGACTAGAGTAGTACAGATAAGCCTTGGCCTGAAGAATCTTCAATTAAGTTCTCAGCATCGTCATCAGGGTCACCTAAAAATCAAGTTACAGATTGGCATGAGAAAGACGAAGTTTATGATGTCATGCACAGGTGCATAATTCCGCATGAACAGGGAGAGGACGGAGTACAAAAAGTCTATCACTTTATCCATCCAAATGAGCTCACACCCTGTGCTGAGCCAACACCGTGACTGGGGACCAATTGTAAACAATCTTCTCCTTTTGCTGGGTGGCAAGACACTGAAGAGCAACCTCTTGCTCAGAGACTGCCAACAACATATCCGCGGAGAGGCCCTTCTTGATGCCCTGCGTCAGCTCGCGCAGAGTCAAAATGTAGTTTCTGGTGCAGAGGTCGACGAGATGCGGAGCAAACCTGCCGCTGTCGGATTCGACCACCTCTAGGTTCTCCTTTCGCAAGCGCTCCGGGAGTTCAGACACCCAGCTAGACACATCGGTCAGTATAGAGAGAGATTTTTATCGCTGGTGGGAGTACGCACCTGTAGTTCAGGTTGACCCGCCGCATCAGGTCGCTCATCCGAGCAGCGGTCTTTTCTGCCACAAGCCCCTCTGTGACCTGGTTGTCCAGGTCCGCCTCCTCCCACTGGATGTAACCGCCGGGTTCTGTCGCAGATTCCTTATCAGTATGCCATGGTCATAATGCGGAGTAGCAATGGTCGGTTGACGCACTCAAGAGTCGTTTGGCTTGGCCAATCAGAGTAGCTGTCTCCTCATCGCGGACGTTATTCACCCACATCCGGAGATGCACCACATCATACTGTCCCACAATGGAAGGTGGCAGGTCAGCCATCATGTCGATCACGCTCAAAGTCATGTTTTGGGGCCATCGCGGCTGTGCGGGATATTGTTTGTCACAGACGTCAAAGCCATGCAGTTGAACGGTCGGTGGCAGCTGTCTTGCAAGGTCTAGAAGCCAGATCCTGTGTGTATAGTGAGCAAGTATAACGCCCTGCCAACATATGACATACCCTGTACCGCAACCAAGGTCGGCAATCCTCATCTTATCGCTAACAGGTATTGCGGGATGTAGCTCGTATCCTTTGTGGAATTTCCACAGAAGATGCTCAGCATCGTTCCTGGAGTATGTCTCAGCGCATGCGTCTCATTTGATCTTCACTGTGCGAATCATCGTGAATAGTAAGGAAAGACACGGATATCTTACCTGACAGAGTCCGTAATACTTCTCCCAAGAACATAATCCCCAGCTTCGATCACGGCGCTACCCATTGTCATCGTTATCTGGTAGGGTCTAGTAGTTGTGCAGTCGCAAATTATGACACGTATAGGCAACGCTCTATATCTCGAGCGAAGTCAGGTCAGTCTTATGATTCTTTTTGCGTTCAAGTTTAAAGGTCATCTGGATCGAAAGATCGTCTCAGGAATTGTTTGGCTGCAAGTGAGCTAAACATGATCTAGGTGAGATCATGGATGATCATTCCGGAGTCGCCTATAGAGCCCTCCTCAAGGTAGCACGGCGCATAGTTTGCGGGCGTGCTATAGTTTGTTTGACTGTGTGATGTCAACATAGTAGCAGAGACCCGATCTTCAGAATCGGCTTGCTGAAATGCTTGCATGAGAGAGTTTGTGAAGAAACCTCTCAAGATGTTCTATCAAACAGATCCTCAGACGAGGTGTCATCGTCTGATGACGTGCCTGGCTTGCATTCCGAGTTGAACATCCCGGTATGCTTCGCAAAGCACGTACCAATGAGTAGCATTTTGGTCATCGATGGCCTTAGCGTCAACACGACTTTCGGTCTTTTGACTCATCATCTTGACCTAGATCGACGTACAGACCATCGCCACCTGACCGTAGTCAATAACAAAGCAATAGGTAATCAAAAAGCCGTCCGTAAGTGGCCCCAGCCATTGACTTTCGAGTCACGTACATGATCATGGACTTTGTGCTGTTGCTCTGTCACACAGAATCACTACCTTGTGCCCTGGTATCCTTTAAAGTCCACACTAAGGTATCTAAAAGCCATGAAACATGAGATCACGTATCAAGATGTTGCAGCTGAACACTTCGTGGAGTTCCAATCCGTGTCATCTCACGTACGTTGGTGGTTGTTCTTGTAAGACCGTGGAGATTTTGGTAACAAATGAGACCAGGTCCTGCAGAATTCTCGAGAATCTACATCTTCCAGCCCTCAGATCCGCGGCTATGGCTCTGTGTTACAAGGTAGATCATCAGGAAATTCCAAATTACATACCTGAACCTGCACGCGAATATGACCGGCGAGTCCGATAGTGCTGTAGAAGTAGATTTTCGAAGACAGAGATGATGGCAATAGAAACGATGGGACACATGGCGTATCTATTCATAGGTGGACCGTATTTGCTTCTTCCCAGCTCAATCATAAGAACCAACAGTCACAACCACCGAGTCTAGGCAATGTGATATCAAGCAAGGCAAGCCGCCCTTCCGCGTGAGCCTGCCGATCCCTGCATCTTCCCGCCGTAGTAGTCCTGCTTTTCAGCTCACCGCACCGTCATAATTAGCCACGAGTCCCGGATATTGGATAGGATCTTGGATACTGGAATTAGCAAGAGGGACGAATTATTTAAAAATGGCTATAAATCTTGTCCACTTACCAGGTCCACGCACGAACGTACCAAACACCCTTCGAAGAATCAAGCAACCCATGAATCGTCCCCTTTCTATATCCACGATCAAATTCTCATCTAAGAATAGTGGGTGTGTCGTACATCCCAGAAAGGATGAGGTTCAGTCCCACCACCATAACTTTAACACCGGGCAAATTCGACGCTCTCGAACGAGTAGCTGGGTTATTGCGAGCACGAATGAGTGACAATTATTTTGCTTATGAACGAGGAGGTGAATGGCATCTAGGCCTCGGCTGTCATTCGTCACTGGTAGTTGATTCCAAAGGGGAGCATGCGACAACAATTATCGATACCCAAGAGGAATCGCACACCATTAATGAGCCTTTGGCGGATGTCGCAAGAGATTTTGTGTCAAAGTACACCAACGACGCCCGCAAGGTATTTGGATATGTCGGCTTTAATTATGCTGCGCATGCGCGAGGCATCCCATACAGAGCCGGTAGATGGCCGCTCTTGAGCTTGATGGTTCCACGCATCGAGATTTGTTTCTCTCGGCACAAGGTCGTTCTCATCGGATCCGACAATGAGGAGGTAAAGGAATTGGCAAACTTGATCAACAGCGCCACCTCTTTTACTCCCAATCCGACTCAAAGTATCGACACGCGAGACTCTGCTGAAGAGTACATGGCTCGTGTTGAGACTGCACTATCGGAGATCTCTGACGGGAAGTACACGAAAGTCATTCCCTCAAGGGCCGTGGAGATCCCTAAACGAGTAGACATGCCGGCTACTCTGCTGTGTGGTCGACGGTGCAACGCACCCGCACGGAGTTTTTCACTCAGCCACAAAGGCTACCAAGCGACCGGTTTCAGTCCCGAGCTGGTGATGTCGGTAAAAGGTGGAAAAGTGATCACTGAGCCGCTGGCTGGGACGCGATCGCGCACAGGCAAAGACGCTGAAATTGAGCGACTGAGGCAGGAACTGCTCAATGATCCTAAGGAAATTGTTGAGCATGTAATGTCTGTCAGAGAAGCGATCGATGAGCTGAAGCGGCTTTGCCCCGAGGATACCGTCCTTGTTGAAGACCTGATGTCGGTTCGACCTCGGGGTAGTGTTCAGCATCTGGGGTCCACGGTCTCTGGTTTCCTGAAACCGGAAAGGGACTGTTGGGACGCGTTGGATGTTCTCTTTCCTTCGACCACTGCATCTGGTATACCGAAGCAGGCGGCACTGGAGGGGATTCAGCGCCTCGAACAGCGCCCCAGGGAGTTGTACTCAGGTGCTGTTTTGATGATCGAAGGTAATAAGACCATGGAGGCAGCACTCGTTCTCAGAACTGTCTTCCAGGATCAGAGTTGTCAGTGGGTGCAGGCTGGTGCCGGGGTCATCGCGCAATCGACCCCCACGCGTGAACTGACCGAGACTCGAGAAAAGCTGGCGAGCATTGCTCCATTTGTGGTGGCGGAAGTTCAGAGATGAGGTACAACGCTTGAGACCAGTTCAAATTGAGCCTGGCTTAAGGAGAAATGATTGGTATTGCTGAGCTTCGCGATTCCATCAAATGACCGAAAAGAGCAACCAGATGAAGGAGTTCCCCTCCAAGTTGTTAACTGTTACTTCTGAACCTGGATAAAGTGCCAGGTGATCCAAGACTACACCAGCTCAGGCAAACAGCTCAGGCAAACAGCTCAGGCAAACAGCTCAGGCAAACAGCTCAGGCAAACAGTACATACACCCAAGTGAGAAAGATGGAGACTGCAGTAAGCTCTGCAGACTGAAGAATGATCTTCTGCCCTTTGCTATGCACTGTCCATGTAAATAATGACATGAGAGTCATTGCGTCCGGTAGAATCTGTAGTAGATATGTATTCTGTTTTTCCCGCTTTCTATGTCGACGCTAGATTATTAGGAGAATATGACAAACGTGATTGATGGTGAGGACTTTATAGATCTATACATTCTATCGCAAGAATAGGTAAGAATACTCGCTCACTGTAATCCCTCCCAACTATGCAAAATACTGAACGAAGCACCAAGAGATCACACCTGAAAAGAAAAAGGTTGATTGCATTAAATACAAGAAACTTCCCGGAAGGTATCGCTCAAATCAGGCCCACGAGAGAACAAGGGAAGGGAGGCACAGCCTACCACTACCAGTCATCGGGCTCGTAGGCAGGCTCTTCATCGCGCTCGACATCACGCTCGATATACACTTCACGCTCGTGGTAAATTTCGGCCTCGGGGGAGCCTTCACGCTCCTCATCCGAGCTCGAACCCGAGTGCTCCTCTATTTGAGAATCAGTTAGCAAAGTATTGACGATGAGCAACAGTGGCTGTTTAGGGGGGCGAGGAACTAACCCAGTTCGTGGTTCAACAGAGCACCACCAGCAACACCGAGGGCCAGACCAGCGGCAGCACCGATCATCATCTTCTTCCGCTCTTCCTTCTTCTGCTGCTCGGGGTCGACATAGTCACCGCTCTGCTGGGGTGGAGAGTATTCGCCCTGTTGATGGGGGTAGTATCCGCCCGCTGGCGGCGGGGGCGCAGGGGAAGGGGCACCGTAGTATTCGGCCGGGGGTCCGGCCAGGTCACGAGATCCGTCGGAGTCGCCTAGAGGAGGCTCCCACTGGGAGCGGCCGGTGGAGACCTCGACAAAATAAGCGCGGCGCATGTTGGGCTCCCATTCCTGGGTCCAGCCCATGGGAAGAGGAGGGGGAGGAACCGGAGGAGGCCGGGAGGAGGGAGGGGGACTGGCGTAGGGAGGGCGAGAATCGAAGGAACGCTCGCCGCCTTCGTAGGGAGGTCGCTCTGGAGGAGGGGGGCCACCCTGGTAGGGAGGTCGCTCGTAGGGAGAACCCTGGTAGGGAGGTCTGTCGGAAGGCGGGCGATCATAGGGAGGTCTGTCATATGGAGGGCGCTCGTAGGGAGGTCTATCGGAGGGAGGACGCTCATAAGGAGGGCGATCCTGATAGTAAGGTTGTCCACCGTAGTAAGACATTGTGATTGTTTCTGTACTCGGTTGAAAAATTTAGAGCAACAGAAGGAGAGGAGAAGATGGGAGGCAGATTATTCGGGAGACAAGAAGTAAGATGGATCAGAAGTTGAGAGGACAGAGTAGCAGCAAAGGACCCTTAAATAGTCTATTGATGGTCCCTGTCAGCTGGAGAGGGGAGAGAGGGGTGGGCGCATGGAGTCAGTCAGGTCACAGATGCAGCATCCACTCTGACTAGTTACCACTGCTATCAGAATTATTCATAGCTCTCAGGGACTCATTGTAGCCACCGGATGACCTAGGCAGGCGCTAAAAGCAGAGGGTCTCCACCGCGTTATTTGTTAAGATGGAGAAGTACCAATCCATAGTCTGGTTTCAGTGATGATTGTTGATTGTAGATCTGGTAATCTGGTATTTTGACAATGCAGAAGAATTAGGCAGATACGCAACACAAGCGCCCCTGATGTGAAGGTGGGACCTGATAGGCAGTTGTCCTTATGATGCTGGAATGCAATAGAATCCTGCTCTTGATGCCATAAGGCCGGCTCAAGAGCTTTTTTTTTTTTTTGCCTGGGGAGGAGAGATTGCGGGGCAAGTTTCTTCTATTCCTGTAGGGAGCAGCGATGGAGGGGCAGAGCAGCATTCTTGTCCTTGTCAGGCGGCACATACTGTGTAGACAGGCCATCGTCCTTTCTGGGCGCGTAGGAATCCTTGGATCAGAACGTCCGAGTGGACTCTCAACTGAGATGATGATGATCTGGTGCTCTTCAGTGTGAGCTACCGGTCGGGGCAAAGCTGGTCGATATCCGAGCTAATGAACAGGGAGCGACTGGAGAAACGAATGACTTGTCCAAGCGATGCCGCAGCAGTCCGTCTCTCCGTCTCCTTTTCGGTCTTGGCGCCACATTGGGGCTGGTACTTGTAAATGACCAATCAAACCTGACTCATCACTGCATCAGCCACAAATGAGCCCACTGTATGATCCAAGGGAATTTCGGGGTCTCCAGTCGCAAGCAATCCTTCCGAGCTCGCAGTGCCCCGGTGACAGCAGGCAGAAAAGGTACAATACGGCATGTACCTAGGACCCCTGCCTCGGATGGGCCGCGGGCGAGTCAGCAACCTTCCAGAAATTACCAACCTGTGGGCCAGGGTTGCCGCCATCATCCAAGGCATGGGTGCTAATTTGGGATGCTGAATGGACTCCCAGTGTGGTTAAACCTTCCATGCCTACATGCAGCATCCAAATCTACAACAAGTCATGACAATTACTGCAGTTCATGCCACCTGTGTAGGGGGCGAAGATAAGATATTCACCGAGATTGCAGCTCCAACTCTCCTACCTGTAACAGTAGTGTCTCGTTGCGAGCAGTCAGTCGATGCTGCCAAGACCCTGAGTCGGAGCCCCTGAGCGATTCGCCACGTGTGCCTCGATCAGTGGCTGTGTCCCCGCGGAGAAGAGGCCACTCAGCCACAGCTGGCAATGAGGAGCCACGCCGCCGAGGAACCTGTCGGAGCACCGCATCATGGTTGTGGGTCATTGCTGGGTGCCTTCAGCACCTTCGCGACTACAGAGTACCAGAGCACCTGTGTGAGTGAACCTCCAGCGTCATCATTCTTCAATCTGCGAATTAGGCCGTGTCCCATAGAATTATTGCCACTAACAGATCAGATGCACCAGCAGTTAGAATAGCGGAGTACGGAGTATTGCATTCTGTGTTCCACCGTGCCAAGTATGCCAGCAAGGCAACAATATTTACAGTCTTGAACATATGCTACAAACTCCTCAAACCCTGGCTCATCCCCATTCCAGTTCCAGTCTCGGCCCAGTTTCAAATTCATATATCATAAAATAGGCTTTGGTATGCGGTAGGAGCCACATTCCGCATCGGACAGTGTGTGCAAACATGTGAGGCTTCATTATAGAACGGCTAGTGCCAACTCATTAGGATTAAAGACGGCTATGCACTGCCGGCGAAGTTGCTGGACTCGGCGCTGCCGGGATAGAAGAATGCAGCAACACTAGATATCTTGTCAGTGCTCGAACCTTGAGTATAGCTGCAAGCGACGATAGACATACCCAATAATGACATAGGCTGCGATAAGCAAAGATCCTTCAAGGTAATTACTCCTGCCGTCCAGGACAAGGAAGTTCACAACGAAGGCCGTTACGAAGAGGGATATCGTTTCGAAGAGCGTGAAGTACAAAGACATGTCTTTGTCCATGCACCACCCAAGAATGACCACCAAGGGAGTGACGAATATAGCTGCCGAACAATATTAGCTTAAGCTTTGACAGAGATAATAGTCACACTAATGCTTACCTATTTGAATACTGCTGCCAACGGAGACACCAATGGCAAGGTCCATCTTGTTTTTGGTGGCCACACTCACAGCCGTAACGTGCTCAGCAGCGTTGCCAACAATAGGAAGAATGATGAGGCCGATGAAAGCTTCGCTGACAGATGAACTTTGAATCATGTTCGGGATGGCATCAACCAAGAATTCGGCACAAACCGCGACGAGGGCTGTCGAGACGAGGAGCATAACCACTGCAGATGTGCGGGACATTTCTGGCTCAGGGTGTTCGGCAGCATCTTCGACAGTGACCGCGCTGGTTGCGGTAGGCATGCGAGATGCACCACGAGCGAATTGAACGGCGCTTCCCACGGGCGGAGGACGATTGGAGAAAGACGGGAGCGAGTGTGTACGCCGAAGACCAGATGCACCAGACAGATTCGTTGGCTGCGCCATGGCTGGTGCAGTTGAGAAAACGGTGTTAGAGAGCAATGAAGGAATGGTCGGGCGAAATGGCGATCGTCTCTTGGGCACCTCAGGGGTCTCATCGACTGGTATTTGCATATCACCATGGTCAACGGCGGGCTCCGACTTGAATGTCATCATGGGGGGCCGTGCATTAATGCCTGTGTTAGCGGCGCTTTGAGCATTTTGCTCCTCCCGGCTTCTCTTCTCTTGCTTTCTGGCCTTTTTGACAGTCTTCGAAACCTTGGGGCCAGCTCCGAAATCTCGGGACTGTGGCTCGTAGTCTCTCGAATGAGGCTCATGATCCGCGTCATAGCGAGTATCATCTCCAAAGTCGATGACGATAGACCCCGATCCTTCCGCGTGACTATTTGTAGTGTTCAAGTCGCCAGAACCATTGGTCTCATCGACTGCCGCTGATGAAGGCATGTCAACCAGGGACTTCTTCCGGAAGGACTGCGGAGAGCCTGTTCCATGCGAGCTCGTGCTGGACTTTCGATGGCGTCTGTGTTTCATGGCCCTCTTGATGCGCTTTGCAGTAGACCATGACGTGGTGGTATCAACCGATTCATCCGAAGAACTGCTAGAATCAGAGGAGCTGTTCATGAAATCTGCCAGCACACCTGGATGAGATTCCTCGTCGATAATCTGCTGAGGGGTACTGGCATATAGATAGGAGTGCGACTTGAGCTGGAAAAGAATGTACAGCGCGTAAACAAGGAGCAACACCTATTCTAACGTTCAGAGTTTGCTTCTAGCCGAATTTCGCAACTGGAAGCACTTACCACACTAGTTCCACGGCTGACTTTGAGTGTGTACTTATCGGCGTTCGAGCTATCTGACCAAGAAGCATGGAAAGCCGTCTGCGCAATGAGTTAGTGTTTCTTATCGGCAGACGAAGGAGGTAATCACATACAGGTAGCAACAAGCTCATCACACTCAAACTGAGAAGACAAGCACTCATTTGAGTGACTGTACTGTTGTAGATCTAAGGTTGTGTTGGTCAAAAAAGTCCCTGAAACATGAAATGCATGCAATGTTTACCTGTTCCTGGAAACGCAACCCTCCCAACAAAAAGGCCATACCCAGAATCAGCAGAAGATTTGCCAGAATAGACCCCAAAAGTGATGCTTGCACAATTCGAATCTCATTCTTGACGAGTGCGATGATGAAGATAATCAATTCAACCGCGTTTCCAAAGGTGACGTTGATAAGTGCGCCGACGGTATCGCCCAGGCGGCTAGCAACACATTCGGTAGCGTGACTGAGAAGACCAGCCAGGGGAATGACTGCAATGGCGTTCATGGCGAAGATCAAACCCGAGTTCAATCCGGCCGCCTCGACGGCGATACCCACGGGCACGAAGACGAGCAGCACATTGACCCAACTGTGGCAAAGCGCCGTCTTAGTGTGGCTGCTGAAGCGGACCATGCCATCCTTCATGCGGGGGAAAATTCCGGGCTTGGTGGTCTCATTTGCATTTTTCTCTGACTCCGGACTGGCCGGGTCACGTATAGCTTCTTTCACTTGCCCATCTTGGGCCGTTGCCTCGTCGGAGGCTTGGTCTAGCTGCGAAGAAGCTTGATTCTTGCGAGTCGATGCGTGAGCTTTCGCCCACGAGTGAATCCGGTCTGTGGAATTGTCAAAGGAATGGTCAGCTCGAGGTTTCCCGGAGAAAAGAGCTGTGTCTCATGCACGAAGCGAGCACCAAAGTGTGGCGAGCGTGAGGTCTACCGCAACGTGGAACGAAGGGGGTGTTGACGAGTGACTGAGGCACTTACGCATGTATTTCAGGACCAGGAACAGGTACAATCAAGGGGGAATGGCAAAGGAGCCTAAGGCTTGTACACAGGGAAGGGATGGAAGAGTAAGAAAGAAGGGAAAAATGAAAAATGTGTAGAACACAGGAAGAAGAAGCAAGCCAAGCTTCAAGTGGGTTTATGGGAAGTTGAATGAGGCGAGACAGACAGCGAAATGAGGACAATATAAGGACGAGCGGGCCGGGGCCCTTGGCATGGGGCGGCAAGCCAATGATGGTGGCCAAGCCCCGGCATGATCAGCCTACGCCTAACCACGAAAGGGTTGCCATGGTCTGCTTCGTTTTCCGTCCGGCACACGCAGTCACACTTTCCATGGATGTTAACTTGATTGACAAAAATATCAATCATCCTTCCTTTCGCATTCCCTTTCAACTCGCTTTCACTGGTGACGCTCACTCCCTATCAGATCTGTCTTCCAAGCTTGCCAAGGGGGGCTACACCCGTGCTGAAGTCATCGGCTTATCTCCGGGTTCGTCTATTTTCATCCTAGAGACTCGGCAGTGGTTGACTCGCGAAAGACAGCAACGATTGACGAGAGACTCGGGATGGTGATTGAGTACTGTACCTTACTGTACCCACTAGCGGGGCATGGGGCCTGCTAGTCTGGATTTCCGTAGATCGTATTCGTACGGTTCCAATCTGCAGCCCGCCGATTAACTTACTGTGTACTTCCTACAAACGACTCAACTCCCCTTCAAGGATCTTCTCGATCAACAAGATCGGTAGACAAAGATGTCAGTTAGTTCAGACATCACCTTACCCAGTCGGCCTGCACCCTGCAAGGGGATAAATGGACAATCCTACGGTAGCCTGGTAGGATCAATGTCAGAATGCTGGACCAAGCCTCAGAGCATGGGGACCTCCCAATTTTGTGACTTAGTCGCAACTCCGGGAAGACTCGCAACGGGAGCCACGCCTCACTAACGAGTAGTCTATTCTCCGAGGCATCACCGATGATAAGCAGTTGCCGTATACCTGATAGGCCCTCCCTACGAAGCACTAAGACTGAGATGTGTCTACCACTATCACTAAGGAGATGGCCGAGTCTTACCTGTTGGTGGTACACGACATACAAGTATTTACCGTACCTATCAGATCGATAAAGACCGCCTTGCCTCCACGCATTATCCACGGTGGACAACGATCCGAAAATACAGGGCTTGCCATTGGCTCACAACAATGGTGAATCTTAGCCTTGTCCCACTCGGAGGGATTCCTCCGACCTCCGATGTTCCATAATGTACCTACGGAAGCACTTTGTACCGAATTGCGAAGGAGGGTTGTTGCCACGGCGGGCTGTTCAACAGCTTTGAGTAACGCGTCACATGGCTCGATGAAGTGTGTACAAACAAAGAGCGCGTCATCGATCACCACTAGGTTTTCGCTTTATGGATGTTTTCCCTGCTCTTTGGCAGTGGCACTGATGGTTGAATTTCTCTATGACTCAAGATAATGTTCCACCCTCAACACTATTCCTGCCTGGTAGGGCTCCGACCCCTGCGTCACCGACTCAGCCACATATTCTGGGCCCACTATTCCCTCCACCAGCACTCCACAACCACCGCAACGATGTGGCTGAGGAGAATAATTTCCCCAGGGGGCCAGAGATCATGATGGCAGCTGAGAACATGGCGTACAAGTGCCAAGTCGCAGTCGCTACAGCCAGGTGCTAGAGCATTCCATGTTGCGAATTCGACTGGTTGAGCAGTCTCGTCGGCTCCTCGTGCTTCGCAGACTGGACAACACGACATTGGCGCCAGCTGGCCGTCATGAGGTCATTTGTGGACTCGTGTACTGTACTTTCGAGGACTTGGTCCAGTCTTTGACAACCGATTGCGGTCTCGTTTTGACAGGTCTTGCCCAGTGAGCGGGGAACTCGTACACATACCAATGCGGGGTGATGTCCCCAAGCGTGGCCGCGTAAGTTCAGTCCGAGTTACGATGATGGTGGTGGTCCATTCTTGTCAGCGCCAGCACGAATCAATCAGTGACAATCGGTCGGGGTCTCAATCACAAGACGCTCCGAGTCTACCCAGCGCGGGGTTGTCAATCCACTATGAGAGATTCACTAAAGTACTGACTATCGTTGCCCAACAGGCCCCAATGCTGTCCTTATACTGGAAGGGGGAAATGCTTGCAGAGTGGAAGGAATGAGTAGGAAGAGCATCAGCTGAATTGTGCTTCTGACAGACAATTCACTCATGACTCATCATGACTGCATACTGCATAAATCGTGCATCTTCCCGTAAGTAAGTCAGGTGATTCTAGCCCAGAGTCGCGGGTAAAAGTTTCATCCGCCTGGGAATCACCCTCGTCATTTGTGCTCTCACCTTGCCGACCCTGACAGCCATGGGATGTTTGGTCAAGCTTCAAGCGCTTGCGGATCCCTTATCTTTTCTGCTTCGATAGTACCGTTGTCTTTGAAGCGGTGAAAGGTGTCCAAGGTGTCCAGTGCATTCAGATTCTACAATGACACTGCTCTTGTTTACCCTCGCAAGAGATACAGTGCTCTGACAACCTCAAACTACGTTAGCACAACTACTAGGTGACATGTTAGGCGATCATGACTTTAGTTCACCAAGCTAGGCTGTAGCTTGATCTTAATTGTACGATGTCAACGATCGTCCACGCTTGAGGACAAGCGAAGAAAAGAAACTTTGTAGTCGGCATTTAGCTCGGCATGCGCCATGAAATTCAGGCACGGCAACCCGATCCGGATGCGGTCCCGGACGTTGGCGATTCGATCACTGATGGCGGTCGAGATCACGAGAGGATCGATTTTTCGTCCTGTAAATATTCCTGCATCTTCTCAGTATGTTCATGCTTCTATTCCGCTATCAGTCAGGTCATTTGAGGAATTAGTTCGCACGGAAGCCACAGCAGAAAACACCATGACTCCCCCACGGAGCTCAGGTGGATCCAAGCTGTCCAGGATACTCAGGTATGAAATCTCGCACTTTATGGCTCTGACTGCCTCAAACCAGGACTGAGACGCTTTCGTAGTGCACTCAACCCAATGACTTGGAGACGACGTCTGGACTTGGACACCCGAACCTTCCTCATGATGTTGAAAGGCGCTTTGCCACCGACCATTGTCATCGCGATGTGAGCGAATCCACAATTGCAGCAGGTGAACGCAGTCGACTAAAGCTTTTGTAGTTATCAGAGCAGCTCCATAGCCGATATCACCCTGACCATCGGCTACCTATCTGCTTTGATATCCGTCTTGTCGCAGGCTTTAATGCCCCGCGCCAAATTCATGAAAATCATCTTCTTCGATCTCCTGTCCACATGCGTATCAGCATCCCTCTGTTGTCTAGCGATCTACTGTGCTGTGAAAGCAAGAGAGCACAACACCCCCAGAGACGCAAGTGACAGCGTCTGCAATGGCTTCAGCAGTGATGCCTGTGCTGTATCTGCCATATGGTTGATTTTCATGATCTGGTTTGTGCCCCTTCCTCGGTCGTGCCACCAGATAGGTTGCTGACGGCTACTTTGTAGGGGTGCTAACACAATCCGTGCCTGGAAGCCGCTGGAGCTACAGGATCCCATGGTGGCATTTTCCATTTTCTGCTCTGTCACCATCACTCGAGCCGGTACGTTTGTGACACTGTCCGAGGGATTGAGCTTTGTCAGTCGACTCTTGAAAGGATTTTTGCTGGGATTCGCGATTGCTACCGGCATATCTCTGTTCATACTGCCGATTACGAGCAGAGGCCACGTGTTTGAGGACATCAGGGGCTACGTTACGCAGATTGACGCCGTACTCCAAGCTCAGATTGTTTTTGTGGGTGAGACCCCGCACTTGTGGACCGGTGAAAAGAGTCTGCTAAGTCGAACTCGGACTGCGCGCAGTGGATGGGACGCCGGGAACAATGCGGAATCGGATCTGGAGTCGAGAAAGAAATCCCTCGCCGCAGCAGTGACGAAGCTGAACGCCTTGCATGGCAAGTTGCAGTCGGATATGTTCTACTCGAAAGATGAGATTGCTTGGGGAAAGCTCGCGGATGAGGATCTAAATACTATTGGAGGTCTGCTGCGAAGCCTTTTGCTGCCGCTCTCGGGGATGGCGATGCTGCCTGATATACTGGAGATGATCGTGAAAACTGAAGGGACCCGCAATAACAGCACACTTTCAGATGAGAATAACGAAGAAGTCTCTAGAAAGCAGGCTGAATTGCAGAAAGCTACTGAGACACTTTACGAAAGATTGGTGGAGTCTGCCCGCCTGGTGAAAGTCGGTCTTCAGTATTTTCTGCTGGGTCTGGAACTCAAAAAGAAAAGGCAACTCGAGAAACGTTCAAAGCAAGATGAAGAGGCAATGGGAGACCTGCTCAATCCGTTGCAGGAGGGCTTTTCAGCACTATTCCAGCAGCAGGTAACACAGTACTATTCCCAGCGCAAAGACCTTACAGGGAAATTAGCCTCCCTCGAGGCATTTTCTGTGTCTGAAAAGACCGATGTGGCCTCGGCAAATGATAGTGAGAGAGCAGTTGCAGCAGACCCCGATGTGAGACAGGAATTCTTCATGATCCTATACATGGGCCATCTGCAAGACAGCATTCTGAAGGCGACGCTCGACCTGATCGAATTTGCAGATAACAAGATTGAGGACGGTACAATGAAACGTAGCCGGCTCATCTTTCCCAAGCAAAGGACGATCCTACAGTGGTTAAGTCCGGGTTCCGAGCAGAAAGAATCCGGTGTCACTGGTGACCGACGACAGTCTTCCCACGTTAGTCCCTCGGCTGTTTATGAAGAGCGCGAAGCAGACACATTTCCAGACCCGGAACACCTTCCACCTGTCAATCTCATCGAGAAGGGAAGCATATTGCTTCGCGTGATATCGAAGGTCATCAGGTCTGAACAGAGCATTTTTGGATTCCGTGTTGCAGCAGCGGCATTCTGCGTTGGCATCTTAGCCTTCTTGCGCCAGACCCAGGAGTTCTTCATCCACCAAAGATGTATCTGGGCCATGATCGTTATTGTGATTGGCATGAACCCAACCAGTGGACAGACCATGTTTGGTTTTGTGGCTCGTATTGCTGCGACTGTTGTGTCGATGGTGTTGAGTTTGATAGTGTGGTATATAGTGGACGGGAAGACCGCAGGTGTCATCGTCTTCCTTTATCTCGGCAACGTGTTTGAAGTGAGTCTGTCTCTGGGCGAGGAAGCAAGCCAGCATAGCATTGACCACTGACTGTCTCGGCAGTACTACTTCTACATCAAAGTTCCTCAATACTTCGGCGCGACTGTCATTGCCATTGTGACGTTCAACGTCATCGTGGGTTATGAGTTGCAGGTCCGCTCCCTACCCTTCGATCCTCCTCTCAGCACCTCAAAACTAACTACCATCCGACATTTCCAGGTCCGCAAACTCGGAATCGAAGTCGCCACTTCCAACGGCCAACCCTACTATCCCATCTACATCTTCGGCCCCTACAAACTCGCAGCAGTCGCAGCCGGCTGCGCCATCTCCTTCTTCTGGGTAATCTTCCCCTATCCTATCACCGCCAAATCCACCCTCCGCAAAGCCCTCGGACGGGGTCTCTTCGTCCTCGCCAAATTCTACAGCTGCATGCACACGACCATCGAGCTCTGGCTCAACGGCGAGCTAGGCAGCCTGCACGACGTGCGCTCCGCATCCCACCACCTCGACCACACCCGCCACAAGATTTTCAAGGAAGAGATGATCCTCCTCAACAGCCTCCGCATGCACAGTCACTTCACCACCTTCGAGCCCCCGATTGGCGGCAAGTTCCCCAAGCCGACCTACGACCGCATCATCGGCCAGATCCAGCGCATGCTCACCAGTATGGCGCTGATGGCACACACCACGCAGAGCCTGGACGCTCTGGCGGTGGCGGGAGGATCCGACGGCAACACTTCTGCTGCGGCGGAAAATAACAAATGGGTGGCCAGGCTCGCGTCGATCGCGCTGCAGTCGGCGGGGTTCAGGTCGCACCAGGTCACCTCGCTGCTCTGCCATCTGTCGGCCGCGATGATGAACGCGCAGCCGCTGCCGCCGTACCTGTCGACGGGGGACTCGTTTCCTCTGGCAAGGGAGCTGCAGCGGATTGATGGTGAGCTGCTGAGCATTCGACATCTGGAGGATCCGGCTTTTTCGACGTTCGTGTGTCTGGAGGTGCTGCGGTCGGTCGTGAGCTTCACCTTGGATGATTTGTTGCGGTAAGTTGCGCTGTCAGCTGTTGTGTATGTCTGGGAACCTTGCTAATGCGATACTCAGGGATGTGAGGAGTCTTGTCGGAGAGTTGAGCTTCGACTTTCATGTGCGCCATGCGCAGGATTATGCGGAGTCGCAACGCTTGATGTCGGAGGGAGACGCTTGAAGTGATCGACAGTGGCAGTAGCCTTTATAATTGGTATTTAAAATCAAATAATGATAATCATCTATGTATTTTTCTATTCTGTTCGTATCTATACGAGGAGGCTACTACTAGTACAGCAAGTCCGTCCTTGGCATGGCGGCCGAACAACTGCACCATCACCGGCGCCACAATATATCTGACGCGCGCTATTCTGGCTTTGAGAGTATGCCGACATACAGCCTACTAAGTGATAATGCCCAACCCTCCCTCCCCCCTATCAATATTTGTTAAAGGAAACTCGATGTGAGACAAAGAAATGGATATGTCTTTACTCCCGCCCACTTCCAGAGCAATTCGCCAACTCCATGACAGTGCCACCGCGTCGCTGACTCTGGCTTCGCGTAGCCGCGTCTATATTTTTTAGGATATAATGCACTAATTCCGTCAGTATCACAACAGCAAGGCCTGCTGGCCCAATGGTAAGGCGCTTGACTACGAATCAAGAGATTGCAGGTTCGAGCCCTGCGTAGGTCATTCTTTTTGTCTTTTGCGGAACCATCTTCTTGAGCTCGGGGGCCAGTAAACTTCTTTCTGGAAGCTATGAGTTACACCTTCTTCGTTTCCGCCGCGCCCCGCTTTCTCCACCGGCAGCTTTGAGTCTTCTGAGAGACCTTGATTGGCAACACCATGGTACATGGGCGGCAGACTATCGAAAGAAACAACCCCCACCTAAAATTCAGAGCATTGTTAACCAGATAACTCCAATGGCCTTTGTGACCCCCCAATTTACTGAAAGAGCCAGCTAGATGGATGTGAAAAGTATCTTATCTTGCTTCGTCATCGTTGGTTACATTCGCTGCAGACACGGTCCTCGAGATAAGAGACTTGCTTTGGTAGCTCATCTGGCATGGGCTCAGTAGGGGTTGCTTTCACCATGTGGACCAGGCAGTTCTTGCATAGAGAGTTTTTTTTGACAGCTACTCTTTTCTTCAATCAATATCACAGTTACCGAAGTGGGAGGAGGAATGGAAGCGACCGATCAAAGCAAAGTCGTGGAGTGGAAGGAGAAAGTCACAGACTTCACGGGAAAGAGGAGATCCATCGTCTTTTTCTCTACTGGCAGATTCATATTATGTGGCTCGAGGTAAATCTAGACCTCGGTTGCTACTCGGTACTATGAATCTTGGGATGACTGCTCCGAGAATAAAACGGTCGCGAACGGTTATCTGAAGCCGCCCCGGGCTCATATTGTTGTGAGGTATATTGTACAGTACATCTTAACAGAAATGTGAAAGTTGGGGTTCCCCCACGTCAATACCGCCTCGCATCCCCGTCGACCCAAAGGAATGTGTCTCAAACAGCCGCCAGTGATTGCTTCTAGCATGAAGCGCCCGAGGGAACGTTCTCGCAGTCGGAGCTGCTCTTACCACCGGTAATGTCAACACCAGACCAGGTCCAGCCTGAGCAGCTGCCGTCACCACAGAGGATGTAGACCTGAACAGCGTCATCTTCGACCGAGCCAGTGACGCCATCGACAGTCACATCGGTGATGGGGACACCAGTAGAGGGAGTACCAGTGGGGCTACCATTCTCGTAGTCCTGCTCAATGACGATACCGTAGTCGGTGATACCAGAGAGCTGGATGTTGGAGTAGGTGATCTCGCTAACGTCCCCGGTCGCATCATAGATGGTCTTGATGCGAACGCCGTTGGCCGAGTTGGAGATTGTCGAGTCCGAGATGGTCACGTTCTTGACAGTGTTGTCATCACGACCACCGACAGAGCCGATGGACAGACCGTGGCCACCGGAGCAGGTACCACCGGTGAAGAGAATGTTCTCACCGGAGTTGATGGCAATGCAGTCATCCTGGTTCTTGACGGTCGCACCGCTGATGTACACGCCATCACTCTCGCTAATGTCGAACCCATCGGTGTTATGGCCACCGTTGTCGTCACCAGCAGAGTTGTCGATGGTGATGTCGGTCAGGTAGGTGTTTGTAGCCTGCACACTGATGGCCTGAACCGGGGTGTTCTTGATCTGCAGGCCCTTGATGGTCGAGTCCTCGACATCGTGTATATACATGAACTTGGGCTTGGTCTTGCCACCGTTGGTACCCTTGCTATCCCACCAGCGAGAGCCGTCGCCGTCAATGACAGCACCATCAGCCTGGGTGATGGTGAGCTGCTTGCCGCCGAAGCGGATAAGAGGACCATCCCACTCTTCATAGCCGAAGCTAGTGGTACCCTCGAAAGTGATCTGTTTATGTTAATCATGTTTCAGAGCTGAAGAGTATCATCTGCTGGCTTACAGTAGTACCGTCAGCCGCATCAGACAGGTCGAGGGTTTCGCCCGCGGACACCTCGATGTTGCTGAGGACGACGTTGGAGCAGCTAGCGATACTCTCACTCGCCTCGCTGGCGGAGGTGAAAGTGCAGGTAGAAGAGGACTTCTTCACCAGGTCGGACACACGAGAAGCAGTAGGAGCAGCCGAGACAACAGAGCCGACAGCGGCCAGGCCGAGAAGCTGGAAGGAGTGCATGATCAATTCTAGTCAACAGAACAGTAATAAAGAACGAATGAAGGAATGAGTGGGTGTCTGATCAACAGAATCGAAAGAGAGAGCGTGGTTGTTGAGACATTCAGAGCAAGAAAAGAAGTAAGCTTTTATAACTTGAGCGCCATGGAGGACATGCCTCCGTCAGGGTAACAGGTTCCATGGGATATCAATCTCTCTCGAACGGCTATCGTGCGCTCCACGGGCCTCTTCCGGATCCACGCTGTTTCACCATATGCGTTCGTTGGCTCGGCAGTCAACGTCTTGCCCGCTTCACGGAATCACAATCGATGATGATCGTCGTCAGCAAGTCTCAAACAGAATAGTTTGGGGTCCAGGGTGGGCCCTGATTGCTGATCCCATGCCGAATCACTTCGGCAGATTCGTGGTTAAATGGTAAGAGAAGTAACCAAGGTCCGGACCAGTCGGCTTGGCAGCTTGCTTAGGAATTCTTGACTATGTGCTACGAGCCTGCATTGTTGAGCATGGCATGATGTGAAACAAAATCTCCTTCGATGGCGTCAAGGCAAAACTCATGGTTGTCACCCAGGGACCGAGCAACCCTGAGGCGGAACGGTCGGAAAGACCCTGAAGTCTTGCCTCAAAATGCTCGTCTCGAGTCCCTGAGTACGTATGGCTTGGCCCTAGTGAGCGGCCCCTGCATACTGCCAAGAACATCTCCGACCTCTTGGCTCGTAACAGGCGATATTAAGGGCAACCCTTCCACTTCAGAGACGGCTAAGTTAGACGACTCGCCGGAAAATGTGTGGCCGGGCCTGTCGACTGGGCTCTGAGAAGGAAGCGCAGGGCAAGGATCTTCCACGATGAGCGTCGCCAAACAGCGTCTATCCCCATCGCACCTGCGTCGGATAAGTGGGTGAAATGGGCCTGCCTCTCTTCGTCCAGTCGTAACTGCCAAAACAAGTGGAATTGTCCAATTGCTCACGAAGTGATGAGGGTGAGAGGTCTCGGATCATGCTGATCACAATCAATTATCACTATCAACCTGTAGACATTTATCAACACTCACTCATGATCTGGTTTAGGTTCATTCTATTCCTCCTCGCTATCAAGGCCGTCGCTCGGTCCACATCACTCCCAGCAGTTGAATGCTCGCCCCTCCGGGTTCAGCCACCCTCTTTCTCGGATGTTGAAGTCCTTTCGTATATGGTCTTCCCTGTCTACGACCATGAAATTGATGCCATCGAGGTCAATCCGATCAAGCACCGCCGAGTCAGTGTAACATTCTGCAATTTCAGCCTCACATACACCCACCCAGGCTGGGATGATGTCATCAATATGCAGGTCTGGCTGCCGCTCTCCGATTGGAATAAACGCCTGCAGGGCATCGGCGGTGTCGGCTGGGCAGGTACCCGCGGTGACAGTGCCACGGCTCTAGCAGTCTCTGAGGGCTATGTGGCAGTCAGCTCCGACTTGGGCCACGATGCAACAAAACCGTCAGCACGAGACTGGGCGCTTGATGAAACTTCGCGGCATGTGAACCTGGCCCGGCTGCTGGATTTCTCCTATGTCGGTCTTCTCGACATGTCTAGACTGGCAAAGGACGTTGCCCAACAACTGTACGGAGAAGTACCAAAGCACAGCTACTGGAACGGATGCGGGGCAGGCGGCCGACAAGGCATGATGCTTGCGCAGAGATTTCCAGAAGCTTTTGATGGGATTGTGGTTGGTTCTCCAACTCTCAGTTGGGCACACTTCATGCCTACGGGCTACTGGCCCACCTTTGTCATGAAAATGCTAAACACTTATCCATCATCCTGTGTGATGGACGCTATAGCTGCCGAGGCCGTTAAAGCCTGTGATGATCGCGATGGTGTCGTCGAAGGAATCATCACGCAGCCAGAGCGTTGCGACTTCAATCCTCTGTCCCTTGTGGGCAAGAATGCCGACTGCGGCGATGGGGTCAACGTTGAGATTACGCTTGATGTGGCCATATTGGTCGAGAAGATCTGGCAGGGCATGCGCTCCCAGGACGGTAAACCGTTGTGGTATGGCTTCTCCCGAGGTTCGTTGTGGCACGCCACGAGGTGCTCTTCAATGGGAGAGGTTCATCACCACACCTGCACTCCAGCACCCAGTACCCTTGTTCTCGACTGGCTGGAACTGTTTGTTGCACAGAATCCAGATCTGGAGCTACCTCACCTAAAGCTGACGTATCCGGAGTTCGAAGCCTTGTTTCACCTCTCCATAGCCGCTTATCAATCTATAATAAGCGCCGACTCTCCTGACCTTGCGGATTTCAAGAGTCGCGGAGGGAAAATCATCCATTGGCATGGACTGAACGATGGAGAGGTCCCCCCTGGTGGGTCCGCGGCCTACTATGTAACTGTAAAGAATCGAGATCCTTCGGTCATGGACTTTTACCGGTATTTCGAGGCCCCGGGGGTCGGCCACTGTGGCTCGGGGCCCGGTGCCGCCCCTATAGGCGTGATGGGCGCCCTGACGATATGGGTGGAAACTGGAATCGCTCCGGACATTCTGCCAGCGGTATCAGAAGATGGAAGTTTGACCAGAATTCTGTGCCCATTTCCATCGGTAGTAACCTACTTAGAGGGGGACGCTGAAAAGCCTGAGGCTTTTGGTTGTCGGGAATCACCATTGTGGCGATGAGATTGGTTGGATGGTAGTAGGATAAATGTTTGGCACGGCATTTATGGAACAGCATACTAGATAGTTGAAGATGCAACGAAAGAGTACCTCTATAGGGGTGATGGAGAAAAACATAGGATAGAAGGTAATCCTGTGGTTCAAGGCAACCAATGCAATTGCAGACTCGTGGAATTAGTTATGTTGGTGTGGGAGAAGTTCAGTGTGGAAATGAGACCAAGAAAAAGCAAAAAAGAAGGGCCGAACGCGGATCGAACGCGTGACCTCGGGATCTGCAATCCTACGCTCTACCACTGAGCTACCGACCCATTTGTTGATACGTCATCGCTCAGCTACAAATCTGTTCCGATGATTCAATGAACCATCAACGGGTCATCATTTCTTTTCTCGCTCCATTAGCATCATTCAGCCACAATACAAATTCCCTCTGTCGGCTCCTAAGATTATTCGTATGGGCAATTGGTCCGCAAGTCCGTAGGCTCGAAGTGACATGCTTCTAGGTGCTCCAGTGCTGTCATCCTGGGCTTCTAAAAATCACGGCCGCGCATACTGCAGCTTATATTTATATACTACGTCAAACACATCCCATCAAGCGGGGTTCACCGGTATTCTTGTCGGCATTTCGCGTTCAAGCAAACTCACCTACAGGGCTCACGATATTATCTCTGCCCATAATATACCCTTCAAACAACCCCCGACCCAAGCATTTTCACTGCGAACCCCCCGCAGACTAAGACAGGACGACACCATTGCGAGATCAATGAGCGAAGCGGAAATCCAACCTCTTACTCCCGGTCGCCGTCGTCGTGTTGATATAATGCCGTCGTTGCTGCACCGCAGAGTGAAAAGCAATTAGCTTGCCTATGAACTGCCTTCGGAGGAAAAACAAGCGAAAGAACAGAGACTTACCTCCTCCGTCATAGCGTTCCAGACCTTATCCCTATGCCTGTTCCTCAAAACATAGTAAACCTTCGTGAGCAAGAATAGGACGATGGCAAGGACGTTAATTCCTAGGAGCGCAGAGTTTCCCCGCTTGTACTTGGGTTTATCATCAGCGCGGTAGATGTTGTTACCGATGATGCCACCGACTTGGACGAACACTAGATGTAGCAACGGTCGTCTATTGTTAGCGCTCAGGATGATCACGGGTCGCCAGAGTGACATCGAGAGGAGGAGTCGAACGCTGTTTCCGAGTGGCTGGGGAGACCTACTGTTGTATATTGCCGCGGAGATTGTCCGCGTGCCCACATTGTTTGAGTTCTTGGAGGTCCAACCCACGAGGATGGCGTGGCAGTACGGATAACACAACAGTGTTGTCACGAGACCAAATGTGCCCCATGCGTCGGTCATGGTGCCGGGCCAGAACCGAAGGGCAATGACACAAGGTAAGGTCCAGATGCTCTGGAGCATAGCCACGAAGGTACGTTCATTAAGCCATTCGCTGAGGCGGGTAAGAAGGAGAAGGGTGATGATATGGCCGACACTGTAGGGGACGGTGAGGAGGTTTGTAGTGAACTGTTGGGCTTCATTGTTAGTGGAGACAATTATAGATGAGAGAGCGCTTGCGACTCTTGGTCCAGGGATCTGACCGTGCTGAAACCGACGCTCTTGAGCGTGAGTGTGATGTAGGTTGTTACAGGCGTTTGAGGGATGAAGACGATGAGGCCGAGGATGTAGATGGGCCAGAGGTCGTAGTCACGCAGAGAGTTCCAGAGGCGACGAGGGGTGATAGGTTGGCGATTGTGCATGTCCCCTATTGAAGATACTGTGAGTGCTATGACACTAGAGGAAAAGTTGCAGTGGGGAAAAGAGCCGGACATTGCTGACCTTTCGAAGGATCATCGCGGAGGACTCTATTCACCACAATGCTGACTTCTCGATCTGTAAACCATCCTTTGGGGCGAAACCACTTCTTGGTGTCGACAGCCGAGGCAGGCATACGGAAAAAGGAGGCCACTCCAACAAGGAATGTGATCAGGCCTTCAATAAGGAAAAGCCATCTTCGAGTCCAATAAGTTAGTGCACGTGTATGAAGCTTGGACAGACGCACCCACCTCCAGCCAGCCATGCCCTGAATGCCACGCATGTGTAGGATACCGAATGCGAGGAATGATGTAATGATGGTAGTTCCTGAAAGAGCAGTCCAGAAGATACTAACAAAGAGTAAGCATTGTATGCGATTGACTCGGAATATCATATATACCTCAGGCGTGTTGGGAGTTCTCGGCTGGTGTAGAAATACGACAACCACAGAACAATATCAGGGATAAAGCCCCCCTAGGGAGTATTAGTGAAATGAAATACCGGTTACAGGCGATCAACCAACCTCAAGGATTCCCAGAAGTGCCCTCGTAGCGAAGAAACTTCGCTTTCCAGCCAAGCCAGCTTGGGCTGCCGCAACGACAGACCATAGCGTCATCTGCATCGGAATCCAGCGATCAGGGCCCATTTTCTTAGACACCAGCTGAGACGGCAATTCCGCAAGCAGGAAAGAGACGAGGAAGATAGTGTTGCCGGTGTTATAGTCTGATCGCGTTACTTTTAGTCCACAGTGGAACAATTCAACTTCCTTACCATTAGTTGTTAATCCGAGATCATTGAGCAGGTTGTCTGATACAGCCTGAACAAGATTGCCTCTGTCCACTTGGAGACCAAAAAACATAACGCACTTCGGAACCAGTCAATGGCTGTGTGTGATCATCAACACGAAAACAATCGACTCACAGCCCATAAACACACACGCCAATCCAATTTCCGAACGAGCGCCCTCTCTTCCTCAGGTGTCCATGTCAGGGTCGGGTCGAAGACGTGTCGACACTCATATTGCGCCTTCTCATAGATTGAAGCGTAGCGCTCCGCAACCTCCGGGTCGGCAAACGGATTGTCCCCATGTAAGTCGGAAGCACTATTGCTGTACTGCTGTGCCTGCACATAGACTCCATTTTTGCCCCCGACCGAGTCTTGTACGGCCGGAGAACTCACTCGGTGCAGACCAACTGACTGTTGGTCGATGTTGCTCGCTTTGTCCATATTGCGCAAAGCAGGAGTCTAGCAGAGCATAGACTGACAATTGTAAAAGTCTGGTTTGACTCTCCGAATACCTCATGCGAAGGAGAATGCCCTCATTTTGAACAGTCTAATGTGTAGCACGCCATTGCCAAGGCAGTCACGTAAAGTGCCACAAAGGTCAGTCGAGACTGTCTTTCGCTAAGAGAGCGCCGATGCAGGCGACTATAATCTCAATGAATATGCTATAGTGTACCAATTTGCCTTGATCAGAGCGCTTCAAAGCTCTTAGCGGGTGCATCTTGCTGTGAGCTCGCAATCTCTAGTTCGGATTGTCAAAGTGAGATAGATAAGCATACTTCCACGGGATTTGTCCAAAGCTCGGCATTGGCAGCAGGGTTTACATAGAGGCAAGTCTCCCCGCTCCTTCGTGTTCGCTAAATTGTTGGTGCGGAGTGGGCGAGCGACGATAGTATTGCGGTGATGCCTTCATTGTGAGGATGGCGTCATTCCGAGAGGCGGCCCTTGCCTGAGTACCTTAATCTCCTAGCCACAAAGAAGGCGAAGACAACCTATTCGAACGCAAAAATCGCTGACATACTTCAAATCTCACTTGTTGGGGTATCTCGTCTAAAATTGTAAACAAATAATAAGGATTTGGCTGGAGCCCTCTATGCCGGACCATCCGAACTTGAGGGGTCCAGAATCTCAGCATATCTTTTGAGAGAACGACCTATCAGGTTAACTAATTGCCATATATAATCTCCTGTGAACAACCTCGCCCAGAGCCCAGTCACTGTTGCGCTCAGTCGGGTATTGTTCGCCAGGAGCCACTCGCGGGAAGCCCCATGTTGGACTTCCATGGCCATCTCCAACACAAATTCGAGCAGTTTACTCTCCTGCTCAGTCAGACTTGGCTCTGGATTGGGAACTGTTGCCACCTCCAGCCACTTGGCCAGCAGGACGGCACATTCAAGCGAGCATAAGGCGTACTGATTGGACCAGGACACAACAAGATTGTGCGCCACATAATTTATCCCCAATTTAATGGGCGTGCTGAGCGCATGAGCACAGTGTAATGCGGCGCGAGTAAGCCTATCGCTCCTTTGCACGCATAAGTCATCCTTCAAAGAGCGGGCTATCTCGTCCGGATTCCAGGTTTTGAGTCGTCGCGCTGAGCTGAAATCGGCATTGAGACGGATATAAGCAAGGCGAAGGAGGGCTGTTGAGGTGAAAGAGAGCGGACCATGGGGGTTGAATGGATCAATGGAAGATTCCTGGTTGTGTTCCCAGCATTGACACCAATTTTCCAAGGCTTGCTCTAGCGAAGTGATCACTGCTGGTGACAAGAAGCCGCCGTTGGAGACAGGAAGGCGACTGGCTTTCTGCATTAGCCAAATATTCTGAATCATTGCGTGGATTAGAACGTAGCCGCCCATCGAGGAAAAGCTTTCTAGGCGACCTTTGGCCCCCGAGGTTTGTGGGAAAAGAGCGTTCAGTGCGACTTGTAGCTTAGGCTCCTCGCGGCTCTGACTCCTTTCCACGAGCCATTGGTTCGCATTCGTCGCATTCCATTCTTTCTCGGTGCAAGGCAGGTCAAGAGTGAGCTCTTCAGTCAAAATCAGCGGTGGTATGTCAAACACGATGGTATGCACGTTGAAGAAGCAGAAGACGATCAACTTCGTCCTCTTAACACCTTCGCTGCGAATCCAGCTCTCCCAAGTCCCGTCTTGTGCCGGTAGCTCATTGAGTCCCCCTTGCCGAAGAAGGGTCTCCATAATGCTTCGCATGTATAGAGCCTCGTGATGCGGTGGGTCACGTTCGAACCAACAAGACACGGATATGAGCATCAAAAATGCCTGAACAGTTTCGATGACATCCTGGTCTCTGACCGCCTTATCGACATGGTTTGTCATGTTATGAGTCAAACAACCCCACTGGAACTCTCTCCGGACATGCTCAAGAGTCATGGCCTTGGCGACCTTATATAGTTCCATACTTGTGTCAGGCTCACGGCAGTATTGAGCCCCTAAAGAGGCCATAGAGAGAAGCAGATGCACAGGACTTGCGTCTGTGTCGAGTGTGGCAATGTGCAAGAATGGATAGTGGTCATGATAACCATTCATGTATCCACCAAGGCAGCGAGATAATGCGTGCCGTGATGGGACGAACGGATTGTGAATGACATTAGAATAGTCTGCTAAGGTTGCGATGATGCGGTCTCTGCACTGCGTCGTTACCGATATTTGTCCAGTAGATTGTCGAGCCTTATAGGGTGCCTGAGTTCGGTCCGGCTGGAGCGATGGCAGCTGCGTACCATGTCGGGGCAATACAGGTGTGGAAGGCGAGCCAATATAATTAGCCGACTTATCTTTTGAGATGATGTGGTCATAGTCCGAGCTCGTGGGGTCAAAATGAAAGGCAGGAAAGAGAGGTAGCGGTTGGTGAGTGGGGGAGTAAGGGTGGCTTGGAAGAGGAATGCTATCCAAGAAAGTAGTGAAATCATCCCCATCATGAGACATTGACTGACTATAGCTACTGAACGGTTCAGTGAACCCGGGAGCTTCAGAAGGCACGGCTGCTGCTGGTTGGGAGTCTGCGACGGTGCCCCCGGAAACGGTGTCCGTAAGAGCCACCGGAAAAGACGCTGGAGAAGCGGTGTTCATCAGATGGGAGCCCGTAGATGGTGGGGAGAGCGGGCGACCAGCCACAGCTGTTGCCAGAACATTAAGCCCATCAAAAACATGAGGAGAACCAGGCTGAGGTGAGCCTGTTGGTGTTGCATCCAACGCCGGACTGCTGTGAGCCAGGCGCTCGTGACGTGCCAACAAGTCCCTATCCGAGACCCAATCAGTCTTTTGAGTCGATATCGTTGAATGTCATTGACTTACTTGCGAGTAAATGCCTTGGGACATTTCCCGCAGTTGTACGGTTTCTCTTTGGTATCTGCATCTCGCGGTCAATTGATTTATAATCACAGATCCAAGTGACAGAAGGCGCTCCATACGGGATCGATCATGGCGCTGAAGATGCTCTAGTCGAGCAAATGTCCTTGGGCATCTTTGACATTGATAAGGCTTCGAGGGAGACCCCATCACAGGGAGGAGGAATGCGAATGAGAATGCGAAGTACGTACAAGATTCAATCGTGGAGAGTTGACGAGTCCAGAACATGGAACGCCCGACGCCACGCCGTATAGGGAAAAGCCGTGCCGATTTAGGCGATTAGTCATCCGTCTCTATCTCCCCACGTTTGGGTGCTGTTATTGCTTCAACCTCTAGCCAGCAACCTTCCACCTTCTATCATGCACTCTGATTATGATACGGGAAACTCTTCATGAGGAACAGAGACCCCGAAATGGTTCTTAGAGCATATCGTTTCACATACTCATGCTGAGTTTGACCTAAAGTCAAACTCAATGGACCTCGACTCGTTGCCTGTCGGCCTTCTTCCACGAGGACTTTCCAACCGGATGACTCCAGAGTACACTGTACACCAGGATTGATTTAAGCCTTGAATGGCTGTTGAGACATCTATCTACTTCCTGTGCTCCTGATCTGCCATGAATAGGCTCCACGTACGGAGTTCCAGATCGGTCGAAAAGATAAACTCCGCCTCATATTGTGACAACAAGAGGTCCCAACTTATGCCGAAGGTCTTCACATTACACTGCTCTGAGCTCACATCGGACGAATAACATACATATGTCAGATATTGACCCCAAGTCTGGCTCCACAGAGCCGCCTGATCCCGATAAATTCTCATGGGTCCGATGCGTCATCGACTCCGATAAGGTTACATTTCCCTCGGTCTTGTAACCGGATAGCAGCATGTAGATGCCAGCTACAATTTAGTGTCCATGACTTTGGCTGCTCTGCGGAAGGCTTATCTTGATATCAAAACTGACCCTAGTCATTTGCGTCTCAAGCTACGCTTTCTTGGAATGAATGGAGAAATTCAATGAGACAATCCTTTTATCATGCAATCCACTCAGCCGGGAGGTGTCATCACCCGGGTTCTCGCTTAGCACATCTGGTCGGGCAACACTGGGGTGATGTGACTGCAACTGGAATGCACACTTGTGTTTGCGCAGGAATTCGTCTTTTGTTCGTGCTAAAACTGTCTGGTGAGTCCACACACCACCCAATAAAAGGCCTTCGACTCAGTTTTGATAAATCAACAGCGATGGTCTACCCAGGTGACGAGACCAGCGGCCACTATGTCAGAGAAAAGATCAAGCAGCGAGTCTAGCGACTCATCTTCCCTCATCAGCTACCGTAGCGTTGAACATCAGGACAAAATCCATTCGGAGCCTGAGAAACAACGCGATGCCAGCTCAGACAGTGACACTTCCCCGGGCAGCCCACACTCCACCCAAGTGCATCGAGTTCACTTTGGCATCGACAGAACATTCTCGTACGGGGGTTGGCAACCTGGAATGGGACCCCTAAGCCAGACGTCATCTCATTTGCGGCGTCGCTCGTCAGCGCACCCATCCATCGACATCACAGAAGCGCCTCAACGACGAAACACGCAGGCTATAGCCCGTTATAGATGGGGTCAGGGAGACCTTGAAGGGTCGCCATCGCGTGCGCCTCATGCCGATATGAGGCCGAAGAAGACTCGCCTGCGAGATTTTCGAGAAATAGTCAGAAGAAAGACTGCTTATTGGGCTGCTCGCCTGGGACGTCCTACAGAAGGCGAGGATGACCTACAGCCGATCGACTACCGCCGCCGTAGTACAGACATTCAAATCAACCAGGAAGCAGAAGTAAAAGATCAGATGACTTGCAGCTCGGAAGCGCACCGTATCATTCGAGGCTTGACACACGACGACACTGGGCGCCGCCGTAGCACGCGTAACGACTCAGCTATGCACCATGCGATTGACATGCCTCCAGATTATGCAAATGGGATTGCCGGAGAGGGAGCATCTGAGGGTCGCTCAACAGGAGGAATCCTATCTCATCTGCTCCGCCTGAGCGGTGGTTTGGACCACGTCCAGAGATCGGCGCGAGGACTAGACATGCCCTCGGGGATGTGGACGCCCTTTGGCGGAAGCACTCCGGGGGCGACCACCCCCCGCAAGGGAAAGCCACGATGGTATAAAAAGCAACCCAACATTTCCAGTTCCACCCTAGTAGGGGCCGGAAGCCATAGTGGTGCCAGTACTCCCATTTCTGATCAGCTTCTCGATGTGGCCTCGAGGCGACGCGACAAGCATTCCCGGCGCCGCAGCTTCAGACTAGAGGATGAGATTCAGGTGACTCTCCGCATCGCTGAGATTATTGCACGGCAGCGGTACATCATGCAGCTGTGCAAGGCGCTCATGATGTTCGGAGCACCTACTCATCGCTTGGAGGAGTACATGCTGATGACCTCTAAGGTGCTTGAGATCGACAGCCAATACCTATACGTCCCGGGATGCATGATCATGTCCTTTGATGACCCAAGCACTCGAACAACGGAGGTGAAGCTCGTCCGCGTTGTTCAAGGAGTAAACCTTGGACGTCTTTCCGACACCCACAATGTTTACAAAAACGTCATACACGACGTGATTGGCATCGAAGAGGCCACGGGGGAACTGGAAGAACTCATGACCAAGAAGCCGCGGTTCAACAAATGGATCATTGTCTTCGTTTATGGCCTCGCAACAGCCATGGTGGGACCTTTCGCCTTTGACGCGCGACCCATCGACATGCCCATAATTTTCTTCAATGGCTGCCTTCTTGGCGTCATGCAACACGTTATAGCGCCTCGCTCAGTGCTTTACAACAACGTCTTCGAAGTCACCGCTGCAGTGCTCACCTCTTTCATCGCTCGTGCATTTGGCAGTATCCATCGCACTCACGGTTCGGGGCGCCTCTTTTGCTTCTCAGCCATCGCTCAATCCTCGATCGCGCTCATTCTCCCCGGCTATACCGTCCTCTGCAGCAGCCTCGAGCTTCAATCGCATCAGATCGTCGCCGGCTCCATCCGGATGGTCTACGCGATCATCTACTCCCTCTTCCTTGGCTACGGCGTCACCGTCGGCACGACAATCTACGGCCTGATCGACACCAACGCCACCTCGCGCCTCAGCTGCCCCTCGACGGGCGCGTTCAAGAACCCTTACCTCCAACGCTTTCCTTTCGTCGCCCTCTTCTCCCTGTGTCTCCTCGTCGTCAACCAGGGCAAATGGAAGCAAGCCCCTGTGATGACTACCATCGCCATCGCCGGCTACGTCACCAACTACTTCGTCTCGGCGCGTCTCGGCAACAACTCGCAGGTCGCCAACACGGTCGGCGCCTTTGTCGTCGGCGTCATCGGCAACCTCTACAGCCGGCTGTGGCACGGCCACGCGGCCGCCGCCGTTCTGCCCGCCATCTTCGTCCTGGTCCCCTCCGGCCTCGCCGCCACCGGCAGCCTGATCACCGGGGTCGACACCGCCGATCAAATCCGCTCCAACGTGACCAAAAACCATACTTCGGACAGCTCAACTTCGTCGTCGCAGAACTCCATGTCCGCGAATATCCTCGGGTTCGGAATGATCCAGGTCGCGATCGGCATCACGGTCGGCTTGTTCGTGGCTGCCTTGGTGGTTTATCCGTTTGGGAAGCGGCGGAGTGGGTTGTTTAGTTTTTAAGAATATTCGCGAATGATTCTTGCTACAAATGCATTGGGCAATGTGCTGCATATTAGACCCTAGATTTGCAGTGGAGATACAATGGATCATAGATTGCAGGTGCAGGTGATTGAGTATGGAGAGATGGTTGACCACTCGCGGACAATCTGTATAAGCACCGAACCAAGGTCCTAAACCAATAAGAACAAGGGTTGCAGGATACAGTTCGTAGCTAAAAGACATACATAGACTGCATTCTGTACTCTATGTATTTCCAACAGATTTCACCACCCTCTACTCATCCGGCTTCTCATCTCATACCTTACTTGAACCTACTGTATATAGCGCACTCCAATTGACCTAGTAAGGCCGTCGTGCTGCGGGATTCAAACCAGCCACAACTCCCGCAGCGTAGCACTAACACCGCACGGCCTATCCGCAACGTCAATGCCACTATTGGTGCTCACTACGGGGGTGATTGACGATGTCGCCGGCCCGGTTAGCGGCAGAGGACCGCCCAAAAATAGGAGAACCTTTGGAAAAAGTCTCAGGTAGCACCAGCAAACCACCCAACTCTAGAGCACACTTTGTCCTCGTTCAAGAACGAGAATCAGATAGAACCAAGGCAAGATACACATTATACCTCAATTTAAATGAAATGTAAGCCACAGAACAAAAGTCTCGCTCATGTCCATGCGCACACGAAAGAAAAAACAGCATATCACCCATTGAGGCCCCAACTCGGGCCCACGCAGAAAACGAGTGAACCGGCACCCTTTCCCTTGTTCTTAAGTCCAGAAAGAAAATCATGATTATAACAAGTCCCAGACTTGAAAGACTTGAGTCTAGCTAGCCAGAGCATCGCATCGCACCGCATAGTTCATCGCTCATGAAAATGGACGCAAGCGTCCAGACCGAAAATACGCGAGAGCATACGCTTGCACATATAAATATGGCTATGCTTGAAACACACAATCGCTGTCGCTCATCTATACAAAGCACATGCAAAAAGGTACCCAGTCTATGGGTTTCGATGCTCACGCTCATATAATGCAAAAAGCGAGGATTGTTTCGCTTTTCCTCTTTCACTTTACCAAAAGCGCAAAACAATGGGGATGGCTAATCATTTTTCCAGATCGCATATCCTACCATCTCCAGGAGATATCTCTCCCGGCCGATCATCACTTGTCTGGCTTCCGTCTGGAGGAAAAGATGACACATTTCTAGCATACGAGGCTGATCCTCAACCTCGTTCAGATGCCGGAGATCGGTTAGTGTCACTGTGATCTCTGAGAAGGAAGGCTTTGTTGCTAATCGGAAGATCCGGTGGCGCAAGTCCTTGGGAACGGCGGAGTTGGTGGCGAGCCAGTCGCAGAGACAGTCGAAGAGGTCGTTGCTGACAATGAATCGCAATAGCGAGTCAAGGGAAGTCCAGTTGACGTCTTCCAGGACGAGAGTGGAGGGGAGTACGGGTACCAGGGCGGTTTGTAGGCTGATGACGGATGAGAGGGCGTCGAGAAGTAGGCGTTCTTTTCCTTCTTCTTCTTCTTCTTCTGATACATTCCTGGGGTCGTCTTCACTCTTGAGGTCGAGTGACGGTGGTGTTGTCGGGCCGGGGTAGCCGAGTCGCGGGCTGCTGTTGTTGCTGGCCGGGTTGTAGGGCGATTCGGGGACTAAGATGCCCCGATGGAGAGGGGAGTCCGGGGCCACAATGGGACGGTCGTAGCCGAGCTGGCCGCGCCAGAAGCGATTACAGGCGACCTCTAGGAGCATACAAGGAATGAGCACAACGTAGCCCTCCCAGAGACGAGATGTCATCATGGAGGCACCACCTGCAATGAGGCCCGTCCAACCCGAAGCAACCGCATGCCACTTGAAACACTGAAACCGCCGTTGGAGCCGATCGCGGAACGGAGAGAGCATAGCACCTGCCCGAGAGCACGCGCGATCATAGCTATGAAAACGCCAGGCCAGGTAGGCCGACCAGATGGCATTGATGATGCCATAGATGGCGGCGAAGGAGTTGCCGACATATCCTGACAGCAGATTGCTGATAAAGTATACGTGTCGGTCGGAGCCCCAAATAGCCATGATGGTGCCAGTGCCGACGAGAAGGCCACCAATCCCCAAGAACACGTCCATGACAATGCGATCGACGAGTTCTGTGCCCAATTCGCGGTAGCTGACTCCAAGGCGGCGGTCAATGAAACGAAGTGTTGTAGCGTCCGGTGCGGGGCATGCGAGGTGCTGGGCCTGCAGGGATTGAAGGTACTCGCGCTCCTTCTGGAGAATTCGAACGTTTTGCCAGCTGAGAACACTGTCGCGTACGGCAAATCCACTAATCAAAAGTGCTAGAGGGCCCCCAATCGCCATGAAAATAATGGCGTACAAAGGAACGGGCACATCGTTCCAGACATTTGCGGCAAAATCACCCGCGTTGGCGAACTCCAAGAACCCCACACTTGCGAGAAGACTGTTGCGGTACCAGAGAGGATTGACGACGTGAAGCTTTCGTCGTTGTCGCAAGAGAGTCACGGATGCTGGAGGAGAGCCCGTCTCATACTCTTCGTGATGCAGGACCTTATCGGAGACGATTGGGAGGGGAGTGTCCTGCGAGGGGCGCATCGAGCCAGCAAGACCAGAGGAGACGGCGCTCCTCCAGCGAGCGGTGGAGGAATAGCCCCGGAAGAGAGGGAGGGAGGGAGGGAGGAAGGGGGGGAAAGACAAAGAGGGAAGAAAAAAAAGTGGGAGTAGGAGAGGGAGGAGGGACAAGGGGTGGACGGTTGAGGATTGAGAGAGAAGTGATCGGAGCAGAGAGGAGGAAATGAAGAGGTGGAAGTTGGAAGCTGGAAAGAGAAACGCGCTGGAACAAACCGGCGGGCAGGAATGGAGTCCGGAATGTCGGTTGGAAGGCTTGATTGGCTGGTGGGCTGGGAGTATCCGCACTTGGCATGCCTTATAGGGCTGATGCTTATTCAGCCCACGAGCACCAAAAACTCATTGCTTTTTAGCTTTCTTTGGAAAAGTATATACGCTTTGGATGTGATGATTCAGTTCATGGGCAGGAGCAATCCCATAATACAAGAGGAAGTGAATCAGAACCACATCATACGTGGAGGGGGAGACGCCAGAGGGAGGACCCGTGCAGATTGCAGCCTGCCACTTCCAAGGTCTGCACCGCACAGCAACACTCCCCTCCTTTCGACTTTCACTTCATCTGTCCCCTCGCTTGTTTATTTACAGCACGCAATGGGATTCCAATTGACAGAAAGAACAAAAAAATCGTGATTTACAATGAATGGCTCGAGGGTACAGCATGTCTACGCTCCCTTGGCCAACTTGGTTGGTCCATTTTTCGACCCGTCTAGGGTGGTATTCAGCGCCTTGATCATGCGGACTCCAGCATCAGCCGCCTCCTGAGGCGCCCACGACCAAAATTGACGTCCGTGGTGGGGGCCATCATGTCCTGGCTGCAACAGCCCCTCCTTACTGGTGCTCACATCGGTACCAGAGGTGTACACACTGACCTTGTCCTCGAAGCGAACGCGCGGCTTACCCCGCGGAGACACATTGCCTGAAGTGGCCTCGAGATAGCGCTTGCGCATGGCGTAGCGCTTGGCCTCGGCTCGTTTGAGGGTTGCAGAGCTGATTCTCTCCATGCCGGTCTGCACCACAAACCGCACACCAAGATACGCCCACTCCGCCAGAAGCAGAGTCAAGAGGAAGGATGACAATTGCACGCCCTCCATGCCATTACCATACAGACACACAACTGCGGCAGTGGAAAGAGTGCCTAGCCAGGCGAGAACTTCCAGTCCCTGCAGAGAAGGCCCAATCGAGTCAGCCCGAATGGGTGGGGGTCGCTGGCATTCCAGACTGAGCTTGAAAAAGTCACCCCGCAGTTCTAGCCAGTTGTTGGCCAAGAAACCCAGTGGCACCAAAGGCCAGGCCACTCCGAACAGGGCCAGATAACCAAACTGGACACACATCTCCAGAGTATCGTCATGGACATTGTATTCGTCCGCTTCCACCTCTTCGCGGACACGTGCAAGGAAGGCTGCCTCTTCGGGTGCATCGACAAGTAGCAGATCAGTGCGCTGAGAATGGCGACGAGGCATACGGGCGGCATCGCGACCGTCGCGATACGTACGCCACTTGTGCATAAGCGTCTGCTTGACGTAGGGGAGGACAATCTCCTCACCGAAGTTGAGCAATTGAGCGGTCGCAGACAAGTAGATCACCTCTTGCTGGAGGCGAGCCGGGTCAATGTGAATTTCCTTGGCAAGGTTGGCAGACATAAGACCATAGGTGCGGAAAACATCCAGATAAGGAACCAGCTTTGTGCCAAAGGGTACGTAGACAAACGCAGTGAGCAAGGTGGGCAGAAAAGCGGTAATGAAATGCATGACAAAGGTCTTGGAAGTCTGGGCGACATCGTACTGGTCCTGGGTGCGGTAATTCTCATAGTCGGTCAACTGCTTGGCAAACTCGGTGAGAGTGTTCGTGATCCAGGGCAACGACAGTGAGAACAAGATGGTTGGCAGGAACTCCAAATAGCCCTTGAATGGACCAGTGTATATCTCAGAGACCAAAACTTCCGATGCGAATGACAGTATAATCAGACTGCCCAGGGCCAGAGCAGCTACGGTCGCAAAAGGAATCAGGAGCAGCTGCCGAAGAAACTGCTTCTGGGTCGAGAACACCTTCACTTGTTCGCCTGTCACTGGGTTTTGAACTTCCTTATCCCAGACCCACTCTGGTCGGTTAACCTTGAGAATTCCGACATCTCGCACGTTCCACCGCAGACTCAAATCAATCTCGCGAGTCTTCCAGTACTCGACGAAAACAATGCACCAGAGGCAGTTGACGAAGGCACAGGTGGCGGAATACGGGCCCAAGTAAAACCAGCAGAAAATACCCCAGACGGCAGGGAAAACAAGGAAAGTGGAATAGCAGTGAATGAAAGCAAAGTAAAAGGCGACCTGAATGTGATCAGTTCGATCTTGCAAGATAACGAGGTAGAGACTGAGCAGAGTCTTACCTTTTCACCGAACAGCGCCCGAATTGCGTCCAGATCTTCAGCAGTCAGATTGAGCGTCTTGCTCCATTTGCGCAAGAGTTCCGCATTAGCAGCGCGATCCTGAAGAGGAATGGCCGCCTGAACATTCTTCCATTGGCCTATTTTAGGGGTGATTCCAGCGCCTCCTAGGTGTTTTTGCCATGTCACCGCATGATAGACCGACCGGAGGGCTTCCGCGGCGGTTTCTGACTCAACAACGGTGAGATCGTCACCCGCAGGGAACTCATGAATAATGCCGTGTAACCAGTCCTTGACTCTGAGCAAGTGTTAGACAGGAGGACGCGAGGATGAATGGTTCTGTGGGGATCTAAGGTTCAGCTGTACCGAGACTTGTAAACCATGTTCCCCAGGAGATCGGGGGGTACGCGAATGAACACCAGCAGGGAGGGTCCGTAACCATGGCGAACCTGGACCTGCAGATGCGCTTCCTCCAGGTCGTGAATCAAAGTTCGGAATTCGGCGATAGCCTGCGAGATTTCTGTACCGAGGTGGCTGTGAGCTAAGGCATGGTAAATCGTGCTTTGGACGGTGGAAGCCCTCCTTACCGAGATCTTCGAAGGAGTAGTGGACGACCCAATCGACGCCGAAGTTGTCCAGCTCGGCTTGGTCGATGGGCTCATGACCAGCAAAGAGACCCATCTCGAGTTGATCGGAAGGGGTGGGAGATCGAAATGGAGGCGAATTGATGAAAGGAAGATAAGAAATTAAAGGAAGGGATGATATCGAGATGGAAAACGAAATCAGAGGTGGGCGGGGGAGTCACAATAGCGAGTGGGATAGCCTCATCTCCGCGCGGCGGGTGGGGAGGAAAGGCTGGCTCACGGATGCATCCACCCCTCAGTGTGTCTGGAGAAAGAAGGGGGAAGGGACTAAGGAAGAGAGGAACGAAAATGGAAATGGGGAAGCGAAGGGATGAGGGGGGAATTGTGTGTAAGGGGAAGAGGAGAAGTCAAGAGACTAAGAAAGAAGTGAAAATGGGTGGGTGGGTAGGCTTGGAATATTTAGCACTAATCAGTGCAGTGATAAGACAGGAAAGGAACGTGGATTATTAAGTGGGATTTTCTTTAAATAGGCCAGAGTTGAGAGAAAGAAAAAAAAACTAGGATGAGGTGATGATACATAATAATAACAACCAGTGCCAAGTTCAGGTTGCTTCAGCCCTACAAGGCAATGTGGCCAATGGTTCCTTGGGTTCGGCCCTGCCAATTCGACTCAGCGCTACAGGGCCACACAGGACTGTACATTACTGTGTCATTGTCTACGGAGTGATCAGCGTGTGAACGCCAACAGCCACGTATCTTACTTTGTATCCAGTATACATCTTGTCAAGACCGATCAAGCACTCAATGGCCCACACTACAACAGGCTTCTGCACAGCTTGTTTCTGAACGCCATGCATTGGGCCTCTCTGAGACTGGCCTACTCCGTATTGCGACCGAAGAAAAGTGGCTCAGTTGTTCTGGAAGAATTGCTGCTGCCTGAACCGGTCCAGTACGAGAGGTAATTTACCGAGGTTACTCCTTGCGTCATCCCGAGACAGCCGTCCAGCTACACTAACTAGAGCAGAAAAGGAAGTCAAGTGTGGCGCCACACTAGACGATAGCCACACACAGCCAATCATACGCTCAGTAGCCACCAAATAATGCAGCCACCTTGCAGGCATCCATCATTACGATACACGGTACGTACCAGCGCGGCAGTGAGGCCTCAAATTAGTGATTGCAAGCCTTGCACCACTCCTCGAAACTTCTACTCCCCTTGGATGAGTCTTTGGGTGGTTCAACAGGCATATTCATTTCCAAACCGTTGTCCCAAACCGTGCAAATCATCCACCAAGCTTTTTCTGTCTGGTCCTGGATGGGCCTGTCGGGCAACCTTGAGTTGACCTCTATAAATGCTTAACTATTACCGCCATTGTTGGATCGACACCACACCATTGTTGCGCGCTCGCATCACTCCTGCTTCATTCTGCCAACCAACAGTGGGCTGCCTCAGTTGACATCGACTCAAATAAATTCCATATACTAGTCCTCTCCGTCGATCTTCTCTGCATCCTTGTTCGCCGCTTTCGCTCGATCGCCAACTTCTGGAACAAATAGCAGCCTTTATCACCTCTTGACCATAATCCGTATCCATGCTCGCCGCCACTCTCGACCTCATGGCTCGTCGTTTCTTTCCGGGCCAAAATGCTGCCTTTGGACTAAGTGTCTTCCTCTTCACCTTCATGTTTTTGCCTACGCTGGTCGTCTTGCTGGCCGTCATTGTCTTCTTTCTCTTTTACTTCCCACGGCTTCGAAAACCCATTCACGGTTAAGAAACAACAGCTGCGGTTGACCCCTTTTGCGTTCACCGGGCTGTACACATTCAATCCCGTGAGGCATTCTTACCATGAGAAGCACGAAACTGATGATTACGACTACTTGGATCCGATATTCCGGTTACGATTTTCCATCATGAAGAAAAGAACACTTGCGATCGTCGCAACGGTGGCCTGCGCCGCGATCGAATAAGTCGCCTTTAATCCATGCCGGCTATTGACACCGATCATGTCTAGGCTTACAACAACAACAACCAGATCAAACCTCTAATATCATCTGCTGCAATGGTGCCAGCTGTTGTCTCCGTACCTTGGTGCGTGATGTGTCGCGCCCAAACTTCAACATTGAGCCTCAGCGGACCTTCGCGATTTAAGCATGCTGCTGCTGTGCGAGATCATGAGTGTGGCCGTTCTACGGTCGAAATGAATGCTGCAATCCAACGATAATCTTGAAGATTGAGATGACATGTGGCGTCTGAGTTGCATAATAAAATGATTGACCTAAGTTTGCAAGCTTTGAGGTCAGGCATGACTAGCCGCCTTGGTACGTCGATACATGCACGAGGCGCAGATTCATCCGCTGTCAAAGCCTACATTCGCTCTCAGTCAGAGGTCCAAGGATGCACTTATCAACTCTTGGAAGTGGGACATTTGCAAATCACAAGCTTAACTTGTATAAGTCATGGATCAATAGATCCGCGGATGAACGACTCGCAGTCGGTCATCCTAATGTGGAAGAGAATACTTTATTAGCTGGATATATGCAATGTACATTTATGCTCTAGCGGAATAGCAGATAATCATGATTATCGTTCTCATATTCCACATTCCTTGATCTTTCTCAATTATCCTTCAGCAAAAGGCTCATCAAAGTTTCTCTATTTCGTTCCGACCATTACCACGTCTCTACCAATCTCATCTACAAATTTACGTGCAGTGCAGGAAGCATATAACCATAGGTCAGGTTACTCCCCTGTAATATCCTTCGGCCGCGCCCACAACATGCCTTGTCGAGTTTTGCCTCGCCTTTCATGCAATCCTCATCGTCGTCAGCATGGTTCTTCAGTTTTCCTCCAGTTCATTCTCTGTTTTGTCTTCTTATCTGATGGCCCTCTTGACAGTAGCAGAATCACAGGCTTGACTCTGCCATCATGGCATGAGTAGGGCCACATTGGTGCCCTCAGTTGGTCTCTATAAGCTGGTTTTCCCATCTCAGAGTCGCATTGCGATTGAAATACAAATCAACGGAGCTGCAGTTTCCAAGCTTCACGGAAACTTCGATAGGATCTTCCGCTTGACAGCGCCGACGTCCCAAGAAATGGTCAAGTAGTGCACAACTGCAGGGAGTCCCAACGTGATCTCATTTAATGGTATTAACAAAACTTTACGAAGTGTCCGGAAATCGGATGGATGTCTTCTCCATGATGCAGAGCAACAGAGAGACAAAGGGGAGGTTCTATCTCTGCCGCCTCTTTGACACACACTCCGAGATACGCAACTTGCGTCGTATTCTCTCGTTCGCAAGCATCCCGCCTTACAGTAATCATAAATCGGCCAGCACCGTCGAGAGCGTTGAGACGATACAACGCACTCGACGTGTGATTATGAGCTCCTGGAATGAGTCGACCACGGATCGCGAGGCAGGTTCAAGGAGGAAGTACGTCGTGTCAGGTTCTCAGATGATGACAGTCCTGCGTCTCCAACCACTGATTGTGATTGTGTGCGACCGCTTATAGCGCGTCTGCTGGTGGTGGTGGTGATGGTGCGATTGGTGAACACCTGGAGCCGACCACTGAGAGCAGCTATACCCCTGATGAAGATAGCTATTGATTCACCCTCCATCCATCGAGCTTTTGTGATTTGAGATACCTTTGAATCGAATCCGCTGCTGAATCGCTTGGCAAGAGCAATTCCAGATAAATCACTGAGTGACAGATCAAACCTTTAAGAGAGAAACAAAAAAGAAGAAAAAAGAAGTTCAGGTAGCAGGCTGGCTTGAGACAAGACTCTTTATCCAAGTGATGTTTTTCTCCGTCGAGAACTTTCACTGTTCAAATTAGAGAGGAGATTGAAGGTCCGTTCCCCGGAATGACAATGACGATAGGCTACAGGGACAGTCCAGCATCAGAATTCCCGCAAGCCAATGCCCTTTCAAGATGCACCAAGCGATCGAGATCGGATCGCCGAAACCTAATCTGAAAATGCCGGGATGAAAAACGATCGATCTAGTTAATCATGTCCTCAGGATGATCTAATCTACCAACCAGCGCATCAATTCTCCGGGGTAGACCTTGACGTCATTGACTCACCAGATCTAAAATCATACAAAGATGCTAACAGCCACAACCTGTACATGATATCCATGAACCTTTCACTCTTCGATTACTATCGATACTATTCTTATAATGGCCCAGAGTGACACCCGGAAGAAGAGAGTGGCCGTGATTGGCGCCGGGGCCGCCGGCATGGTAAGTTTAACTCTCTCACATCTTCGCAGGAACTATCCCCAGGATGCCACCCCTTCCTGTTGTCTATAGGAAAAGTCATGACCACGGACTCACTAACACCGTCATTACCAACTAAAGTCCTGCGCCTCAACCCTAGCCAACCACCCTGATAGATTCGACGTCACCCTGGTCGACAGCGCGCCACAGACCGGCGGACAAGCGACCACGATCCCGCTGGACGGGGCCAAACACGGGGGCGCGACCTGGCTCAACGACGGGGTGCAGGGCGGATCGCCGATCTTCCGCCACACCTTCCACTTCTTCCGGCAGTACGGGTACGAGCCGCACCCAGTGCAGCTGCAGGTCTCGTTTGGCAAGGGGGCGGACAGCTTTTTCACGAATGTGTTCCCGAGCCCGCTGGTGGACACGTACTCGGCGGAGATCTCCAAGCTGGGCCGCGTGCTGCGGTGGATCAAGCGCCTGATGCCCATTCTGGGATTGATGCCCATCAAGGCCATGCTGCGGCTGTTCCGCTTCAGCACGGACTTCGGGCACAAGATGGTGCTGCCGCTGATCGCGCTGTTCCTGGGGACGGGCAATCAGACGCCCAACGTGGCGTGCGTGCTGCTCGAGCGGCTGTTCGACGACCCGCAGATGCGGCTGTGGGAGTACGACGCGGACATGCTGATGCAGAACCGGCCGCAGATGTACACCTTCCCAAATCTGGGCCAGTTCTACGGCGACTGGAAGCAGGACCTGGCGCGGAAGGGGGTGCGGGTCCTGCTCGAGACGGAGGTGGACGTGCTGGAGCGGCAGTCCACCCGGAAACAAAACGGGGTGAAGCTGCGCATCCGGTCGGTGAAGGAAGGACAGGCAGACACCGCCGACACCGCCCCAACGGAAGAATTCGACGAGCTCATCCTCTGTTGCCCGGCGGACGAGGCGCTGGCGATGCTGGGCAAGCACGCGACGTGGCGCGAGAAGTACGTGCTCAACGGGGTCAAGTTTTTCAACGACCTGACCATCACTCACACCGACTCGGAGTACTTCAACAGCCTGTTCGAAACCCGATACAAGGAGGAGCTGTGTGGCAAGGCCAGCAGCGAGTCGCGCCAGGAGCAGATCGCCTTCGCGCAGCAGATGCCGCCCCGCTGCCGCAAGGACGGCTGGGAGGGGTTCGCCCCCATGTACTTCACCCACTCGTTCGACTCGGACCCGGACAAGATCGAAATGGGCTTCGACTGCACCAACTACCAGCACCAATTCCGCGACGCCATCGGCGAGGACGCCCTCCCGCTGGAGCCCGAGCGCCATGTCTACCAGACGATCTTCCTCAACGAGGACCACAAGCATCTGTGGACTTGGGAGGGCATCGACGAGGACAAGATTATCGGCAAGAAATGGTGGCATCAATTCGGCCACCGCTGGCAGCATTACCTGCGGGTCGTGCCGGGGATGATGTTTATTAATGGCAAGAATAATACCTTGTATGCTGGGGCGTGGACTATGGTGGTACGTTTAATTCTCCGATGCAACCGCGAAACATCCTTGTACCTGCTCGGGGGACTGACAATCTTAACACCAACAGAATATGCACGAAATCGCGTGCATCTCCGGCATGGCGGCGGCCTACCGGCTGGGCGCAGTGTACGACCCCTTCGACGACTTCGCCGAGGATGTCTTCTCCAAGTACCTCCTAGTCAGCCACGGGGTGAGATATAAGCGGAGGACATGAGTAGATAATCCAAGGCTCGTACATAATCTTAGTCGTTTGATTAAATTCATTCTTAAAAAACATATCGAAAATCCTCAATTTCCAGATCCGTCCGGTTGGACAGCCCTAGCGCCAACTCCTCTGTTTCGTTCATCTGTACGGGAGGGCCATACACGCGATCTCGTCGCCGGTTCTCAAAGATGTAATATGCGAGCAGGCACATGAGGAAAAAAGCACCAAAGGCCAATCCTGATATCGCGGCCTTCATTCCAGTCTGGGTGATTACTCGGTCAGTTTTTTTTTTTTTTTTTTTTTTTGGCCGATGATTGGGCAACACACAATCCAAGACATGGAGAAGGGATTTCCGGGTAAAAACGCACCGGGTAATGTGGCTCTTCGGACGAGAGAAAGAACTGCGGGCCGACGATATTCCCCACACAGTAAGCAATGAACAAGAGCGCGCTGGTGGTACTCCGCTTTGTGAACCCAGCGACATTAGAGCTGATGATGCTCAGGGAGAGAGGGATGTTGACGGCAAAGACGGCGCCGAGGGACAACCCCACCAGCCGTCCCACTTGGTTGTCGTCGTCGAGACGCCAGACCAGGATCATGCCGATCAGCGAGGTGGTTGTGTTCAGGATCATCATGAGAATTCGGGTGTTGGGGACGAAGGTCGCCACCGATGCCGTAAGACACAGAAAGACAACCTGCGCGGCGCCAAGAGGCATCTGCATCAAGAGGGAGCGGATCTGGGAGAAGCCGAAGCCGTTGATGATGATTGAGGAGAACTAATTTGTTGTTAGCTCTTGCCGGGGGCACTTTTTGGAAAGAGAGCTGGGGGGGAAAATGCGTACACTCGTGACACCACCGTTGCAGAGATTGACGCAAAAGGTATACAGCACGAGAAGCCAGGTCTGCGGATCACGGATGGCAAGCCAGGCCTGATGCCATTGGAACTGGCCCTCATCGGCAACCCCGGTTTTGTTCTTGAGGGTCCGTTGTACGGCGATGATACGCTGCGGCTTGGTGAGGAAGATGGCTTTCTTGGGCGAGTCTGGCAACAGGACGAAAAGGAAGAATGAGATGAATGCGGTGATGGCGCCGAGGAAGAGAAAGAGGAGCTGCCAGCTGGTAATTGCATCGACTTTGATATTGCCGATCCCGTAAGCGACGACACCGCCGATGACAGTGGCGATGCAATTACCCAAGAACCAGGCCGATTGGCTGTAACGGTTAGTCGCTCATCTCCATCTGTGGATCGAACGGTCTTACCGGGCTGGTTGTTCTTCACGTCGATAGAACATGCCTGTAATGAGTGAGAAGCCTGGAGCAATGGCTGCTTCTCCCACACCAAGGAAAAATCGAGCAGCCATCAAGCCGCCAAAGTTCTTCACAGCCGCATGGCACATCAAAATACCACCCCAGAGAAGTCTAGTGATTGTCAGAAGGGGTGAAAACAGCACCGAAATCAAGGAGAGTCACGGACACTGAGACGCTGATGTACTTGGCTATCGGCAATCGAACAATGAGATATGAACTGGGCCAGCTCCAGGCGAAATATCCAAAGTAGAAGACAGCAGAGGTCCACGTATATTCTGTTCCTGCGAGATGCTATAGGAGTTAATGAAGTTCGATAAGCGATAGACGACCTACATACCAGATCTTGTCGGAGATTGAAAAGCGTGGCTTGGCTTAGAGCAAGCTTGTCCATATACTGCATCATATAACACACACCCATGAGCGGTATGAGCCTATCTCTGGTCAGTAGATATTCCTGCCACAGAAGATATAGCAACATACACAAGATCCAGCTTGCGCAAAACCTGTCGCTCCTGCTGCGGCGTGGCCTCGATCTCCAGCACTTGCCCCAGGTCAACATCTCGAGGCAGCATCCTCTCTTCCTTCAGCTTGATTCCGTCCAACCCCCAAGACTCTTCTTGGGGTTGGCTTGTAGGCGTTTTCTCCATGGCGACACCGTCCGCAAGTAGTGGAGGTTGGAGATAACGAGAAGAACCAAGGCTCGCTGACACGGGGCATTTCTCGCCCAGACTTATATACTCCGCATACGGGTGCGAGGTTTATGCCGCAGCCATAAGGGATGATAATCTGCGCTAAAAAGCAAACTCTCTTTCGTAGCAGATAATCGTGACGTTCTCGTAGAATTACCCCCTTGGCACGGGATCATCATTGCTGCTCACCAGATAGTACAGTCTGTAGTCAAGACCCCTCTTCAGCTCGCACCGCGTGGGCTCGATCTTCAGTCCCAGTCCGATCGCGCCTGAGAACGCCGGGGGCATGTCGTGGGTCAGGCAGGGCACCTTCAAGGACCAGCGCCGTACCCGGCCTGCAATCTGGGACCGGCTTTAGGGCTAAGCGGTCGGCAGTTGGACCAATTGCCGGCAGTGGCTCGGCAAATCCACCAATCCAGGGATACTGGGAGGCAAAAAAGGCTCCACTCCATAGATTACTCGGTACCATTTAGCGCGAAAGGAACTGCAATTCCATTCCAACTTGCTTCCAGCGGCCCTCCACAATCCACAGACCCCGATCCAATGCGGAGAAATCAAGTGGAAGACGCATGGCACGCCAAATTCCGACCTGCAAACCCGTCTATCATTCCCCCGCCCCAGGGCCCACTCGGCTACTGTTATCTGCCGAGGCCAGCTGACACTCTGATCGACTCGATTGGGTAGATGCGGCTTATCCTGCATATCTAGGTCTTTGATACTGGGGTCGATAGCGCAATCATTTGATAATGACTCGAGATATTCCAGACTATCGCTGAGATCATGATCAAATCCTGATAGCGGGAAACTCAACGTTTCCCGAAAATGCGGGGGTGGAAACGAGACAGCTGACGTCAAACTTTCCGGGTGATGACCCTCAGCCAATCTGTCTATTCTCCTATCGCAAGCATCATCATATCGCGCGGGGGTGGTGTTATCAGCCGAGGCTACGGCCGTAGTGATCGTCTCGGATGGAGGAGTGAAGAGTTGCCGTGATAGTTCGTAATGTGGATGGCGAAAGAGATATATGGACTGCCGTCTCTGGCAGCCGGGATGCGAGGTAGACAGTACCAATCAAGAATCCAGCATGGCCATCCAGCGAGCGCAACCAACAGTAGAGGAGCTGAAGGCGGCTGTTGATGCTACACTGGCATCATTGCAAGCGCCTCTCCGTGAACTCAATCACACAGTATGACTTTGACTCCATGTTGTCGAGCTGTGTCGTACTCATGCCTCCTTAGATTTGGTCTCATCCAGAAACAGCATATGAAGAACATCAAGCGCATGATGTCATCTGCGATTTTCTTGAGAAGCAGGGTTTCACTGTCACTCGCCATGCTTACGGATTAGATACCTCATTTGAGGCGGTCAGCGGATCCGGAGGACGACTGATCAACTTCAACGCCGAATATGATGCACTCCCCGGCATCGGTCATGCCTGTGGTCACAATCTAATCACTACCAGTAGTGTTGCTGCGTTTCTCGCCCTTTCCGCTGTGTTGAAGCAGTATGGCATTCCCGGACGGGCCCAGTTGTTGGGTACGCCAGCGGAGGAAAATGGCGGAGGAAAGGCCAAATTGATCGACGCAGGAGCTTATAAAAGTGTGGATGTGTCTCTTATGGCGTATGAGAGCCCTTGCTATCTCTCCAGACCTCCTTCCGCTAACTTCTCCAGTCATGCAGGTCCCCGAGAACTCTTCCCGGGCGTTGTGTCGGACGGTGTTGCAGGGGTTCGGATGAACGCGCGCAAAGAGATTCATTGCACCTTTCGTGGCAAGAGCGCCCATGCGGGCGGTAATCCCTGGGATGGCTTGAACGCACTAGATGCCCTGGTGGTCTCATACAACAATGTCGCTGTTTTGCGTCAACAGATGTACCCTGACGAGCGGGTACATGTGGCATTCTTGGACACGCCCAAGGTGGCGAATGTGATTCCGGCCTTGACCAAAGCATACTGGCAGGTTCGAAGCCCGACGCTGAAAGGGTTGAATGTCTTGATGGGTAAAGTGAGAACTTGTATCGAGGCTGGGGCGATGGCTACCGGATGTGACGTGGAGATTCTGGAGTAGGTTGAGATTCCCGGGGTGACGAGGGCAAAGCTGATGTTGGCAGAAATGAGCTCTACACGGATATCAAGATCAACGACACCCTGTGCGACCGATACCAGCTGCACATGAGCCGCTTCGGACGAAATGTACTGGCACAGCATGAGAAGGTCTTGACGGGGTCGTCGGATATCGGTTAGTCTTGGTTGCTTCGGGTCGAATTACTGCTGACCGGTCACAGGGAATGTCAGTTATCTGGTGCCAACACTTCACACGATGTTTGGGATTACAGATGAGAAAGGCTCGTTCCCTCATCACCCCAGCTTTGCCGCCGCCGCAGGAACGGACACAGCTCACGAAGAGGCGGTGATTGTGGGTAAGTCGCTGGCATTGATTGGCTGGGATATGTTGGTAAACGACGACCTATTTGCAGTAGCGCAGCGAGAGTGGCAGCAGGCTGTAGAGGAATAGGTAACTGAGTAATAGTGAAGTCTAGAGATTCAAGAAATCAGAGTTGTGCCCATCATGTGATCAATCTACAATCAATGGCTGAGGGAATTGTGTAAATGCAGACAATGCAGACATCGTCACTGACAAGCTGGGCCAGCCTTAGGACATGCATGACAGGGGAGACATCCGAAAGTCTATATGAGGTGACAGGTAAAGATGGTGGGGGATTGAGGATCCTGTCACTGCGGGAGTTGGATCCTTGGGTTCTTCTGTGGCAGGGGGAGAATGGGTGAAGATGGAGAGGGAGTCTCCCATGGAACCAAACCCCCATCTTTCTTCAGCTTTTCCGTACTCTCCACAATCCACACCCACTGACCTCATGGCTTCCCATTCTTTCTCCCTTGGGGGTAAAAAAAGGATAACTAAGTTAAAGCAAGTACCCGCTTACTAAGCTCTTTCTTCCCCGGTTTCGCTTCGTCTTCACGTTCGATTTTTTCCCTGTCATTCCGGACTAACCGTCTCTCTGCGTTCTTTTTTACCGATCGGAAAAAAATATTATAACAAGAAAGCTCAAGCTCACCTTTGCCGAGTGTCTCCTCTGAGCTTCTTATCACTTCGCGCCCCCAATCTCACTGATGCCTGCCGATTGATCGGTTCATCTCAACTACTGAGTGGACCTAAGTATTGTGCCATTTCATGTCGGGTCGGAACGCGCCTCGCTCGAAGAATGGTATGCGGCATCGCCCGACTCTCCTTTGCTAACCGAACGGACTAACTTACCAACTAAACTTCGCTTCTGCAGGATGCAGCACCTGCCGCCGTCGTAAAGTGAAGTGTGGTGAGGAGCGTCCGGTATGCAAGCGATGCTTTAATTTGCGTCTGACTTGTGAGTGGGGGATTCCTGTCAAACGAGGGGGGAGCAAGACGGGGGAAAATGCCCCCGTTCGTCATCTGCAGCCCCGGTGGCCGCCGCCCACCCGCAGCGATCCGATCACCACCACCACCACTACTACTACTGCTATTACTACTGCTACTACTCCCACTACTAATGTCGTCGCTCCCCCTATCCCCCTTGACTCTCCCCCACTAATCACTACTACTTCAAATTCTACGGCGGTGACTCCTATTGGAGCATCTGTTGATCTTCTTAATGTCCACTTTGGCAACACCTTGGCCTCTCTCTGGCCTGCCGTCCCCGGAACTGCCCCGGATTTCTCCCCAGCTTCCCCGGACGGCTTCCTCCCCACGAGCTGGCCAATATATCATCCTCCACCACCTTTTCCTCAGACGCCCCCTCTATGTCCTTCATTAACGGGTACTGATTTCGCCTGCACAAATGCCCTGGTACTATCCGAGCATGATCGGAAATACTTTCAATATTTCCCCTCCTCCTCCGTCGTGTTCTACTACATGAAGAACTGGCAGTGGAGTAGTTTTTGCTACCTCTATCAGGGACCTGCGCGCGTGAGTAAAGTGATAATGCGAATGATCCTGGCGCTGTCGGCGAGTGACATGTATCGGAATGGCCTCGTGGTACGCTCGCCAGGACGCCCCACGGCGGAAGACCACGGCCGCTTTCACTACGGCATGGCTGTGAAAGAGTTTCGACATATGTTGGAAACCCCCAAGGCTCAAGTCTCCAGGGCGGAGATGGAGATGATCTTTGCGACAATGTTTCTCATGGTCGCCTATGAATGGCAGTTTGGGCACTGTCTACGTCATCTGCAGCTGCATCTTCAAGGCGTGCGCTCGCTACTTGAGACGCACCCGGAGCTGTTTCAACCCAAGGACTTTGATGAGGTGATGTTGTTGATGGATCAGGATCATGCAGCGGGGGAGGTAGCCTCTCGGGTGTCCTTCATTCCTGAACAGTTTCTTCTCTGGATCATGTAGGTCCCTTCCATCGATGCTTTCATATCGTGTGCTGATTCGGGGTTTCTGCACAGATATATCGACATCAACCGACGCGTCCTCGAGACCACCAGTGATTCCCTCACTGACTACGTACTCAAGAGCGACAACCCCGCTATACATCCCGACCAGCTCCACCGCAGCGCCCGCCTTTGGAGTCGCTGCTTCTGGGGCAAGCAGTACCCGGACCAGGAAATTGCCGACGACATGGAGAATTATCGGGCCTTGGAGTTGATCCACGATGGCTTCATTCTATGGCACAAGGCTTGGGCATGTCTAGGCGAGCCTGAAGGAACAAGCTACACGCCTGACAGAGTCTACGCTGAGATCCTCTCCGTGCGCAATGTAAGTGATTTAGTATCTGGCTGTGCAGTCCTTCCTTGCTGAGAGAGACCCAACAGCGTTTCTCCGACCTTCTCCTTACTGCGAAGATCTCCGGGGCGGGCTCAACCCGTCGCACTTTGAACACAATCTACTTGGCGGTCAGCAACTTTTATGCGCTCATTCTCTTTCATCGCCGTCTACTCAGCCCGGGTCAGGCCCCGGCCGCGCTCCACCGCCAGGCACTGACCGGAATTCTTGAGACTGCTCATAAGCAATTCACCGTTGACCCGCGTCTCCTCCGAAGGTTACACTGGCCCCTGTTGATGGCACTAATCGAGACCGACGATCCGCTCCAGCGCGACTGGCTGCGCCAGCGCTTGATAGAACTGCGTGGATTCCACTCGGAGTATCTGTGGGTGAACCAGATTGCAGACGAGGTGTTGGCTCGCCAGGAAGCGAGTCCGACGGAGATGGTTGATTTAGGGGAGTTGCTGCGCAATCTCCACGCCTAATATTTTCTCTTTCTTATCTTCGTGTTCGATGTATGGTACTCTTTTTGTAATATCTTCTAAATGTAAATCCTCTCTTCATTAGTAGGGCACTGTCACTCCTCTCAAGCACATGCTGCGGCGCATAGCTTCTGGGTTTTATTCATCTAGATATTCTCCAAAAAGTACGCATCGTACGCAACCTCCCCCTTGGCGCGCGTCGCGCGTCCCACAATGACCCGATTGTTCATCCACCGGTATCGCTCATGCCCGGTCTCCAGCTTGATATGCAGGTGAAACCAGTACTGACCTGGATCGACCTGATCGTCCCCATCCATGAGCGCTTTCAAAACCTCAGGCGGACCAGAACGAGTTCCTTCAGTGCTACATCATACGGGAGCCGGATTAGCTTTGCTCATCTCATCTCATTTCATATCACCCAGCCGGCTCCCTTCTCCTTGCACCCGTCCCAAATCCCCAAGTCCAAAACCAGACACACAGACCAGAAAGTTTCACCTACCGAATATAAATAAACGCCCCATCATCACTCTTGATCACATAATTGGTATTCACATGCGTGGTCTGATCCTCCTCAACAAGCCTGTCATGGTTGCGTAGATTATTAGCCTAGCCACTCAGTCCGGGACAGTACAGTACAGAACTGAACCACTGCACCCACTCCCCAAACACTTGGAATCCGTCACACATTCGGAGATAAAAGGCGAAGGGGTGTGACTTGCACTATACGTACATGAAATCCGCCCCGCCGGGCACCACCTCCCCATTCAGGTATTTCCCCTGCACGGTCCCGGACTTGATGGGGACGCAGCGGCGGCGGCCGTAGGGTCCGTGGCCGATCTCCATGGGAGGGTCGACGGCGCAGCGTAGGGTGAAGAGGTGGGTGAGTTGTGGGGGTGGGGAAAGGGTGTCCATCTTTTTGTCTTGTTGTTCTTATGGCTGGGTGCGGGGGAGAGGGGGGGAACGAGGAGAAGTTACTAGTGGGAGGGCGGATTTATGTACCTGAGGGGAGGGGATTCGTTGGTTATGTACGTGGGTTGGCTAAACTGTGTGGAGTCGTGATGATGATGGTAGTCAAGCATGGGTTCGGATGTCGGCAGTTGGATGATGGGGAGGGCCCACTGCCAGTGGTTTAGGGAGGTGTGCCTAGGCTCAAGGGTTGGGTTGCGCTTGGGGTTCCTGGGGTCGGATTTGGTGGTTGGATTGGGAGGATGAGCGAGATAGATATCTCACGGTAGCGTTTATCTGGTTGCGTTTGGTTGTGAGTACCTAGATAGAGAACAGTAGATGGGATGGAGTGGTGACATCATTTGGTACCTCCGCGGTTGGTTTGATACTACTCAATGTTTTGTGAACTGCTTGTGTCTGATACAGCTGTGCAGCTATGTCTATCATCGATTGATCGCAGTGCGATTGACCACACTCCTTTCCCAACTCCAAATGTAGGCTATTGTAGACCTCCCGACACCTTATAAAATCCAAGTTCTCATTAGAGCACACCGTAACGCCTACCCAGATTGATTATGCACATATGCCGGTCGCTCGATCCCTCGAGACCGACCAGCCATCATTTTCCACCGCGGAGAAGCTGCCCGCGACCCTCCGGTGCGGACAGCCTCCCCTCCGTCCGGTGGTAAAAAGACATCAAGACGCTTGTAAAGTCCAAGACTCGCGCAGTGAGGTATAATACGATAAGATGACCCAGCTCCCAATTCCCCCGCAACTCTCAACGGCCGATATCTATCCCATGACAGTAGGCGTGAAAACCGACAACTCGAAAGTCAACCCGCCGGTCGGGTTTCCTACGTCGCAAGACGAAACAACGACAACCACCCAGCCACCTGTCCACAGAAGACTATTCAATCGCTTAGGCGCCACCGACGAGGACGTTGTTGACGGGAATGTGGACTACATTGATTACTATTAGCAACGCTGCTTGGAACTGACTGTCTCCGACAGAGACCGTCATTATTCGGCAGGCAAACATACTCAGCTTGACGATGTAGCCGATGAAACCCATGATCAGGAAACCGGTACCGACAGCCTGGCTGATCTTGATGAACTCGCGCTTGTCGGCTGCAGTGCGCATTAGCCAAACACTCACAAATGATCATGGCGGCGATCACCGCGGTGGATCGACGATAACGGTCACGGGGGCAGGAGACTCACGCTTTTGGCTGCGGTTGACGAATTGCATGCCATCGCGGAGGAACTCGCGGGGCACGTTGAGAAGTTCTTGGACCTGGTCGGACATGGTGATTGAGAAGGGAGGGTGGGATGGTGGGTGGTGGTGCAGTGGGTGGAAGGTGGATGAGGACAGAATGTTGGATGGGGTGGAACGCGAATGGGCCAGCTGTGCTCTTCGGGGATGCGAACTACCCGGAGAAATTGCCCCCGTAAAGGGCCGGATTATGGTTATGCCGAAGTGCTGGCCACGTATCACCTGATTGTAGGGCTGCGCTGTGGCTGGTGCTAGACGTGTCTCGGGGTGTGGCTGGTATTCCGCGGCGCTGTTCTACTCCGTACATTAGACAATGCTTGAGATGGATGCATGCCTCTTACTATGTAATTCGCTCTTCACAATCAAAACTCAGTCTATGACCATCCCAGCAGCAATATGAGAGTTCGTTTGCTCGCATTGAAGGCGAGGCACCCTTCTGTCATTTCTTGTTGCACTTGCCCTGCCCTTTCAGACATCTCTCTTGCTTGATGTTCGCTTTCTCACCTCCCAAGATGGCTCAAGGTGGTCTCAACTTCTCCAATCTCCACTGAGATTATGATGAACTGGATTCAATCAAGCCACACAGTTCTCTATCATAACGTAAAACTTCCTCCAATTATCTCCCACTCAAAACATTGGTTAATATCATCCGCAGATGACTTCAAAGTTGACATCGCTGAACCTTTGAAGCATAAGCTCTGCTTCTCCTACTACCCCTTACTGGACGGCGAGCCCATATGTATCTCAACCGTGGTCCACAGTTGGGCTTGTGTATATCGTGTGTTTTTCGTTCTGCATCGGCCCACAGTTATTCCAGATCACCCAGAAGCATGCGTAGGGGTGCAGCTTGATTTTCGGTTTCTGTTGCTTGGGTACGTATCCTTGCTATGCTGTCGGGTCGGATTCAAGCTAGTTGATCGTCTAGTGGAAGTGTCTGGATGGTTCACTCGCACGAACTCGGCTGCTGCTCTCAACGAACCCTACCTTTTCGTGGTACAGATGCGCTGTCTAATTACCGGCGAGAACGCATATTATGACATGAATTCCGATGATCAAAGCGTTATCTGACTGGCCGGAGCACGTCTCTCAGGTCCTGTAGTCCTTGTTTCGGGCATCGAATCGATCCATCATCGTCTAGTCCGTCATTTCGAAGCGATTCGTGCTTTGTGAGCTTAGGGACGCATTGTCTGCTATTTCATTTCTTCAACATGGGTGCGTTTATCGTCCACACGAGGCTGGGGTCTTGCAGGGAGATCAGTTTTGGAAAGAGGTGATGCCACAAGCGGGACAGATATCATGATGGCTGGTATATGATTCAACTGGTAGAGATTACACTCTATGTTATTTGTGCAGTGGACTTTCTCAACCGATTTGCGCGTCAGCAGTTATATTCTTCAGTATCAAGAACAGTACGTTCTCACATGCCTGCCACACTGGCCTTGGCCTCGACGTTCTTCCTCTATGTCCCCGCATTCTACCGAGTCGTTGAGCTTCAACAGGGGTTCAACGGAAATCTGGCCAGTCGCGAAGAACACTTGGTTGCCTTCGACGCGCCAATGGTGGGAAATGCATTGATAGTCCTCGTCATATTTCCACCGGCTTGTTTGTTTCAGCAGCACGATCTTTCGGTGGATGATTCACACGAACTGCATGCGCAGAGTTGAGCAAGGCTGAAGCGTGAAACTTGATTTCCAGGACCCTTAGATGCTCTGGCAGCATTACCCTTAAAGCTCTTGTTCATGCATTGTAAGTGAGATGAAGCGGCGCACTATGATGACCTTTGTAAACGACCTTGAAGACGATGTCAACATAGACTAGCATGTAGCTTCATTAGAAGATAGTTCTTTATTCAGGTAAGGAGGGTTGATAATCACCCTAGAGCCTGAGCCCGCAAAGACCAATTGATACATCATCCAGACTCCATTCTATCACAGCGCTTGCATCGTTACAGTATACGTCTGGGTTGAAAGGGCTCACTTATATGCATGTTCTTGTCTCTATGGGGCAGTCTCTCGAAGCACTCTCTATTATCTATCTCGTCGCACGCTTCATTTGCCTACCAGCATAGCCTAGTTTGAAGCGCTCTGTTTTTCCCAGCCTCCGATCAGATCCTCGTATAGGATGAAAGTCCGCGCTAATCGCCAAGGACTTTGCATGCAAGCTGCATGTTGTCTCAGCAACCCCTCCTGCAGCTATGTAGGTCTTATCACAATTTAACACAACTTACCGCTGAGCTCAATCATGAAATTCCTCTTCAAAACACTGACTTGGCCAACTGATAAGCCATGCAAGTATGATTCGTCCTCATGCACCAATGCATCACCCTCTTTCCATCCGCCCTTTTAAATCCCCAGATGGCGACAGAATTCATTTCAACATGCTACGATGAGCACCACTTCATCCTCAATCGCCATGTCGGTCCAGGCGGCCTGGGAGAGCTGCTCCAAGATTGACACTCTTTTCATCCTTGTATGCTCGGTTTTCTGCTGGTTGATCATTCCTGCGGTCGGCCTGGCCTATTCAGGCTATTCGACACGCTTCAACAGTCTCGCGTCCTTCTACCCGGGTTTGTTAGCGGTCGCCGTCTGCTCCATTCAATGGTGGATGATCGGATACTCTCTCGCCTACAGCGAGGGCACCAGTGTCATCGGCGATCTCAGCAAGGCGTTCCACATTGGTGTCCTTGCTAATCCTGTCGGTTCCATCCCGGAGATTTTGTTCTCAGAATTCCAGCTCATCTTCTGCGCTACCGTATGCGCGATCGCCATCGGCGGTGCCTGCGAACGCGGACGGCTGCTGCCTTTGATCCCATTCATCTTTGTCAGTCACTTCACTCTCTCTATGTATGCTTGCCTGCCACACGCTTTGCTTACCCCCCACAGCTCTGGTGCACCTTCATCTACGCACCCCTCGCCCACATGGTCTGGTCGGAAACAGGGTTCCTCGCCAACCTCGGCGCCCTCGATTTCGCCGGGGGCACGCCAGTGCACATCTGCAGCGGCGCCACCGCAACGGCGCTGAGCGTCTACCTGTCCTACCCCTTGTTCCGCTCGCGACGCTCCTCGTCGCGCACCCCGAGCCATCTCACTCTGCACCGCCCGCACAACACGCTGTGCCAGCTCCTCGCCCTGATCATCATCTGGAACGCCTGGCTAGCCTTTGACGCAGGCACCACCCTCGCGCTCAACTTCAAAAGTGTCATGGCCGCCTGCGTGACGAACCTCTGTGCGGCCTCGGGTGCCCTCACGTGGGCCAGTCTGACCTATTACCATACGGGGAAATGGAGCTTGGACAGTACCTTCCTCGGAGCGATCGCAGGACTCGTGCTCATCACACCCAGCGCCGGGTTCATCGACCTGCCCACCGCAATGGGGTTCGGGGTGCTGGGGGCAGTCTGCGGGTACCAGGCTCTGCGCATCAAGTTCACCAAGCGCGCGAAACACTACCGCTGGGTGGACAACGGCGACACCTTCGCCACGCACTGTCTCGGTGGGTTCCTAGGGACCATCCTCACGGGTCTGTTTGCGCAAAAGGAGGTCGCTGCGTATGACGGGGTCACGGACATCGCGGGTGGATGCCTGTTCGACGGCAACTGGGGACAGCTGGGCGTCCAGGTGGTCGAGGCGCTGATCGGGTTTGTGTGGAGTTTCGGGGGCAGCTATCTGTTGTATGCGTTGATCGACTGCGTGCCTGGCTTGGAGGTTCTGGCTACAGATGAGTATGGTCTGCATTGATGAGGGTAACAGGATGAATGCGCTAACTTTGGCGGACAGGGAGATTATTGCCGGGCTGGACAAGTCTCAGATGGACGAGTCGTTGCATGAGGCTCAATGGGCTGGCGAGGAGGATTACCATCCATTCCAGGGGTCCCTTCAGCTATAGGGAGGCGTGCTTCTTTCTCCTCGTCATCATAGAGTTGTGTACTGGGACTTCCCAGCGATACAATGCACACATCTCCTGCCCCTCTTTTGGGGTATATTCCACCTTTGATCCCAGAACCCCAACCATGCCGTCGTCACGATTTCCCCTTTAGTCAATAAAGTAAACACCAAGCCCCCGGCTCCGACTCGCCACTTTGACTCCAGCCACCACCAAAGCTTAAGCTCCACCGGCACCTCGGTTTCAAAGTTCAGCCACAAGTACTCGCCCAGATGCTCTCGTACAATCCCGGGAAAACTGCCGGGACCGGACCCACGGGTTCGTACGGCGCTGATCGGCCGAGTGCACAGCCTGCATCTAGACTCTACTGGTATCTACTTCGGAGTAGGCTTTAAAGTGTAGACGGACTTAACGTCCGAACACAAGTCAGCCATCGCTGGAAGTCAAATTTTTAAGTTATACTTTTCAACTAGACGACCAGACAATGAGGTCGGAGTGTCCGGCAGGGGGCAGGGGGCAGGGGGCAGTGGGCAGTGGGCTATCACACAAAGTGTGGACTGTGGGCTCCAGTACGCTACCGCGCTAGATGTTCTTTATCAATCCACTGCAGAATCGACACCTCCGTCGGACACATCCGAAGGATCTTGCTTAGCCGGGAGATCTTTTTTTTTTTTTTGTTTTTTTTTGTTTTTTTTTTTTTTCGTGTGCATGCCACTAAAGGAAGGTGACTATATCTTCTGGTTGTTGGTCTTGAGCACACATACTACCTGACTCGTCATGTCATGCATAAGTGAGAACCTTGTCGGGGATCTGAATTCCCCCCAAACCTACAAGGAGGGTGAGAGTTGCACTAGGAAAGTAGTTCAGAGTCCGCGTTCCTCTCCAAGCTTTGGGAGTAGATACATCCGCTGTAGAGCTGAGGATGTACTCGGTAGTTGTAAACTACAACAACTACAAATCCAACCTCCACTCACGGGTCGAGATCGACTTCGAAGTAGCAATAGAACCACTGGCACCTACATACTACCTCAGTATACACTAGTTGCTAACCGTGACTGTTCCGATAACCCCTAAAAACCCCCACCAGTGCGCTTAACCCCACCACGCTATACGACCCATCAGTGTAAGTCCTCACCACTGAACCAACCAACCCCTTAGGCCGGAAACAACATCCAATCTAACCATCCACCCTTATCAGCGACCTACACACACTCCTCCTCCCTCTGCAGCAGTACAGTAAGCACCTACACAATAACTAAGCACCACACCACCACACCACAGCACGACCACAGCACAAACGTCACGCCCCATCCCTCGATCCGATCATCGATCGTTATCTCGATCGCCCCCTCTAACCCCGATCGCTCTCACCAAAAACCCAGCAAGTTTCTAGTGGTGTTATGCTGTGCTATGCTATGTCTGCTTACATCTGATCTATCGACCAATCAGCAGCGAGAATAGATCGGGATGACGATCGATCTTGATCTCGGGGGGGAGCCCGGGGGGAAGCCCGCGGGGGGGGGGGGTGTGTTTTCGATTCTCGGTTGTTGACGTAGTTATTTCGTCTGTGCAGTAGTGTCTCTGTACACGGTTGTTCTTTGGTGATGGAGATTTATTAATCATTATGGTACTTGACACGTGAAACGAAACCCTGGATCCGCTGCAAGTATGTATCCATGGTTCAAAAAGTATGGTCTTCGGTAAGCACAGATCGTATCCTACCATGGATGAAGCATAACATCATAAAGGGTTCTAGATTCCGGGGGGAAATGGGTGGGGCCCGGGTCTGGGGATTGATTCTACAGTACATAGTAGCTTGCCGGGAGTACGGTAGCTGGTAAAGGTAAAGACGCTACTTACAATATATATACATACTGGAACATCAGTGGCCACTGTATAGTATCTGTGTCAGTTGAGGGGATATTCCGGTGTTTGAAGTACCTACCTACCCAAGTACCGTGCGTGTTGATGCAGCAGACAATGGGAATTAAACTAACGAACAAGAAAGCTACGAGGTAAAGTTGAATCGTGCATCAAATATGAGGTGTAACATGCTGTGTTTCATGCAGTGCTCATCTCGAGTTGCCCCGCCCCCGCCCTTGTTTCTGAAACAATAGATATGCACACCATACAAACCAACTAGATCCGAGGCGCCCTTACTTCCCCAAAGCTTAGAGCTTGAGGCTAGTATTGCTGATAGGCAGTACTTAACTAGGTTACCACTAATTAGTTAGTCACTCCATAGTAATCTAACTGGAATATTAAGTTCCTTGTTAACTTGGACCTGTTCCATCCCCAATACGAGTCCGTGACTTTTATACTTCTTGACCTGCTCCATCCCCGAATGATACGAGTCAGTCTACCAACAGACCAAAGTAGCAATGATTAGATATTACTAACTGTAAATTATTGGTATGCCGAACAAAAGAAAAATGTCATAACAAAGTGGTATATACATACATGCCCCATGCCCATCCATACTCATACATACAGACCAGAAGTAAATCCATCTATCCAGTATCTACATCTGTCCCACCTGCCCGTAACCTGCCCTAGGGTATAAATTGCCGTAGAAAAGAAAAGAAGAAGAAGAAGTTTTAAACCATGCTGTGCTCATGACACGAACTATCCCCCGCCGACGAGGTCTGTGTCACCTCGAAGGTGCGCTGGATCCCGCCGAAGCCCCCGCCCCGGTATCCCCCCGCGGATCCCTTCGAGTCGGGCTCGCCGCGGCGGCTGCCTCGGCTATCCTTGCTGCCGCTGTCCGACAGCCCCGCCGTGAGCTGCTCCTCGCTGCTGTTCGACGAGGAGTTCATAGGCCCCCGTTGGCTGTGGATCGTCGTCACCGTCACCGCCAGCTTGTCCGGCCGCAGACGGCCCTGCACCGCCGTGTCGTCGAGTGAGCCCAGCGGCACCGGCCGATCGTGCGATCGCGCGTGGTTGTGACTGGCGCCGCCGCCCATGCGACGCGAGCCGGAGGGCCCGCCGAAGGGGGATCGGCCGTAGTAGTTCGGGTCGGAGTGGGAGCCCAGCCAGTGGCGGACGAGAGGGCGGAGGGTAGCGAGACTACCGGCGGTGATACCGAGGCCGGTTTCGATGTTGGACCAGAGGGCAATCTCGACGGTGGCATCTAGACAAACGGACACACAAAGATTAGCCAAAATCGGAATTGAACCGCTGATCACGGCAGGGGGAAAATCCTACAGAGAAAGTCCGGGTCCGAAAAGGTATGTACCCAGGGAATGCGGATAATCGTCGCAGACGAGGCACTGGAATGGGTCAGCTCAGTTTGATCCGGAGAAGCAGAAAGGGCAGGGCAGAAAGAACGTACATGCAGGCCATGCCCAGAATGCCCACCACGGCCATCTTGGTCTGCTTCCGCATGTGCAGATTCTTGACGATGAAGATAGGCAGGATGCCCACGGTAAAATCACACAGTGCGGCAAATGCACTATACACATAGGTCATGGCGATGATGATCTCCATGTTGATGCACTCGCCATGGATACTATCATCAAAGGCCTTGCGCGTCCAGAAGTATGAGACTGGCCTGCACTGCAGCAGCATCAAAAACATAAAGACCAGGGCGGCAACGACGGTCAACACCATCACGATGCGAAGGATCCAGATATGCAACCGGCGCACGGTAATGCGCAACAGGAAAATGCAGACAGAGATCTTGCAACCCATGGCCGAAAAACAGTACGCAATCTCGCAGAACCACCAATACTGTACCCTTCAAGTCAGTCTTGCCCCTTGCAACTCCAACGATGAACGTGGATCCGTACCTTCATGGCGGTCACGCGCTGGTGTGCATTCAAAACGTTGAAATGCTTGCCAGTTCCATTGAGGGAACCTCCAATCATACAACCAGAAAACATGCAATAAAACAACTATTCATGGGCAACCAGGTCAGCTTGTGGCATTCTGCCAGCTCAGGAAATAACAAAGAGAAAAAAAAAAAAAAACTCACCATGGCAACCACCATAGCCCAGTCATCAATCCCAAACGCTCGTACAATCCATCCGCGCACATAGCATCGCAGTATCACCGCAATGCAGGCCACAGACATGAAGACGGCCGCAACCGCCTTAACCTCCAGGCTGCGGTCATCGGCTGCCATGCTATCGTTGCTGGGCGCAAGGCATAATCCGAACAAATCAAGGGAAGCAAAAAGAGAAAGAGCAAAGGCCCGAAGTAGGGGTAAATGGGGAACCACCACCGGTATTTGAGTGAACGATGGGGAACCAGCAGGGAGAACCCGAGCAAGAGACAAGACAAGACAGACAGACAGACAGACAGACAAGACGTAAAGGGAAAACAAATCTTCAGGCGTCGCACGTCCCACGGTCTAGAGGATCCGAGGAGTTACTGCAGCCCCGCCAAGTCTAGTCAGTCGACCGTCTGGCCCTGGTCCGAGGTGATCATGACAAGCTAAGCTGCTCTAGGATTACACCTGCACATCGGCCCCTTCTTCCCCCAATGCAGACCAAGATCGACGGTGCGCTGGTGTAAAGTCAAAAAACTATTTCGTACGGAGTATTACGCTAGGGGCTTTCTTCGCTTAGCGATGCAACCGAGAAACCATTCTGGAAATGAGATCACCACTTTGTGCCGGTGGAGAGGGGTTCTTCGCCGCTAGAGTCTGGGTATTCTGGGTATCCTCTAATCAAGATTATTGCTGGGTGTGGACTGTGGATGAAAGGTGGCAAGGGCGTAATGAATTCCCCCACCGAGCCGTTGTGGTCAGAGCGACGACACGATTAGTGTCTGATAGTGTTAAAGGTTATCCTGCTTGCACCGGGGGATAATTTTCACGTCAATGGCCGCGAAACGCGGATTTGAATCCACATAGCGTCGGTTGGAACCTCCCAATGGGGTAGACTTTCCGGTCGTCGAGTTAGGAGAAAAAAAGTACGGAGTGGTGAAGAAGGGGAAAGGGAGAAGGCAGGGAGAAGCTCAAAAGGAGACTAGAGAGCGAGAGCGAGAGAGAGGGAAACGAAACCCATGGCGCTGGAATTTGAATCATGGTTACAGAATTGTTGTGCAGAACCGCGGATCGGGGCTCGCAACTGTCGCCTTCCGCCCATCTGACCTTCAACAATCGTATACGGTCCTTCACCAGTTCACCATCCGTCCGAACATGTCCACCACGTGCAATTTCGCCTCTCCTTCGGACATCTGCCAGTCATGACGATGACTAGATGCGACGGAGGCACTCTAGATAAAACGCTTCCCCTCATTCCTGGCACCTGCGGGCGTTGGCTGCCACGCGTGAGTGGATCGGTTGGGTCCGGCGTCGGAGGACAAGCGAGCCTGCAACAGCCTTCGAGAAGAAACCAATCCTGGCGACATGTCAGACGCGTATAATGGGGGGGGAGCCCCCCCCATCATAATACTAATTGTTCACACTAGCTATAACAAAGAAGAAATCCTTTTCAGGGGCAATCCTGGCTGGGCCAAAGGGCAATCTTAATGTTCCTCTTGCTAGACGGGCACGTCCCAGCTGAGTGGTTCGCCTATTCCCAATTGAAGCAATGCGCAAACCGCCGGAGCCCACGCTAAAAAATACGGGGCAGATCCAACTTGTTTGCCCTCCCCGTCCGTTAAATTTAGCATCCAAGGGATAGATGGATGCCCTTTCCGAGTGCCGCGGTGACCACTATAGGAACTAAAAATTGACAGACAGCGGTCAACTCCATATCTGTCAATCTGTCAAAAGGACCAACCCCATCCACGGAACTTTTGACGTCTTATTACCGGGTGTCGATCAGCCCACGCAGCCCACGCGCCTCGGAGAAGCCAGACAATGGTGCGGTGCGAATGGGGGTTCTTTTGCCGAACGAAGATGACAGAGCCGAGATCCATGACTCGCCAGGCGGGTAAGAACTCTCCAAACCGGGTCAATCGATGCTAGATTGTATTGGGCGTCCAATGATAAGCCGAATTGACAATCTGCTGCTCAATAAAGTTAGAGACTCTAGAGACTCGGCAGGCCAAAAGAGAGAGAGAGAGAGAGGGAGAGAGAGAGAGGGTGTGGGTGGGTGTCACTGAGGGATCGGCATTTCCCTGCCGTGCTTCCATCGCTGGACTTGTCTCTGTTTCGGCAAGATCCGCTTCACGTGATCCGATGGAAATATCGCCGAACACGATTGATCAACAACTCCCAAGACGAGCGCTGACTGGAAATAGCATGGTCAAGTAACGATGTAACACGGACAAATTTCCATAGGGCCACGGAGCTGGTGCTGATTTTTGAGGCGACAACGGCAAAGATAACAAACAGCCTGGAGTGGCTGACGCACCAAGTGCCGCTTTTGGTTGCCCCGCTACAGTCGGTGGCTCTTACAAGCCCGGAATTCACTTGCCCAAGGATGGACCCTAGCAATTGGGACTCAAGACTCGGTCATCTGCCTCGGACTGTTGCTTTGTGCAGAGAGGAGAGGTGCAGGTTGGCTTCTTGGCCATCAGTCCATCCCATACACCCGCTGCTCCGACCGTCAAAATTGCAATATCTTATCCCTAAGCAATACGACCTCGACATGGTTGCGCAACCGCCTGCGACCGCTCACGACTGGCCACACGAGCCTGCTGTGGCTGGAAAGACAGCGTTGCCCTGCATTGTGCAACCTCTTGGAAACTCTGCTTCCTTTGTTTGACAGAAAAGGCTTGCGCCGTCGCCATGTTTGCGGAGTTAAGTCATGCCGTGAGCCTGGAGTACATAATGGGCGGCATCAAGGCATACTACGCGAAGAATGAATCTACAAGGAAATCTACGATATGATGGAGTTAAAAACCGCTCAGGTCCATTCAGCAGACGCCAATACTACCTCGAACAGTGACCATGCCCACTCGTCGACCGAGGATGTTCGGTGCATCCGCCAGCCAGCTCTGTGGGTGGTCATTCAAGAATCCTATAAAATCCTGGGCTACTGCCTTGCTCTGACGGCCGGCATTTTGCTGTATGGATACGATATGGTCATTGTGAATAACGTGTCTTCCATGCCGCAATTCCAGTAAGGAGGTCCGAGACCCGTGGTCAGCATTTTCAATGCTCACACCCGCTAGACGCGACTATGGTCGGAAACTCAAGGGACAATTGATCATTCCCTCTGTTTGGCTCAGCCTCTGGAGCGTGGCGGGTCCCATTGGGGGCTTATTCGGTGCGATCGCAGGCGGCTTTGTCGGAGACCGTGTCGGGCGGCGCTTGTCGCTTGTCATTGCGAGCCTCCTCTCAGCGATAGCCGTCGCCATACTGTACGTCTCCAATCTTCCGACCGGCATCGATGAACGTAGGGCCGTTTTCCTGGTGGGAAAGTTGGTCCAGGGATTCGCCGTGTACATGGTTGTGTGCACGACCGAGACTTACATGTCGGAAGTCCTACCCACCATGTTACGAGGCCCGACCCTTGCGCTGTTCCCCATTTTTACGCTTGTGGGCCAATTGGTAGGCAGCGCAGTGGTCCGGAATGCCTTGCACACTCCCGGGCCGAGAGGCTATCTCAACTGCTTCCTATCGCAATGGCCGTTTTCGGCTCTGGCCCTTGTAGTGTCTGTGGCCATCCCCGAGAGCCCAACATATTTGGTCCGGAAGAGCCGACTAGACGCAGCGCTTACATCACAGCAGCGACTGGACTCAGTCAAGGCGGACTCCCTAGCCAAGATTCACCACCTGCGCGCATCCGCGCACCTGGAGAAGCAAGACACCGGATACCGCGAGTGTTTCGTGGGTGTCAACCGGCGTCGTACCTTCATCGTCTTGTTAGTGAACATGATCCCGAACCAGCTGGGCATCACATTCCTGGCCAAAGGCAGTTATTTCTTGCAAATCATCGGCATGGGGGCGAATGCAAGCCTCATGATGCTGCAGGTCAGTATTGGGTTAGGGTTGGCTGCCAATGTTCTCAGCTTCTGGACCTTGTCTCGATTCGGCCGGGTGACGCTCATCACTGCAAGCTTGAGCATAATAGCCGCTTTGTGGTTGGGAATGGGAATCGCTGGCTGTTTTCGTGGAGAAGTCACTATTTGGTCAGTAGTCATTAAGCACCCTCTGGTGCTCGACCAGAGCAAGTCTGATGATCTTCAATAGGTATTCCGCTGTCACCCTTTGTTTGATCACCTTCTTCTGTGGAGCTGGTGCATGGCCAGCAACTTACGCCGTTGGAGCAGAGACATCCTCTCTTCGCCTTCGCGCCAAGACGCAAGGTCTCGGCTGGTTCACCAACTGTCTATCAACTGGGGTGGCTGGTTTGGTGCTTCCCTATATGTTTAACCCCGACCAGTTAGATCTGGGCTCGAAAACAGGTTTCATGTTCTTCGCCTCTAGTTTTGTTGCATTGGTGACAACATGGTTTTTTGTGCCTGAGATGCGAAATCGCACCCCAAATGAGATCGACCGCATGTTCGAGAGCCATCTGCCCGCGAGAAAGTTCAAGAAATGGTTCCCAGAAGTCGCTGAGGTGACAGTCACATTAGGAGCATGAGTGCCTGTTCGAAATTTCCGGACAAGGCTATCGCTGTTGACTTGAGATGCTAGTCTCTATGGCAGAACTCGAAAGATTTAGTCAGGATGGTTCAAAAGCAATCAATGGCGTTTTCCCCGCGTCTTCAGTGTGGAAACGGTGCCTGTTTAGCCACTAAAACTATTAGTTTGATTATAAAATAGGCCGTGATGTCAAACAATGAAAAGAATATAGCTGAAATTTTATCATGGACTTCCTAACTAGATACAAGAATGGTAGAAGAAATTCAACTAGCCTGTTGACTTGCACATCAGTTGACTCTGGCCAGTGTGTATTTTGTTGTCTGAGAATGATCTCAGCTTGAAATCGGGCATAGTTTCGTCCTCGGTGAGCTGCCGAGGGCATGATTGCCCTCTTAAGTGGTCCACTCGACATGGACTCGGAGCGAACAAATCCCATTGACCACGACCTAATAGCTATGCGGATACTTGGACAGCATGGTGCTCCTTCTATCGCAAGCGCAGGATTGCTTTGAACAAAGTCGTCTACCACCAGCATAATAGGTCTGGGGTGGGCCTTAGGGCGTCCCTTAGGGATCCGTGGGAATGACGGGACGTGTTTGTATTGAGCCGCATGCGAGATCAATCCAGGGTCGCCGCTGCAGCTTGGAGACCCTTCTTCTTCCCCTTCTTGTAGACACGCTCATCGTTGGGATCAAAGCCACCATTGCCCCACAATGCCCACTCTAGAGTCTCTTCCATGTAATCCTCAGGCTTGAAAGGGGTACCGTCCGCCTTTTCTTTCTCCAAGAGCTCAAAGAAACGTTGGTAATTGATCCGCGAGTGCCACTTTCCATTCACGTGGAAGCGCTCAGAGGCAATGAGCGCACAACAGCTATGAGCATGCTCCGCGGCAATACCATACTTCAATCCACGGCGCTCCAGCTCCTGGTTGAGGGAGGTGACAAATTCCTGGATTTCCTCGTAGAAAGGCACATTCTGCATGGTCAATCCGGCACCTGCGCTGGTGCTAGTACCACAGTAAGTGACACCCTTGATCTCGATAAAGCAGGGCAGTGCCTTCTCAACCAGGTTCGCGTAGCCAATAACTTCGTCGTCCACATTGAAGCCCTTCACCAACGTAAGACGGAAGACAGTGCGCTGCATGTGGCGTTTCTCGCGGAGAATGTCGAGGCAACGCTGGAAACGCTCCCAGAAATCACGGTGAAGAGGGCGGTCGATCTTCCTCAGACTCTCCCGGTTACTCGCGTCAATGGACACGTACAACTGGGTCACTCGCGAGAGGGTTTCGAGCTGGTCGGGATGTTGGGCATTGCAGACAAGGAAGCTGGAGATATGTTCGCTGTGCAACATGTCCAAGAACTGGTTAATGTGAGGATAGAAAATCGGTTCGCCGACCAAACTAAGAGCGCAGTGACGGATGCGCATAGCCTCGGCAAATCGCTCAGCACGCACACCAGGAACACCACGCATCATCTTGATTTTCTTGTAGTGACCCTCCTTGATACCATTGAAAATCAAGTCGGGCGAATCCACCTTCCAACGCCAAGTAGTGCCAACCGGATTAGTGCCATGTCTCCAGCAGAAGATACACTTGTTGCTGCAGGAAAGGGAGGGAGTAGCTTCCATGCAAAGGTGCGAGCGAATTCCATAGAACGAGAACTTGTAACAAGAGCCACGGCCACGTAGGGCTGACTTGGTCCAGCGGCAGATCTTGACCCCCGAGTGAGAACCAACAATGGTGTAACCTTGTTTCGTAAGAGCAGCATAGGTGGGTGATGTCTTAGGGACCATTTCCTTCTCACTAGGCTGAATGGCGGAAGGTGCAGAAGCACCGGCGGTGGTAAAGTCGACGGGGACTGGGGCTCCCGATCCATTTTGGCTATCAGCGCTGAACTTGATGTCCTCCAGATCAACCACGTCCTGGGTCTTGTTACGTTTCCGGTTAATCTTTCGGTTGCCATCGGATTCTTCCTCTTCGTCCAGATCTTCCTCGTCACTTTCGAGCGGGTCACCGCTGCCAGGAACACCTTCACCCAACCCACCATTTTCCAGAATGTCACCCAAAATATCTTGAAGACCATGAGCCCACTCGCGTAAAGCCGCTTCCGCGTCACTCTTAACATCGCCGAAGCCTAGTGGATAAGCCCGCTTCTTGCCTGTAAGCTTCGCCATCCAGCGATCGAGTTCCTTAGCTTGAGAGCAGTATCCCTCCTCCTCAGTCGGCCATCCTTCCTTGTCACCAAATCCGAAAACACAATAGCCGGCCAGCGACGAGAGTGGCGCAGTGTCAATGCGAAAGTCGTTGTGGGTCTCGTCAAGGTGGCTGAGGAAGGTATTCAAAACGGTATCGATGTTGTACGACGGGATCAATAAACAATACACATAGCGCGTGCCGGGAGAGTTGGGGGGAGGCTTGGGTGCAGCAGCGAAGTAATCGTCATAGTCGACATACGAGAGGTCATGGATCTGTGGGGGAAGGATGCCCCGCTCGCGATTCTCAAGATCGGCTCGTTCTTGGGCGCCAATACGCATATATTCTAGCAGGTCTTGCGCGTGTTTCTCGGTAGTACCGGTCAGCGAGGCAAAGAAGATGATAGGCTGGATGAAAGACAGAGGCTGCTCCTGGTCGGAACCTGCGCGACGGCCAGCAACCTTCAGAGGCTTCTTTCCTGATACTCTCTTGGGACCCGATGTAGGCTTGGCCGAGGTCTCCTTCTGGACGATGGTCTTGGTGTTCGATCCTGCGGCTGGAACGTCTTTTTCATCATATCCGACCGCGATCTTCTCGCTCTTCTCCGGAGAATGGCTTCGTGGGGAGGGTGGGACTGAGGAGGCGGTAGCGATTCTAGATTTGGGCTGAAGTGTGCGATAGACGCGGATAAAAGTGAAAGCGGCGACCAGAGTGAGGAGAAGGGGCAGTCGATAGAGATGCCAGAAGGCCAGCAACCCTGGAAGAGCGCGAACTATTAGCACGAGGCATTGCACGAGCACGGAAAGTATGATGCTTACCTTCAGCTACAGAGAGTTCCGCCATGGTCGGAAGAGTGAGGCAGTTGGGCCCCTGCAATGAGGCCTATTTCTGACCTTTTCTTCGTTTGCTTTTTGAGGTGTGCAAGCGAACGCTCTGGGGAGACAAACGATGAAAAGAAAGAGCCGAGAAAAGGCGGGTCGGATTCAGTGCAGTGGGCGGAAACACTTTATTTTGGGAGGGGTTGATTGAGCCAAGAGGTGATGGGCATTGCCAAAGACAATGCAGAAAATTGACGATGTAGTTCCTTTTCCGTGATCAATATCCTTCAGTCTCTGCAAAGATCAAAAACAAATGTGACATGAATTCTTTCAAGAACGTTTAGGCGAAAACAATGCCTACACTCAGTATTCAGTACTGGCTGATGCAAAATCCAAATCTGGATCTCTCAAGGATTTTTTTCCAGAAGCGATGATTGGCTCCCGCATTTCTCCTTCTTTATCAGGCAAGCATCCGCAGTGACTCGAGATTTGTCATCCGGTCCCTCTGCCGGCGCTGATAACAAGCACAAGCACTACTGATAGTACGGAGTAGTTAACTTAAGTATGGGCGCCTTGCGACGAGACAACCTGAGCATTGTTGCAGTAACACTGCAGTGCCTCCCCTTTTTCTCCGCCGCTTCTCGCTTCAAGCCCTCTCTTCTTTCATAATATTGAGCTGAAACAGGAAGAACTGCTGTTCCGCATCTGCCATAAGTTCGCGCTTTCTCCCTCCAAAAATGAACTCCAAGCTCGATCCCGAATCAGGTGTGCTCTTATCAGATGCCACCAGACCTCAATACCAAACACGATCGTTCTGGGCACGCAACAAGAGCCGGATGGCTCTGGCTTTCATGCTGGCGTGCACATGGATTGTCTCGAGTAATACTCGCATAGTATTTACTCGGAAATGCCGTTCAGCATTGTCCATTGAGCAAAGAGTGGACAAGATCTTATCGGGAACACCGCTTATAGGTACGGCCTCATTCTACGATTCGATCATCTGACCCTGGCCAGAGAACTAACATGGAAGTGCATAGACGGCCATGACGACCTTCCAATCGTCATCCGGGAGAGATTTCAAAATCACATCTACGGCGACGCTTTCAAGACCCCATTCACCGAGGGCGGCTTGGTAGGCCATGTTGATCTCCCCCGACTGGCCAAAGGACGAGTAGGCGGCACTTTCTGGAGTGTCTTTGTTCAGTGTCCTGCCAACTGGACCGACTTCTCCAACGCAAACTATGCTACTAGTAAGCTTCAATCAGCTTGAACCACGTGATTCATGGACGTGACTGATTATGATAGGTGTTCGCCAGACTTTCGAGCAGGTAGACGTGATGTTGCGCTTACAAGAGGCTTACCCCGATACGTTCTCCGCGCCCCCGAATGGCACCACTGCTCTCCAAGCCTTCCGTGATGGGAAGATCATCTCTCCCCTTGGAATCGAAGGGCTTCATGCAATCGGTAACTCATTGGCCCAATTGCGAGCCTTCCATGCGCTCGGGGTCTCATATGCTACACTCACTCACAATTGCCACAATCGGTATGCCGACGCGGCCCTGGTTGAGATTCCTGGTGGTATCAAGAAAGCGGACCCTCTCTGGCATGGAGTAAGCGAAGCGGGTAAAACCCTCGTTCACGAGATGAACCGACTCGGTATGATTGTCGACTTGTCCCATGTGAGCACAGACACGATGCGGGATGTTCTGGGAGCCGGTAAAGACGAGTGGGCCGGCAGCCGCGCGCCCGTCATCTTCAGTCACAGCTCGGCCTATGCCGTGTGTCCACATCCTCGAAATGTTCCTGACGATGTTCTGGAGCTCGTTCAGGCACGCAACTCTTTAGTTATGATCAACTTTGCGCCGGATTTTGTTTCGTGCACTGCTGCAGAAGACCCAAGCGGGCTTCCACATTTCGAGCCCGAGACTGCTACCCTGGCACATGTGGTGGATCACATCCTACATATTGGCAACCTGATCGGCTTCGATCACGTCGGTCTTGGCAGCGACTTTGACGGTATCCCCACCGTTCCCCAGGGTCTTGAGGATGTGTCAAAATATCCGGATCTGATTGCGGAATTGTTGAAGCGAGGTGTCAGTGATGAGGATGCAGGGAAGGTAGCTGGAGGCAATCTGTTGCGGGTGTGGAAGGAAGTCGATGACGTTGCTCTCAGATTGCAGGCTGAGGGAGCACTTCCAGCTGAGGATGACTTAGCTCATGCCTGATTTCGACTTGTCAAATTGTTCGACGCGTGTATCCCCCTTCCCATTGGACCCAGAGCCACGTAATGCCAGCCAGAGTCGGTGACATGCGACCTCGGCGATTGCAATCACTTAGAAGTTCTACATGACGTATCTAGGCTTGTTAAATCTGAAACGCTCATCTGGAGCTGTGACAGTACTTTCCCGTGTTGGGCAGTTAGCACACTTACCTGCTTACTACCTTACCTATAGATTAGGGGTCAAGGGTTTAGGTTTGCGACTGGAATTCCGTTCCGATGTTGCCAATCATTCCATGGCCAATCGATAGCTTCGGATCATGCAGTCACCCGCGAATCATGGTTTGGTCTGTTTGTACACGTAAATTGATCAGAGGTTTGACTAACCATCGCGGGTCGAAATTGAAGCAGGCTGGTGGAGACCTCCGCGCTATGTACGGGCAAACCTAGCATCACGGCTTAATCATCGCACACTGTATGACTTTCAACTTGGAAGGCCGCGCGTCTTCCTGCATTGTGGGGTTTACAGAAAGTCATGGAACGGGCTGTCTCCCATTGCAATCCAGAGGAAGGATGGTAGATGATACATTCAAATCCGACGATCCGTAGGGCCTGCAGTATACTCCGGTCACGCGTTGGAGTGAAATCGTCGATGATGGTATGGGCCCTTCTTGGACGAAGTCGGAATGGCGGCAGAACTAGACAACCAGCCACATCTCTTTCGAATGTAGACCTCATATCACTAATGACGCGCTTGCTTTGATGGCTGTCAGAAGACGCTGATGGGACATTGTCACCCATTGACAAAAGCCCTTTTGGGGTAGCATGCACATACTTCCTCCGATTGGCGTCTATGAGTTTCTATTCTGGGCCGGTCTTGTCGACCGTCGCCAAAAGCTTGTCTGACGCCATCGACATCATCTTCTGGGAGGCTCTCACACATGCGCGTCTTGTCTATGGTTGCATGACTCGACCTCACCACTCTCCTCCTTGAGAAGGCGATACTGGATCATTTCAAGGTGCCGTGCCTCAGGCTTCTGCAAAGGGTGTACCTGGCGGGCAGCAGAGATCTGCATGCTAGGGATTTAGCGCGATGATGTAATGCAATGTGGGCAAGGAGACCACGCTTCTCAAATCAACCTCTTTCTATATGCCATGGGTGCAAATCAGAGGATGATCCACGGAGCAGAGAGTATGGGCATCAAGTGCCGACCAAACCCGCACCAACAGACACACAAGGGCGATTGCTTCTCCGAGTCATCACCGTAAAGAGCGTTTCATGAACACGATCAACCTATACAAAGCTTGCTGATCGGCTCTTCTGCAAAGCAAGGGATACCGCTTTTTGGCGCCAGGATGTGCGCCAACCCTCGAGATGGCAGCATTCTTCATCTTCCATACCAGAAGTATCCCATAAGAGGGAAGATAGACACCTGAAAAGCTCGGCCCCTTCATCGCATTGCGCAAGCGCTACACCTCCCTTGCGATCTTGAGGGTCCCCAAATCAGGAATCACGTCGTTTGGGGTTCGAACGCTTGGCTATGAAGCTTCTCCCGGAGCGAGCTCTTCCAAGCTTGGTAATAGTACATTCCAGCCCTGTGGAGTAGATTGTTCTGCGTGTTCTGTGCGGAGAATTTTGGATGCAGAATGTCGTCGGCGGTGTTTTCTCCCTCTGGAAGCAAGCTTTGACAGAGCTTCAAAGCTGGTGCTATTTAATTCTCCGCATCGCTGTTTCATCTCGGGTTTTTAGGATGTAGTGTACTTTGGACGGGGATTCCGATAGGATTGTTGTCTTCTCCAACATGGATTCCATGCAGAATAATGAGATCAGGCATCTTGGTGGCGGGATGGACGATGCGCAATCGTCCGAAAGCGATGATCGCCTAAGCCATGAATCGACTGTGAAGCAGGATATGACGATCGAGCATGGCCAACCAGCTCCGGATGGCGGATATGGCTGGGTGGTGGTGGCTTGCGTTTTCTGGTTGCAAGTCAATACCTGGGGTATCAATGGGGTGAGTCCATGGGTGGCATGAGCATCTCGGGCGAGTCAGAGACTAACGCAAGTTTCAAGAGCTATGGCATCTTTTTGTCCTACTACATGACCAACAATGTCTTTCCTGGTACGACGTCCTTCGCCTACTCGATGGTGGGCGGCTTATCGATAGGCTGCGCATATCTGATGGCTCCATTCACCGTCTACTTAATTCGAAAACACGGCACTCATGCCACCCTCATCGGGGGCATCATCGTCCAAAGTGGAGGTCTAATTGCCGCTTCTTACGCCACGACAATGTGGCAGCTGTTCCTCGCTCAGGGAGTCTGCTTTGGAACCGGTATGGGGGTCATCTATATGACGTACCTGGGGATTCCAGCACAGTGGTTTGAGCGCAAGCGAAGCATTGCAAACGCCATCCCCGCCGCCGGAGCTGGGACGGGTGGAATCATCTACTCGCTAGCGATTCAGTCCATGATCGAGAACATTGGGCTTGGCTGGACATACCGCACCCTCGCGCTGGTTTCTCTCACAGCCAACCTGGTGAGTGCGGCGTTCCTGCGCGATCGGCACAAGGCGACGGCGAGCAGACACACGGCATTCAAATTCCCCTTGCTAAAGCGGACGGAGTTCGTGCTGCTGCTGGGCTGGGCGATCTTCAGCACGCTCGGGTTTGTCGCGATCAACTTCAGCCTGCCGAACTTCGCCGTCTCGATCGGGCTGTCGTCCCACCAGAGCAGTTTGGTCGGCGCGCTGCATAACCTGGGCCAGGGGGTCGGGCGACCGCTTGTTGGGCTGCTGAGCGATCGCCTGGGCCGGCTGAACGTCGCAACGGCGCTGTCATTGGTGTGCGCGGGATTCTGCTTCGCGATCTGGCTCCCCGCCCAGAACATGGCGGTGGTTTCGGTCTTCGCTACGATCGGGGGCATGGTGTCGGGTACCTTCTTCGCCACGGTGGCCCCGGTCATTGTCGAGGTGATTGGGCTGCAAGATCTGCCCGGGGCGCTGAGCATTCTTTGGATTGTTCTGATCTCGCCTGGGGCGTTTGGCGAGGCGATCGCGCAGGCCCTACGGCGGCCGGCATGGGGCCCGGCAGCCTACCAACAGGTGCAGGTGTTTTCGGGGATGGTCTACATTGCGGCGGCGCTGTGTCTCTGGTTTGTGCGAGGGTGGAAGGTCCAACAAAATCAGCGGGAAGAATGCGAGCAGGCGAGTCCACACAAGGAATTGGCTGATGTGGTGGTATGTGCCAAAGGAGAAGAGGTGACAAGGGAGTCGGTCTGGAGGCATCCCGTTAGGCTGGGACGTGAAATGGTGCGTTGGTGTCGTGTGTGAGAGGGTGTGACAACAGGAAATGAAAAATATGAAAAAACACAAAGAGGCACCAAAAAAAAAAGAGGAAAGACACAAGAGAGGAGAGGGATTGGAAGAAGTGACAGAAGAAACACCTTATTTGGTTTACCTGATTCTGGCTGGTTGGACTGAAAAAAAGGAGAAACCAGTTGGGCATACGAGAGATTAGTACGGAGTAGTAGATAGATCCATCCATTTGAGGATACATGGGAAGTATAATATAGGTGAATAAATTGGCCTCTTTTTTCCTCCTTGTGTTTCTGTCACTTGTCACACCTTAAATTTTAAAAATTCTTTTATTTTCTTGTTTCCTTTTTCTTTGTCTTTTCCTGGACTGATAGATTCAAGAAGTGAGATCCATCAGATCGGCCTAAAAAATTATTAGCTGAATCCTTTTTTTTTTTTCTGCTGTAGGGAAGGGAAATTCTTGACCGCCAGATTGCGAGGTGGTTTCTTACTTTTTCTGTGATGCACACCGAAAGAACTGGAGGCAAAAGGGAGGTGAGAGGCAGGGGGAAGGGTTTATCAATGGAGAGGTGCTTCCCTCTCTCTCTCTCTCTCTCTTTCTCTGAGTTTTTGGATTGCCTTCTTTTTGAACCTTATGAACATTGAAGTTGTTGAAGTGACTTAAATGTGAACTGTGAATAGACGCCTCCTCCGTCCTGCTGCTGTTTTTGCCCCGTACACCGTACTATAACATAACATACATAACATAACAACGATGATCCCGCAACCACAACCACAACCACAATCACCTCCGCAACAACTCCGGCCAACTTCGTACATTGTGCCATCGCATCTGGAGGAATACAACATCCCGTTGTCCGCCTGGGCGGCGGCCCGTCCTCAGTTCCACAACATCGTCGCCAGTGCTTTGATCTTTTCGACCGCTGCGCCGGAGGAGGATGATGTTTCTCTCGCTGTTGCTGTTGAGGCAGCAGTACCGGGGCGCTTGACGCCAAGAAATGTATCTCCAAGCGCATCTACATCTACATTTACAACTACAACTACATCACCCACCACCCCTCCCTCAACAACAACACCAATAAATCCAGGAGAACCTCCTCAAACTCCACCATCCACCACATCCACCCCCTCAACTACAAACAACAGCCCAACCTCCACCCCCGCAACAACCCCCTCTTCCACCCCCACCTCGGAAGAAACAGAAACCCCCCTACAGACCCTCCTCCTCCAACGCACCGCAACAGATTCCCACCCCCTCCACTGGGAAACCCCCGGTGGTCTACTGGACCCCACTCTCGACGCGACGGTCCTAGCGGGCATCGCGCGCCAAGTCCGCGAGGAGACCGGGTTCCATGTCTCGCGGTTCGTGGATCTCGTGGCCGTGGACGAGTGGACGAAGATGAAGCGCGGGATGCTGCTGCAGGAGATGAAGTTGACGTTTGCGGTGGAGGTGCGCGAGGCGGCGGTGGAGGGGTGGGAGGAGATGGTGCGGGTGCGGGGAAATGTGTATCGGGGCTTTGCGTGGGTGAGAGAGGGGGAGGTTCGCAGGTTTGTCTCTGGTGGGAAGAAGAGTAAGAGGGGAGCTGGGGGTGGGAGTGGGAGGTTGGGGACGGGGTTTGTTGGGGGGTCTGGGAGGGATGTGGTTATGGGGTTTGAGGCTTTGAGGGGGTTGTGTTAGGATGGAGGGTGTTTTCCAACTTGGTATAGAGGGGCGGAGGTTGATTAGAAGTGGATTGTTTGTGTGTGGGAATAGATAGATTAATGGTTTGGGTTGTTGTTTTACGTGTATGGTAGATTGAAAAGGATTCTCTTTCTTTCTGGTGTATGTATGTACAGTACTATACTGTAGATAATGGATTGCTGGGTTGGGTATAGATAGGTATGTAAATGCGATCTCGTCAATCTTATAGCTTGCTCGCTGATACTGAGCCTGCGGCTTCCTGTGGTAGTAGGCATCGGGAGAAGAATTTGCCCACTTGTTGGTACTCGTCCTGACTGAGCACCGTAGCCACGTCTGTTTGTGTCAGTTAGACACTCTCTTCCCCTCCCCAAGAATAAACAGAGAGACGTACACTGATCGGGACGCACGATTATGATAGCGCCCTTCTCGGGACTGATCCCCAGGTGCTCGTACACATGTCCATTGCCCTTGTTGTAGCTTTCGTCATCGAAGAATATCTTGTGAAGGTCTTCCTCTTGTCAGTGGCATGCTCACACCCCTCACGGATCCACTCACCTCTTGTCTGGTTCTTGCCAGTGACCGGGTAAAAGCACTGCGGGATTTCATCGAGCTCGATACCATGTCGCTGGCCGTATCCGACCAAGATCGGCTCGATCAAGCTGTCTGCGTTGCCGTCCTTCAGACGATATGTCTGCAAGGGGCTATCACTGGAGCTAAGATAGCTTCCCAGCTGCGGCGGGTCAGTTGGATTTCCTTATAATGAGCAGAGATACTCACAGCATCCAACCTCGTTCGGTTCTGAGGAAGGCCAAGATCGCCAACAAAGGCGATGACTCTCCACCTGCCATCGGACTTTAGGGTCGTCGCCAGCTGCAAAGGCTTCGAATCGCAGTGTCGCACCACCTGTGCGCTGGGTAGCCTCATCCCCACGACGACATTCGTAGCAAACTCTTCTGACGCCCCCGTATCAGACGTAATGGGCGACTCATCATACTTAGCCGTGAGACCGGCAGTGTACTTCCCGGACTTGATGAATCCCTCCTGGAACTCCTGCGGAGAAGCCTCTCCCTTCGAGGAGAAGAGTTTGGCAAAGTACCGGTCAAAGTTGATCAGGTCGATCGCCACCTTCTGCCGCTCGAGCACATAGGTCTCCAGCAGCGACGGCGGGGCGAGCCCTTGCAGGACGGAGGCCAGCTTCCAGCCCATGTTGTACCCATCCTGCAGACTCACATTCATTCCCTGCCCGGCCTTGGGGGAATGGGTATGGCAAGCATCGCCCGCCAGGAACACTCGGTAGTCCTTGTGGAAACAGTCCGCGTGACGCTGGCCGATGGCATACGCAGACCACCAGACCGTCTCCACGAACTCGATCTGATATTGACTCAGGATCAGCCTGGCGGCTTGCTGCAAATCCTCCAGCTTGACATCTTTGGCTCTGGTCCCCGCGGGCAGCTCAATGTAGAATCGCGTCAGATTATCGCTCTCCCCTTCTCGCGGGATGATCAGCAGATTCCCTGCTTTCGAGCGAATCGTCGACTTCTTCCGGATATCCGGATAGTCCGTACGGGGCACCATGTCCATTACCCCCCAGACAGCGTCCGTACTATCCCCAATCATACTATACCCCAAAGCCTTGCGCACCGTACTATGCGCTCCATCGCACGCCTAATCCCCACCAGCCACAATTAGCCACTTCTCCCCTCTACCAGAGACAAAACAAAAAGTACACAAACAAGCAAGGAACATACCAAAACATACTTCGCCTCAAACCTCTCAACTCTCCCCGCCTCCTTCATATTCTCCGCCGTCACCGTCACAGGATACGCCTCCGGGTCTGCGCCTGCCACCTTGGCCTCATCCACCTCAATCCCCCGCACCGTATACCCATAGTCAATTTCCTGCCCGTTAAACCGCCGCATCGCCTCAATCATCAGCATGTTGATCCGCGCCTGGTTCAGGATGACGTGCGGCTGATGCGACAATCCCGGCTGCGTATCGGCCGTCCGGCCCGTGCGGCGAATCGCCCCGGACTCCTCGTCGGCGGCCCAGAACACCACCTCGAGCACGTGGTACGATTCGCGCAGCAGCTCGTCGCCGATCCCAAAGCTCTCGAAAATCTCCACCGTCCGACACTGTACCCCGTCTGCTTGGCCCATGGTCATCGGGCCGGAGCGGCGCTCGAGGATCTTGCAGCGGAGGCCGTAGCGCGCGAGCCAAGTTGCCGCGCAGAGGCCCGCGGACCCGCTGCCGCAGATGAGGACGTCGACTTGGTGGGTTGGGGGTGTCATTTGTTCGGAGATGTAGTGTGATTTGATACAGAGGGAGGAGTGAAACAGCCTCTTGCGGAAATGAGAAAGCTGGTTGGGGACGCCATTGTCGAGGTTGGTTTTTATATACCCTCGTACAGTATACGGGATGGGCTCCGTGAGTAAGTACTTCCTGTACAGTACTTACAGTTGCTGCTCCCGTGTGGCCCGGAATCGATTCCGGGGTCCGGTAGTTGCATGCCGGGGGTCCCTCGGTCGCGCGCCAGCCTCCAATCAGGTGGATCCACTGCACGGTAGCCTCTCCGCGATTTCTTGGATCTCGGACGGTGAGTTTTCTTGAATTGCAGCATCGCGCATAGAACTTAAGTAACCTGTCAGTGCTGGGGTCTGTGCACCGATGTCAAAGTCGGTGGAAGAGGACGCATCATATCATGGGTTTGGAGTAGGAAAGTGAATTACAGGCGATTTTCCCTGCTATGTAAGTCACCACCCGCTAGTATAATTTAGTCATTCATCATTCGATTTATTTCCCCACCGTGAACTAATGTATCCTAGAAACATAGCAGTTTAAACTCGATAATAGTGATAATAATCTCATTAATGCCTCGGTCGTTATGTATCACTTGCTCATACCCAACTGAAGCGTGAGCACCATCCTGTTGTATTCACTCCCAACGCCAGCGCCGGTGCGGTTAAACGCCTTGAGATGTCCACGGAGATCATGGCCACAAAACAAATAGCAATGTGATAATTTACAGAAAGTATTCGCTGCGGCCCGGCCGCGATGTCGGAACATGTCGTTGGTCGTCACTCACTGCGCTGAAGAGCTTGAACGTCGGCTTGAGGTCATCGTTGACCTCGCACACCGAGGCGAGGTTACCGCATCGGTAGCAGTAGTTGGGCGCGCTCCATACCGTGACCACGTTCTGGTTGGTGAAATGGTACTTGTACCCCTCGTTCACCAACTGATGCGCTCGCGCAATCAGGGTCAGGTCGTTGACGTGGCAGAATTCGTCCGCGACTTTATCGCCGAAAAGCCAACCTAGCCTGAAGTCAGAAACTGCAGCTGGGATGATCGTAAAATATGCGTGCTTACCGGCTCCTCGGGGACTGACAGCCCAAGTTTCAACGTCATCCGGGTCTGACCAGACCAGGTCACAGAAGGCACCCTCGTGGGGAATCTCCTGCGCTCGAGCGACAACACGGACTTGATCAAGCGTCCGGATCTCCGGACTCAGTCCTCCGTGGACACACAGCACCCGGCCGTCGATGATCGCGCCTAGCGTCATGAAGTCGAATACCTGGCAGCAGGCCTTCCATACAGACGCGTTGCCATACTTTTGAAAACATTCCTCGTAAAATCCGTAAACCTGGGTGATCTGGCGAGATTCATGATTGCCACGCACCAACGTGACTCTATCAGGGTATCTGGCGTCAAAGAAGTCAGAACCTATATATGCTAAAAACAGACAATAGGCACTTACTTAGCCTTGAGACAGAGGAGGAGCGTCAAAGTCTCCAAGGAAAAATATCCGCGGTCGACGTAATCCCCGAGGAAAACAAAATTGCGGTTCAGAGTCACATCGTTCGATCCTGCACTCGATGATCGGCCTCGTTGACTGCTTACCGAGGCCGTGTCATCGCCTTCCGCACTTCCCGAGTTACGAAGCTTCTTGCGTAGTTTAGGATCACTGATGGTGGATGGAGGCTCAATATCGTCGGAGGTGATGACGGAGGGAGATGTCTTGGGGGGCTCGACTTCGGACTCGTTAGGCATGCCGCCAGAAACTCGAAACAACTCGAGCAGATCGTAGAATTGACCGTGGATGTCTCCACAGATCGTGACGGGGGTGGAGACGGGCTGAATGTTCGATTCTACAGGCCGGCGGTTGCGTCAAATTCTGTCTCAAGGGACACGGCCGATGTCAGACGAAGCGCCTACCTTCCATCATAAACTCCTTGACGATCTCACAAAGCTGTTTCATGTGCGACTCCGACAGGTACTTGCAGTCCTTTGCTGCTTCAAGCCACTCATCGGGGCCTGCATTGCGCTTCAATTTGGCCGGCCCCGGCTGAGGGACCTTACTGTCTACCATGATGATGATGATGCTGCTGGCGCCACACTGCGGAATGGAGGGGTCGCGAGCACAGCAGGTCCTAGGCGAAAGGAGGAAGGGCGAAGTAATGACTTTAACGAGAGGCGACGTAAAAGGTATAATGAGCGAACTAGGAGGAGATGGTCTAAAAGGAAAGCGACTCGCACACCCCGGGACACACCAAGTATGCTGAGCTGGATGCGCATTAGCGGGTTCTTCCCCGCAGGGTGAATAAGATGTGATTGATGTTGGGCATGGCCACCGGTCACGTGTTCCACTCCTGGCGGGATGCCGCCAGCCGACGCAAGAGTGATCAAGCTTAACACTTACTTACATTCACATGACGGCACCCTCCTCGCGATCTCGAGGCAGGACTAGAAGGTGTGGTGTTGGGAGAGTCTGCTTACTTTCATCACTACTGGCATCACGAGTTTCTCCCTCAATTCGTTCTTCTCGTTCTACACCGATTCCGTTCGCTCACTCACACTCTTGGTCAGGGCGGGGGTCGCTCAGACCGAAAGAGCCTTGATATCCGCGATGACGCAGATCCTCACCGGCAAGTCGGCAGGAGGCGTCCTGCAAGTACCAGCAGCTGCGACGCAAAAGAATGCCTCAGCGACAACTAAGAAAGCCCCCAAGCCTCCCGTGCCGCGACTGAAGCTCATCATTAGGCGCCTTCCGCCAGGGTTGACCCAGGCCGAGTTTGAGACCGCTCTCGGCCCCGATTGGAAGACTGGAGCTGGAAAGGTCGATTGGTTTGTCTACAAGCCGGGCAAGGTGTCTAAAGAGTATAACCCGTCATTCCCCTGGGCTTGCTGTGGACTAAATCTAATCGTCACAAATAGTTCGGCCAAACCATCTCGACCTTCCCGAGCTTACATCCGCGTCGTTTCCGGCGAACATACTCTCCCGCTTTCCACCCATGTTCGGCAGACGTCCTTCCAAGATGCCCGCAACACTTTCAATGACAATGTTCTTGTGGGCCCCCCCTCGGTCGAGTTTGCGCCGTTTGCCAAAACACCTGGCAGCCGTTCGCGCAAGGACGCTCGTCAGGGAACCATCGATCAGGATCCCGACTTCATCACCTTCCTTGAGAGCCTGACTCAGCCCATTGCAAAGCCATCTGCGCTCGACTCGGCTGCAGATGCGGAGGACAAGAAGGACGCGGTGTTAATCACGCCTCTGGTGCAGTACATCAAGGATAAGAAGGCCAACAAAGCAAAGGAGTCCAGCAAATCCTCGCGCCACAAGTCAGACAAGGATTCTAAATCGGAGAAGGTTCAGGCAAAGAAGCTGCTTCAACGCTCCGACAAAGAGGTGACTCAGCCGGCCGCTGCAGAGAAGACGGAAAGGAAAAGCCGGTCTGAGAGGGCGACCAGGGAGGCCGTCAAGGTAGCGAATAAGCAGGCGGCTAGTGTTGCGTCCAAGCAGGCCGCGAAGTCCTCGGGTTCGGGTTCGAAAGACTCTCCGAAAGATACACCGCAGCCAACCTCGGAACGAAAGAGGGAGCGTGGGAATCTCTCTGCGGCTGCCAAGATTGTCCAACGTGATCTTGGACTGGCTCCAGCTGGTGGCCGTCGCCGGGGCGGCAAAGGCACCGCGACTGCGGGCTCCGAACCCTCGAAGAATGAGCAAGCCAACGCTACCACCTCAGAGCCGCCAAAGAAGGAGGCCTCCAGCAGGTCGTCGAAGGATGCCAATTCTTCGCAGAGCTCCAAGGGTAGAGGTCGTGGCCACGCTCAGCAACAGTCCAATGAGCCATCGGAGGCTGGTACACCCCCCGTCAGCATAATCTCGAAGCCTTCCAAATCGAAAGGAAAACCGGCCCCGGCCGCCGCCGCAGCCACGGCTACTCAAGCCTTCTTGAAGCATGCGAATCCGTCCCAAGGTGTCACCGAGCCGTTGTTGGAAACTGCATTTGCTGCATTCGGAAAAGTCACAAAGGTTGAAATCGATAAGAAGAAGGGCTTTGGCTACGTCGACTTTGCTGAGCCGGAAGGATTACAGAAAGCCATGGCTGCAAGCCCCGTCACGGTTGCCCAGAGTCAAGTTGTCGTATTGGAGCGCAAGGCAAACCCCGGAGGCGAGAAGGGTCGCGGTAAAGGTGGTCGTGGTGATTCGCAGTCAAACACCGGCGGAGGCAATGCCAATACCAACAACAGCAAAAGCGAGAAGGCTTCCGAGGGTAAATCCGGAGGGAACTCATCTCGGGGACCGCGCGGTGGACGAGGTTCAAAGGGCAAAGGCGGCTCGAAGGGTGGCAGCGGTGGAAATGCGAATGCCAACGTCGGAAACACAGAGAACAAAGGCAGCGCGGACGCCAAGTAAAGGAGCTGGGAGTGTGCGATCCTCGATTGCAAACGATCTTCCAGAGCAACAACATGTAGATGTTCGTCACTCGCGTGCTCTTCTCGCCTGCACGCAGCGGAATCACACATGGAAGGCTCGCTTTCTAGGTGGGACATTCTCCATATCCACATGCACGGAGCATCTGGCGCCAGAGGTTTCATCACTATATGTACTATATGAGGCCGGATTGTCAGAGCCCCCTCTGCAGACGCGATATCAAGTCTTCGCCGGTCTTCGGACATGAGAAAAGGGCTTCCTACAGCTATCATCTCCGCCAGCCACGGGCTTTGCTATTCGTCAGCTGCAGTGATCGTCATGGGCGCAATTTCACCACCGAAGGTTGTCCTGGTCGCCAATTCGTTCTACCAGGAAGGATCGATCCCATAACAAGCACACTGCAGTGTTCTTAGTTGTTACATAGCTATGAACAATAAAAGACGGTCGAGTCTGCAGCAGACGAAGGACACAACTTCCGATAAAACAAGCTTTGTTGTAGTGCATTGACTGTCGAAGATCACGGCAGGTGGACGATCTGTCTTCGTAGAAGCCTGTTCAGTAGCGCATGCCAGCCGGCGCACCACAACGGGTAGCAGGGTTTTTGCTGGCCCGAAGACGCGCAAGACCGGATCAGATACAGAGAGTTACAGATTTCTACGAGCGGAAAAAGTTTTGACGAAGATATAATGATATTGATTTGTGAAATGAGCATAGCAAGATTGAGCAAAAACCTCCAAACACCGACATTTAAGTGTAAAAAGAGGGAAAACACCTTTCAGACCTCCTCGACACCCACCAAGTCAGACCGACCGAAGTCAAGACGTCACGACAAGGTAAAGATCATCACCACTCCCTGGACCAAAAAATTGCCAGGCTAAACACCCGAAACGAGCCCGTCCGAAGACAGATCGTAACAGAGCGCAGCACAAGCACGGTCGAGTCGGAAGTAAAACGGCTTCACTTTAGGGCATCGAGGACATAGCAGTCATCAGCAAGGGTGGGGATTCTGTGGCTCTTTAGAAGAGCTCAGAAGTGGGACGTCTACTCTAAAGTGATTCTTTGAACTGTATAAAGGAGAAAGGTTAGCTGGACTGGTTCTCTCATCATGTTGTTGTGGTGTCCTCGAGATTGGAGTCTCGAAGGTAGGGGGAGGAATCACTCACGTAGAGTCGCTTACTTTTCGAAATGGACGGGGTTGAGCAGGGTTTTATACGGGAGGTGCTGGGGGGTGCGGCCGCGCTAACCACAAGCGAGGTCAGGTGGGTTTGATGTGTTTGTATCTGAGATTTCTGGGTGGGCCAATAGTGGGGCGTGAAAATTTGCGTGTCTCCGCTGCTTTTTCAACCATCGCTAGTGTACGCTGTCCCAATCTGTGCCGTGTCACCGAAAATTTTCTAATTTCTTTTTTTGGTTAGGTAATGAAAATATGGCTAGGTTAGTCAACTAGTATCGCTGTGGTCGTTTCTTAAGCTTTATGCGGCTTGTGTGGCTGCCTGAGGAATACATTGAGCTACAGCCTCGCAATGCATTCTATGGAGTACTATCGAGAGTCGGCCCAATAATCACATTCCTCTGGATTCAAGCCCTCAGGTTCGATTTACCTGGGTTCGGCTTCTAATGTCGCTCCTGGAAGTCTTCATTAGATGGACTTGGGTCTTTCTAACCTCGGTCCTTTCGATGCCATTTTCCACCGCATGATCGCTTTCTTCTGTCACGTCATCATGTTTCGAAGGTTGCCAGGGTTTCCTTGAATAAGCACGATTCCGTCCTCCTTGTCATCTAAGACTTCGAGTATCGGCTCTTGGAGCCAGCTGTTTACATCACCGACCGTATCTCATGAATCAGGGTTTTGGTCGTGACGGAGCATTTCAGTCATCGAACCCTGTGCGCACGGATGGGGGCCCGGCCACTTCGGCAACTGATGTATCGATTCTATACTGTAAACCCGGCACAATCTCATCAACTTCAGACGCGGACTGAAGATCATTGATTTCGTGTGCCATTCGGGGCGAGGCAGGTTGCATCCGGGCTGAAGCTCGGCCGGGCAGAATCTCGGCTACTTGTTAGAGAAATTTCCAATTTTTCAGCCCCCGTCAGTAGAAGGGACCAGGAACCTTGACATAACAAAAGAATCCACTATGCCTCGGGTCATGCAAAGTATGATCTCATCTGAAACGATTGAGGGCAACGGCTAAATCAGCCGGCCAGGCATAGCAGAGTCTCTAGAATATTCAGACCATCTTCAATTTTTGGTCGAAACGTCGATCAGCCGTGCCCACTGCGTCAGTTTCATCCGCACGGTGTAGAGATAGGGTTCAAGGCGACGCTTGGTGGCTGTTTGTTCCGTTCAGGGTCGACTCATTCTTGGGTTGTTTTGGAGCAGATCTCTCGGGCTGATCTGCGATGCTTGAGACTTGCAGCAGAACTTCTGCATCGTTGTGCTTGGAGAATCCAGGTTGAAACAAACCCTCAGACGACAAAGGAAATTCAATCGCGATCCGTATCCAGGCACATGTGTGAAGTAGGATGGAAGGGCTTGTATCGTTGTATGACCGCGGGGCAGCCTGAGTCTGTGAAAACAAATATAAGAAACCCCCTCTGCTGACCTTGAAGACATCATCGACAAGCAAGCAATCCGAGTCAACTCAATCTAAACCACTCTACTACGAATCTCTTTTCAGCCGTTCACAATGAAGCTCAATATCTCTACCGTCGTGGTGGCTTCCACCTTCCTCTCAGCCGCCAACGCCGCCGGTTCTCCCTCTCTCTCCAACATTCCGGAGAGCTGCTTGGAAATTCCCAAGGTCTTGGGCAACAAGCCTCTGCAGCTCCTGGAGTACTTCCATAAGGAAGTATGTGAGCAGGACTGCACCGCCACCATCAATCAGCACAACTCCTACGTGCGAAACCAAGTCCTCCCGCAGCTGATTCGGGACGTGGACCAAAAGCTGGGCATCTCCGCCACCGAGCAGGCTCAGTTTAAGCAGCTCCAGACCCAGGCCGCGGCCGCCGTCCAGAAGAGTTGCTCTGCTGAGGGCAACAAGCCCCTCTGCAACGATATCCAAGGGCTCGTCGACTATGGGTTCTGTGCATTCAAGGCTGCCGAGCCTATCTTCAAGAACCATCTTAACCAGTTGCAACAGGGCTCCCTCAATATCACTGAGGCTAAATGCGACAAGATCAAGGAGCTCGACTCTGACGCGACTGTCTGGCAGAAGACTTTGCCAAGCTACATTGACAAGTTCGCCAAGGAGTGTGCCAGTGAAAAGTAGATGCGGCGCGAGCGCGCTTCTTTCAGGCAAGCTGGCCTAGATGGCCTGAGCCTGAGCCGATGTTGAGACACCATGCACACCGACCAAAAGCAGCGGCGCTGCGTCGCAGGGCGAGGAAGGATTGTTGTGCAGTCTTGTTTGTTTGACTCTGGTAGTTTTGTGATTCTTTGAAATTTGAGATTTAGTCATCTTGTCACTCTCTCAGAAGGTATCTGACTTTGAAACTATTGATCAATTCTCCCGATGCTCAGATTTGTCGTATTATACATACGTGCGTAGTTGCGTAAGTCAGAAGGTGAATGTAGCGATAACAGGCTTATCCAGGCTTATCGGAGTGTGGGGTCCGCCATTGAAGTTGCCGTCACCCGAACTCCTGGCCACTTACTGTAAAGGTTACCGACGGGCCGGTGGAGACAGTCTAGATACAACAACCACTCCACAACTTCCTGGGGAAGGATCAAGTATTCCTACTCGTTACTCTCAATTCCTCGTGGTACTTGGTCGCATTGAGATCTCTGGTAATAGGTCTCTGCGAGCCTTCATGCCAATCACCAATCAAATGAGATAGCAGATCCTGCTGGAACGGCACTCCAGAACGGGTCTTTTGACACACCGCGACACTACTACCCTCGAATTAACGGCCTTTTCAAATGCCATGCCGCGACCGAAGGTACACCCTGACAATCGACTGCGGGCTTACGAAGCTTGTATAGCCTGTCGGACAACCAAGAAGCGATGCAGTGGCACGTTCCCATGTGCGAAATGTGTCCGGCTCGGTCGAGCCGACATCTGTGTCCCAGCCCCTCGTGCTAGTGGCCGACGACCGGACAGGAACATTCCGCCAGGTCCGAATTCTGTCAATCAGAACTCTACTACTACAAGCCTATCGTTCTCTGAAAGTCACGTTCACGATACCCAAGTTTCTCCAGGTTCTGGGCCATCAGCCTCTGTCCTTGAAGCAGGGCCTCCTTCTCCGGAAACGCCACACAGAACCCTTCCGCGCATGCTACGTAACCTTCGCGGGGAACGAGGTATGCTTGCTCCTGAGCTCACCTGAGTTAGACCCGCTCCTCATGAGGTGACTATCTAGTTTACATTGGCAAAGCTGCCTCCCTGTCATTCCTGCAGCTGGTCCGAGACACTGTGACACAGTGTATTGGGCCCTCGCAATTCTCTCACAATATGAAAAGCGAGGACATGCTAGAGACAGAGTCATCAGATGACATTCCGTCTGAATTAGATCCTGAAATCGATTTGCGTCAGCAGCGTTACTATATTCAGGCCTACATCACAGCAACAAGCGGCTTCATGAATGTCCTCTCAGAAGCAGAAGCCATGCAGCTTCTGGAAACGCCGCCTGGACCGAACACCAGACATAAGGATAATATAGACCAAACAAAGCTAGCTCTGCTGAGCATTGTGATCGCAGTTGGAGCGCAAGCCTCTAAGCCGCATCCGTCAGCAGATCGCGCTGAGAAGTTCTTCTTTGCTTGTGCTCAGCGTAGCGCGTTTGCAGGGATGCTCGAAAACCCAAGCATGGATCTGGTGCGCCTTTTTCTTCTCCTGTCATACTATATGCTAGGCGCCTGTCGCAGAAACGCTGCATTCATGTACCTAGGTGTGGCTGTGCGCGCTGCAGTGGCACTGGGACTACAGCTTACCGACCTCGCGGGAACCGTCCCAACAACGGAACAAGATCTCAGAGCACGGGTTTGGATGAGTCTTTGTGTGCTGGACTTGCTCGTTAGCTCCATCCTCGGTCGAGCAGCTGCGACGCCCCCGATACGCTTGGACTCAGGGGACGCCTCTATCACATCCTCAACCACCAACAGCCAGGCTCAAAGGAGCTTGGTCGCTTCATACAGATTATCGAACATTATAGATGAAACTATCAGTGGCCTTTACGGAAAGCAGGCAGCCTCAGCTGATGCAGCCGACGTTCTCTTGAAGAAGCTAAAAGGCTGGAGCGATGACCTCCCTGAATCACTCTTAGCGCCCCCTGACAACGACTACGAACAGCCTATGGCTCACCAGCACATCATCGGCAATCTTCACGTCGCTTGCACCTATCACTTTGCCGTCATCATAGTGACACGCCCCTTCTTGATATCAGTACTCGGCTTTCGTCTAGCACAGTTGAATCGCAGTCCCATAGGTGCCGACACAGATGGAGTCAATGAAGAACCGGCATATTCTCAGCTGGCGGCAGCTTGTACTGACTCGGCCGTATATATGATTCAGACATGTTCGGAAGTCTACCAATCTCATCTGTTGCTGAGTAACATGTGCATTCTCAAGGCTTTTATATTTGCCGCCGGACTAGTGCTGGGATTTTCAATGTTTTCTCGGAAAGAAGCCGACCCGTTGCAAGAGGAAACTTATGATGAAGCTCTCGACATCCTGCGTATGCTTTCTGAGCGATCCGCTCAAGCTGCTCACTACCTCGAGATCCTCAGTCTCCTTAGAAACGCCGTCTACGAGCAGCGTCAGCGCCTCGTACAACACACGCAGCAGGTTGGACGTCGATACGTCAGCAAGCTTTTCAGCCTCAGCGATCGCCGTTTTTCAACACAAACTCATACTGGCGCAACCGCTTCTTCCAGCGAGGAGATTTCTGATATACCACCACTCGGATTTCTTGATCCGTGGCCAGGCATTGATGGCTTAACGGCCTTGGATCCTGCGACCTACGGTTCAATGCTCGCAGGCTGGGCTGGAATGGAATTGCCACTATGGGATAGTTTTCCATTTAATGGCCCGACTATGTGACAAGGGAAAGGATGGTTTGTACGTGCAAGGGACTAGCGGATAATGAAAGTACTCGCGGGATACTCTTCTTGTATGAAATATGTGGTCGTGTTAGATGCATGTATGAATATTTCTCAATATGCTCATAAGCGTAACTGAACTTGATTACTTGCTTCAATCCAGGGTTGCTGCTTGGGCTGGAGTTGCCACGGCTAAAAGGAGGTTAGTGCTTCGGACTTGGAGATAAACTTCCCTCCCGCTGTCGGTCGCTGTTGACTGACCTTATTTCGAACCGTATTTCAATCAACTTATCCGCACACAGTTCGTGTTTCTTTTGTCTTCATTCTTACCGGGCCTTTGACTGCTGTGTAGGGATTGGTTAGCTTGGTCATTCTCTTGGCCTCTCACCATGTCGACTCCGCAAGTGCGACAGAGAGCATATAGGACACGGACCAAGTCGGGATGTTTGACATGCAAGTGAGCTACTCGCATCATCTCTTGGCGCCAGGCACTCCAGCTAACATACGCTTGTAGGAGTGAGCTGGCTTCCGCTCTTACGAGGGAGATGTGGCTGAATCGACTGGCTGATCGTTTCTCCTACTACAGAGCGACGGATCAAATGCGACGAGACCAGGCCGAGCTGCTTACGGTGTACTTCCACGGGCCGTAAGTGTGACGGCTATGGCACAAATACCCTTTCCCTGACGAATACTTCCCTTCCACGGCCTACGCTTTCTCTTGCAGCCTTTATGCATGCGAGAAGCGAGCGAGAAGTTCGATCGTTCCAGTTCTTCTATGAAAAGACCGTATTCTCCTTAGCGGGTTACTGTGGATCGGAACTGTGGAGCCGCTCAGTATTGCAGGTCAGTCAGTATGAGAAGCCTGTTTGGCACGCGCTGGTCGCTCTCGGTGCCTTGCATGAGAACTTCGAGAATGACCGACAGATCCCCGGCTTCTGGTTTAGTCGAGAGGGACACGATGCTTTTGCCTTGAGGGAGTACCTCGAAGCGATCAGGGCCCTCTTGAGTCCTTCGAGTTCCGGCAGCAGCCTGTCCTTACATGGGAGCGGCACCCATGAAGGGAGGCTCACGGTAGATGTATGCCTTATCTCTGTAGTGCTTTTCGTCTGCTATGAGGTATGTTTCCGACGTGGTTGAGGTTCGGGTCTCAGTGGTTGACTAGTAGTGAAGATCATGTCCAGCCATTATGTGGCAGCGGTTAATCATATTCGCAGTGGGGTGAAGATCCTCGGTGAGGTAACCTACGACCCTAGCACCGGGACATATCATCACCCGTTCCTCAGACCATCCACTGTACCGAGCCTTGAGATTGAGAATCTCCGGGTGCTCCTGCTTAGATTGCACAGGCAGGCCTTTACACTGGTGAGTGATATTCGGTACCTGCCGCGTGGTTGCTCTTGGTCTGGAACGAATACTAATGCCTTCGTAAGACACGAGCTGAAGAGGATGATCCCTCCTCGACTTCCCTGCAATGGACTGGATCTGGATCCGTCAACATACCACCGTGCTTTTCGTCCCTTGCGGAAGCGCGCGACATATACGAGTTCTATAACAGTAGTTTTAGGCATGAGTATCACTCCTTGATTAATGCTATGGCAAGTAGTGGCAGTGCGGATGATCCTGCGGACCTAATTCAGCGCTATACGGTTCTGCTGCAGATGTGGTCCATGGCTTTGGATTGCTTCGAGCAAGCTCGGGGCCTATGCTTGACCGTGAGGGAACAGGCCGGCCTGAAAATCTTGCAGATTCATCGGCTCAGGCACAATTTACTCTTGGACCAGTACAAATCGGGCTTGTCAAAGTCTATCGTATGGGATAGATATAATGCGGTCTTCAAAGAGATTAATTCTTTGGCCGCCTCGGTTGTGGAGATCTCTCGCGGCAATGGCGCCCAGTCTATGTCTCCGGCTCACTCACCAGACTCGCCCTCAAGTCGGCCACCGCTGAATCCGAGCTTTTCGCTCGATCTGGGTATCATCGATTCCCTTTACGATGTTGCTACTTTGTGTCGTGACCCAGTAATCCGCCGGGAGGCTGTGGACATTTTGCGATCGGCATCCCGCCAGGAAGGTGTTTTCAATAGTCACGTCTGTGCAGTTGTTGCAGAAAAGGTCATCGCGTTGGAGGAGAAAGTCGCACTTGAGGGTAGCTTGGATTACTGTCGTGATTCTGCCACGGTTGTGAAGTTGATATCGGAGAACGGCGTCGGTCGGCACGGGACCATCTCTCGGTGCTCTGAGGTGCCTGAAAATGCGCGACTGACCTATGCATATCCTGAATTCGATACTGTTGGGAGGCAGGTCTTTTTGACGATTGGTCAGGATAGCAGGGTGCATGCCAATATACCTTTACAGGCCATGACTGTGATGCTGAATACCGAGGACGTCTAGCATGGTAAATAGGGATCATCAAAATATACAATGAGCAATTAGCAACGGAAACCAACAGTACCACAAAGCTACGTATTCGATTGGTACGAAGCTTAGCCTCCTAAATAGGTCCAGGGTATTGGCAGCAGCTTGCGTATAGCATGATCTTCGAGTCTACTGCACCCCCTCGGTGTTCAAGCAACACAAAATCGTCTATACTGAGAACACAAAAGCTGCGGAGTGACTCAGGGAGAGCTCCTGTGGTAGTATATTAATATAAACCTATTTATGCTGAATTTAATCACAGCAAGGCCTGCTGGCCCAATGGTAAGGCGCTTGACTACGAATCAAGAGATTGCAGGTTCGAGCCCTGCGTAGGTCAATACTTTTTTTCCCCGACATCCCGGGCTCTCCTCCCGTCGAGACTCAACTCTCCTTCCTGATCCGAATGAGATCAACTCAGCCACTTCTCATACTTCCATCATCAACCACACTTCACAAATTCCCGAACTACAATGCACTCCCTACCACTCATCAACCTCCTTCCCGACAAAGTCAAAGTCTACCTGCATCTCACTGTCGTCTGACTGGTGTGTTGGTGTGTTCCGTAACGTCTCCAAACACTTCAGCCTGAGTGGCCAGTTCGGGATCCCGTCTACAATCGGCCTACAGCTCTTCAGCTTGGATCCTTGTTACCAAATCCCGTCCGGTGGATTATGACATGACCGCTCGCTGAGAATCTCACAAGGGTGGTCAAATCACCGCTGCTTAATTTGACGCTGATCTACCAAACACCCTCAACCCCTCACCTCCGGCGTTTGCCCAACATGAGAGGCAGGACGAAGCGAGATGGCCGCCATGTCTCACATGTGAAGGGTAGCAGTTCTTCCTAGTATATGATACTGCATAGCTCTAAATCCGTGGGATTGATAAAGGTTCCGGTCTCCAGCTCGCACTTTTCAGTCATCCTGTGGATGGCGACCATCCATCTCGCTAGCCAACAGACCCTCAACCAATGCCACCCCTGTCCCTCATGGTTCCCGTGAAGCCGAGTGAAGCCGATGCATCGCGCCGCAGTGTGACTGTTGCCTAGTTGAGCTGATAGTCCGCAAACCCAGACGACATAGCGGGACTGCAGCTGAGATTTAGCTCTGCCAAAATACCCTCAAACCTCTCAAACAGATTAACTGCAAGTTAATCATGATGACAGTCGATGATGATAGCAACCTCGCCAGGACCGCCACCTCTCTAGCCATAAGTGCCAGCAGCACCGTCTCTACTCCGACAGGACTCGCAAGACTCTGCACAGACCTCATTGGATTTTCACACTGCACAGCACCATGCTTCACCTACTTGAAATTGTCGCCACGCTCGTTGGCGCGTACCTAATCAAAGTCATTCTGACCCACAGGAAGCTCCCAGCACCACTTCCTCCGGGGCCCAGACGGAAGCCCCTCATTGGAAATCTACTCGACCTTCCTCCCTCTGGCGGACTGGACTGGGTACACTGGCATAAATTCAAGGAGCAATATGGTGCGTAATTGAGATTTACGACTTGTGACATAACTAACGACCTACTTAGGCCCAATCAGCTCCACCAGAGTCCTTGGAGAGACATTTATCATTATCAATGAGGCGCAGATCGCCGTGGAATTGCTGGAGAAGCGCTCAGCCATACATTCCAGCAGGCCGCAGGGACAATTCAATCATATGTGAGCTTACAAAAGATAGTACACTACGTAGATTGGGACTGATAATTGGCCCAGGTCCGGCTACAGTGATGTTACCAGTGCCATGGCATACACAGACACGCTGAAGGTCCATCGAAAGCTGTTGCACAAACAAGTCGGATCCGTGAACTCTGTCGCTCGCTTCAATAGGGTCCAGGAGGCCGAGGTAGGGCGCTTCATGCTGCGGTCGCTCGACGCACCGCAGGATTTGATTGCTCATATCCGGAAGTAAGTTGACACCGAATGCTGAGACCCGGGAGAGATTTGCAAACCGAACTAATAAAGATAGGTTGGCTGGGGGTGTTATCCTGAAAGTCGCATATGGCTACAACGTTGAACGAGACGGAAGGGATCCTTTCGTTGAGATTGCGAATGATAGCGTAGACAAGTTTGGCAAATCTGTTACTCCAGGCATGTGGCTGGTCGACTTCATTCCTGCTCGTGAGTACCCCTGCTTCATCCCATGGTGCCAATACTGACCTGGCACACATAGTCAAATACATACCAGCTTGGCTTCCTGGGGGTGGGTTTCACCAGACGGCGAAAGAGTTCCGCGTGGCTGCGGACACCATAAGTGCCAAGCCCTATGCCTTCGTTCTCGACCAGATGTCACGCAATGCTCACGTGCCATCGTTTCTATCCGAGCTGTTTGAACGAAACGGCATCCCCGAGCCCGGGACCGAGCAAGAGACGACATTCAAGTGGTCTGCAGCGACATTGTATGGAGCAGGATCTGACACAGTAAGTTCTCGCTGCTTTTGAGTCTCAGAGTGAAGATACTGAATCGCTACAGACTGTCTCCACTCTAGGGAGCTTCTTCCTCGCCCTAGCCTTGTTTCCAGAAGTACAAAAGAAAGCACAGGAGGAGATAGACCGAGTGGTGGGCACAGATCGTCTCCCCGTGTCCGCTGACCGCGAAAACCTTCCATACATCCAGGCTGTAGTGAAGGAAGCCTTCCGCTGGCATCCAGTCGTGCCAATGGGCCTCGTGCATCAGTCGACTGAGGAGGATACATGGGGTGGATATTACATCCCTAAGGGGTCTCAGATTCTGCCCAACATCTGGTGAGTTCTATATGAGCCTTCCTGATTGCTCCTGACACTGACTTGATCCAGGGCCTTCTTGCATGATCCAGCCACCTATCCCGACCCAGGCGCTTTCAAACCCGAGCGATTTCTTGAAACCGAAGACCACCGTCCGGAGCGTGACCCGCATTTCCTAGCATTTGGATTCGGGCGACGCGTGTGCCCTGGGCGAACTATCGCAGATGCAACCGCTTATATTACTATAGCGCAGTCTCTAGCCGTGTTCAACTTCGCGAAGCCCATCAGAGACGGCAAAGAAGTTGAGCTGAAGCCGGCATTTCTGCCCGGAGTGATCAGTCACCCGGCACCGTACGAGATTAGCATCAAGCCTAGAAAAAAACAGCATGAGGCACTTATCCGGGCAGTGGAGACAAAGTACCGGTGGGAAAAGAGTCATGCGGAGGAGTTGAATCGGGTAGCTTCTTAGTGTGACTGAGGGAGCCCGCGTCATTGTCACCACAAAACGTAAGCAGCAACGTCACTTTTGACAAAAGTCCAAACTATGACTCAAATTGGACAAGAGAATATCAGAAATTTGAAATTGCTTTCTGCTATCTTCTCCCAGGCATCCGAATCGTGTACTAGTAGACTCTTCAAGCCAGAGAGGAAAGACCCCTCGCAATCATATCCAGTTCCCAAAGCACGCAGACAAACCCATGTCGCACAACTTCCTAGCTTTCGAGGTCCAACACCCGATCCGTGGCAAGGCATAGCTCTCCCTCCACCATCTACCCTACTAGATGATGTCATGTAAAGAGTGAATTGACATCACGAGGTGCAGCATATGCAACGCTGGAGCGGGAGGCACGAACAGTACGAACAGTACGAGCAGCACGGATGGCATGGATGGCACGGATGGCGCTCGCAACAGATCCCGCAGCTACAGGCACCCCCCACCATCGCAGACGATTCCACAGCAGCGCCGGGATCAGAACCAGCTGCAGCCGCATTGGCTCTAGTATGACTGGTACGAACGGCGTCCGCATCAGGACTCAAGGGGGTTGGGGCGGCGCTGGCATGGTCAGCACGAACGACCCACTTACAACGGGGCTCACAGCAGTCTCACTCACAGTCGCAGCGCTGGCACAACCGGTGCGAACAGCAATGGCAACAGGATTCGATTCGCACCCTCCCCCCACAGCATCTGCAGCCGTCGCAACATTTGCAGCCTTCCCTCGCAGCCATCAACAGCAGCACTGGTATGATGCGGTGCACTGGCACTGGCACTCGCAACCCGCTTTCGCAACTGTAGCAACCACCAGCTCTCTCTTCTCTTGCAGCCCCCGGCCGTCAAATTTGCTCCCGTCACCATTACAGCAGCAGGATCTGAACCAGACTCCACAGCAGCCACTAGACACCCCTCGATCACCGCCTACCATGAATCTCCAATGATGACCATCAGCGTCTTCGTCAGTCGTCGTCAGGAATCGGGTTCGAGCTTTTTTTTCCCGGGGGAAGGGAGAGCAGCAGTCTTTCCAGGGCTTCGGACATCCGGGCGAGTATCGCCGAGTATGGCCGAGGGCTTAGGGCCAGTAGTCCCGTAGGGCGGCCGGGGTGCTTGTGGTGGTGGTGTGATCTGAGGGGAGCTCTTGATTGGGGGAGAGAGCAGGGAGAATTGAAGAGTTGATATCGCTGGTCTAGACCTCGTGTAAGCTGGGTTTTTCGTTTACAGGAGCCTTGGTCAGCTTCTGAGCTTAGAGTGTGATATTATTCCAATGGCCCAAGGCATATATATCTATGCTCTCTGCGTAGTGATGGGAACTGTGCTCATCTGAAGAGGCGATGTTCTAGAAAATGTGCTTGAGGGTGCAAAGCTTGGCCTCGCTTTGGTGTCATTGGTGAGTTACTATTTCTGGGTTTATCTCCAAGGTGCTCCCCAAGGATGGAATACGATTTTCTGGGTGAAGACGATTTCTGAGATTGAATGGTTTAGTATAAATATATACAGAAGGTTGGGCACGGAGTATCGGTAGGGTCATCTTCCTCGTCCGGCGAGGAGAAGCTGAGAGTGGGTAGAGTCTATTCAGCTGAATGAGGGGAAAGGGTATCTATCAGGTGTCGTGATCTTTGGAAACATGAGTCATCGGCAGCCAGCTGCTGGGGAATGTGATCGAGCGCCAATAGAACGAGGTCATTGCGGCAAAAGCATAAAAGGGGGTCGTGACGGTGTTGGTGTACAGGGCCATTCACGGTGAACGAAGTGAAGCAGGCAGTATTTCGAAGTCGATGTCCAAGAGTGGAATAAGCCTAGCCAAGTCCACCCAGTTAGTCCAGTCAGAGATGAACCCTAGGGAGTAGCAAACATACCTCCCAGCCATATACCATAGCAAGTTCAAAACAAGGAAGATCAAGCCAATAACGAGAACTGTCAGTGTAGCACGTTAGGATCCCTCCATTCGACAAGTCCCTCGGACTATAGGAAGAGCGAGCGCAGCACATACCTTCATACCCGCAAGACCTCGCCCGTTGCAGCCGGTCCCGCTTCTTCAACCAAATCGGAATCAGATCCTTCTGGCAGGTCTCCCCGTCAATGACGAGACACCCGCGGGGAGACCGCAGACACTCGAGATGCCGGCGTCGGCGCTCCATGATGCGGCGCACGCGCGCGTTGCAGAACGACTCGTCTGTGCGGAACGAGCACTTCTCCATCGGACACTCCAGCTTGCGCTCGAAGCGCTCCACCAGCCAGTCGACCTTGAGGTGCACGCCCGTGTAGACGAGCGAATAGAAGTGGCGGCAGGTGTGTTTCAGGGCTAGCGCGTCGGGGTAGGAGAGGTAGGACGCGACTTGGAGGTGGAGCTCATTGGGGAGGTCCATGAGGGTGATGGGAGGTTGATTACTTGGGGATTTGGTGTCCATATTGTTCATGATGAGATAGTGCAATGGTGGGGCTTCCTTGATGAATTGGAGGGGCTATATGGTTGTTGCTATCGCGGATTTTGAGTATGTAGTATGTATATGGAAAAAAAAATTGCGGGGTTTCTTCAAGTGGGCAATGGCTGGATTGCGGATTGCGGATTGCAGCGCTCGCCAATTCTGTGTTGAAGATCTGATTGATTTTGATATATGCTAGTATATTGTGCGATTAGATTCCCTTATATATAGCTTGTGGTCATTGTTGTTGCCTGCCGATCTGCGATCAAGACTTGCACAGCAGTGTGGCTGATCCGAGTGTGATGGATAGGCAACAGGAATGCTGGGTCGGTGGAGTAGTAGTTTGCTTGTGCTATTTTGAGGAACTGTCGATCCATGCAGATTATCACAAGCTCCGATTAGCTGAAGCGAAAGAGGCAGCAGGTAACTCAATTCATGACGGACTGCACTGAGTCGTGAGTGGCTCCTCAGCACCGCAAAGTCAGGAGTACTAGACATGGTGTGGGTGTGTATCTTTAGAGGAGTTGGTAGTATGTGACAACAAGAGGCTAATCGATAAGGGAGGCTGGCGATTCAGGCAACAACCGGCATTAACATTCAAACACGTCAAACAGAGCTTCCCCGCTTCAGTGCTGCCTCACACCGCCTGCCCTTACCGATATGTCTTTGCCTCAGCAACTATCTACTTAGTTATCCGTACTTCATCAATCCATTATCGTCATTATCGTCGAAATTCACCACAAGAGCCTTAAACCCTCCTCGACCACACTATCAATACAACCACTTCGACGACCCACCCTCTACAAACAACCCACCCACTCAGACTCAATCTCCTCAAAGCTACACCCAACCAAACGAACCCACCCCAGAAATGAGCAACAAAGATTCCGCCTACGGCGGCGCCCCGGCCTCGGACACGGCCTTCCGCAAGACATGGGACCGTGACGAATACGCCAAAAAAGCCGCAGCAGATGAGACGCGCCGCAAAGAAGAGGCCAAGGCGCGGTATGAGGCCAAGCTGCTGGGCAAGAAGTGGCACGCGCCCGTCGACTACAGCACGCTGGAGGCGACGACCTCGCGCACGCAGCGGCTGGACGTCGCCTCCATGGTGGGCAAGACGACCATGGTGGCGGCGGGGTCGGCGGTGGGCAAGCGCGGCCGCGGCGCGGGGTTCTACTGTGCTGACTGCGACCTCACCTTCAAGGATAATCTGCAGCTGGTGGAGCATCTGAACAGCAAGCAGCATCTGATTGCGACGGGTCAGAGCGGGGAGGTTGCTGTGGCCACCGTGGAGGATGTGCGCATGCGGCTGCGCATGTTGGCACACCGGAAGAGAGAGCGCGAGGAGGAGGAGCGGCGCGCCTGGCAGTTGGATCTCGGGCAGCGGTTGAAGGAGCGCGAGGAGCTGGATGCCAAGGAGCGCGAGGAGAAGCGGAGGAAACGGAATGAGAAGAGGCGCAAGGGAGGGGAGAATGGGGTGAAACAGGAGGACGAGGGCTGGGAGGGCCGATTAGGGATCATCGCATAGACAGGCATATGTGATTCTTGGGTTCTTTTTGTCTTTTGGTGGCAAGAATAAGGCGGGCGGATCATGCTGGCGAAGTGTTGTTTGGAAGCTCAAGTATACCCACGGCGTTATAATTATTCAGGTTGACGGCTCTCTATCTCTCCCAGAGATTGAACTCTGCTTATCCAGCCACATTTATAAATCATTGATGATATCCATGTCAGAAATAACACAAGCACAACCGTTACGGACCGCATCTCTATGTGACAAAATGCTGGAAGATTTGTGCCCCTCAAGAAAACAGAACAGAAAAAACCCCATGAGAATCAAGTAACCAAAGCCCTTTGCCCATGATCCATCCCAAAGACTCCTGACCGTTTGTACCCGTTAGACACCAATCAATCCATACACTCAATACCTTCCAACACGCGCATCGCCCGAGCACCCTCCTTCTCGAATTGACTAACCAACCTCTCACATTCGCGTTTGAGTCTCTCTTCGCCATTCTGTGCGTTCCACCTGATCCATTCTTCGACTGTCATCTTCTTCTCTAGACTGCTCAGTTCGCCCTTAGTGCTGTTCAAGATATCGGAGAAGTCGACATTTTCCGTATCGCTCTTGCCAGCCAGAATAATAGAATCGATATCAATGGGAATCCACGGATGCGTGGTGTTGAGAAAGCCCGTGTTCGCAGCCCGTTTGGACGGCGAGGGTGTACTGGCGGCAAATGGGATCCGGGCTGCCTGCTGCTTAGAGGGTGAGGGAACAAAGAGTCGAGATGTAGGTGGTTTTAGTGACGGCTTTAGAGAAGGAGGGTGGTTTTCGGCATCAGATGATTGAGGCGACAGCGAAGGAGTAGTCTTGGACGGCGATGGCAGAGGCGAGTAGGTTTCTGGTTCCTGTTCGCTTTCATCGTCTGGGTTGGCACTTTCTGACCTCGGGTGGCCTTGTGAGTTGCGCGACTCAACGAGTGACGTCGCATATTGTTTCTCCTTCGGGATATCACTGTATCTCTCGACAGTCTTAGGAGGGACTCTCGATGACCTGCGTCTTGCAGATTGCTGCACAGGCGTCTGCACTTGTGGTTCTTCTTGCTCGGGTTGTCCCAGAAGCGTCTGGCCATCCATGTCAAGAACCGTCTCTTCGATCTCGCTTGCAGCATGTTCTTCTTGAGTAATCTCGGCAGGGCCTTCTTCTGATTTCCTGGACTTCTTCTGCTTCTCGGTCGACTCCTTCCTATTAAGCCTCATCTTCCCATCCTCTTCCTCCGCCTCTCCCTCAGGTTCCCTGCTTGGAGCCCTCGCCGCGATTTCTACAGACACAAACGACTCATGTCTCTGTTTGTTAACTTGCTCTTGACTGGAGATGTCGGATTCTTGAAGCTGATCTTCTTCTAGCTCTTCCTGATGCCCTTCTTCTTGAGGTTCAGCTTTGACAGTAGTCGAGTTTCTCGCGCTCTGCCGTTTGCTCGAACGTCTCGTTTGCCGTGATTCTTGAACTGGCGGTTGAGGCTTCGGTGACTGCTGTGGTTCTGGCTCCTCAACAGGCTGAGGCTCGACTTCCACGCTGTGCTCTTCTGTATGCTCAACCGGCTCTGGGGCCGGTTTCGTTTTCTTCTTGGACTTCGACTTTTTGGGCGGCTTCGGTGCTGGTTCCTCGATAGGCGCCTCGACGTTAGTCTTTTCGAGCTCTGAATGGGCCTCAACTACTGTTTCAGGTTCTGGATCCCGGGGCTCCTCGGACGCAGCAGGAACCTTAGATGTCGTCGAACCAACGGACACATTTCGGCTCTTGGTCGCAGTCTTCTTCTTGCTCGTACCGCGACCCTTCTTCGGTTTCTCCTCTTCACGGAACTCCTCGAGAGGCACACTTTCTGTGACGGCTTCGGGTTGTTCCTCGTATTCCTGTTGTTGAGCACTAACTCGTGTTTTGGTTGCTCTTTTCTTCGCTGGGGGCTCGGGTTTCTGCTCTACCTCTGCTTCAACGTTTACTTCATCCTTGACGAGGTCCTCACTTGTTCTCTTCTTGCCTCGGGTGCGTTTCGCCTTAGGCGGTTCTGGCTGGCTCTGATATGTGCTGTCCATGTCCATTTGGCTTCCCAGATCAATTTGCTCGTCCTTCTTCTTAGATTTAGACTTGGACTTGGTTGACTTTTTTGACGACTTGGATTTCGTGGTTGATTGAGATATAGCGCTTTGGTCCATTGAATCGTCAACTTCAGGCACAGGTGCCTCTGAGAGAGTGGACTGGGTCGAGAGACGGGCCGCCTTTGAGACTCGCCCCTTTTTTGCGCGGGGATTCTTTGCTTTCTTGGTAGTAGGAGGTTGAGCGAACACAAAGAAAGAACAGTCCGAGGACCGACGGTAATGTTCATCGCTAACACACGAGTCAGCCATTGCAAAGATAGAAAGAGCGAGTCAGACGTACAATGGATCATCTTTCGGCTCCCAGCCATCGAGCGACAATTTACAATAGGCACAAGTGGCCAGGTCGTTGCTCTCTTCATTCGGGCAAAAGTACCATCCGCCTTCAACCATCTATACAGCAGCATGTCAGTGCTGCCGGTATAACAGCGATTGTCGCGCTCGCATTGCTAGGAGACCTAAGCTCATACCTTGTCTGACTGACATGTCCAGCCCCGCTTTCCATCGTGAGGCCATGCTTCGCCGAAGGTAGCCTGTCTTGCCTGTACGATGCGCTCGCTGGTCGGATCTTCAATCTCGGCGGGATTGGAACTGTGCTCTTGAATTTCCATCATGACAGCCCATCCACAGTCCGGCGCATGCTTCAAATGCTCCGTGATTGGGTTGTCCTCCTCCTCCCAGCCGTCTAGCGCTCTCCGGCACAAGAAACATATCGTATTGTCCGGATTCGTTTCGTAGGGATGATAGAAGAATCCTGCATGCGCAAGCTATGGGATGCGGAGATCAGCGATCGGGAATCCGGCGGGGATACCTGGTTGAATTACCTCTGCTGGTGATGGCCTACTGTGAGGCCAAGCAATAGGCTCTGCGGACGTGAGGGATGATCTCCGTTGCTCAGGGTACAAGACCCGATCAAAACTAGAGAGACGAGCGGCAAATGTCTCCATTTCCTGAGCCATGACTGAAGATATTATGACATTGAGACGGACTGTCTATCAAGGTTGTTCAAAATGCGACGCTCAACAAGCGCCCTCTTTTGTTTACAGCCTTGTTTGGGTGGGCGGGAACGCGCCGCGGAGAAGCGCAAGCCACGTGATGAGCCGGAGGCGTAAGCTGTGGCTGGTATTTATTGAACTGTGGCTGGTGTCGGGCAGTTTCCTCATCCGGAGCCCAAATTGTCGTGGTTTGAAGGGCCGAGAACATCAGCCGAAGCAGAGGAAGGCCGGAGTACGTCAGACGGGGACTCCCTCTTCTCCGTCTCCTCTCCGTCTCCTCCCCCCAAAAGTCCCCCCATCTGTCCGCAAGTTGTCTCGGCTTCGATTCTTGAAATTGTTATTGTTGTTGCGGCCCTTGTATATCTCTTCCATTTCATTTCTTCTTTCTCACCACCATTCTATCATTGTCCTTATTGATCTCTTTTCACACTTACCGTACCTTTCATCTCTTCAGCTGCCTTTGACCATGATTTGAGACCGTGACTCTGATGCTCCTTGAATTGTGCGACACTTACAGCCCCCGCTGTGCTCTTTTCTCTCCCTGCCGGAAACCGCGACAATGCGCGCCACTGTAAGTAGTGTCTGACTGGATTTGCTCCCGAGAGACTCTCTTAATACCTAATATCATTCGCCTATAGAACCTCTTTCTGAATAACAGTTCAGGCTCCTACGTGCGCCTGCGCCTGAGTAAACCGCGAAGTCCATGCTCCTTCCGTTCTTTTTCCAATGATCCCTCCGCAGCCTCAAGTTCTCATGGATTCTCATCGCCTTATAACCGGAGCGCTCTTCAAAGAAGTAATGGCCAATGCCTGAATACGACTGACCATGGGCTCTTGCTGCCCTCGTCGGCTGCACCATTCTCCACTTCTTCACAACGTCCCGATCCCGGCGACTGGGATGTGAACCCGAATCTGGCTATCTCAGATTTCGCGGAGTTGCCATCAAAAGATTTTGGCGTCAATCAACATATGATAATCAACCAGGAATTCAAGGAAGCTCTACGGCAAATCCTGTGGCAATTCCGTGCTCCTATTCGGTACGCCTTCGCCTATGGATCAGGCGTCTTTCAGCAGACCGGGAGTGCCCCTGGCTCTGGTAAATGTCATCCCGCAGCCCCAACGGCTATCAAGAACATGCAACAGGGGAATGGCAAAATGATCGACTTCATTTTTGGCGTATCCTATACACAGCATTGGCACTCATTGAATTTGGCCCAGCACCGAGATCATTATTCCGGATTGGGTTCTTTGGGCTCGTACGCGGTGTCGCAGGTGCAGGACCGATTCGGGGCGGGTGTATACTTCAACCCCTTCGTCACGGTCAATGGCACTTTAATCAAATATGGTGTGGTCAACATTGATACCCTGTGCCGGGATCTGAGCCAGTGGGATACCTTATACATTGCTGGTCGCCTACAGAAGCCAGTCAAGATCCTGCGCGACCACCCTAAAGTGCGACTAGCAAACCAAATGAACTTACTGTCTGCGGTTCGCGTGGCCCTTCTGTTGTTGCCCGCAGAGTTCACTGAGTTTCAGCTGTACAGCACCATTGCTGGAATCAGTTACATGGGCGACCTTCGCATGTCACTGCCGGCAGAGGACCCTCGCAAGGTCAACAACATCGTTTCCTCACAAATGGCGAACTTCAGACGGCTCTATGCCCCACTCATTGAGAATCTCCCCAATGTGACCTTCAATGACCCTCGGTGTACTCAGGCAGATTGGATTGACGACCCGGACACGAATGTGCGGCTTACTCAGGATATGGACCCTGTCAAGCGAGGCAACATGGTTCGCCGCCTTCCCGACGCCTTCCGCGAGAAGCTGTACTTTCAGTTCCAGTCGCTTTATCAAATCCCGCGCGCGGAATTCAATAAGATGATGAAGGAGAACAATGACAGTGATGAGATTGTGCGCCGGAGGCAGGGTGGTCCATTCGAGCAGCGCATTGCCGCCGACCAAGAGCTCCCAAAGGAAGTGCAGGCGGCAATCAGCAAGACCATCCGTTGGCCAAGTACCGTCCAGTCCATCAAGGGCTTGGTGACTTCTGGATTTGGCAGGACCGTACATTACCTCTGGGAGAAGGTTGAGAAGTTCCGGAAGTCAGGCAAAAAGAGTGCCTCGTCCGATGCCCCTTCGGCGAAGACTACTAAGAAAGAGTAAGGATCGAATGTCGCGGATTGTTGCATCACAATATAACCCCCCGGGCTATCTTGTTTCAAAGCGCGGGTAACGTTTTATATAGACACATCGGGGATATGGTTGAAGGCATAGTGAGGCGTTGGTGATTGAATATGGTTTCGGTTGGGACATCTGTATCTAGTATATCTTCAAGGTCCCCGATACCGGAAGAAAGGACGACATGAAGACGATGTATAGAAAACTTGATGTGCAATAAATATACAGTTAGAGTATAGTGATTCTACGCTGATACATTGTTCAATACTACCTTGGCACGCAGATCCCCTCGCGCAGGTATTGTACCCAGTACAAATTGCAGTCAATACAAAAAATCCCAGGCTAGATGAAAGAGGTTTTCCTGGTGAGTCACTCGTCATTTACAGAGAGGTATGATAGCCTAGCAAGCAAGCATTAACTAGTACATTGAACGGGAGGATGGAAGGAGTCATAGTGTGTATGTAGTATATAAGCGGTGCCTGGAACCCACATCCGACACCGGTTCCGCCGATTGCCTTCCCCCGCCGCCACTTCTCTCCTCTCGACTTTCTCTTCCACTTCAGAAAGAGATTTCTTCTTTGTCGCTATCACCAGTCCGTCAAGATGGCTGCGCGAAACTCCCCCTTTGACCTTTCCAAATGCGTGCGCCCCAACATCCTCAAGTTACAACCTTATCGTTGCGCCCGAGAGTATGTTCTGCCCCTCGCTGTCAGGAAACATCTCCCGTAACCGGACTAATGAGTCAGTGACTACAAGGACGACGGAACGAACGTCTTGCTCGACGCCAACGAGAATGCCTACGGTCCGGGTCTCGCCTTGGATTCCGAAGGTGCTCTCCAGCATTCGACTGGATCGTCCAAGCCCGAAATCGACTTTCTCGGATTGAACCGCTATCCGGACCCGTAAGTCTCCGCGGAGATGACTCCCTCGAACTGCAATCCCCCTGCACCGTTACCGCGCATCACTTGGAGGCTTTCGGATTGCTGAGAGAAGACGTTTAATAGTCACCAGATTGAACTGAAGCAATTGTTCTGCAATCTCCGCAACACCCACCACCACACCCAGAAGACCCTCCGCCCGGAAAGCCTCTTCGTCGGCGTCGGATCTGATGAGGCGATCGATGCACTCCTGCGCTGCTTCTGCGTACCAGGCAAGGATAAGATCCTGACGTGCCCCCCTACGTATGGCATGTACAGTGTCAGCGCACAGACCAATGATGTGGAGATTGTGCAGGTACCACTGGACGTCAACAACGGCTTCCAGCTGCAGCCGGACAAGATCAATGAGACTCTGTCGGCGGATCCATCGATCAAGCTGGTGTACATCTGCTCGCCTGGCAACCCCACTGCCAACCTCATTAAGAAGTCGGACATTCAGAAGGTGCTGGAGCACCCGACGTGGAACGGGGTCGTGGTAGTAGACGAGGCATACATCGACTTCGCGCCTGAGGGCTCGAGTCTGGCCGAATGGGTCAACGAGTGGCCCAACCTGGCGGTCATGCAGACGTTGAGCAAGGCCTTTGGCCTGGCGGGCATCCGGCTGGGCGTGTGTTTCACGAGCCCTCCGATCGCGAAGTTGTTGAACAGCCTCAAAGCGCCCTACAATATCTCCAGCCCCACGAGTGCGCTTGCGACGGCGGCGCTGTCCCCGACTCACCGGGTTGTGATGGAGAAATACCGCGATTTGATTGTCGCCCAGCGCGACCGCCTGGTGCAGGAACTGCCGCAGGTGCCCGGCATTGGGCGCTTCCGCGGCGGACAGGCGGCCAACTTCCTTCTGGTGGAGATCCTAGACAAGCCGGCCGGTGAAGGCGGCAAGCCCAGTAATGTGATCGCCCAGGCGGCCTATGAAGCCATGGCTGAGAAGCGTGGGGTTGTGGTGCGCTTCCGGGGCAAGGAACTCGGATGCGAGGGCTGTCTCCGAATCACCGTAGGCACGGAGGAGGAAGTCACCAGATTCTTGCAGGAGATCAGAGCTGTTCTCGTTGGCCTCCACAAGGGGGAGAGTATCCAATCCGTGAGGGAATAGATGAGCCAGAAATTGATTCTAGGCAGATAACTGTGGATAGACTAGATAGAGGGGTCTAGACTACTCTTGGCTTACATGTATGTACAGATACCAGTTCATCGCGGACAATTACCTGGGTCCTACAGCTTATGCATACTTACGCAACGCAATGTAAACCCTGGCTCTTTTCTTTCCAAGCAGGTCCAGTCTAACTTTCCTAGCGTAACGTATACTGTCGGTAGTTCCTTGAATTCTGGCTCTGCCCCTGACCAGCTTGCAGACCACGTAGATAGGGCTTATCTGTGCCTGGACCAGGAGAGTCGCTGGCTCGCAAACATACAACCCAGGGATACAATCATTCTTCCGTAAATTACTCCGGAGGAGTAGAACGAATCACGCGGAGGTGCTATCAGGCTTCTGCTTCGATGGAGGTTGCTACCCAGGATTTGGCTCGTATGGCTGTTATTAGGCATCTCGGGTTTCCACGGTCATCGAGAGATGTGACCAGGATTCATGCAAAAGGACAAGAGGACGCCTGACTGGTGCAGGGATCTACTCCGGATTGGTTGTGATTCCAGGCTGTGCTGCATTCGAGGGAGTTATCGGTAGTAGTTACTGGGTATGCAGACAAATCGAAAGGATCGCCCTTTTCCCTCGTGTTGGCAGGTCTACTTACTTATCTTCGATCCCTCGAGCCACTGTTTCTGTCGATTACATTAATTGCTTGCATACGGAAGCTAATCTCGTGTCGCTTTGACCCAACTTGCCAGGTTTAGGAAATGTCTCATTCTCTCAACTCCTCTTGCTCTTTTTCTAGTAGTCTTCACGAGCTCCCAGCTCCAGCTCCAGCTCCAGCTCCAGCTCCAGCTCCAGCTCCAGCTTCAGCTCCAGCTTTAATTTCCAGCTTTATTTCCAGCTTCAGCCCACATGCAGCAAACAAACGAAGGGAAAAGCAAAACTCCCAAACTCCGGTGGCAAAATGTGCATATCAATCGGCATATCACAAGCTTGCGACCACCTGCTGCTGGGCTTCGTATCCGGCCATCCTATCATTTCCCAAGTAATTGGTTGACTTAAACGCCATGGTGCAATCCTCCAGGCTAGTTTCTATCGCGTTTCTCTGGCTGGTCCATTGCTTCGACTCCTCGTTCTTGTCCCAATTTCCCCCGATTTCCATTCACCCAGCCTTGGCCAAGATAAGGCCCAGGCGTCTTTCTCCCTTTCCAGTTTCCACCCCCGTTTGAGTGCGTTATCTATTCACCTGCCAGCGAAGTTTATCGGACGCCTTGACCCCATCGGTCCACAGAATCCTGGTCTGAGAATATAACATGGTTCGTTTGCCGGCGGGGACTGGCATCACGATGGGGACAGCTACCTCGGGTTATTGTCATCTTCTCAGAGCCCTCCACCCCCTGCCCACTGGTCGCGGCGCTCAACGCGCGACTCGGTCGCAACCGGAATCTCCCCTAGAAATCCCCCCCTCAACACGCAACACTCGGTTGACCGCGGACGTCTCCTTTGAGATACTAAATAAGTTCGACGTCACAACGGCGGTGAATCTGGATGAGTTTGCGCTCGCTCGCTTGCCTTACCTTGTCTCTGATCAACTCCTGAGGTAGAGTGTTGTCATGTTCATACTCTGTCGGGATCTTACTCAAAAGGGTATCTCCCGTCGTCTTTGTGTCTTAGCAGTTACGCAGACAAGATCACGATCAACGCCTTCTCCGCCCTCCGATAACCTCTGTCTGGGCCTCGGACGCTGTTTATTCTCCGGGCCTCCTCGTCTTGGCCCCGGACTCCCCACCCCGACTCCAGTTCGAGGGCACGTGCCCACCGTGGACATTTCCCTCAATATAAGCAATGCAAATGCGAATGCGGAGTACCTTTATAATAACAATATACAATCCTGGACCTGAACGCTTGCAGACCGCATTATCGCTGACATATCGACTTCGCCCTTCCCTGGCGTCCACTGGCCCCTCTTCGGAGGTGGCTCGGCGGCCATGAGTATACAATGGATGTTGGATTCTCGAGGGCTTTTCGACACCGCGCCCCCCAACCCTCGGACCAAGTTGGACAACAACGCCACCCTTCTTGTGAGCTGGTGGGCGACTGGGTTCTCCTTGGCGATCATTGTCACTCGAGTGTTCGGACGCTATGTCCGCACCGAGCGCTTCTTCATGGAAGATAAGGTCATGCTAGCCGGTGTCATTCCGCTACTGATACGGATGGCTTGTGTGCATGTCATTTTGATATGGGGAACCAACAATGTGAAGACTGCGGGACTCTCTGCCGAGAATATCAATCATAGAGTGGTTGGTAGTAAGCTGGTTTTGGTCGCACGAATCTTCTATGCTGTCTTGTGAGCACTTCAATATCTCCGCGAAATCCTATGGCGTGACACATGCGCTAACCCGGCAATATGGGAGCAGTATCTGGACGGCGAAATTCACCGTATGCGAGTTTCTGAAACGTGTCTCGGGCATGATCTGGCGGCGATCCCTCGACATCTTCCGCAAATCGCTCTATTATTTCCTAGCCTCGACCCTCCTCGCGGTAGTCATTGCTACCCTCGCGGAATGCACTCCGTTCGCCCATTACTGGCAAGTCATACCGGATCCAGGGCCGAAGTGCCGCCTTGGCTATGCGAACTTGATCGTGATGGGGACCTGCGACGTGATAACCGATTTGCTTCTGGTTGCATTCCCAATTCCTTTCATCATGATGACACACATGCCTTTGAAGCGGAAAGCCGCCCTTGTCGTCTTGTTCGCTTTGTCCTTGATTCTCGTGGCAATCACACTCTATAGAGTGCCGTCCGTCATCTGGCACGATGGGGAGCAACAGTATCGATCGCTCCTGGCATCGCTCGAGATACTGGTCGCAACGGCGGTGTCCAATGCCGTGGTGATCGGCTCCTTCGTGCGTGATAAGGGCCTTAAGAAGAACAAGTTCAAGAAGGCCCTGGCATCCGCTTCAGTCAGCGAGAACATGGACTATAGCTCCTTTCGCCGCCAAACCATCACCCACCATCAATGGGGCAGTGATTCCGACCTGGCCGCGGGTCTGGGCATCCGTCTAGAGCCAGAGTTGTGCTCTTCAGACAGGGATCTGCCTCGCCCGGCCCCGGTCGCAGCCCCTTACCACACCCTCACAGGCCGTCCTGGCGGACTATTGAATCCGAACTGGTCCTTTACCCAACGACCGCTCGGTGGCATGGACGATGATCGCACGTCGACTACAGGCAGCCTCGACATCAAAGTCAGTCCGCACGAATATATCCAAACCAACCTCTCTCCCCCGCACGGGCTGCTGCCCCGAGAAGTCTCATCCCCTACCCAACTCTCCATCTTCGACGTGGGCGGCCTACTCAGCGCGCCCACCCCCACCACCGCGTATCCCTCACACTACACCGATCAACCGCGACATGGCAGCAGTGGCAGCGGGATATCCGCCGTCCAAGACTTTGGAGCAGCCATCTCCTCCCCGGACTCGCCGAACCCGGACCCGGACCTGGCCCCAGACCCCAATGCCGCCGCCACCACCACCTACCACCGTCATCGACATCCCTCGTCGGCATCTCTCCCGTATGCTTCGCCCCGCGCTGGTGGCCTCCGCCGTACTTCGCTTTCGTTGAATCGTCGCCGGGCTTCGAGCGTGCATTTCAGCGAGTTCCCGGATTCGCCTGTCCCGTCGTATCGCTCGCAACCCGATGTGTCGGCTCCGATCCCAGAAGGGGATGATGTGGAGCTTCAGGATGTAGGAGGGTTGCTGTCGCGGCGGTGACAATTCGCCGCAGAGCATGAATAACCATGAATGATTTGATTCGCGTAACTGTGTCTGTAACACTTATCATTGTTTACTGGTGCTTTTTAGCGTGTTTTGCTGAACGAGGTCTTTGGAGGTTATTGGGTTTATCGGTCGGGTCGGCGACGGAGTCTGGTATGTGTTTTCGAGATACACAACAACATAGTGATACCAAATACCCCATAAGCAACGATTGGTTACGAATATCATGTAGACATGGATACCCAGCGCGACGGAACGAACTCGGAATAAAAGTATTGCGTGATATACAACATCCATTCGAACTCTTCATATGTGTGTAATCGTATAAGTCGGTATGGTATGTAAGTAGGTAGGTAACAATCCAGGTGAAGCCACCCAACAGCTAGAACAGCTGTCTCCTATCAATAATAATGCGTGAAAAGAGAAAAGGTAAAACAAATTGACTTTGGTTATTGGAAAAACTTTTTCGCCCTTACGCCATGCTGCCCGATGCCTGTAATTAGACAATATTTTTTCTTGTTTTTCTCTTTCTTCTTTCGTTCGCTTCGCCTTCGCACTTAGTATCCCACTCTTGCTGCATAAAGCCATGCACTGGTGATACAGGTGCTGTGAGAGCAGGACCACCCCGGCCCTGTATCACCTGCACCAGAGATCCAAGTACGGAAGAGTGACTCCATTCCAAAAGAAACGATCCGCCAGACCGCCCCTCACCACACCACCGTTTTCTCTCGCACAAACGAGAAAAGTTTAGATAACCCAGCGATAACTGGCATACCGGCCAGCGGTCTCACTCTTCCGGATAATCTTAACAACCTGCCCCCTCCGCAGACCCAGGTACCGGGCAACGGGGTCATTGACCTGAATGCGGGGCAGCTGGGACTCCTTGAGACGGTAGCGCTCGAGCAGGCGGGCCTTCTCGTCCGGGCTCAGCAGGACGTGCTTGGGGACGAGCTCGTGGCGGGTGATGTTGACCAGCAGGTCCTGCTCCTGGAAGTGTTCGCAGATGCGGCCGGGGACGCCGCTGAGGAGGCGCACGGCCGAGGGGGAGATGGCGATCTGGGTGATGAAGACACCCGTATGGAAGTTATTCTCGTCGACGAAGTGGTTGAAGGCGCGCACCTGCTTGGTGCCGACGCCCGTCGAGTCCGGGCAGAACTCCACGTAGATGGTGCCGCAGTCGGGTTGCGGCGAGGGGTTGGATTTGCTGGGGAGGGGCGTGTATTTGGCTTGCATGGCTTCGGTGGGGCGGGCGCTGATTTTCATTTTGTTGCGGCTGTTTTTGAGGGGTTAGATTCGGGTTGAAGTTGTAGCTGTGCGATTAAATTGGGAAGGAGGGTGAAGGGGATGCTGGATAGGTAGAGAGTATATAAGGCACACAGGGCGGTCGCGTACTCAGGGTAGCCCAGAGGGTCGGAATATTTTCTCTTGAATTCGGCCAGAGGGATTTGCACTTCCTCCTCCGTGACTTCGTAGCCCTGTAGTCCATGAGGAAAATCCCATCAGTGATTGCTCGTCGCAAGGCGGTCCGAGACTCAATATCGGTGGGAGCTTGCTCACCCGGTCCAGGAGCATCTCAAAGACTGTCCTCCATGTGCGCCAAAGTCTGGTCATCTCGCGGTCGGCGTCCACCGACCCGGTAGAGTAGTCCTCATCCATGACGAAAGCTTTCGAAGCACGTCGCACGTATAATATGAAGGTGATCGATAATCCGAATCGGAAACCGAAACTACTCGCGGCGAAATCACAGCGACTGAAATGACGCTGGAGAAACAGGCAAAGGTGAAAGAAAGCTGGCGGGCAAATGAAGGTCAAAGGCGGATGGAAGGTGAATTGAATGCAAAGTAAAATGCCGGGCCTCGAAAAATCCGGCGGACCTGCGCTAAAGGCGCCAAACTCTAAGCGCCGCCCACCGCCCGCCGCCCAAACAGTCACTGGTTCAGAGGAACGGAGAGAAAAAGAGCACGAGGTCGGGTCTTGTTGTTGACTGCGGTCTGACTGATTAGTGTTACTGATTACTGACTGACTGACTGCCTGATTGACGGCCTACTAACGGATTTGGCTGTAAACTTCCTTTCCCTTTCTTTCTTTCCACCTCCCTCTCCCTCTCTCTCTCTCTCTCTCAACCCCCCACTTTCTTTCCTCTCGGGTTGATTTTCTCCCAATTGACTAATTGATTAACCTCTTTTGATCAATTCCTCTTTTATTTGTCAATTGCATTTCTCCCTTCATCCCCTCACCATCTTTCACCATGTCCGCTGACGCCAAGTCCGCTCCTGCCACGGAGCAGAAGGTGAAGCCCACCAAGCCCAATGAGGAGACCTTTAAGGCCGAATTGGCCCAGGCTGAGAAGGAACACACTGCTGTTCAGGAGAAGCTGGTATGTGAATGATTCCTTTTGCCTCGAACTGGCCTTCAGTAAGCCTCGGATTGTGTTGTTTACGGTGCTTGACGGTTCCGCACCGTGGCCTCTTTTTCCTTCGTCCGGCTTCTATGGCCTTCTTTTGGTGCTACGCTTTCATATGGCCTCCAGGCACCCAATTGCAATGCGAAACCCCCTTGACACGTTGCTTGACATGGCATCGAGCTAACCCAACCCAAGAATGAGATCAAGGCCAAGATCGAGGCTGCCAAGCCCAACAACCAGGACTCGCCCACCGCGAAGAGACAGCAAGAACTCCGCGCCGAGCTGTCCTCGATCCGTCAGAAGCAGTCCGGCTTCAAGGCCGGCCGCTCCAGCACCCAGGAGAAGATCAACGCTCTGGATGCCACCTTGAAGGCCCGCATCTCCGAGCAGAACAACTCGCGCGGTCGCATGTCGTTCAAGAACATTGAGGAGTTGGACAAGGAAATCGCCCGTCTCGAGAAGCAGGTTGACTCCGGTACGCTGCGCCTGGTCGACGAGCGCAAGACTCTTTCGGATGTCTCCAACCTCCGCAAGCAGCGCAAGAACTTCGCCGGCCTCGAGGAGGCCCAAAATGCTATCAACGACCTGAAGAACCAGATCGCTACGCTCAAGAAGACCTTGGACAACCCCGAGGCCAAGGCTCTCAGCGACAAGTACGCTGAGATCCAGAAGGAGCTCGACGCCATCAAGGCCGAGCAGGACAGTGCCTTCAAGAACTTGAACGCGCTGCGCGACGAGCGCACCAAGCTGCACGCCGAGCAGCAGAAGAAGTGGACCGCCATTCGCGAGATCAAGGACAACTACTACAAGGCCCGCAAGGCGTACAAGGAGTACGAGGATGAGGCCTGGAGAATCCGCCGCGAGAAGCAGAAGGCCCAGCGCGAGGCTTTCGAGCGCGAGAAGCGCAAGAAGGTCGCTGACAAGAAGCTGGAGGAGGCCTCCCGCCCTGCCTACACTGATGAGCTCTTGATCGCCCAGGGTCTGATCCGTCACTTTTACCCCGCCTACGACTTCGCTGCTCTGGGTTTGGACGACAAGAAGGACGAGGGCTCCAACTTCCGCGCCGAGATTGGCCGTACTGTTGATGACTCAGGCCTCAAGGGCATGAAGGTCCTGAAGAAGGATGACCGCGAGGAGGACTACTTTGTTGGCACTGGCGGCAAGAAGGGCAAGAAGGGCAAGAAGGGCGCCAATGGCAGCCCGGCTGCCGCTGCCCCCGCCGAGTCCAAGTTCAACCTCAACGTTGGTGTCATTGAGGACTTCGCCAAGGTCAAGATCGACCCTCCCATGAACCAGGCCGACGTCCCTGCCGTGGTTGAGAAGCTTGCGGCCAAGATCACCGAGTGGAAGAAGAACCAGGCCGCTAAGACTGAGGAGGTGAGTAATGACTGTGTCGAGCTATTTTGGTCACTGCTAACTTTGTGCACAGAACATCAAGAAGGCCCAGGAGGAGATTGCCCGCCTGGAGGCTGAGGAGACCGCCGCGGCCCACGACGACCGGGCCACCGACGGCGCCAAGAAGGTGGCCATCAAGAACAGCGGTGTCAACGGCAAGGTCTCTGCTGATGCTGAGCTGAAGCAGGAGGAGGACGCCGTCGCCGACGTCACGGAAGAGCTCGAGAAAGCCACCGTGGAGGAGCAGGCTTAAACGCCGACCGCCTTCGCATAGACCGTTGCATTGCATTGCACTTGCATTTTGACCGCATCAGCGAATGTGCATGGTTAGAACCCAAAAGCTGACTATATATTCGTGTGACTTTGGTTTTCTTCGTTGCATCTACCCCTATAACTTTCCCATGATCTATTCTCTTGCCTACCTCTGATGATCCTTCTTCCCCTGCTCTCCACTCCGACCCACCCCTCCGAAGAGAAGGACGCCAATATGCACGGGTATTGGTGACCACGATGATCACCGTGCGTTTACATGTTGGGACCGGCTTCTGGACTGGTCTGTTGTCTTCTTGTGTAATCAATTTATCTAATTCCTTTTTCTTGTCTACCTTCAGCTGAGTCGGTGGAGAACTGGCGAAAACGATAGCGTTTAGCGAATCTAATTGCACTTGAAAGAAAGTGATTGGTGAATAGTAGTTGGGTGATTGGAAGACTGGTGTAGACAAGTTCTGTTCCACTGAAGATGCCCCAGATTTGCGATAAGATAAGGCGGTGTCATGAACGCATCGGCTTGTGTCAAACATGCAGGGGCTGGTATGATCAGCGGCGTGGCGATGATCTGTGGAGGTCACCTGAGGTCTGACATAGACAGTACTTAATTACTACGTAGATAGTATGTCTGTACGAAGACAGTGTCCTCTCTCAATGGGAACTATGAAGCTACTCAACTATCAGGGACACTGCCACATTGTGCTGCGCCCCCACATCTCGAAATGGCCAGGAATTTCGTGGAGGAGCGACAACTTGGTTGCCTGATCCGGCTTCCCGCCAAGGTTCCATGGGGTTTTTCGAAAACTGCACTTTCTCCTCGTTTCCTTCGCTTCCCCTCATCTTCCCTCCTTTTACTCTTCCTCCCTGCGCTACTCACTACTTTGTGAACTGTTGCTCAGGTCTTCCATCTCGATCTCGCAGAGCCGTCCTACATCTTGACCACCACATTGCCGTGTGACTAGCAACGTCATCCACCTTCTCCAACATGGCTTACAATAAACCCGTATGTACCGCCATCCATCCCCCTTCACCCTGGCCATCTCCGACCAGCTACATTCTATTCCTCTTCTCCAACCTTCAATCCGCGTATTTTATCCGATCATATCAACCAAACTAACCTCAACCCCCCAGGATAATCCACCCCCCTCCTACCCCTCCCCCGTCCACGACGCCGGCCCCTACCACTACCCAAACCAACAGCAACCCTACCCGCAAGGCGCCTCCCAAGACTACTACAATCAAGGCGGCTATCCCCCGCAACAACAGGGCTACGGCCCCCCGCAAGGCGGCGGCGGTGGTTACTACCCTCCGCCGCAGGGTTATCCGGGCTCGCCCCCGCCCCAACAGCAACCCATGTACTACCCGCAACAACCGCCGCCGCAGGGGTATTATGCTGGTGGGGACCGGGGTGGAGGCTCGTCTGGGGGCGGCATCTGTGCGGGGATTATGGCTGCGTTGGCTTGTTGTTGCTGTTTGGATATATTGTTTTAGGGGATGGCTGACTGGTTTTGGAGGGTGGTTGTGTTGATGATGATGATGATGATGGTTGACGGAAGGATGTTTGGGGTTGGGTTCGTACTGGGGTTCTAGCTGGATTGGGGTTCGGGCGCTGATGGTTCCCTTTTTGTGATCATTTTTGGTTTGCTTTTGAGGGTTGGTTAAGGAGGGGCGGGGGTTCTGGAAGTTGTGTGTTTTTATTGGGATGGAGTGATGATTTATTCTAGGTATTTATCTTTCTTACTTCTGTCTGTATGGGGTTGCTATGTTAGATAGGCGATGCTATTGCTTTCCTCGGCTTATCTGTATTGCTGCTCAGACGGAAAATTCGGATTCCATAGCATAGGTAGTTAGTTACTGTCAATCATCAATCATCATTATCATTAGTCGCTGACTTGAATTTTTATCATGCAAATGCGTACCCCGAACATAATAGCCATGCATCATCTCATAAACATAATTCATAACAACCTTCAATAGTCAATAGATCAAATGCAGAATAAATTCGCAGGGTATCAAAGAAACACCATCATCATCAGCCCATTATTCCCCAGCCTCTATTTCCTTTTTTCCTTCCATAACCCATCATCATTATCACTCAAAACCTACGACCTCAAACTCCCATCAACCGACAACCCCTCCACCGCATCCAGATCCACCGCGCGATACCCCTTCCTCCCAGATCTTGCCCTCCTCGGCGGCCCTCCCTCCACACTCGAATGCTCTTCCATAACCGTCACCATATCCGACCTCTCACTCGACACCACACTCTCCACCATCTCGGGATGCTGTCCGTGGTGTCGTAAGTGATGCTTCGACCGCGGCGGATGCACCGCCCCCGCACCCCCCGCATGCATCGTTGGGGGGATATACCCTTCCTCAATGATCTCCTCCTCGCGTCGTACTCGCCGCCCTTTGCCCCGTTTCGCATACCGCCGGGCGGAGCGATGCGAGCGCGGGGACCGCGAACTGAGATGCTCTTCAACGATGACTTCGCCGGGCGCGGAGGAGGTGGAGGATGTGGTGCCGCTGCCACTGCCCGTGAGGATCGTGCTGGCGCCGGTGGTGGTGGAAGGGGAGAATTTCCGGCCGGACGTTAAGGCGAGGTAGAGGAGGTAGAGCACCAACAGAAAGCCCAGAACGCTGCCGAGGACAATGCCCACGATTGTGCCGGGGCTGATGTGCGGGGAGTAGTTGTAGGTGGAGGGGAGGGTTGTGAGTTGGGTGTATGCTTGGGAGTTGCGGGCGGAGAGGGGGTGGAGGTCGAGATAGGTTGTCGAGGGTTGTGGGTGTGGTTGTGGGTGGGATTGTGATATTCGAGGGTCGAGGGGGAGGGGTGGCATTTTTTCGGGCTGGATGAGGATGTTGTGCCGGGTTTGTTGTGGTGTGGTTGTTTTGTTTGGGTGTACGATGGTTGCGGCGCGGAAATTGTTGGGGAGAAGAGAAGAAGTGTAAAGTGAAAGTGGAAGCGAAGTATGCGATGGTTTATTGTATGATGATGGTGTTGGATAGATGTAGTCGATTAATGAGAAGACATGATTAAGTCAACCAGGGGAATAACTATGTACGGAGTCAGTAAGATGAAGACGAAAACAAGAGAGGAGAAGCGGAGATGACGAAGGTCAGGATAAGAGAAATGCGGTGGCTGGGGATCTGGGATGCGATGCGACGGTGACGGATCTGGAACCACCGGTGGATTCCCCGCCGGTCCTTGCCGCCACTACTTTTAGTACTAGTAGCCCCCACTTGTATTAACTATAAGTTACAGTAACTACTTACTATAACTATGACTTCTATGTCATACTAACTACTTGGTTTACAGGTTAACCTACCAACTGTTGAATATACCTAATGTAATAGCATCAGGTTACAGACTCCACTTGCTCGAATAGAGCATTCCAGCTGCTAGTGATCTCCTCAGTATAGTCAGCACTGGACCTCGATATCTAGTTGTTATTCGATCGCGTATCGGTACTGGTTATCCGCCCGCCCCCCTCCATTCCACTTGTACCCCTGCGAAAAAGCTTGTTTTTATATCATTAGAACCAACCCAAGACCTAGTAAGATGTCTCTTCCATATGGAAGTTCTTGTTGTATGCAAACATCTGGAGTATTTAGTCCAAATGGAGTCCACATCACTAACTCAATCCACGATCTTGCAGTCTGGCTCACGGCCCGCAATTCTTCCAGGCCTGCCTTGCAGAGGAGCAGAAGAAGAGTAAGCAGATGTAAATGGACTCACATCTGAATACAGGCTCAATATATACAAAGAAGTAGATAATATCAACTTACTGTGAATACACAAACACATAGAGAGAGAGAATGCACAATGAAGAACAATGAGATGGGCTCATATCTGAATATAGGCTAGATGCATACCAGAAGTGGATAGTATAGATTCACTGTGAATCAATACACACAAAGCACAATTGAATTAAGAAGAAGGTATCCTATCAGGTCTAGTATCTGCACCTTACAACATCCACTTCAGTACTCGGGTGACAGAAGAGCAAGCAGATTGAAACTGCCTCACATCTGGATATAGGTTAGATGCGTATCAGATGAGGATAGCATAGCTTAATTGTGATTCACCACATCCAGAGATGAAATCAAGCATGATACTACCTCAGCAGGACTAATCTACATTTGATAACGAGCTCTCTAACAACTCTCAGCGTCTATCACTGAACTGGTACTGCACCTCTGCCTCTCTGTTATTGTCCCTCCCTCCTTAGCCCGTCCCTCTCCCGTCACTCCACCACCCATCCTCCAGGCATCTACACCAGCACAACAAAGGTAAATCTGGGAGTTGTCCTGAACACTACCACTTCAAATCAATATCACCAAAGACTACAACCATGAACCACAATCCTTTCCGCTCAGGCGAGGGTTCTGACGCCATGCTTCTTCCCAAGTCCGATGGAACCATCGAGCCATGGGGTGAGTTCGACGCAATCCTCGAGTCTGAATAGACTGACAGTACCAACGAAAAAAACAGACCAGTCGCCTCAGGAGTGCGGCATAAACCGTCACTACGCAACCGCAGAGGATCCAGGTCCGAGTGCAGACGTCGTCTATCGTTGCAGCCGAGTTGCTTGTCGTTCCCTCCTCCATCCCAAGTGTCTTGACAAGTTCTGTCTTCCATGGATGGAGCAGTTTACGCTCCAGAAGTACTGTCCCCTTTGCGGACCTGCGTGGCCTCTCAAGGTCGAGCACAAAGAGGGGGAGGGTTGGTGCAGCTGGGGGGACTGTATGTTTGAGGATGCTATGCAGAAGGTGAAGCGTGAGCGGCAGCCGACCCTGATTCCCCCGGCACAGGAGATGCACTGGGAAGAGCAGCAGTCGTCTCACGTGCAGGGGCAGTCTGTTGAAGCCCAGCAGCTGCATCTGCAGATACAACCTGCTGAAACTCTCGGGGGAGACAGCGTGGACTCCTCTCGAATGCTGTCGGATTTGCAGCAGGAGCAGCAGCACCAATCCAGTCCAGCCCTCGGGGGAGGCAGCGGGCCTCACTCTTCACAAACATGGTCACAGCAGCCTGTGCAGCAAGGATCGTCTCATGCCCTCGCAGATTGCCGCGAGATGCTCCGTTCAATGCAATCGAAGTCGGAGGTGCTGAAGTCTACTCGAGAGTCTTGTGAATTGCTCGCAGAGCCCGCTTCTTCTCAATCGGGATTGCAGCAGCAGCAGCAGCTGTATCGGCAGTCTCAGTTGCAGAATCTACCTCTAGATAATGAGAGAGACCTTTTGAGACCTCTTTCTGTTCAAGCGGCGTTTCACCAGCAACTTCATCCTGCTGGAACCCTTGGAAGAAGCCGCACTTCGTCCTCTTCTGTACAGCCGGCGGTGCAACAGCATTCCTTTCAAGCCTCTGGGGCAAGCTATATGAGAAGCAATCTAGAGACTTCTTCGAAAAATTCCGGGTTCCAGGAGCGACAACCCGGTGGAGGCCCCAGTACCCCAATGTCTCCCGTGCATACCAGCTCCCAACTGCAGCACAACTCTGTGCAGAAAGGCCAACGCCGGTCAAGGTATTCTGACCGGAACATAAGTTATCAATATGCGGAGATCGGTGGGCGATACAAGTGTTTAAAGCCGTTGGACAACGGCGACATTTGTGGCAAGACATTCACGCGTTCAAATGACGTGGAGCGGCATTGGCGCAGGAAGCATGAAGGGATAAAACCCCACTGCCCCGTGTGTAATCGTGGTTTGGCCAGTAAACAAACTTTGGAACGTCATCTGTTGATTTTCCATGGGAGCAACGAGGCGATTGGAAATATGGGGTGAAAGGCTTCGGCCTGAGATACACACGCTTGATGAATTCGCGTACTGACTTCTTTTCTTATCAGCCTTATTATTAGCCCTGCATGGTACAAAATACAGGTATTAGCTTTCATCAAACACGCCGTCTTATTGTCGAGTCTGTAGAAAACGTATGGGTCCAGTATATTGAGACAGGCCTGTCCAATAGGTAGCTCTTTCTTACCAAGACACCCCTTGGGCCACCGCGCAATCAACACTGTATCATGAAGCATGGAGATAAGCGTGTTGACCCAATCAAATAGACTGGTAAGCCTGATTCTGTTACTTCTCTCTCATCTCACGAACTTCCACCTGAAGATCCAAATCTAGAGTAATTCCACGAGCCTTGTGAATTTTATACCATAATTCCAAGTAAATCGAGCAACGCGTACCATTCCGGGAATCCAACAACATTCTAAAGATTATTCTATACTACTAAAGGCCAAGGTATTGCCTGGTGTCTCAACGGTGCATCCGGAGTAATCGTGTTTGAAAACAACATAGAACAAGCTGTCACAGCTCCCTGCTCTAGCTAGCAATGGTTGTTCTTACTCGGGATGGCCATAATTACCTTGTTACTTAGCTTCTTTTTTGGGCGCAACAAAGAACAATCCAATCTTCAATCTTGCTCTGTGCGATCAACTCCAAGTAGCGCTGAGAGGTAGCGGACAAGTTGAAGGTCGCCGAGCTAGCTAACAGTTTAATTCGCCAGCCCACCGCTGGAGTTTCAGGACAGTCCGTACATTCGAGGTTCTAGTCCAGTCACGAGCAACAACTCCAGTGAAGCTGCTTTTGCTCCAGCAGCATTGATAGAACTCATCTTGAATGAGATCATTTTTTAGCACATACACTCCCCGGAGGCCCGCGACGGCTAGCGAGAGTATTTGTCAGTGATTCCAATGGCATAGGCTGGATCACTCTAATGCAAAAATCCTGTATCCGGGTCTAATACCGCTCCAATGTTGAGACGATCGAAGTAGCCATGTTCATACTCCAAGAAACTAGAGTGACAGTTAGTTCCAAGGTAAACTAGCACTAAGAAATCTAGTGGAGCTCACCGTGCATGGGGATCCTGGTAGAACACAGGCTTGCTGAGAGCGTGGTCACAACACTCCGTACACGACGCGCCCTGATTAGTAACAGACAGGGAGGTTTCATGTGTGCCCATCTTACAGAGACAAGTATAATCTCTCCATGGTTTTCACGGTGCATTGCCCAAAAAGCGTCTTCACCTTCTTGAAATTGAAGCAAAGGGTAGGTTGCTTAGACTAGGTGGCAGTGAAAGAGCCAGACCCGTCAGAATCTGATGAAGAGGACCTGTTCACAAGCTGAGATGGCATGATGGCAGTTTCAGGCAGAGGTATAGAAGCTAGATCAAGGTGACTGAGAGTAGCGAGTTTTGTCAAAATGAGAGTTAAGAAGCGAGGAGGTGCCGGTAAGCATAGAAGATGAGGGGAAGTGAATGAATTGAACGATGTGCTCATTATGACTGCAGGTATCAGGAAATGAACAAACAGACAACTATGAGCCGCCTCGAGAGCTGGGAAAACACCGAGCCAATCCCTTTGCGGTGAATAAAAGCTTCCAATCCATATCCACTGGTCCTTCCTTTTATTTTTACTCCTTCCCTTCTTCTTCTTCCTCTTCCTTCCCCTCTTCCACAGCACAGCACAACAGCCAAACCAGCAATTTCTACCATAGATCTCATTCGTTCCAAGAGCTACGAATTGCATCACCGATCACAAAGACTACTACACACTGTACCAAGTATCGATGCGTTATCCGGCCAGAACGACCTTTACCTCGGCCCTGATGCCCCCCAGACGTCAATGCACTGCCTGCGCGGAAGACATACCAGAGCACCATCTGTATCGCGCACCTTGTTGGCATGAATACTGTCCATCGTGTCTGGACCGACAAGTCAAGGTCTCTTTGACCGAGGGAGGCCAGTTTCCTCCAATGTGCTGTTCGCAGCCTTACGACTTGAGACATGCCCACCAACACCTCCCGCCTGACACATTACACAAGTATGAGAAGAAAGTGGTTGAGTTTGCAACACCCAGTAAGGTCTACTGCTCCCGTGAGCGGTGTTCTGCCTTTATTCCTCCAGCATGGATCAGCTATGCAGGGGCCAGGTGTCCCGACTGTGGACAGATGACTTGTGCGAGCTGCAAAGGACCGTCCCATACAGGTCAATGTCCGACCAATAATGCTCTCAACCAGCTTTTGGAGACTGCACGGAGGTTCAAGTGGCAGACATGTTTTGCTTGTAATCGACTCGTGGAGCTCCATTCTGGATGTAGGCACATCAAGTTAGTCAGATCTTCCTTTTCTGTCGTCGTGCCCCGGGTTGTTACCCCTATACTAAAGCATGATATTGGGACTTAGATGTCTTTGTGGCGCGGAGTTCTGTTACGACTGCGGCTGTGGATGGGTGTGGTGTCAGTGTGACACCAGGGAGATTTACCAAACCATTGAAAACACCATGCGTGCTCCCCATGGAATTGAGGCTACCTTTCCAATGATCGAGACCGTGGAAAATCTCCTTCCACCACGCTTTACATATGAGACATATGAAGCATCCCCTCGCAGAGTAGTGCCCCCTGAACAGCCTCCCAGCGATCCGACCAGCTCAAATGGTAGGATAATCTCTAGAAGGTTTCCTCAAAGTCCCCCGTTGTTCGGAGGAGCTCAGCCATTTGTCCTTCGCCGCGAGCAGCAAGCCCAAGCACTCAACAGTCCCCCTGCAGGTGGCTTTGGCATTAGTTCTAACTCATGGGGCCAAACCCCGTCTAACAACTTTCATACGGATTATCCCCCCCACCCGAATCCTTTGGACCAGGGCTAACCAACAAAGAGCCGCCTTTGGGGCGATTTGCACGTCCCTGGACCCGCCGTGCAGCAAATGAGACAAGACCTCCAAGGGTACGATCGTCGTGCTTTGCCATTATTCCAGAGAAATGCACTCGAGTAAAGTGAGGTGTCGCATTTGCTGCTACGAGGTTACTTTCTGGCTTGCTTTGGTTTGCTTTTTCTTTTTCCTTTTCTTTTTCCCTTTTACAGCACCGTGGGCAAAGTGTGTCCCAGCATCTGATATCTATCCCAGTATCTAAGATTGTTTATCGATTACACACTTTGGGTTGAACATGTTATCAGTACATTCATGAACCACGATGCCTGTCTCGGTGAATGTGCTTGTACCTAACTTAGGTGATAGACAATTTTGCTCTGTAAAACCTGAGCGCAACTGGTCCATGATTCTCAATGAATGACATCTCTATATGCGATGCATGGTTCTTGCTAGATACACGAGTCAATGGAAAGGTAAGGGGAGCAAAGGCACCTGCGGGTATAGTATGCGTCGATCATGGGCTCTCATTTCACAGAGAAGCTTCGCCACTCAGATCACGGCAGGTGGTCGGTTCTATACCTGAGGACTGATGAGGTGTCGTGATGTCTGTTTCTCCCCCCCCATTTACCAAAGCAAGAATGTCACAAGTAGAGCTGCAGAGAAGATTGAAGCCTCTGTGTCTGACCGCGCTGAATGGGATACGGTTGTGTTGGAGGAAGAGTTGGAGGAAGAGTGTTGAAGTTGGTGGAACCATAACATGGGATGGAGCTAGTGCGTTGCATATTGTCATAATAACATTTTACCAATCCATTACCATAAAATAGCATCATTGGTCTAGTGGTAGAATTCATCGTTGCCATCGATGAGGCCCGTGTTCGATTCACGGATGATGCACTAAAATTCTCTTTTTGCAGTTCCACTCTCCCCAACTGCTTCTTCCAATTTTGATCTCTTACTGGCAAATACGTGGCAGTACACACAAAAATAGAAAGATCGATTCCACCATTGGGTTCTGTCAAACTATATACTAGATAAATGGTCAAGATCCACAACACATAACTCGCATCCACTGTATGCGTCTAGTATGCGCCCTTCCGAGCCTCGTATTTGGGCTGATCCACCGACTCCACCCCCTTCAACGCCGTCAAGACCGGAGTCTCGTAGCCCAACTCCAAGCCTTCAAACTTGGCACCTCCCTCGTTCTGCGCCCACACACTAAGTGCAACCCAGTTCTTTCCCTGGTAGTTCAAGATACCCTGAGGAACCGGGAAGCTCGTCTGGGGTCCGATGTTGCTCACATACTTACCGTACTGGTAGCCGTTCACATACAGCTGCGCCCGGTACGCGTCGGGAGTAGTGGTGTTGGCAAAGTTGAAGAACAATGGGACGTCCCATCCGGTGGGCAAGTCGAGCTCGAACTCGGCACTGTAGAACCCAATGCCGGGCTTGGAGAGACCGTCAAGGGGACTGGCGGATTTCCATTTCTGGCTGGGAGGCTGAGGCTGGTGGTATCCCTGGCGCTCAGCGTAGAGGCCGCCCTCGTTGAGAGGACCGCGGGTCTTATCCTGGTAGTCTTCACCACCCAAGTTGCCCGTCAACTTCCAAGAGATGTCGCTAGCGTCACGGCCGGCCAGGTTGTAGTTGAGAATACCACGAGGGGCTTTCATCAGCTCGGAACCGACGGTCCAGTCCTCATCCAGACCCATATTGTCGACGACCACTGTAAAGACGTATTCCTCGCCAGCCTTCAGCTGAGGAAGAGTGACCGTCTGATTGTAGTCGGCGTAAATGAAGAGACCGGTGAAGGAGCCGAGGAAGGTTTCATTGAGCCAAATAGAGCTACCAAATCCAGTACCACCCTGAGTGTTGACAGTGAAGGTTGTCTCGCTACCGCTGGCGACGAAGTGACCGCGGTAGAGCAAGTAGCCGGTGTGGAAGCCATAATCAGACGAGTATAGCGAAGTGGGGGTGGTCAGGGGGCGGAAGGTGTTCTTGGTCTCGGCAAGATCGGCGGCTGTCCAGAGTGAGTCGTCATACGATGACTGAATTTCAGGAAGGGTGTCGAGATACTTCCAGCTCAAGCCCTTGAAGCTAGGGAGGGAGATCTTAGGGGCGCTGTATTTGACTTCTGTGGTCCAGGCACCGTTCTTAGCAACTGTGTGACTGGTCTTTTCACCATTGATGTAGAGGTTGCTGGTGGTAGCCGGGGCCCCAAAGACTTCAACTGGGGTAGTGGCGTTGAAGTCGGCAGTAATATAGAGACCGTTGCCCTGAACGTATGCAGTTCGCACAAGGTATCCTGCCTTGACAATGATGGAGGATGCGACCGCAGCCTGAGTGCTGAATTCTGTAGTAGTGTCCTTACCCACTTGCGGCACCCAGTAGTTGTATGCAGTGTTCCGGTCTATCTATCGTCAGACTTATAACATAGGAGTGGTATCCTATTGTCTTACCTAGAAGATGGATCTTCAAGTCTCCAACCTTGACAATCTGGCGAGTGGTGGAGACGTCCCATCCAATGATGAGCGACTTTCCACTCTGCTTGGAGGAGATAGCAGATGCACTGCCTTCAATGACAGTCACATTGGACCTGGTGTTGATAGCAAGCTCATGGTGTTCATTAGGACCGCCGTACAAAATGAGAACCTTTCCATCCGAGAACTTCTTCCAGGTAAAGACCTCAGCAGTCGAGTACAAGATGTTTGTTCCAGAGACATCATAATCAACAACGTGAATCTTGGAATCGCGTCCGTTGAGGGTCAGACTGCCTCCCAATTGAGGTAGTGTCAGGCTACCGGCACTGGTTGGGACCTTCAGTTTGTACGACGTAGAAGCTTGGCTAGTGTAATCCGAGTGTCTGACAACAAAGAAAGAGCCAGTGTTGTTGTTGCCGATCAGAGGAGTGACGGTAATGTCCGAAGTATCGGCATAGCCCGAAGTGGTCAAGTTTCCAGGAGTGGCCAGGAGGTAGCCTGGCGAAGCTTTGGCAAAGTTACCAAGAAGCTTGAGCTCGCTGTACTTCTCCCGGGTGAGGTTACGGGATTCGGTGATGGGTGATCCGTAGTCGTAGGAGGTGTACCCATTTGCGTAGCCGATGTTACCCCAGTTAGTTCCTCCGAAGGTCTTCGAAATAAGTTAGATTCAAAATCCGACAGAGATTCCTTTAGAGCTCACCATGTACAAGTTGAGAATGGCAACACCGAAGCTGAAGTCGTTTTTATAGAAAACTCGTTCGAATTCGTGGTTGACGAGGGCAGCACATTGTGCGAACCCAGGACCGCCCCAGGGATCGTACGCGCCGGCTTGGAACTATTGATGGTGAGAAATGGAAGGTAATTAGAAATTGCACGACATACCTCTACAAGAGAGTACGGGGTTGAGGGACTCTGCTCGAGATGAAGAGTACGGAAATTGGTAGGCAAGTTGCCCGCGGGCCAAGTGGAAGGGTTTGCCTAGACAGCGTTAGGTAAGAACTTCCACAGTGCAAGTGCGACCACAGTGCAATACGTACACAGTCAAAGCCAAGCCTAGGCAAGTTAGTTTTTATCTCGTTAATCAGAGGGCTATAACTTACGGATAGCTATCATGACCGTAGATGTCCACCGAGCCCTCGCCGCTTCCTGGAACATTGTGTCCACTGGCCGAGGCATCATTGCTGATGAAAGGAATCACGACCCCGGCATTGCGAGCCTGATCGAGGACGTATTGCATATAGACGGGATCCGGAAAGGTGACGTTTCCAGTAGAGCCAGAGTATTCGTTCTCAGGCTGGTAAAGAATGATAGGACCGCCATTAGTGATTTGGTACTTGGCAATAGTGGCGGCGACGTGCGCGGCATAGCTAATGATAGTCAGAAATGCTGCTGTACAAGGGTAAAACAAAAGCTGGGCCATACTTGTCAGTCGACTCAAGGTATGGTTTGTCACTAGACCGAAGGATTCCATTGACTCGCTGCAGCCAACCTGGGAAGCCTCCTCCGGAAGCTTCCGCGTTGATGTACGGCCCTGGACGGGCGAGAAGGTAGATGCCAGCCTCAGAGGCGGCCTCGAAAAAAGGTTCAAGAGCAAATATGCCGTCCGCCCTGTATTCGCCAGGCTTTCCTTCCAGAACTGCCCAGTCGACGTAGAAGGAGACGGTGTTGAAGCCGAGAGCCTTAATCTTCTGAAAGATATCGATGTGTAAGGAGGGAACTGGAATCCTATTTCGACGGTGAGAAGCAATGCGAAAGTAAGCTGCAAGTCAACTCACCGGAAAGGGTGGACCTCTCCACTGAAGATCATGATTCTCTCGCCATTGATGAAGAGAGACTTTTCATCCCATGTGACCTTATTGTTCTCAATTAGCCATGTTTCATCACCTCACGTTCGAGCAACATACATATTTCTGAGACAATTCCCGCTTCGCTGCGTCGGGATGCTCGGTAATAGTGAAGCCATTGAGGTGATGCTTGATGGACGCACCTGCTGCGTGTGCTGCCAGCAAGAGAGCTCCACAGAAAGGGAAGAACCTCATGATGAAAAGAGTTCTTGCCGCAAACTGCACCAACCAAGAGCAATGGGTAATGCACGACCGCGCTCAACGTGATTCAGAGCAGATTGTCTCCTCCCAGACAAGGGGTCAGTCACGCATTTTATCATCCATGCCTCCCCTCCTGCAACCCCTCCTGTCTAGCTGAATAATGCCGGACTCGTTGGGATCTTAGCCGGGCCACGGCCCTTGTTTGTGACCGCATTGACTTGACATCATTTGGCGAGACGGAGACGAAGAGGGGAAGTGGAACCTTTGCATATTAGACGGGTGGTGCTAAGGACACGCGTGAACTAGAGGCAATCAATAATTGATGAGAAAACAAAGTGAATTTTTTAGTGAGCGGATGGGATGATGATGGCAGGTTGAGCCACCGGGAAAGGCGGGCTGACGATCCTCCACAGGGGCAGTGCCTGGTTGGGTTAGTCTCGGCTGGTGCAAATGGTGTGTCGCGGGGGAGTGTGTCCCTGTCCCTGCCCCTGTCTCCGCATTCGCTTCTGTCCCTCAATTTCGCTCCTCTTTTTCCCTCACAGCTTCTGCACTCGCCTACTTTAGGTGGTGTTGGTCCGGTTGTCAATGCCTGATTGTGAATGCTCATCTGCAGGAACCTTCACTCGCTCTATTCGATTGCAGCACTCATGGTATTGAAGCGAGGAAACGGTTCCTTGCCATGGCGGAAGGACCCTGGACCCCGAACCCACTCAGTCTCAAGCTTCGCCGACGGCTGGACTATAATGTGGGGGTGCCACCGGAGAATTTTGGTTTAATTTGTGGATAAATTCGTTGCTCACTGCCTGTCATTATTTAACATTGATCCTAACTTTCAATCTCGAATCATGCCACCCCGCATCTCCTCTCCCAAGAAAAGATCAATTCTTCTTCCTCAAGGCAGGAACTTGAGACAACATAGAAGCCGCGAGACTGGGTTGGTATCCTTAGGTCTGGAGGGAATGAATCGAATTGCATACCGGTACAAGTCACAATACACTGCTTCCTACAACTTTTGCAACATCCGAGTCAATCGTGAGCTCAATTGCATCATCATGGCCAAGCTACTGAATGCACCTTGTGTGCCCGCCACTCACATTGATTTTCCCGACATTCATCCGAGACGCAGCAAAACTAGGAACCCCTCACACCGACATTAACCGCGAAAGTCAAAGAGCAGGACAATAGATTCCCAGTCTTTCGACAATCCGCTTGTTCTGGCACGGCTAAACCGAGCTTACGTCTACGGAGTAGGTAAAAGCTTCCAGAGTTTGGCCCACTCAATGGACCCTGAAGATGCTGCGTACAATATTTCCCCACCTGTGTCCGCCAGCATTTCTTCTCACTAAGAGCACCCGCGATGGCTAGTTATCACCGCGAGTCCGCAGACTGACAAGCTCCCGCACAACTCGTCTCATATCCTTCGTTGCAAACTCGGCTGTTGGAACGCAACCTGAATTTTCTCCGGAGAGCGGCCGTGCGTTTCAGGCATATAAGCATTTAGGTAGGAGACGGTGCCCAGCGGCAAGCTACCGAAGAGCAAGTACACTCCGAAGGGGGATGTGTCCAGAATGATTGGGGTAATGATTGCAACCAACCATTTGTGAACAATCATGCTCGCGTGCCATCAGTCACGAATTGCTGAGAATCTTCGGAGAGGAAAAGGAAAGGAAGTCTTACAAAAGCCAACGCTTGTGCCACACAATAGGCCATTGCGCGCACATGCGCCGGCCGGATCTCACTGGCGTAGATTTTGCTCATGACTCCCCAACTGACCGAGTATGCCAGTCTGAATACATAGATTGCCGTGATAACCACCCACCTTGCCGCGCATGTTGATGTACCACTCCAGCAGCATACAGGCTTCCGATGAGGAGCATACACGCCGCGAGAATAAGTCCTCCAGTGATGGCCAACGTCCGACGGCCCCAGCGTCTGCCAGCAGGAAAGCAGGAATGCTGACGGCTAAAATTAAAATGGCCGAAACGCCGGGAACTACCATGCCCAAGACAAACAGGCCCAACACTGTTCGCGGTCGATATGCTCGAGAGAACAAAAGTGCAAAGCTCTGCCATGGTGACAGATTGGAGAAATGCTCAGTAGAGGTGAAACTGCTTTCGCCCTCGTCTAAGGGAAATTGAAGACGTTGCGCAAGGAGCGCCATGCCTCAGTGCGCCGCCCGTAAAGGATGAGCCAGCGCGGGGACTCAGGGACGGTGAGACAGCTAATGACAAGACAAGAGGCTATTACGCACTGAACGATAACGGTAATTGCCAGGCCATGCTGGAGGGAATGGCGACAGTATCATAGCAAGTGAAGTACCCAGCACAGGTGCCCGTGACAGCCAGGAACTGCGGCAGTCCTGCAAGAGTGCCGCGGGACTGGACGGGAGCTATCTCGCAAATGTCAACGCTCATGGGTCCCAAAAAATCCCTTGACCCGCCCCAGCTAGTGCTCGAACTGCCATGAAGAGTGCTAGCCGCGGGTGCTATGCCATGAAAAGGCGATCCAATTCCAAACAATGCTGCACCGAGCAAGATATTCGCGGTCGACCAAATCCGTCCGCCATATGACCGGCTATAAGGGATGTAAGAACACCCGCTAGCATCATAAGCGCGACTGTGAATCCTGAGAGGAATGGAGATCATGTCCTATAGATCGGCTAAACTGCGCCAGGGAGAGCAAAGCGCCGATTGAGCCTGTGTCAAAACCATTGGAGAAGTTCCCGATGGTGACAAGGATTGAGGCGAAAACGTAATCTGGAGGCAAGCGCACTTTCATGGTCATATGAGAATAAGTAGATGAATAACATAGAAAGACCCGGGAGTAAAAGGATAGATCAAGGTATAAGATTGGTGGGGAAAAAGTCCCTACCCTTGTTTTCGCTTATTGTCGATTTGTGCTCGACTTAAGTTGTATCAGATGCGGGGTTGATGACAACGTCTCTACATTTGCTATATCATTATTAGGCCACACCCGGATTTGAACGAATGCAGTAGTACTCCATCGTTGTTCAGGATAGGTGTCGCTGTAGCTGATCCCGTCTGTGCACCGAAAATATTAACATGGTGGAGTACAGCCTGCTGAACACCGAACTCCGAGGCCGAGGCCGAAACCACTAATGCCGTCTTTTGAGCCTCTTCGTGACAGATTTATATCCAAAGTGATAATTTCAGACAGAAGGAGCGCAGGCATGGAATGAGCAAATGCTGATGTGTCCTTAGACTACGCGCCAGCGATATTTCCCATAAAAGAAGGGCACAGAGCAATAATCATGAAAGTGACATCCTCAAGAAGTCCATAGAATCCCGGGCCACAAAATTGATGTTTTCCGTGCCTTCTATCAATAAATCGGTCGGAATGATTGAGATTCATGCCGTAGTCCGACGTCCCGAGAAAGTCCTGCATCGTTGGCTCCAGGAACGCCATCTCCATTGTGTAACTCGCACTTTGTGAGGGTCCGATGCTGTGGGTCTTCAGCGCAGGGTCTACTGCCGTAGCTAGTATTGATGGAACTGATTGCCCTGGTGTATGGCTACGGGGCTCTTCTCCATAATGTGTATCATCTGATGTTGCAGGTAGTGCTTGTTTGACGCGCCTGAGATCTCCAGAGAACTCGGCAGCGGCGAGATTCCCTTGGTCGCTCATGCGGTGCAAGATTTCAGTGGCCGTTCCGAGGGTCTCTAGGTCTGCAGGGTTTCCAATGGACGGAAGGAGACCTGAGATCACCAACGCAATGCAGTAGGAGAAGAGATACTGGGCATAAAAATAGCCATACATCGGCAGGGAGCTATTGACCCATTCTTCAATGATGAGGGAGTGCGAGTGCCGAGCGGCGTGAATGCATGCCTCGCTGATTGTGATCACGGGCTGTGGAAGGTGTTCAGCATGTACTCGTTGACCAGTCTGGCACAGGCGTGGAGCAGAATGGGACGGGTGGCTAGTATGACACAATAAGCTTGTGATGAGCAGATTGCCTTGGTCTTCGTAATAGTCGGGAATGTTTACCTGATTGAATTGTAGATGCGAAGAGACAATGTGCTTGGGAGGTGTGCTGACCCCCGCTGCAAGCGCACATGGACTGGGAGTGATTGTAGCCAATCTTGCAGAGCAAATAACAGCTGCTGTTCTCGTTGCAGGAATGGTTCTACATGATGTTTGCGGCCGTATATCTTGTCGACCGTCTGTCCTATGATGCGCGACAGTGTGATGCTAGCAACCAGATATGCGGTATCAGAAAATTGCTCCTGAGCAGTATGATCATCAACGTCTGTTGGCAAGCCGACATGGATGTCTTCGTCACGGATTTGCAATGGAAATCCAATTTTTGACGTAAACATTCGGTCAAATACGTAAATAGCCCACCAGAGCCGTACTCTGTGTTGACATTCTATAGGATCCGCACAATGTTGCGCGGGGATATTATGGTTGACTTCAAGGACTAAACCCAAACGCATTGCGCTGCCGATTAACATGTATCCTGAATGTCTTCGGTTGAGGAAATAGGAGTATAGAGACTTTTATCCAATTAGATGAGCATTTGATGACCGATGAGAAAGTATCACTTACCAAGAGCAGCAAGCTCTCCACATGGACCATCCCCAGGCGTTCCGGCATGATGGGTATGAGACTCATTGCCCGAACGTAGTACTTAGTTTCTGGGACCCGGCTAGAGGATGATGCATTCGACCGGTAGGAATAAACCTCTCCTAGGGCAAAAAGACCAAAGAATTTACATGTGAGAGCGGGATCATCTCGCAGCGAGGAGTTCGATAGACGGAGTCTAGCTGACCGAGGGTTGACTTGCGAAGAACCAGATGGTACACACGGCTTAGCTGATTAAGGCAACAAGGACTAGTAGACGAGCTTGGGCAAGCCCAGGCCACTGAGTGGCGCCTTCGAGCAAAGAAGACTCAGACGTGTACTGGGTTCTCGCGACGTGAGCTGTTTTGGGATCACCTGTCAGGAACTGACGCAGCCCGTCGAGAATGCTGTGCATGCTGCTTCTCCCATATAGACTGGAGGGGCATATGAGTCGTATGGGTAAAACCATGCGCGGTCTCCGCGGAGTGGATTCTGCACCGAGGGGTAGGTCTCTGGAGGCGGCACAGGCAGCTGTCCGGAGCTGGATGGGAAGCTATTCGGTGTGCTGAGAGCTCGTAGCTGTTCTTTTAGTTGGGAATTCTCGGACAGGATCTCATCGATGTAGCTGCGCACGGTTGTTGAGAATCAGAGTTGGTAAAGACAGGGAAGTCAGAAGAGCGCTACCTCTCCTGAACTTTGAGCTTCCTATCACGAACGGCATATTGACAGGAATCCCCACGTCCAGCTTGTTGGCATCGGGAGCAAGGCTGTCCACCTGAACACATTTGACTTTGAGAGAGTGGCAGCAATTGCAACTGTGTCAATGACCATGCCGACCATGCCAAGATCCAGACAATAAAGGAGCAGAGCCAGGCGGCCACAGGAGAAAGTTAAGAGTACCAAGTTGGAAGTATCGAGTCAGCATAATGCTACCAAAATCTGGTTTCGTGCTAATTTCAGCTTGGAAACCCCTTCCAAGACCTTCAGTGTTGGAGAGACAATCAACGATTACGTCTTAGCGAGCAGCCAGAAAAGCCTCTCTTCGATACAATTCGAGCTTACACTTGAAGGTAACAAGACTCTTCTCCTGCCATACGGGTTCGTCATTAACAGTTAGACAGGCAAGGCGAATGTACAGGTGAACCTCAGTGAGAACGCTACTCCACTACCGCAACCCACGGCCTCGACCACTTTCCTGCGCATGTACCAGCCGCTCGATGACACATTCGATACAACAATAGGCAAGAAGAATTATGACGCCGGGGTCGAATATCGCGTACCATTCGAGTTTGTGGTTCCTTCTGAGCTGCCCGTTCAAGCCTGCCAGCACACCTGCCGCCATGAACAAGTTCGTGAACATCTCTCCCTTCCCCCGAGCCTAGGGACACTCGACCAGCGAAAAGCCCTGCAGCACAGAAAGGATGACCTGACCCCTGTCACAACGTCTATTGTCTACAATATCACGTTTCGTATAAACAAAAGGTCCACCAAGGCCGGGACAACCACCTGCATTGCCAAATGGCATCATCCCATAACCATCCGTCCTTCCGGCGTGGAGAGAGCGCCCATGCTCGTGCCCACAGACAGCAAATTCTATAGTCTCTGACGTGAGGCTCCGATCACGCGGGGTCTTTCAAGAGCCCTGCAGGGCACACTGTCAGCTCAAGCGGTGCAGCCCACAGCGATCTCGCCAACAGACTCCCTGTTTATACTGGTACCCATCGACCTGCACTATACGGCATTGTCGGATTCTCCTCCCCCAAAGCTATCTGCCATCAAAGTCCAACTCCAGGCGACCACCTTCTCCAGCATCAAGCCCTGGTCAGACCTCCCGGAGGTGACGCTTCCGACTACATGGGCCCGACACCAGCACCGTTATGTGCATACGGTGTCTCTAGGAGACATGCAGCCCGGCTCTCTGGAGTGGCAGCCGAAGTACACGATCGACGCATACCCACCATATCCAAAACAACAATCCAGGCACTCAAGAAGCTACCCAGTAATCTTAGCTACCCTCCAAGTTTCAGCCATTGCTTCATTTCGCGGGCGTACGCCTTGAAAATGGAGCTTCAGTACCGGCTCCCGCGGGCATGGGCGAGGAACAAGATATCGTTGGCTGTTCCGCTACAGATCTTGTAATTAGCTTTTTCTTAGACACTTCGAGATAACTACCTACTACATGTACAGTACATACTACTAGTATTTATAGACTAGACAAAAGCGTTGCTCACTGATCCATTTCTCTCCTTCAACAACAAAGCCTAGTACCACTATACTATTTTCTAATCTGACCTCCAAGGAAAATCTCTACTCAGTATAACAGGGCGTCCGACCCTGTGCTGTAAAGGCACTGATGCACTCATACTTCCCCCCCGCATTGCAGGCCGTCCCGGCCGTTCCGTCCGAGTTGCTCACCCCATCCGTCCGATGAGCCTTGGCGCAGATCGAAGCACAATCCAACTCGCCGATGCTCGCGTCCTATTTGTTCCGAACCGCGTCAGTAACCGGCGCCCTTTCAGTTGTTTGTTGCGTCGTTGATTGGTGATCTCACCGAGTACACGCAGCAGTGACTGCTGTCGGAGAACTCGCATTGGCAGTAGGTGCATGCCTCGGTGGTGATGGCGAGGGCGCTGAGGAGTGCCAGGCCGAGGGTGACGAGGCGGACCATTGTTGCGGGCTATTGGATGAGGAAAATGAGGGGATGGAAGGAAGAGTGAGCTTTGTGAGGGGAGATGTGAGAGCTGAGGGATATGCTTGAAGAAGGCTTGGGGAGAGGGTAGTAGGAGAAGGTCTGTCTTGCTCTTCTTATATCGCAGCTTGAACCGAGAGATGAGCGAGTATGATCTCGGTGGTAGGATCATGGTAACTAGAGCAGCGACCAGCTTGCGGTACACCGCTGCTTCTGTCCTCGATATCTTGCATGACACTGTCTTACATCTAATGAAGAATCACTCTCCTCAAGGATGATGATTCCGATCGGAGTGGATGTGTATCTCAGCGCACAGTACTACTAAAGTACGTAGCTATACCGGGTCTCCGAAAGAGGAAATCAACGCGGTAGGACTACTGCAGCACGAAGGATTTCCATCACAAACGAGGTTTAGACTAAAATAGGAATAGTATGTCGGGCCGATGAGGAATTGGAGCAAATACGATCGGCCCTGTTTTACCAAATATGGATTCGGCACACTCTAAATAACTTTGGCTTTTGAGGCTAAACTGACACTAGCGCTGGCGCGGAGCTCGTAGGTCTCTCTATCCTGTTCGGAAATATGACTTAATAAGTAAGTGTTCCAATGGTGTTGTTCCGTCAGGGTGAGACAATTAATCTATCCACGCATCCTTCACTTTCTAGGTGTAGCCTGCGTTATGCGGCGGGTTTCTTGTCGTTGGAGATACTCCTGGTGCCTGATATCTTGGGGTTAATGCTTAGCCAGAGCTTAGCTTCATAGGCTTGTCTTACAGTCAAAGTCTCCTAACTCTTCTTGGGCTGCTCGAATTTCCTTTTCTGTTGATTTTCACGGGTTGACCCGACAGAACAGTGCATGTATGAACACGGTCCCCTTGCGACTCCGTTGAAACAAATAAAAATTAATAGTGTAGCCTATGGAGTATATGACATTATAAGAAAAAAAAAGATACAGTTATGTATAATTGAAACGAATCACTGTCAACCAGTGGCTTGGAAGATAGCAATGGAGATCGAGTAAGTCTGCAAAAAGGGGGTTTGTGAAACTGGTACATAGACCGATCACCTGAATTCACGATGCTCCACCAACTTAGCAAGAAGCAACAGAAGGATAATTCTTGCAAGCGCTGGACTTCTTGCCACCAGTGACCTGGACATTCTCCCAGGTCCAATCCTTGCAGCTACCGCTACCGCACAGGAGGTAGACCTCCGTCGCACCGCTGGCCACACTACCAGTGACACCGTCCAGCGTAATATCAGTAATCGACACACCGTTCGTGGGATCGCCGGTGGGCTTGCCGTCTTCGTAGTCCTGCTGGATGACGACTCCGTAGTCGGTAATACCGGACATAACAATATTAGTATACTTGACGTCAGACACAGAGCCGGTGGCGCCGGAAATGGTCTTGATGCGGACAGCATTCTCGGAGTTAGAGACGGTGGAGTGTTCAATGGTGACATTCTTGACGGTGTTGTCGGAGCGGCCTCCGATGGAGCCGATGGAGAGACCGTGGCCGCCGATGCAGGTTCCGCCGGTGAAGTAGATGTTCTATGCAGAAGATTGTAGGTTAGTATTGGTTCTAGCCTAAGTTAGGCTAGAAGGAAAAGGATGACATACCTCGCCAGAGTTGATTGCGAGACAGTCGTCCTGGTTGTGGACCCAGGGCTTGATAATATTCACGCCAACCGAGTTACCCACGTCGAATGCGTCGGTGTTGTGACCGCCCAGGCTATCACCATCAGCATTGTTGATGGTGATATCCGTCAGAGTGATATCGTTGGCCTCAATGCTAAAGGCCATGAGAGGGGTATTCTTGATCTGAAGGCCGGTGATGGAGGAGGAGTCCAGATCATGGGCATAGAAGAATTTGGGCTTCTTCTTTCCGTTGGTTCCCTTGCCATCCCACCAGCGAGAGCCATCGCAGTTGATGAGGTGACCGGAGGCACCACTGACGGTGATACTAGTACCGCTCATTGAGATCAGGGGACCTGCCCATTCCTCATAACCAAAAGTGGTGGTGCCCTCGAAAGTAACATGAGTGCCGCTCTTGAGACCAGTCAAGTCTAGTGTGGTTCCCGCGGGAACAGCGATGTTGCTGAGGACGATGCTCGAGCAGCCAGCCTTGCCGGCCTTAGCAGCAGCAGCGGTGGTGAAAGTGCAACTGCCGCGCGCCTCAATGGGGGAGGCAGACACGAGGGAAGCCCCAGCAGCAGCCAGGCTGCAGGCCAACAGAGTGAAGAAAGAAGGCATGAGAGTTGAATGAAAGTGTTCTCAAGATCTGAGAAATGAAAAAAGAATGGAAGGACTGGAGGAGAAAAAACGAATGAATAGATGAGTGGTCTGGTTTTCTTCCTCTCATTCGGGCGAGTTGTCAGTGCCTTATATAGTTGTGCCGTACAACAAAACAGTATGCCGCTACCATTGATGTGAAGGTAGTATGAGCAATTTCACCTACCCCCTGAACCGCCGGGAAATGTCTCTCTTCTTTCCAGCGTTCAGTCTACATCAGATGGAAGCTAAGCTTTAATGGCATAGCTTGAACTGTCTGCAATCAGGCGACCAGATTCTTCGGGTCAGCCACCAGCCGTTTGTCCTCATCTACTACCACTGAAAGTGTTTCAAGGGTCTGCATGGCGTCTGCTAGGCTCGCCTGAAGCTTCCCTGGTTCTCTATCGGGACTAGTCAGGGTTTCTAACTAGTTTGCCAGGGAGTCAGGGACCAGCCATAAATTAAGCAAATCTACAAGCTTCGGTCCAGCAGTCTTGGAAAAAGCTCGGCTATTCACCGAGGTGGCCCTTGAGCTTCGGTACATTGTTCGAAACCAGTAAAACGGGAGAGCATCCCGTTTCCCTTCTTTGACGAGTACCGATGGTTTAGCCACCAAGGAATAGTTTTCTGGCTGCTAGCCCCCACGTACAGGGGGTTTCGTTATATGGATTGTCATATTTAGGGCCCAGTTGCTGCTGACAGACGGGATCCATACGCGTAACTACTGCTTGCTTCAAGCCTTCAACCGCTGAAGAACCTTTGTGGAGTAGGCTTGTAGATGATTGTAAATGAGAATTAATGAACCTCTGGTCCCTGAGACTCAACCTGGAACCGCCTAGTAACGGCCTTTAACCATATCCGGTTAGTCAAGGAATCACACGGAAGTCGTTCGTCACGTCGTGCTGCTTAGATAATCTCTCTCCCAATTTGGTTTGACTCTCACATGATGATAAGGGTAGGATTGCAAGAGACAGCAAAATACATCCATGATCTATCCAGTTTAACTTTACCTTCTCTCTGCAGAATCATGGGAGAATCTCCTCGGGTGAAGGAAGCTTTTGATGCTGCCACCAGGTTTCTAGATCCTGTCCTTCAGAGAGGCATGCTGATCTCATCGCCCTTCCGTGCCGTCCATGTCAAACGCTAACCTACCAATGTAAAGAGGAGATCCAAAAACACCGTGGGAAGTCCCTCCTGGACATCCTACTACGCAGCGATGTCTCGAAGGCATGTGGAGATGAGACGTCAAAACGAAGAGATGTCATTGGTGTGGCTTTGCAGAATCTTAGTTCCATTCATATTGCCTTTGTGACGCCGCTGAGCGATGCCGAGAAGGAGGCCCTCCGCCACAGCACGGCAGACACAGAGGATGCCGCACTCGAAGATGCTAAGCGACGCCGGCTTCTCCATGCACTCCTGGACTTGATTTCTCTTGAGGGCATTTACCCGTCGCTTTCCGGGGGAGTTGCGATTCCACTTCAGAAAAGAGTCATATCGGTCCTGCCCGCAGGCGTCATTGCCCAGCAGCATCAAGTGCCGCCGCATGAAAAGCCGCAAGACGAAACTCTTCTTGAACAAGTCATAGTAGTCCTCGCAGATATAGTGTTCGACTCACGGCCGAGCATACAGCCTGTGGTTCGTGGTCGGATTCTCAGTGATATGATCAGCGGACTTGCGGACCTAGGCTACAATTCTGTAGGGCTACCTGACGACAAGAAGACCCATTACCAGCATGGCCTCGCAAAATTACTTGAAGAGTCAGCTTCCACCACATTGCATACTTTTGTACTTACTAAGTGACCGCAGAACACCCAGCTCGGTAGTCCTTTCGACTCTCTCTCCCTTTCTCCAAGCGGATCCAGCTCAATGGTTCAAAGCGGTTGTCTCGGGATTCTTGTCACGGCTTCCCCTACGGCCGGACGGAGTGCTACAGATAATGATCTTCCTAGCGTCCCAACTGGCACCAAGCCTTGGGGTTGAGGCGCAAGCCCAAACTTCCAATGGCCCTCGATTCACGGTACAGGCGATCATGCAAACATCCCGCCTACTTTCGTCTGTGCCGCAAGGAATGGACCCAGATGAGTACTTTACCACAATAGCTCCCCAGCTTCTGGGCTTAATGGATGGCGAGGATCCAGATTTGCGGAAGACCGCGGCATACGTCGTTGGTAATGGTATCTTATCGAAGCGATCATACGGATCTCGTGGAACGATAGGTCACTCAATATTTCTAGTACCTATATTCGAGGCGCTTACTGCCTGTCTCAGCTCATCCTCGATGCAATGGCTGACTCCTAAGGACGAGGCCAAAAAGTCATCGGGGCAGGTATTGGTGGACGAAGCACTATTGACGCTAGCGGTTGACAGGTTGACCAGCCTAGTCCTCCAACCGCCAAATCCAGGTCTTGTCAAGAGGATTGTCTATCCGGTTCTTCTCCCGCTCTGGGGACTTGCATGCTATGCGTTGGAACAGGAGCAGACGGTGCTGCATGAAAAGGTGCTGACTATCTTGCAAGCATACTTTGGTCTCTCGGGTGGATTAGAGCCACTGAAAAAGCTAGTCGATAACCTGCTCTGGGATGGTGGGTCTGCCTGGACTTATGGCATCGAATCTCAGAAGTCCATAATACTAGTTAAGCGTAACCCTGCAGAACCAGGACGCAATGTAGTCCGTCTTGTGGACACTTTGCACTCTCGTGCAAAGCTGTTCCTGAGCATATTGGGTGCTGATTCGTATAGCGAGGAGAGAACGGGCGATATCTTCCTCTATGTCAGCGAGCGTTGGCTTGTGAAACGCCCTAGCGAACCAGAGACACTCAACACCCTGAAGCTAACAGTGGAGGATGAAGACTCCAGCGCCATCATTCAAAAGCTGGTTAGTGCAAAGCTGGCCGAGACACTTCTTGACAACTTCAAGGATACACTTTCTCGTCGTCCTCTGAGGGTGCTCGAACTCATCACTCAGATCATCGATGGCGAACTATACGGAGCCGATGCCCGAAAGAAGAAGATTACCAACACAATAGGCGGAAATGTCTCTCTTTCGTCGCTAGCTAATATCGTGAACACCGAAGAGACCGGACACGAGGCAGACGCGGACTCAGACTCTACCGAGTCGCTACCTGCTGTATTCAGTCTACTATCGACAGTCCTCGCATCACCCGACTTCACTACCTCCCCAGAAACAGTTCCAGCGCTGGAGAGCCTCAAATCCAAACTTGACGAGCTCATCCCCCATCTCCCTCCCTCCCTAGCCAAACCCGGCACCACCGCCTCCATGCTCACCGAAATCCAGCTCATGTCATCAAACGAACAGTCCAGCGACAGCAACCCAGCGGTCAAAACCTCCTCTGAAATCTCCGACTTCGAGACGCACCGTCGAGCCCTCACCAGCCTCAACTCCGACCTCGCCCCTATCCAAGCCGAAGGCTTCTCCCTCCTCTCGACGCTCATCAAGAAATCCTCCCCGGTCCTCGACATCCCCTCAACGCTGACCCTTCTCCTCTCGATCCTCACTGACCCCTCAGACGAGCCCCTCACGAACGACGAATTCGTCTACCTTAACGCCATCAACCTCATCGGCACCCTCGCCTCGCGCCACCCACGCACCGTTCTCAAAACCTTAGTGGACCGATACATCGACCGCGCCGAAGTCAGCGGCAACCAGATCGACCAGCGCCTGAAGATCGGCGAAGCCCTCCTCCGCACCGCCCAGGACCTCGGCGAGGCCCTCACCGGCGAGCCCGCCCGCCTCCTCGGCGAAGGCATGATCACCGTCGCCAGCCGCCGGGCCCACAAGCCCGAAGCCCAGAAGGCGCGACGCGAGCGTCTCGCCGCCGAACAACGCAAACGGGAGCGCGAGGCTCGTAAACAGGAACGGGAGGCCCAGGAAATCGTCATGCCATCGGGCTGGTCACTGGGACCAGCCTCGTCGTCAAACAACACCTCCTCCACCTCCCCCAACCCTCTTATCGAAGACAATGACGACGATGACGACGATGAAGAGAACCACACCCCCGAACAACTCGCCCAGTACGCAAACATCCTCGACGCATGGGCCGCAGGCTCGAAACATGACGCCGAGCCGGACGATCTCCGCGTACGCGCCTCGGCGCTCTCCATTCTCGCCACGGCCATCCAAACCAACATCCTTGGCCTTGGACCATCCATTATCGGCCCTGCGGTGGACCTGGCGCTGGCGACCCTGACGATGGAGCCCGAGGCGGAGAGTGCCATCCTGCGCCGCGCCAGCGCAGTGCTCCTGCTCGACATCCTCAAAGCTATGGATACCGTGCGCGAGGAGAAAGGCACCGAGGCGCTGGGATTCGGGTTCTCGTTGGCGGAGAACCAGGAATCAATCAGTCAGGCTGGGGGGCCATCGACAACAGTGGTCGGGAATATCCCGCGGATGCTGCGGACACTGAGCTTCGTGGAAAGCTGGGAGACGGATTCGATTGTGCGGGGTCATGTTCGGGCTGTGGTGGAGAGTCTCGAGGCGTGGCTGGAGAAGGCTTTGATGTGGGGGATTGGGGCGGCCACGAGGAGTGCTGGTGCTACGGTGGATCAAGATGGGGAGCCTAGAATGGAGTTGGGCGATCGCATCGCGGGACTGAGCATTGATCCTTTGTCTGGAACGCGAGAGGCCAGTCTGCGGCCCAGGATCGAGGAGATTGAGTAGTCGTGGATGGTCTTCTTATTTACGTGATGAGTTTGGCTATAACTGATATGGAATGAATTGGAGATTGCTTCGGGTTTGACTCTTCACGTTCCACGTTCTCCGTCCTACTATCCTCTCTGGCCATACTTTCTCTCCATTCGGAAAGTCCATGGATATCCATGATCCATGGACATCATTAACACGATTTTCAGAACAGCATTGCTTTCATAAATACGAGCAAGAAAGTAGTCAAGTGTCACCTACTTTTCAGCGTATGTTAAATATGTTCGTCCCCTTGACGCAGAATGTTTCAAATCACTGGCAACGACGACGGCATTATGAACTAGTAGAAAGTAGAAAGTGGAAAGGCAATCATTGGAAGCTGTTCTTCCGGCTCAACTATCAAATCAAATCATCGCCTCAGGAAAAATCTTTAAAAGACCAGCGAGAACAGGCAGAGCCCCCCACCCTCTTCAGTACGCCTGTTCCTTTTGACCACCCTTAGTACAGAGAAAAGATAAAGCCTTAAAAACGAGTTGGTTCTTGGTCCAACCCAGACCAGGACGGATGAAAAGCAACTACATCAGTAGTGCTGATACCCGCGGCCACGACCACGGCCTCCTCCGCCTCCACCACGGCCACCACGGCCACCACGACCTCTGCCGCCACCGCCGCGTCCTCGTCCAAATCCACCACGACGTGGGCCTCGATCGCGAGGTCTGAAGTCACTGGGTCGAGGGCCTGCGGCCATACGAGCTCGACGTTCCTCGTCACTCATATGGAACTTGTTCTCGATTCCAACCAGCTCGCAGAATTGCGCGGTCTGAGGGTTGGTGTACTCAATGGGCTGTTCCTCCGTATCGAGCGGAACGGCCGGGTCGTAGACAGGGGCGGTCAGGGTGAAGTTCTCAGGGACATCTAACTTCCCAGGCTTGACGACATGCTCGTCCACCCATCTCTCCTCCTCCTCAATCAACGGCTTGTAAACCTGGTCTCCCTTGTCAGCTGGGGGTTTGGCAGCGGGGTCACCGAGCTGAAGGTCGTTAGCAAAGGCGCGGGTAATCGCTAGCCATTCTTTGTCATATTGCAAGCGATAAGGACGTTCGGCTTTAACCCCTTCTTGTTCAGAGATGGCCTCGATCTCAAGAAGCTGTAAAAAATGGCGCTGAGGAAGACATTTGTCCAGTGCCAGGAAATTAGTGGTCTTGTTGATGATCGCTTCCGGCAGCGGCCCGTTTAATGGAAAAGGATCAGGCTGAGGGCGGGCAAAGCTGGCAGGGAGTTGATTGCGAAGATCTTCAGAAATGTCAGTTCCACTGGCTGTTTCAGTCGGCATAGTACTCTTTGCGTCATCGCTGGAGGCTGCTTGGTTTGAAGAGGGTCCATCGGTTCGTTCGGGCTCGGACGTGGGGACTTTGTCTGCGGCTGCTTCTGCATCGGATTCGCTATCCAAATCGAGGTTGATTTCGTCGGCGTTCTTCACAGGTTCGGAGTTGTGCTCGGTTTTCAGCTTTTTGTTCGCGCCGTCGCCGGTGTTCACACGTCGGGCTCCGTCCTCGTCGATCTCGAATCTTTTCCATGTCAGATCATGCACAACATCTGGTGTCAATGCGGCATACTGAAGGGATTGATCTGCCAAATATCGAGAATTTTCAGCCGCCTCCGCTTCAGCAGCTACGGCGTGGAAGTTATTCCATGCTGATATCTTACTTTGGGTATCACTGGGATCACTGGGATTTTCCTCCTTAGATGGGACTTCCTTCGCTTTATCGACATCGGAGGGCTGGGTTGCCGGTCCCGCGCTCTCGTGCTCGTCCGAAGGTTCCTGTTCCGTGGCAGAGCGAGCTGGGAGAGTACGCTCGGTCTCTTGGTCGTCATCGGGAAGTGCAAGAACTCCAAGGATAGCGCCGTCTAAACCGAATTGGTGTGGGGCACCCGATGCGGGAGTAGGATCGGGTTGAGGAGCTTCCGCTTTTCTTTTAGCACCGGGATGTCCAGGGATAACATACTCTCCATGAGCAACTATGGCGGCGAACTTCACATGCAAGTGGGCGGAGAACCAATGAGCCGGACGTAGTCGGTCGAGAACGTACTTGGCGGCAGGATTGCCCAATTTGCCACTGTCAGAGTCTTCACGGAAGCCTCTCTTAGTTCTGAAGAGGTATTCTGAGTCTCCGCAGAGTTCGACCTGCTTAGGCCAGTCATGAGACAAGCCCAGGTCAACCTGGGTACGAACCTGAAGTAGCTTCCGAACATCTATCTCTCTCACGTGATAGATGCTGGATATGTCGTCCCTGTTGTATGGCAGTCTCTCAAAATGCGGCTTTCTGTAGTCGTAGCCCTTCCAGATACCAGACATACCAGCAATGCGAAGAGGGCCGAATCGCAGGACGTTCGCTGCACCCAGGTAGTAGATATTAGGGGCAACCCACCCTCCGTAATAAAGCTCGAAAAGATGATTGCCAGCCTCATGGTTACCTCCAATGAAGACAGTCAGGTAGGGTGCGGTGCGCTTTCCACTGTAGTATTCGTGAAAATCACCCATCTCCCTGTACTTTAGCGGTACGGACATGCAGGTAAGATCATTGGCATTGCGGATAGCCTAGATATTCAGTTGAGAAAGCGATGAACCACCGAAGCAAGAGACGGAATCGGAGAACGATTTACCTGAAAATCTCCACCAATAACGACCAAGTCGACGCCATCCCACCCTTTCAGAGTTGCAGCATTCTCGACTGATGCATAAATGTCGTTGAGACAACCATGTCCCTATGAGAACTCTCTGATTAGTATCGCTATTCCAGCACGAGCACCTAGCGCAAGCAGTAGAGCACTTACGCAACCTTCGAAAGCAACCCTGACAGAAGCAAGACTCGAGGTTTGCTGGCCCTCCATCACACTGAAAATAGCCTGCTTATGGCAAAAAGTACCCAGTAGATCTAGACAGGCGGAAGAGAAACGAAGAGCGGAGACGGGGCAAGTGATTGTCAGAAGCAATTCTCTCGAAGAGATTTTCCTGCACGCTGAATCGAGGGAATCGAGCAGCTAAAAAGTGAGGGGTTGAAAGAGGTGAAAGAAATATACAAAACAAAGAAACTTCATGGGCGAGAAGGAGAAGACGAGCGAGAGCGAGAGAGCAAAGACAGACAGACAGACAGACCCGACGGAAGCAACAACAAAGTAACACCGCGGGTGTGTTTGATTTGGTTGCTTTGCATCCCGCCGATTCTCTTTTTTCTTCGCGCACTTCACAGTTGATTCTCTCTCGATTCACTCTCTCAATTCACTTTTACCACCGGACCCATTCTTAGTAGTGAAAGGAAGGAAAAGATGCCACTCAGCGACCACGCGCCTAGGCTAGAATATTTGAAGCGCTCAGCGAGCTTTTTAGAGGCCGCAAGCCCTTCGACCGCGGCCCATCTGATGTCAATTCACAATACCATCATCCGCAATGAGTTCAAGCCCTTAAATCAGCGTCAACAAGATTTCGCTTGTGGAGCATGTGGATGTATTCGAAATCCCACCTCGACGAGGACTGTTCAGGTCTCCAGAAGGAAGAAAAAGCTTGCAGGCTCGACTGGCGAGGGGGCTACAGTTCTGATATGTCTGCGCTGCCGTCGACGCACCGTCAAGCCATCCAAGAAGGAGTCTGTTCGGTCCACAACTCCATCCACACCGGCCACTACGGTGCTGAACCCAAGCCCAACTCAATCATCAATTTCTACGATGTCTTTTTCCGGACAGTCAGCTCCTGCACCTGCGGATCAGAACAAGGGCGCCAAATCCGCCGAAAACGCCAGTAGCAAGAAGAGAGCAAAGGCTCGGAAGCAAGGTGGTCTGCAGGCCCTCATGGCATCCAAACAACAGTCTCGCCCGGCCTCGTCGTCTCTTGACCTCTTTGATTTCTTGCAGCAGTAAAGATCATGTGACCCCATAACTGGATCACGTGACTGTTTCGGAGAATCGGCAGGTCATTCCGGACCAGCGCGGGGTTCCCTCGGCTTGTTCTGTTGCTTGCTATTCAGTAGGTTATCGGTAGGAGCTCCCAAACACATCCGATTGCTATCGTCACCGAACTAAAGCTGCTGTTCCCTTACCTCCACCCTCCGCCTTCTTTGTTCCTTTCTCGCAAATCTTATCTACCAGAGCTCGTACTTCAGAATTTACCCAGCGTGCTTTCTCGATCGCTGGTTGCCCCGCATCTCGCCGGCACGATGTCGACTTACTCTCAAGATGACGAGCACGATCCCCAGGCAGATGAGCTCCGGGAAACGGCCCTGGTCACGCTGGAAACCCTTATCAGTGCCTGCGGTCCTCAGATGCAGCCCTACATGCCTTACGCCGTCAATGCCGCCCTACGCTACCTGAAATACGATCCTAATGTCGCCGAGATCGAAGACGAGGAAATGAGTGGCACCCAGGACGACGGCTCCGAAGATGACGTAACAGAGGTTCCTGATCTGGAGGACGATGATGAATTCGAAGACTTCGAGGAAGAAGGAGGATACAGTGACATTGATGACATGAGCTGGAAAGTTCGCCGATGTGCTGCTAAATTGCTGTACAGCGTTATCGCCACCTACGGTCATAGCCGCGCGCTAGATGAAGCCTCCCTGTATCAACAAATCTCGCCCGCTCTAATCGCTCGGTTCAATAAAGAGAGGGAGGAAAGTGTGAAGCTGGAAGTGATCTCCACCATGACTGCTCTCGTTCGGAAGACTGGGGACGGCTCCATGATTATAACCTCCAATAGCTTCCTTGAGGCTGTGGGTGGCTCAAAGAATTCCCGAAAACGCAGACGGCAAGACTCCGATGCAAACATGATCGACTTCGAGCCAGGCCTTGGCACCTCCTCCGCTGTCAGCACTCCGATTGTGACTCCGACCTCCCCCAAGTCTGGCGCTCAGGCAGAGTTGGCCCGCTCTGTGCCTACAATCGTGCAGAGCATTGTCAAGATGTGGAAGCAAGCTTCTGTACCCTTGAAGCAAGCAATCATTGCCTTACTCAAAAGCTTGGCTCTTGTTCGCTACGGGGGCTTGACTGATCATCTACAACAGATTGAAGATCCCATAGCTGATGTTCTAAAATCTTCTATCTCCAGCAGCTCCTCCGCTTCGCTCGGTGCTTCTGCTAGCACTGGCACTCTTCAGACTGAAACATTGAGTCTTGTCTCCGCCATCGCTGAAACACACACGTCGGATTCTCTTCTGCCTTTCTTGATTGCTCTGATTCCTGGCGTCATTGCTGCTGTCAACGATCGTAACTACAAAGTCAGCAGTGAGGCACTGGGCGCCGTCGAACAGATTGTGAAGGCACTTACGCCTCCTCGAGTAGCTAACACGTCCCAGGACCTCGCTACTCAGCTGGAAAGATTGTACGATGTGGTACTCGCACGCATCACTGATACGAGCGCTGATTTAGAGGTTCGTCAACGGGCTATCCATGTCTTCGGTGTGCTATTGGCGCGCACTTCTGGTGAAACCGGTGCTACATTCGTCTCACTTGACCGTCGTTCTAAAGGCCTTACAATTCTGGTTGATCGCCTGCGAAACGAGACCACCCGCCTTGCAGCAGTTCGTGCTGTCGATGATGTTGCTGTTCTCTGCACTCGTGACGCGGATGTCAGTGCCTCTTGGGTGAGCGAAGTCACAGCAGAGCTTGGAGCACAGCTTCGAAAGTCAGATCGTGTTCTTCGGGGAGCCAGCTTGGAGGCTCTGCGCAGCCTTGCTATGAATCCTCACACAAAGGACCATTATGAACCCAACACCATGAAGGAGCTGGAGGACTGCCTTCTGCCACTTATAAGCGCCGAGGACTTTCATTTCCTCTCTCCCTCGCTTATTATCCTTGGGAAGCTTATACCTGGTAATGCTTCGCTTCTAGTTAATGACAATCTGGTTGCTGCACTCTGCTCTGTTGTCCTTTCGCCTCTCGTTGGAACAGTACTGAAAGCCATGCTCTTGGTAGTCAAGGTTATCGGAGAGGAGGGAGCTGGAGCGGGATTGATGAAGAAGCTGTTGCGCGATGTCGGTATCAACGGTGACACATCCGTGGTTGGGCGAGCGATTGGGACGCTCCTCGTTCATGGCGGGCCTAATTTGGGTGTCAAGATGGAGGATTTCATGACCGAACTGCAGACCGCGCCGGATGCTCAGCGGAAATGCCTTGCCCTCGCTATCCTTGGCGAGATCGGTCTTCGAATGGGCGCCAGCTGTTCGCTAACTCCGCAGCTTTTCATTGCCCATTTCAACTCCAAGTCCGATAAGGTTCGTTTGGCTGCAGCCGCAGCTCTTGGGAACGCGGCGGCGGGCAATGTCAAAGCATACTTGCCTACCATTCTCAGTGGTCTGAAAAAGGACGATCCGCAAAGCTACTTGTTACTTCACTCTGTGAAGGAACTGTTACAGCATCCCGAAATTGTCAGACCCGATCTAGCTCCTGCCGCGGCCAAACTTTGGCAAGCACTCCTTCTTGTCTCCGAAGTAGAAGACAACCGTGCTGTTGGCGCGGAATGTGTTGGTCGTCTGGCCCTGATTGACCCGGTTGCCTACATCCCTCATTTCCAGGTAACTCCACCCTCCATCTTTCCACAACATAATTAGACCTCAGATTAACGAAAACTTAGGATCACCTCTCCAACGCGGATGCGAGTATTCGCGGTGTTGTTATTTCTGCCTTCCGTTACACACTCTCTGACTCCAGAGATACATACAACGACGTCCTTAGACCCATCATCGTTCCCCTCCTCGTCAACATGCTCAGTGACAAAGACCTGGGCAATCATCGTCTCGCACTGACGACTCTTAATTCCGCCATTCACAACAAGATGGACATCCTCGTGCCCCACCTTAATGAACTCCTTCCCGCCGTCTTCGACGACGCCAAGCTCAGACCTGAGCTCATCCGTGAAGTCCAAATGGGGCCTTTCAAGCATCGCGTCGACGATGGCCTAGAACTCCGCAAGGTAAGCTTATAAACCAAACCTCATATCTTTCCCATCGCCACGCTCAGCTGCGCAAAATAAAATCCACTAACGACTTCTTTGCTTGTCAAGTCCGCTTACGAGACCCTTTACGCGTCCCTCGACACAACCTTCACCCTCCAACACATGGGCCAATTCTTCGACCGCATCCTCGCGGGTATCGACGATGAACAGGACATCCGCACCATTTCGAACTTGATGACCTCCAAGCTTGTCCACATCGCGCCCGAAGAGACCCAGCGCCACCTCGATGCGCTCTCGGAGCGGTTCACTGCCATTCTCTCCTTCAAGCCCAAGGAGAATGCCGTCAAGCAGGAACTCGAGAAGGCGCAGGAGGCCTCGTTAGGTGTTCTGAAGATCAGCCGGGAGCTGATCAAGGCTTTCCCTAGCGCTGAAACCTCTGCGGACCACCACAAGTGGAAGGCTTATGTAGAGTGGATCCGGAAGACCTTCACCTCCCAAATGAAGACTCTGGAGGCGGAATTATGAGATTTCTGAGCTCAAGCCCTTTGTCTGAGAGGGGTGACTACATAGTTATAGGCAAAATGGACCTCAAACGACGTTACCAGGTTTAGATTACAAAAGCATTTTATTACCACAATCCACAAAGGACACGTGCTCTATGTTCGGCGATACATCTTCGCATTAGTCTGTCAGTATAGGGAAATCAAGATGATGGCGTTGAGCAAGTTCCTGGGGTAACATCTATATCAGAAAGCGACCCGCCACTGAGCAGTCCGCCAGCTGCATGCATATGGTTAGTAGATTGAAATCTTCACTTTTCAATTTCTACAAATATACTAAATCAGTTTCCAATTCGATTAGAATAAAGGCTTCATTAACAGTGTCCTCCTCCAATGCATCAATCGTCAGCGAACCATCACGGCCATCGTCGTCTGTCGCCCTGGTTATATGCCCAATGATCCGTTGCACTCGCTGGGGTACTATACTGTCAATTGCATTTATGGGAAGCAGAACGATCTCCCTTCCCTTTCCGAGACAACTTTCTCGGACCGAACTGACAGCACCTTCAAGTTTGAGCGGCGTCCCGCACACTGCTATCCCCAGTCTCCTTGAGAGTCACAATGAGTTACTCCCGAAGAAGTACGTGACCTTGAGTTCCGAGCCCTGGGCAACTCGCTCTCTTCTGCATGATAGTACCTTCCTCAATGCTGATATCGAGTGCAATTCTCGTCCGTGCTTGGTGGAATCCCGCATTTGCGGTGCTGCACTCAAAAATCTCCATCAAACTCGGTCTTCGCAGTTACCCTACTTTCTACGCGCCATCCTCACCTTGGACTACTGTGGCTTGGAGCAGTTTGCTCGAACGAATGTGGCAGAATCTTTGGCTGTGCAACACACGTGTAGGGACCGGTCGCGCAAGATCATCTTCCAGTCTCTAAATAAACGGGAGTCCCGCAGACTTTTCTCGGCACGTCGATGGTGGATTTATACAACCGCGATGACGAAGAATGTCGTTTGTTGTTCATCACAGCCACTGAAGGCTACAATCGACCTCCAATCTGGCCCTGGAAACCCCCTCGGCGCTACGCAATTATGTGAGACGAGGCTGATGTTTCGCGAGCACGTCCAATGTGCTGCTACGCATTGCCTGGAATACAAGCCCTGGGAATGGCTCTGATCAAATGGCATTGCCGTTCAAGCACCTGGAAAGGGGACGAAATGCAGGCAAATGGCCAAGCATTTATCTTCCACCACCGCAGGGGAATCCGCCCCGCCCAGGAAATTTAAATATGATCTTCTCTCGCAATCTTAATCTGAATCTTTCACGCGGGGGATTTTCCAATGGTTAGATTTAACGTGATATCCTCGGAACGAAAAGCCGATCTATTAGGATTCTTCGTCATGAAATGGAGGGCACTGATTACGAGAAGCCTGATGATGCGGACTCAGATTGGGAGGAAGAGTGGAGCCCAAAGGAACAGGGAGTTGAGAGCTGGCTCTGAACGGTATTGAATGTCCCTGACTCCAGTCAGTCCATCAGGTCTTGTGACCAGGTTCATCTTAACCCCGCGGGTTCCTAGTACGGCGGACTTTAAAACCCATTGAACTACGGCGAGCCGCAATGATACATGAACAGACTTACCCTGCCATCATCAGTCAAAACATGATCCATGACTTTGCATTAACTAGGATTGCTCAATATCCAAACCCCCTGGGACCGCTCTTGGAGTCAGAGTTTTCGGCATTGCCCTGTAAGAAGGGTCTCGGATGCATTGGGTCGTCAGAAGAAAGTGATTAAGAATTGTATTAGAACAAGTAAGAACGAAATGCACACCAAAAGCCCAGGGGTAGTCCGCTCGAAAGTCAAATGCTCAAGTCACACAACTCCTGGTATGCAAGCCATGTGAGTAAGAAGACAGTGTGACGCCGCCCACCAACCTTGAAAAGGGTAAAAAAATACACGAATAGAATAAAACGAAGCAATCCATCGGTAATGCTGCCGAACTCCTTATCCTGCTTCCAAGATGACAGAGATGGCATGCGACTCATTAGGGCACTTATCTCATGCTGTGATTGCTTTCTTTTTGAGTACACCAAGCTTCTCAAGTCTGGCCCAGGCACGGTCCATGTCAGAACCATCCTCAAGAGACGGCCGTAGTTCCAGACCGTCGAGAATCTTGATAGACCCTCCACTTCCTGCATAAAGCATAAGCTCGAAGATACTGCGTCGCAATCGTGTCGACTCGTCCAAATGAGACAGGTGTTTCTGGTCGGCCAGGGGATCCGCTAATGGAAGAGTATATGGATCATGAACTTCAAGCTCTTTGAAAGCATCTGGTCTATCATCCTCTCCCAGAGTGACCATTTGGTCCACGTCGAAATCACGGAAACCAGCCAAAGCTGACGGGATATCAAAGCCTGCATCACGTAGAGGCCGGCTGTTCTTGGCTTTTAGCTTCTTTGGATTGGATGTTTCGCTCTTGATGACCGCAGTTGGATAGAACCGGAGCGTAAGCGGGTTCCCTCGGGTGTCGATTTTCTGAAGGGAACAGAGTCTTCCTTTGTTAGTTCGCCCGATCCGACCTAGGACTTGACAAAGACGCCTAAGTCTGGTGATGTTGTTCCCCGCAATCGCCAGTCTGGAAAGACATTTCATGCCCACCAACTCGTTGACACCCTTGAGCGAGTTGAAATTCATGTTTAGGACGACCACATTGGGAAAGCTTGTTGCAAAGTCTTCTGGGAGATATTGCAAGCTACATGATGCAATATCCAGAAGTTGCAGGCTCAGCAGGGCAGTAGATGGTGCAAGACAGCGCGGTGCAAGCCTATTTGAAGAAAGGAATACTTTGCGAATATCTTGCGTTAGACCCAAGTCGATGTCGAAGATACCGCCATTGGTACTACTCATCTGCTCTCGAGCAGATAGGATCTCCAAAGAACGACATGCTTCGAGCCCGGAAATTGTACTCAAGAAATTCTGATCGGCGTAGAAGAGCGTCAACGACGGGAACATGGAGATGTCGAAGCTGCGCAAGACGTTATTCGAGACTTTCAGTGACCGCAAATTAGGCAGAGTCGCAGACATAGCGAACTCATACAACTTGTTGTAGCTAAGGTCGACCACTGTGAGTGACGAAAGGGTATCGATATTGCGTATGGATGTGAGTTGATTGTGGCTAAGATCCAGTTTCTCGAGACGACTTCTGTGAGCGTAGCAAAGTGTCAACGACTATCAGCGATGGGGGTTTGAGCTTGGGAATACTCACAGCTCGGCTGTACCAAAGTCAAGCTCCTCGAGCTCATTGTTCTTCAATTCCAATTTTAGCAAACCATCCAAGTCATAAATCCCACTAATGTCCTTAATGTTGTTGTCATTCGCCTTCAGCTCCCGCAGGTGAATCAAATTGCTGAATCCATGAAGACTTTCCAATTCATTTCCAGAGACGTCAAGATATTGTAAATTGGTTAGATGACCCCAGGCTGTTAGGTTGGAAAGACAATTATCCTGAATATTGAGCGTCCTAACAGTGGCGGGCACGCCACTCAATTGGCCAATATCATTTTCGCACACATCCAGGTCTTCCAGGCAAGGACAGTAGTCGCAGAGTTTATGGAGTGTAATGAGTCCTTTGTGTCGGAGGACTAAGCGACGAACATTCTCCCAGTGCGGCTCCCACGGTTCGGCTTCAGTGATGTGCTTGAGAAGCTCTTCTGTTGCCAATGCGAAAGTCCCATGAACTTGGCGCAATGACGTGGGATGAGTGCGCTGTGCAACATAGCTCACCTCTAGGTGGAGGGACGGATCGATTTGATCGACAGTGAAGTCGGGTAAGGAGCTGAGGTGGAAGCTGTAATTGGTCTCTTGGCCACTATTCCCTAAACGAGCCACTGATGTGTCTGGGTTGTCTCGTTGTGACATCCAACCAACAGAGCTTGCGTCTCTTCGAACCAGACTGAGAGCCTCAGCAGATCCCTTCCGCTTTGTCTTTGTGCTGGGAGTGGACAATCGATGATCCAAGGATATCTGGCTGTCTGGTGATTCAGGATGACATGGGGAAAAGCTCGTCGGGGATCTTGAAAGGCCCAACGGACTGTTGCCAGGTACCTTCGAGGCTGCATGAGGCTGCAGGTTGCCTCGGGTTTGCAGGAGTTTCGCCGGGCTCTCGGCGTCGCTGTATGCAACTTGGGAGACTAAAGGAGACGAAAAGCTTATCGTCACAACACGGGCTTGCTGACGACCATTTGCTGAACGTTGAGGTGGCCGTGATAATCGACCTTCGTGAAGTTGAATCTCATGCTCTACCTCGCTGACTGATTTGCTCGTTTTGCGGGCGTCTGTACCCCAAGAGGTCACTTTGGTCTCGGAGTCGGAAAGCTTGGATTCTACGGGTGTTTTGGACTGCACGGAACTACCGTCGACCGAAGCACCCGCATCCTTGGTTTGGGATTGATGCATCGATGATTTCGTTGAGAGACGGGGTGAACTAAGTGGGCTCCGATAGTGGTCATTCTCGAGCCGAATAGAGTCTTTCGTTCTTTCAGGCGAGGTGGAGCTCTGCATTCGCATCATCTCTTGCAGTTCATCCACACTGAGATCAGGAATGTCTTTGAACGGATCTTCTTCACTATCTTCACCTTTGGGTTTCTCAGAAGTTGGTTCGGATTTCTCCCGAACCCACTGGTTCTTGTCCCGATCGTATGTCAAACCATTGATCTGCTCAGGGATCAGTCGTGAGACAAGATCTGATGATATAACACCCTTTGCATGCGAGCTTTGCGAAGAGCCCGTGGGGACCGAGCGAGCACTGAGGCTCTTAGACGAGACTTGCGTGTTGATAGTCAAAAGTTCAGGAAGGTCATCATCTTCCTCGGGCTCATCAGCTGAAAGTGCAACATGTTGACGGAAGTCGAAGCCAGAAGACCGTAAGTCAAGCTCAAGGCTTTCTTCTTCGTCTGTTTGCGCACCGCACGGTGCATCTATTTTGTCATCGGTGTGATCTCGGTCATCGTGGAGATTTAAAGACATCGTGGACGCGTTGACTCCGAAATCCTGGTCGTCCAGTTCTTGAAACTTCTTAAGGTGACTCAGGATCCGGGGGCTTTGTTGTTGAGGCTCCCTCAGTCTCCGCATTTCGGCGCCTTCGCGACTTGGTGGGCGAGAAAACTCTTCCCGAGTCGATTCGTCTTCATAGCTCCCACTTTCGTCGATATCTTCGGCTTCGGATTCCTCAACGCTAGACAGCCCCCCTGCCGATCTGCCTTTAGATCGAATGATGTCCATAATCTTCGTCGCCTCGTTAAGGAAATCCTGGGTCGTGATCGAACCCTTACGGCCGCCTTCATTGATACCGTTGACTCTGACTACAGGTATTGCACTATCCTCAGGAGACTCATGCTCAGCAGAGCCAGAATACCCAGATGGCGAATAGGTTCGACCTGATGAAGGCCGCTTCCGTGAAGCAGACCGCACTTGACTTGGAGTTGGAGTTCGCGGTCGGGGCGACGATCGAGAGTGAGCCGAAAACTGATGGTCTTCATACCTCACACCTTGCTGGACCAAGCTCCTCTGGAGCAAGGACATATTATCCGGATCCGGAGTAGGATTTTCAGGAGGCTCCTGTCTCGAATTATAGGACCTAAGGAATGTCCTGCGCCTCTTGGGAGTTGGATCCTTAACCGGTGTGTTCAGCATTGATTCGGTTTCCGATGGGTTCATCTCCTCAACCCTTGGCAGTCCTTGATTCCTTATAGCCCTGGAACTCGACGTGATATCCGACAGAGCCGTGGACCTGGACCCTCGGTGAGACCTGTTGAACTCGGAACCATGGCTATTTTGTCTATACGAGCGGCGCCTTAGAAATCTTCGCTCAACGGACTGTCGGCGCGGCGGTTGCTGGGTAGACTCAACCACCTCATCATTCAAGAACTTGTGTTCGTACGGACTCGTATCGGAGAAGTCGAAATTGTCCAGCTCACCGTCACCGAATTTGTTGATGCGGGGAGTCGGGGTGTTGCGCGATCGCGGTCGTTCATGTCTCCTCAATGGTGGCTCACCCAACGCCTCGTGGTTCACAGTCAGGAAACCCCTGCCTTCACCCTTACGGCGAGCTTCCTCTAATGGCGACATAGGTTCATCATCTTCAGAAAGACCTCCAAAGGTCTCTTCAAATTGACTCATCCTGCGTAAAAGATGATTGTTGGTGAAGGTGTCATGGTTTCCGAAAAGCTTCAGGGGGCTTCCTGAAGGAGGCATGGTTTCGGATTTATCGGCGCCGGACTGGGGGAGCTTTGGCACCCCAAGGTGGGCAGATGAGGGTCTAGGCAGCGTTGGTGGGTCGGTTAGAGGATTGGCCTTTTGGTAAAAAGGGGGTGAGCTGCGAATTCTTGAGCTTGCGGGGAGAAACGGTGACAGTCGCCCAGAGGGGAAAGGAGGCGGCGAGAGACGGATTTTTTGGAAGGAACCTTCAATGTTTGCATCCTCTTCCCTTCCCAGGTGGGCAAAGGCTCCTCTTCCTCGATAATCCAATGTTCCCATTGAAAGATCCTTGGGCAAAGAATGACTCGTGTCATCGAGCAAGTCGTCATCCGGGAGCGCATCTACCGCAATTTCTGGCTGTTGGTGGAATGGGAAACTATCGCTCGCACGAGATCCTGGTCGGGCGCCAGGTGATAGCTGTAATCTCTCGAGTTTATTCGTCACTTGTTTCAATGCCGATTTTATGACTTCCGATGTAGTCTGTCCATCGACTGTATTCGGATTGGTGAACGTGATTGGTGTAATGTCTTCATTGCGCAAATCCTCCATGCCGCTTGCGGATCTGTGTTGAGTACTATCAAAGGACAAGTCAGACGATTTGCCTTCATCTGGCAGGAAATCCTTTGATCCTCTTCTCTTGACTAGCGTTCCATTGCGCGAGTCCTGCGGACTTCCCTGAGGACTTCCCTGAGGACTTCCCTGAGGACTTTCCTGAGGACTTCCCTGAGCTTTCTGCTTGGGCGACAACCTAGGGCTGTTAATCCCTGAATATCCGTCGTCGTAGGCGCCGATTGAGGAGGGGTCTTGGAAACTGGTATCGTCGTAACCGAAGGGGGTGGTAAAGTGCCACAAACTGTCTGACTGCTTCAATCGCGATATCGCTTCGTCATGCGTCTTTTCGGTGCCCGGGGTTGGAGGTTTGAATACACTCTCCAGTCCAATGGGCGCAAACAAATCGCGCTGCTCCCCCGCGGGGATGACTCCGTGCACCAGCCTCCTCCTCCATTCGGGTGTACCATCCTTGCCTTTCCCTTTGTTTGGTCTCACTTGGACTGTGCTCTGTTGCTCTGAAGTGCCGGAAAGGTTCGAAACCGACCGCAACGGCGACCTCGTGTCCATGGCGGACTGCTGTTTACGCAGCGAGGGCGGGTTCGGGGTCGGTTTCGGGCTGGTTTTATTGGACTTCTCAGGAGGAGGGAGCGAGGATCGCAGCTTGGAGGGGGTCTTGGGAGTACGAGGGGTTTTAGGGGTGGGCGGTTCTCGTTTGATGAAGTGACACGGTCTGGAAACTTTCTTTCTGAAAGAGTCAGGCGAAGGGCGCGAAGGGCCGACGGAGCGACGCGCGGGGACTGGAATGCGACTAGGAGAGTTTTGTAGGCTGGAACCTCGGGAATGGATGAACAATGGAGACGGGAACGAACTGGCGGGAGTTCCAGGAGTTCCAGGTGCAGGGACTGGTACCCAGTCGTCTGTTAGATTCTCCAGCCATGGAGGGTTGTCGCTCATTTTCTGAGACCTTTGCGATCACTAAAGCTAGAGGGAAGGGGAGGGGAGGGGGGGGGGGGGAGCAGTTCCCTTGACGGCAGCGCGTCGCGATTCACAATGTTCCAGCGAATGCAAGCACAGCGGAAATTAACAGCTGCAGGGCGACCATGGGTCAAGGAACCCTCATCCAAGAATAGAAATATATGAATAGATGATTGACAGCATTGAATACCACCGATAGTGAATTAAAATAAGGATGTTGCGGGAACATGCGAGACAGAAGATGGAGGGGATTGGGGGGGGGGGGGCGAGAGACACTTGGGAATAATCAATAAGTTTATTGAAGATGCGGCGGCGGGAGAGAAACCGTCGACGGTCAAGCCCGATAACTAAACTAAACAGTGCCAACTGAACTAAAAGTCACTTAACTTGAAGTAGATGTGGTCGGGGGGCAACCTTGACTTTAACGTGACTTTAACCGTATTCAATCAACGATGATCTCTGGATCTTTCCAGTTTCTTGTTCCCACCTTTCTGATTTCTTTGGATTTTCCCCGCCCACGATGTGGAAGCTGTCAGTTGAATCAACATTATCCACTTTTTTTTTATGAAAAAGAAAAGGGAAAATCCACTTCGAGGCGAGACAGACACGCATGTGCACCTCAAAGACCGTGCTCTGTCTTGACGATCTAATTTTACCTTTTGTTCTGTCCCCGCCTCTTTCTGAGAAATGATCAGTCTCATGCCTTGCTTCGGGTCGAGCCAATTTCTTTTACTGCAATCCACTAGTTGCTGGCTACTACTGATTACGGAGTACACCACGGAGTGATTTACAAGCTGTATCTAGGCTGAATCCCTGGAGTCCGGTGTGTTGGCACTGGATCCTGTCCAGCCAATTGCGACTCCGATCCTGGCTATGGTCAACTTCGCGCCTGGGCAGCTGGATCATTTAAGAGCTCTTAGTCTACTCCGTAGCGCAGCGCAGATACTTCCAGCCACATGCTCGATCTTCGTACACACTGCGAGTCTGTCTCTGATGCATCCGTCCTGTTGACATTTTGTGTCGATGCGAGGGGGTCCATGAAGGAAGATACTGCACCAAGCCTGCAAGGTTGCGGCTTGGGTGTTTCAGGTTCCTCGACACAATTTGCCCCGGAGATCTGTGAGACTTCCAGGTATGTACCAAGACTGGGCGTTGTGGTGGGAAAGAGGGGGAAAGAAACTATACGTAAGATGGGCTCAAGACTGCCTCTTCCTTGGTAAGGGCGTATAGCTGATGCTGGTGTCCACATCTACGTACTTACTGTGTACTACTGCATGAGTAGGCGGCTCTAAGGTCCCAGGAAGTCCAGAGGCTGGTAGTAGTACCTAATAGGAGACATCTTACTGGTCGTACAACCCAAGCAGATCAGGATTTATTCTGGAACCGAGTATACTCCGGAGTAGAGAATCATAAAGCAGGCTGGTGTTATCATTCCACCCGTATGTGCCCAAGCACAACCTTATTCGGGATGGGGTTCCTGCTGGACCAAATCTGCTGCCTCCTTAAAGCCAGTTGTGCTCTGTGTGAAAATACCAGATAAGCTTGACTGATAGCTGCTCTAAGCACACCAATCACCTCGATAATAAAAAAAGATGAGTACTCCGTAGTTCACGTTGAGTTTCGAGACAGCTCCAGCTTCAGTATTGCTTATTGTTTTGATTTCAGGTGGAGCCGAATGCCCCAAAAGGGCACTTGTTGACGGGTGCTGACATAAGACCGCATCGACACGTTGCTGGGGCATCCACTCGACTCCACGCGTTAAGTGGTTTTTCTTCTCGCGTGACAAGCCCGGAGCTTAGACTGACAGCCAGACAACCCTGTCACCAGTTCCGAGCTGAAGCTGAAGATCCCAGAATGATGTTCTGACAACAATCTGTGTTGGAAGCTATGAGGGTCATTCTGCATTACGCACATTCTCTCTCCCCCGCCAAATGCAGTCAAGTGTCAAGCTGCTGCTCCCCTGAACCTCCCTTATCCGAACAATCAATGAATTCATCCTTCACCGATGCCACCTCGTCGCCCAATATCCCCGCTCTCGTTTGATTCATGCTCGCTAATCCCATCGGACAATGATTACGACTCTCTCGCCGCCTCCGATGACGATCTAGACCCAGCTCAGCGTGTTGCTCGCCGTCGGAGAATCGAAAAGTTTGCTGAAGCTTATCTACAAGATTCACCGCTGTTCCTTCTGTCCGCCTCGCTCCGCGGGCCTTTCGACAAAGGATGGAATAATCCCTGGAAAAAGGATAGGCGTAGCCCTGGAGGGCTGCAGAGGAGTGCGGACTTCAACCGTAAACGACCAGTGATCCCTGAGACGAATCCGCGAAAACGGCCCCTATACCACGAGTCCCGTGAAGTCGACGGCTCACGGCTTTCTGCGCAACCCCCCGGGAGAAACTCCTCCGCACCGAACACCGAATCCCACAGGACCCCTATTACTGGGTCCTCTAATAAACGAGCGCGGGCTGATAGCAGAGAAATACGAGTTGCAAGCGACACTGCCAAGGATACATTTGCCTCCAAAGGGCAAGCGACCCCGCACACAAATAGGGCATGGCTGAAGAAAGACTGTGCGGGAATCGGATTTCGAACTGTGAACCCGCCGACATCGCCTACGGCAACCATATCTTCTCGCCGTGAGGGGCCAAAGATCAGCACCATACAGGTACCCGGGACTGACTACCGGTGGCCAGTGCGGGATCATCGGAAAGATCTTAACCACCTGCGAGAGGACGACACTGGTGACCATCGTGTCCCGGACACTGTCAAGGTTCCTGCGTTCAAGGAGCAACAGAGTAGTCAATCGGATGCTCAAAGAATTCCGTCCGATGCAACAAATCAGGAGGGCTCGCTTTATGTCCTTTCCTCATCGTCGCACCTACCAAAATTCGAGTATCGACGCGCTAAGACATCCGGTCATGGCAGGCTTGAGCTTAAGTCTCCGGCTGATCTTCGAGAACCAGGAGATCCCCCCAGTCACGCCGAAATGACAGATATCAGCGACCATCAAGCCTGTGAGAGCAACCCCTCCCGCGGCGTCGCTCCGGCGGAGGCCATCAAACTTGAGTCGCCTGATCCTCCTGCCGCAGATGAACCACATGCACCTATCTCTCAACGGGAGGTCGTTGATGCCGCTAGATCGCGGTCCGACTCTCCAGCAGAGAAGGCTCCGTCCACTCATGATCCTGCAGTGAGGGGCATTAGCGACAAATTACCTTCAGCGCAGCACCAACCCCTTAATCCAGTCACCACACACAACGCCATCTCGCTGCACACGATCTCCGCGGGCAAAACTCACACTCAAAGTGATGGAGATACTATTCCGGACCCACAATTCAATACCCAAGCCGCTCTTCTTCATGCTCAGATGTCGTTCCAAAAGGATCTTGAGAGCCCCGAGTATACTCCCGCGCGGGTTCCAAATCCAGAATCAATAGCTCGCCACGATATCACACCGTTCTGCAGAGTGTCTACACCCGGTGGGTTCGGGGATCTTCCCAACAACAAGGCACCTGGGACGTGGAGAGGCCCCATGATGAGCACACAATACCTCATTGATGCCGTTACACCGTTCACGCTGAGTACCGAGAGGAAGAGGTCCAAGCCTCGATTTTTGACTCCACAAGATCATGAGTCTAGCACTATGCCAAGAAAATCTTCTCTCGCAGCGGCAGCATTGTCGTCGCCGGTTCCGAACTATGTCAACGACGACAGCCTGAACATTGACTCATCTCAGCCGCCAGACCATGCTGACCTGAATGATTTGACTGAAGGAGAAGATTTGGAGACGACCCTCTCTGGAACAATGCCTACCACCGGTGAGGATGGTCAGGGAGGCGTAATGGGTGCCGAGAGTTTCAATCTCAACGAAGCGATAGCAGAAGCGGGGAGCTGGCTGAAAGAGAGCTTTGACATTGGCCAGGAAATCAAACGATGCGCCTCCTCGAAATTCACGAGGTCGTCCTCCAGAGATGCCGGCCGGTCAGCGGTAAGCCTGGATGCTTGAAACATTATGCATGGGGACTCTGAATCAAGGGCAGTCGTTTAGTTAACGAGCCAGAGAAATGGCTTGGTTCTTGGTCTTTATTTTCGTGTACATTGAGCTTTTATTCCCTTTGCGTGCATAGCTTTTATGCGGACTTGGTCGCAACATAGATACACATTACGAGTTATGATATCCTTGTCAATATAATTTTCAAATTTTTTCTAGCTTTAAAGATTTCTGGAGTTTGAGTCTTCGTGATCTCATCCATATTTTCCACCATTAGTCTGCTAGCGAAGGGTGGTTAACAATTTGTGAGCAGTTGTGCATACAACATGTCACTATATACATGACACCGCGAGCTCACTGAACAGTCACAACAACAACCAGGACACATCAAGAGAAATGGCCCTCCGTAGAGAGGGAAGAAGCTGTTGAGAGATTGAAGCTTGTGATTGTTTGTAGTACATCGAACTTCATCAGTTTCAGAATTAAGAATCAAAGATTGTAAACAAACAGAAAGCCCCAGAATCAGAATGACCTCACGATCGGAGATATGGGCGGGTGGACGGAATTAGCGCGGCGGAGCTCACCTGGCGGACGGAGACTAGTCAATCTGGACTATCCAGGCAACGGTCACTCCAGATTGCACTTCATTCCATCCCGCCAATTGCTCTTCCCAGTCCATGGCGTGGGCTGCGTCCAAATGGCTTTGACATCAGTGAGATCAAACTGAATCTTCTGTTCCTCAGCTTCAGCATGTCACTAATGCGCCCGAAAATAGTGGAAAGCGTTCAACTTCTTCGATGTCTCGTCGGTGAAGCTGCCTGAGGAGAGCTCATCTATTCTCGGTGTATGTCCCCGCCGTGCTTTTGTTCACTTCTAGCTGCATCGCTTTGTCGACTAACACAGCTTTTGGTTATAGTCCGATATCCTCTCCCTCTGTTCCGGTTCCTCCAACCTTTTCCTCGGCTCAAACGATGGCTTTGTCCACATCGTCTCCTCATCGTTCAAGCTCGTCCGCTCCTTCAAGGCATCCGACAACGGCTCCATAGCACATATCAAACAGATAGAAGGGTCTTCGCTGCTTCTGACTATCGCAGAAGATCTTCCCAATGAGCCGATCTTGAAAGTCTGGGCCCTCGACAAAACCGAGAAAAAGAGCGGTGCTCCACGATGCCTGTCAACAACGTCCATCCAGAATGCGAGGAGGATATTTCCTGTATGTGCTCTACGCCACGTTCTCCGAGTCGAGGACCCAATTTTGATGGTCTAGGTTTCTGCGTTTACTGCGCTCGACGATCTGTCCCAGGTGGCAGTGGGGTTCGCGAATGGGTCTGTTACGATTATCCGTGGTGACCTGATTCACGACCGCGGGGCAAGGCAGCGCATTGTGTTTGAGTCGGAAGAACCGGTGACAGGGCTCGAAGTGCAAAATGGCCCGGTTGCGACCTTGTATATCTCCACCACTAGCCGGGTGCTGGCCCAGATCATCTCTGGCAGAAGTCAAGGTCAACCAGCGCGCATTCTGGATGATATGGGCTGCGCCGTTGGCTGTATGTGCCTTGACAAAGATAATGGTGATGTACTGGTTGCTCGCGAGGATGCAATATATACCTATGGGCCCCGTGGGCGCGGACCTAGCTACGCTTTCGAGAGTCGAAAGGACTCAATCAACATTTTCAGAGACTACATCGCATTGGTTTGCCCGCCACGCGATACATCGTCGCGCCCCGACGCTCTGCGCAACCTCAACGTCAGTCAGGCCGACGACATATTCAAGACGACCATGTTCACGCTTTTGGACACGGATTTGAAGTTCATTGCGCACTCCGAATCGCTTGTCTCTGCTGTGAAGAAGATCTTCATCGAATGGGGCGATCTCTTCCTCCTCACTACCGATGGCAAGGTGTGTCGTTTTCGCTTCAACCCCTGAATGTAGTACTGACATTTGACAGCTCCACCGGTATCGCGAGAAAAGTCTTCAACAAAAGCTTGAGATCCTTTATCAGCGGAACCTTTACATTCTAGCAATCAACATTGCCCAGAAGACTGGCGTGGACACTCTGCAACAAAACGCCATATACCGCAAGTATGGAGACTTCTTGTATCAGAGAGGTGACTACGACACTGCAATGCAGCAGTACCTTCGAGCCATTGACAATACGGAACCATCACAAGTCATCCGAAAGGTCAGGATACCTACCTATAACTATATGTAACCCGCATCGTGCTGAACAGAACACAGTATCTGGATACCCAGCGAATACACAATCTCATCGAGTATTTGGAGGAGCTACATGATCATGACAAAGCTACCGTTGATCATACTACTCTTCTTCTAAATTGCTACGCCAAGTTGAAAGACACGACCAAATTAGACGAATTCATCAAAGCCCCCGGAGAGCTAAAATTTGATCTGGAGACGGCCATTGCTATGTGCAGGCAAGGCGGCTACTACGAACAGGCAGCCTACCTTGCCACGAAGTATGGCGAAAACGATATGGTCGTCGATATTCTGATTGAGGATTCGAAGAAATATGCAGAGGCCTTAGAATACATTTGGAGGCTGGACCCTGACTTGGTTAGTATTGTCGCCTTTGTTTCTTTGATTATGCACTGACATCTGCAAGGCGTATCACAATCTGATGAAATATGCTCGCGTGCTGCTCTCCAACTGCCCGGAGAAAACAACGGAGCTCTTTATCAAGTACTATAAAGGACAATATAAGCCAAGGACCGAAGTTGAGCCGCCTGTTGAGCCACAAGCGCAGCAGAGCAGCACTCTACAGAGTCTCGCGGCGTTTCTTCCACTGCCTCTGATGAATGCTGGTGCTGGATCAAAGGGGGATTCAGTGGACAAGTCTCACGAAGCCAACGAAGAGAATGTCGAAGAAGTTATTGAATATCAAATTCCGAAGCCAAGAACCGCCTTTTCGGTCTTTGTCGGGCACCCTGACGAGTTCATCTCATTCCTGGAAGCGCTTATCGAGAAAGAGGACCTGAAAGACAATGAGAAGATTGACCTCTATACTACACTTTTTGAGATGTATCTGGACACCGCAGGTCGGAAGAAGGATGCCGCTGAGAAAGAGGCTTGGGAGATCAAAGCAAAGAAGCTCATCGAGGGGAAGGATGTAAGAAATCCAGTGCAGCCGGATTCGGTTCGTCGCTAATAATTCCTAGATACCTATATCCACATCGAGCGTTCTGCTATTGTCTGACTTGTCCGGCTTCCGGGAGGGATCCACCCTCGTCCGCGAGCAAGAAGGTCTGCGGTCAGATATCTTCCGTTCCTTTACATCGGCCAAAGATACGAATGGGGCTATCAAAGCCTTGAGAAAATATGGACCAGAAGATCCTCAGCTCTACGTGGATGCGCTTACTTATTTTGCTTCAAGCCCCAAGATTTTAGAGGAAGCTGGAGATGAACTGGATGCTGTGCTCAAACGCATTGACGAGGCCGGACTTATGACCCCACTGCAGGTCATCCAAACCTTAAGTAACAATGCGGTTGTAACTATGGGCCGTGTCAAGAAATATTTGAGCGAGAATATTGAACGCGAAAGGAAGGAGATTTCCACAGTGTGTCACCTATTGCGGCTTTTGAATGTTCCCAGCTAACACCTTCCTCTAGAACCGCCGCTTGATCAACAGTTACAGCAAGGAGACTGAAGCCAAACGAAAGGAGCTAGAGCAAATTGGTACCCAACCGGTGGTATTCCAATCGCGCCGCTGTAACTCCTGTGGCGGCGCACTCGACCTTCCCACGGTGCATTTCCTCTGCAAGCATTCTTTCCACCAACGGTGTCTCAACCGAGTAGATGAAGATGCAGAATGCCCGGCCTGTGCACCGCAGAACTCTACCATCAAAGCTATTCGGAAGCGGCAGGTCGAGTCCGCGGATCAACACGACTTGTTTAAAGGAGAGCTGCAGCGTTCCAAGGACCGATTTGGAGTCATTAGCGAGTTCTTTGGGCGGGGAGTGATGCGACCGCAGAGTACTATGGAGTAATGGGATGATCGCTCTTAGCGCAGCTTTGCATATGATGTAGATAGTTCGAGATGTGAGTTTCCTGGAAACAGACTTCCACCACCTCGAGTACCACCTCAGTTGTAACTATACACTGTAGTTAGTATGGTCGAGGAACGTCTTATCACCACGTGACTTCGCGTCATCCTGGGATTTTCGTATCTGCGGGACGCGACAAGCCACGATTATTGAGAGAGTCTTGAGTCTCATTACTGGTTTTCACGACATTGTTAGCACAGTTCTCCAGATGCAGAAGCCATGTCGCATGACCGCGTGATCCAGGACTCGGATGACGAAGACGACCATTTCATGGCACCTCCACAGCAGGAGACTGATAACGCCCACACCGACGACTACCTCCAAGGCGATGAAACAAGACACGAGGGCACAGAGCGCAACTATGACCCGAGTATAAACATCGACTTCGATCAATATCTCCAATCGCAGGAAAGGTCACTACATGGGCACTCGTCGCCTCAGCGTCCGTTAGACTCTGGAGGTGGATCTATGGGTATGGAGCTCTCGCATCACATGCACTTTTGCTGTACTCGACTCATGAGTAGCCATGCTGATCGAGAAGTGTTTGCAACAGGCTCGATGATGAATGAGATTGGCCTCGCCCAACAACGACTCTTTGACGATGACGAGGTTCAAATGATCGACCCATCGCGGCAGCAACGCCCACAGGCTGTCTACTCAGAATCGATGCAAACAGAGACGATACCTCTACAAGCAGAACAGAGTGGGCCCTCATACCCCAGCGACCCATCTCATGGCGTCCTCAATATCAATCGCAGCTCGTTACAAGCAGGTCCTCCACTGTCATTCATTACACAGCCCAACACCTCCAGCCTCAATCCCACTCCTCCCCCCCAGCAGTACGAGGCACCTCTATCCGATACCCCGAACCAATATCTGACGACTCACCCCCACGTCGAAGTGCCGATCCAGCCGTACCAGCAACAGTTTTCATCTATTCCAGAGTATGACGACTCTTCCTCCGGAGCCGTACAGACCTCTTCATCCTTCAACGTCTTCGAAGCCTCCCTCCCACCTCTCCAGAACGTGTATCCTAACGACCTTACCACTAATCATCACCACCACAACTTCCCCTACTCCGCGACAACCATCCCCACCGAAGTCGCACTCACATCTTCTCCTCGCCGGGTGGCCTCCCTTCAAGCCACCCCCCTTTCCCCGCACGATACCATACCAATCTCCTCCGTCCCGTCAGCTGCCAAGGCAAGCCGATCAAAGAGCGAAAGCCATCATCCGCATACCACACCAAGAAGTGATCCAAGCGCGAATCACACCACAGCGACAACATCACTTCTTCCCACTCAGTTGAGCACCGATGAGCTAGTCACCATCCAGATCCCTGCTGCCGCGGAAACACCGATTGTGGAAAAGAAGCGCGGCCGCAAGATGAAGCAGCAGCAGCAGCAACAGCAGGAACAACAACAACCACCCTCACCACTACCTCCCACAGAACCAAATGAAACGACCAACTCAACCGTAATCATCCTCGACGACGACAATGAAGGAGCTGGAGCTCCTGAAGCCGGTCAATCCACTATCAACATGCTCCATACCACAGAACCTCAACCCCTTTCCCTCCCCGCAACACCTGCAACCGAACCCCCCAACAACAACAGCAGTTGCAGCAGCAGCAGCAGTAATACAAAACCCGAGAAACGCAAACCCGGCCGCCCACCCAAGAACTCCAGACCCTCAACCTCCAACCCTATCGAAGAACTATCTAACCTCGATCCTCCACACACCGCAACAACAGGACTTCTCCCTGCTACTGCTGATGACCCACAAACCAAACCCACCACCACCACCACCACTACTACGGCCGCCCCCGCTAAAGAGCCTAAAAAGAAGAAGCTCAAACGCGGCAAAACCACCTCGGTCACGCTCACCAAAACCTACGATTCTGACATCGAGCCCGATGTGATCTGGGTCCAGGAGGATGCGGGGGCGGAGGCAGAGGCAGAGGCAGTCCTACCCCCGGATCATGTTTCTAGAAGCAGCATCCCCAACGCCTCCAACGCACAAGAGCATTGTGAACCCCCCACAAAAACCGAAACAGCCCCGGCGCCCAAGAAACGCGGCCGTAAGAGAAAAAATCCCGATCCTGTCACGTCAGAGCAAGGGCCCGAGCAAGACGAACAGGAGAATCAGGAACAGCTGAATGATCCGGTGCACAACCAGTATCAACCTGACGCAAGCGAACCGCACCTGCATGAATCAGCGCAAGAAGAAGGCGCAGAAATGTTGCCTCCAAAGCAACAAGCAGATCCGACTCCGGATCCTCCGCCCGCACCGCCTGACTCGGCAGAGCCCGACACAGTCCCTATCACGCCGTTAAAAACAACCAAGGGTCCCACTAGGCACAGTCCTATTTCGTCGACGAGCAAGGTGCCCTATCGGGTGGGTCTCAGTCGGCGGGCGCGGATCGCCCCGTTGCTGAAGGTGGTCAAGCGGTGATGTCAGAACCTCTATCGAGGTGTCCTATGAGAGAAGAAATGGTATTTAATGAACATGAATGAGTTACGACCGCATTCTTTTCTGACTTGTTCTTTTCAAATATATGTATGTTGCTCTCGGCTGGTATGGCTCTCCTACTGTATAAGTGCTATCCGAGGATGAGCTATGTTTTTACAGAATACCCAGACAGGAGTGTATTTTACTTCTCGCTGTTGTTATATTGACTTGTAATCCCGATTGTGGTGTCTGTACTATTACCTTCATCAGCGGAGACTAGCTATAGGAGTTCAAAGCACTCGATCATGATCGGCAAACTCATATTCCATTGCAGTAACCTTACACCTTGAATTCAAGCTTCATAGTCGTCTTATGAATGCTAAAAGGAGTGTACAAACGTCTGACAAAGCATGGGCTCACTCAATAAAATATACACGACTCACAAACATGATAACCAGCCTGCACAAAGCATGTCGAAGGCGTAATAAGACGGGTATGGCCTGCTCGTCGGCTCCGCCTTCTCAAACAAGCACGGCAAGCAAAGACACCACAAGCTCAATGAGAAGGCTCGAAGGCACCAGAGTATGAATTGCGCCTGACTTGGCGGGTTTGCCCTTCGAAACGGTTTTGGTAGTCGGCTTAAAGTCAATGTGATCATCTTCAGCAACCACAGCGTCCGCCTTGCTATCGCAAATGCCGTTCGCAACCAGACAGCCCTCACCGCAGAACGTCGTCCCATTACCACAGAACCCAGTTCCACTACAGCAAGGCCCGAAGCGGGATCCCTTGCATGTGACATTACCGCCACACATACCGTCGAATGAGATTTGTTGGACCTTGAAGGCATCCTTCATTGAGTTGCGGCCATCGACAGTGTTGTCTTGACGGTACCAATACTGGGGAGGATCTCCCAGGCACTCGCCCACCGACACTGCTCGGAACCCCTCCGCGATGAGCTTCTTCAGCATGTGCTCTGTGAGGTTATGAACGGTCTGTTCATGAACATCATGAGCAATCACAAGCCAAGGACGATCAAAAGCAGTCCGCGCATCGAGACTACTATCAAAGATGTCCTTCGACCGTTGGATCTCTGTCGGGCTGTCGTGCTTGTAGTCTTCTGTGTCAATGTCGTATAGAATAATATGGTAGCCAAGCTCTCCTAAGTCCGCCAAGCAGCCCGAGTCAGCTGTGCAGCTGGAATAAGGAGGACGCATGTATGTAGGGAAGAACCCGAGAATGTTCCGCAGAGCGGCTTCATTCCACAACAACTGAGTGCGACGCTGTGTCCGTGAGATCTTGCTTAGATCTTGGTGAGACCAGGTATGACTGGCAATCTGATGACCGCTATCGTGCATATGTCGAATTAGGGGCGCCCATGGCATTCCAGGGCTGTCAATCTGACCCTTGGCGTTGTTGTTGCCGGTTATGAAGAAGGTTGCCTTCGCTTCGTATCGATCAAGAAGATCGAGTAAATCCTTGGTGTACTCCTTGGGCCCGTCATCGTAGGTGAGAGCGACAGTGCCTGGGACAGTGCAGGAACGAATGATGTTAGGTCCGTAAAGGGCAGCCCCATCAAGAGGACGGGGAATATCTTCAGTGGAGGGTCCGCCAGGGGTCATATGAGCGTCACAATACCCGTAGTCGATTTGACAGTCGGGAGAGGCGCAATGGTCCTTGGTATTCCCACAATAGCCTGCAAACATTAGCATGGAACTTGACTCCCAGGGGCAACAGGAGAACCTACCGGCATTAGAGCAGCAAAGCTTCTCTGGGCACTTCCCAACTCCGCCGCCGCACCGAAGGCCCTCCGCACGCACAGTAAGTGGTTGGATGCTGATATCATCATTGGGGCGAGGGACAATCGGGGACAGGTGATGGTTTGACTGAAGGGAGAAGATGTTCCGCGCAGTCGTGCAGGCTGTCAGACCACACACGGTGATGGCCCACTTGAGTATACGCATCGTGCCGAACGCGAACCTGGTATAGTGTATACGAGAGGTAAGATGCAGTGTAATCCAACACGGTAAGGGTGTGATATGGAGTATAAGATGCTGGGATGATGAGAAGAAGCAGGAAGAGAAGTTGAGAAGACAAGTGGCAGAGCTGCTCAGGTCATTTTGAGCGACAACACAAGGAAGGAAGCTGCAGTGGTCATCGGGGTTCACAGGAAGTGACCAGCCTTTCCAGTAGATAAACAAATATAAACAGATACGAGATCTGAGGGCAGTAGCGGGGGCAATGCCTTCCATGTCGCAATTGACCTTATGCCGTGGTCCTTGCCTGTGATGTTCTAGCCTGATTTCAAATGCTGGACTCAATCCAGACTTGCCACTGGCCGGAAGAACACTATACCTTGCTTCCATACCCTTCTCATCTAGACAGAGTAACCATCTTGACCGACGAACTCAGTCTGAACCATCAAGCAGGCACAATCGAGTTTCTGTGCTGAGGCGATTTCTCCTCAAGTCCCGGGGATAGTGAAAATGGAAAGTTACGCAAGCACGGCAGTGGCTGTCCTCCGGCCATGGTAGGGAAGTGTACATCATGGGTGATGCCAAGAGATTGTTCAGCACCCGACTATGCTCATGTTTCCCAGTAGCATATGAGAGCAGAAATAGTGCCATGATTTTCATTGAGGGTATAAAAGTCCACAAGGTCCAGCTATAATCGGGAGTCCATCAATCTATCAAGACGAGATCCTACGATACATTTCAAAGCTGTCATTTGAGGAGTCCGTCAGAGCGCCAGTAGGAAACCACAAAGTCAGCTCAGCTAACTGGTTCCACTGCGTCCTCATCAAGAGCCGAGAACACGAATGGGGCGAGCGTGGGAAGGTATGGGCCGAATTTGGCGGGGGCACTCTTCGCTATGCTTCCCACCGTGGCGATAAGGTGGCGTTTGTGAATCGTACTAGGTTGAGAGTTGAACTTTTGGGTAAGGTCATTGACGAAGAGGTTGAGCTGATGATCGGAGAAATGAAGGACCAAAGCTGAGATGGCGGCCAACGCGCGCTTCGTCACCACGGTACCAGCCGTGTCGTTGTCGACGATAGACATGACGGAGTTTTGCAGGGCAGTCAGCTCAGACTCCTTCAAGAGTGGTCCGAAGCAGCTGACGACTTGAATGAGGACATCAATGGCATCACTGCTGAAGCCCTTGGATGGATCCTTCTCGAGCATCCCTTTAACTACCGACCCTCTTCGACTGGAGGGAGATGGTATTGGGCCGGTCAGACGGGGTATGAGCACACGAGAAACAGCCGAGTAGGCCGAAATGGCATCTTGACTAGGCGGTTGTCCGGCCTGAGGACGCGGAAGAGCGGTAACAATGTATCGTAGAGCAGTGTTGGGGACGGATGTGTCGATAGTTTGGGAGGCTGTCAAGGAGGTGAGTTTTTCGAGGATAGAGGCGAGATTCTCAAAGGGTAGTCGGTGGACGAGGGGACCGAGACTATGAAATGAGAGGAGGTTAAATGAGTATACAACGCAGCAAGAGAGTGAGAGCGGACCATTTTAGCGCTTGATTCTGAACGTCGCCGTGTTGATCATCCAGCGACTTAAGGAGACCCTCAGCCAACTTTGACGCGGAGACCTGGTCATGAGCCAGATATGCAGAGTGGGGATTGTCCAGAACACCGAGTAGATCATTGAGGGACATGTATCTCATGTCTGGATCGGGATCGTCCAGTTTCAAAAGCAGGTTGTTTAGACTATGCTGCACTGCTTGTCGGTCCGCCATGATGAAGCCCCGCACTAAGTTTTTGAGGTAGGTAGAGAGGGCTTGTAGGTGTGATGTAAAATGATGCAATGCAATACAGAGCCTTGGTGTCAAAGGCCAGATCTAGTTTGGCTTATGCAAAAGGATAGGTAGGGGAAGTTCAAAAAGGGACGGGGGGATGGCGGCGAGTGGTGAGGGGAATGACAGTAGGAGAATGATAACCAACTCTATCGAGTCGCTGATGCTATCGGAGCTGATTTCCTGCCTGAGGCAGAGATGAGCTTCTACGGTGAGCGAGGCAGGCCATCAATGCACTCATCACACATTCCAGCCATTGTCTATCTGTACTCCTGAGCTCTGCTGAGGACCAGGAATTAATTGTATTCAAGGCAGTAACTGGAAGCCATGAAGTCACAGTTGAGTACATGGTAGAAGTAGGTCAGACAGAGTAATAGCACAGACAGTAGAGGTCAATACGGAGAAGAACCGGGCGGGAAGCACACGAGGCCGATCTCCGCATGGGGGCATTACATCATTTGGTGTAATCAATACACCATCTAACTTACACTCATCTACTAGATTACCTACTACTGTACCTCTACGTCTGCTCACGCCGGCAGGTCCCGCTCCGTCAGTGTAACTACAAGACTATAATAGACTCCCTGGCCATTAAGTCATACCATCATCCTTTTCCTTCTTTCCCCCCGAATCCAGCCAGCCTCCTCTTTTCATACCTCTATCCTTCCTCCCTTCCCAATTACACTCCAAACTCCCATCAATTGCTTCATCCCTACTTTTCCATACACTCAATTTCACCTTCTACAATCACGAACCACTAGAAACACCTACTCCATGGCTCTCGCACGCTCTCAATTCCTGCGCACCTCCGCCCGCGCTCTGGGCACCGTGCGACAAATGCCCACCCAGCAATTTGCTCGTCGAACATACGCCCAAGCCGCTCAATCGACCAACAAGTCCTCCGACCTTCCCTGGTAAGTGACCAAATTCAGTTACCTACCTACTGTACCTATATCACAAGCTCGTGCACGGCATTGGACCATCAATCCATAGCTCCCAAACCCCCATACATACCCTCAATCTCCATCACCACTCAAAACCAACCGTACTGACCCGATTGCTCCGAAAGGCTCATTGGCTCCCTCGGCCTCGGCATCCCCGGAGCTTACTACCTGCTCGCAACCGGCCCCAAAGCCGCCGCCTCCTCGCACGACACCCCCGACACCCACAACCACGGCGAGCCCAAGGGCAAGGTGTCGACCTCCGCTCCGATCGAGAAGGAAGAAGCCGCTGCCGCCAAGGACTCGACTCCCCAACCAGACCGTGACGCCGAGCAAAAGATTGAGTCGTCGGATTCGGGCGCAGCAGCTGCCTCGACGGATGGAAAGGCGCCTTCTGAGGCTGATGAGGTACGTTCCCTTCTGTGCTTGTTCCGATTTTGTGTGTGGCTTGGAAGGGTGTGGGGTTCGAGTTTCGTGGATTGTTCAGTTGTTGGCTGTGATTGATGTGATAGTACTGACGCAGTCGGCCAACAAAAAAATAGCCATCGACCCGTAAGGAGGCCGGTAATTTCTCTACTATCTCCGGCAAGCAGGAGGGCCTTTCCAACACCACTACGGATCACCCGCATGTGAATGAGCCCGGAAAGAGTATCAAGGGTGAGGGTGAGACTGAGACGGCCAAGGTGAAGGGAGCCGTCTCTCCGGATCGTCCGCAGCAGTAGATATGATGCTCTTCGATGTTAGTGGGGGAGGTTGAGAAAGACGGTTTTCTGTATGATGACGCCATGTTTCATGTATAAGACCATGACTGTTGGGGACGAGTGCACTTGTCGGAATAGCAACAAAGCGATCAAATTTCGTCTCTTAAATGGTTCTTTCCTGCATAAAAAGTTATGAGCGTAGATCTGGGGAAACGAAAAGCTTTGAAGCACATTAGCGAGGCTACAGCCATCTCGCATATGATCATGCACGGAAGGTAAGTAGACAACTGAAGTCAAGACAGAAGCTCAACGTGAATCGCACCAACCAATTGTCAGCCAATGCGGATCTATTACTATATTAGATTAGACATCCATCTGCAGGCGGCTCCAACGCCCCCTTCATCCCTTTGAAAAAGAAGACGCAGACAGAACTTCAATCTCCGCATTATCATGAGAAAGAGGAAACAAAACAGGGAAAGTGCTCAGTCATGGCATATTCATCACTTATATCCATTTGCAGCTCTTGCATCACCCGGGACGCCCGCCCATAATTGACCGACACCATCAAAAAAAAGTTTGCATGCTAAGCCAGCCGTTGCCCTCGAAGACCCGGTTGCACCCGAAACCATGCGCAGGAGAAATGACACGGAGAAAGTACAGACGCAGGTTTTGTGCAATTGGGAGCAAAAGGAACAGGGAAAAAAAAACGTTTCGAACATGGGTGCCATAAAATGTTCTTGGGGAAAGTAAAAGTTATAGACAAGCCTCACCCGAAGGCGGGCTACACGATCCCGGATGGACCATGAGATTGCAATATGCGCCCCTCCCACCGCGATCTGTGACTTAGTGCTTGCTGTTGACCGGCTGACCGTTCACAAGAACCTGAGGAGTCTTGTTCTCCTTGCTGCGGGCGTTCAGGGTTGGCTCCTCGATACCTGTCGCAAGTGTGGCATGGCTGTTTGCGTCGGGAAGCGGAAGTTCATCCTCCGTATCCTCGTCGTCGCTTCTCTCATCCTTCTTGATATCGCTGATGATGTAATTCTTCAAAATACGTCCAATCAGGAAAAGCCAGAAGAGGTTGACAGCTTGCAAGCTGGCCAGCAAGGCGAAGGTGATGTATTGACTGATCCAGCACTTGTACTGCTGGGTTTCCCAGTTAAGCTCGAAGGGTCCGACAGTCCGGAATTCAGTCAGGACGGCCCAGAGGATCTTCAAATTCAGGAAATGACGAAGATAGACCCACATGCCGACGAACATAGCGAAGTAGGGCGCGGTGATCCAGTGGTCGAGATAGTTGAGAGTCTTGGAGGTCTAGAGCGCAGCCATGTTACTATCGCGTCAGGTCGTTGAGGGGGTGGGGGTACGTACGGCAAGGAAGAAATCAGAAATATCATGGGTGATATACACAGCGATACCCATGTAAGTGAAATGGAACCGATAGCTCAGTCCAATGAGGGACAGAGTAATTATGTGATGTGCTACCAGCTCCTTGAAGTCCTTCCGTGGCTTTTCCAACTGGAGCATCAACACAATCGCCTGTTGCGCCCAGTAACTCGCCTCCAGCAGGTAAAAGGCCTTGAAGAGCGCCTCGTGCTCCCGATGAGGAAAGCCCTCGAACATGGCCGTGGTGTTGAAATACCAGATATCCGACCTGTACATGACATAGAGACCGAAGGGGCCGAAGATCCCGAAGTAGATGGCTGTATACACCTGTTCCATGAATCGAGCAGTTTTGCCCCTTCCAGAGATGCCGCAGTACACTGCAAACGGTCGGATCCAGCGCTGCATGATGAATTCACGAGTGAAGGACAAGACGACAGTATAAAATGAGACGAAAGCGATATCCTTAGGACCTTTTCCGTACATGATCGGGCCGCCAGGGTACTTCGGAGGCTGCGGATAGGAGAGGAAGATGGCGCTGTGCAGCGGATTCGATGTTGTCGGATTGATCGCGTACAGGGACAGGAGAACAATCAGGATGAGCAATGGCAGAAGCCAGGTGTGCTTCAGACAAGCATCTTTGAAGCGGCGCAGAGAGGACTTCTTGCGACGTTTCGCGGGGGCCTTGGTTGACTTGTCGTCGGAGGCACCGGACTTAAGCAGCTGATGATGGAGAAGTGAGCGGCGTGGGAAGGAGAGAGTAATGCCGTCAAAGGCATCTTTCAGATGTATGGTAACCATACCTGATCCCATCTGGGAGCCTCCCCATCAATGGGGCTGACTTCATTCATGGTGGACATGGCCGGTGCGCCAGTGTCACCGCGAATGTCCGCACCCAAATTACTCGATCTCCGTCCTCGAACCATGGTGAATAGAGTAGCAGGATGTGTTCCGATGTATTACCTGCTTGTAGGTTGGACAGAGGAGTACAGACACGTGTATGCTCCCTCTACTTCTTTTTCCAGAGACCTACACCAGGCGACCGAAAGCAGAACGGCGCACGGGAAAAAAGGTACCGAGCGGAGCGGAATGCGAAGCGGCCGGGAATTGACGGAGCGCGCGGGAAGGGGGATGATCGACCAGCAGATAGTACTGAGGGAGAGCGACCCAAAGGGCAATGGAAATGACAAAAAGGGCTACACGAAGAAGAAAAAAAGATGCAATCGCAAGCGCGAATGGGGGAGGGCGAACCGTAAGGAAGTAGGAGGTTGAAGAAGAAGGGGAAGAAGAAGAGGCGGGCAGAACGGAGAAAGTGTTAGTGTTAATTAGTGTTAGTAGTAGTTCCGTCTTGTCAGTTAATTTCCCACTCTGACTGGGTGCTCGCAGCCTCGCAATCCCTCGCAAACTCTTCCTATTGCGGAGCCTCTTTTACTGCAGTATTGGTAGACCAGGGGTCTTTTTTCCTTCTTCTTTTCTGGTTTTCACACCCAAAATTTTAAGTTGATCGGTTTTTCGGACAGTTGAGTTCCCCCGACCACTCCAGAGTCAACGATCGGTATCCTGTCGGACCATCGTCAGGCTAACCCCTGATTGTCGTGGTCTCCGCTGAAGATTATATCCGCGTTATACTCCGTACAGCCCAGTGCAATCGTTATGTATAAGAATACGATCCACATTGGCAGTGCATGTGCCATTGGGGCTGGTTTGAGAAGTGGTAAACGGTTTCTTGGCAGCAATACGCTTACGACAACCCGCTCACTCAGGAGCAGAAAAGGGGACTCTGCTTTGGAGGACATGTGTCGTGCTCTGTGATAATCTTTGTCCCTGGTCTCACGCTGAGATCATGCTGTATTCTTCAGCGGAGCAGAGGAGACACCCGTCTATCTACCATGGCCTTACTTTCGAGCGACTATAGATCGAGTCGCTGGCTAATGCTTTGGAAACAGAAGTACGAAGCGTCGAAATTGGGTTATGTTGCAATAACTTGGGATAAATTGCTATCCAGTAGCTGAATGATGATCGCCACAAACTATAAGCCTGTAGATGGCCGATTTCTGTTGGCCATGCGAGCATGTGGGTAAGCCGTCGTTCTCCGCAACGAGCACAACTTCAAATTCTGGTAGAATAGAAGCAAGTTACATCATATTCATCATGAAGATTGTTCATTGTACCAGAGATCTGCAGCCACTGTGCGAATTGGCGAACGAATTGGCGAACGAATTGGCGAACGAATTGGCGAACGAATTGGCGAACGAATTGGCGCACGAACCGCGCACGAACAGTGGGCGCAATTCAGATGGTGAAACCATAGAGAGGACAGGCCATAACTAACAGAAATGGCTTTGACTTACCGCTCATACCGTAGTACCATTTCGACCGGGCGGCAGAACGCAGAGCACATTTTGAGCGGTGACTACGGAGTAACAGCAGCCACAAATCCGGAAAGAAGGCGGTGGCAGAAAAGGACATCAACGGCCCTCCAACTCTTTACAGCTAGCGCAGAACGCTAATGCACGGCATGGGGTACCGTTTTCCCATTTAGGAAATTAAGTATAGTAGGCTTCAGCAATATCAACTTGTGCAGTTCTCAATCAACGACTTCCTCCAGATTGAAAAAATGACTCACTTAGACTCAGCCAAACCCTCTATAAAGGGTAGAAGAAAGAAATAAAAGGCTCCTCACTCCTCCAGAAGGCTCTGTCTTCCAGATCACATTATTTCTCATCTCACAATGACCGCCGCAACCGACTCTGCCCTCAGCCTCCAAGGCAAAGTAGCCATCATCACTGGCTCCGGCAAGAAACGAGGCATTGGTGCTGGTATAGCATCTGCTCTTGCACAGCACGGTGCATCGGTCGTCATTAACTACGTCTCGCCGTCTACAGCGTCCTCCGCCGCCGCAGTGGCCGAGAGTATTGCCGCTGCGGGTGGAAAGGTGCTTGTCATACAGGCAGACATCTCTCGTCCTGAAGAGGCACAAAGACTCGTGGAAGAGACGGTCGCCAAATTTGGAAAGATCGATATACTAGGTGAGTACTACCTACTGCTTGGCGAAATTTGAAGGCTTACTTGATGATATAGTCAACAATGCCGGGACAGGGGTCCCAGGTCCCGCACTGAGTGCCACTCCGGAGTGTATGGCGACTACCTTTGGCGTCAATGTCTTTGGGCCTCTCTATCTGGTTCAAGCTGCTGTAGCACATATGCCACCGCGCAGCCGTGTCATCAACATTGGTTCCGTGGCGTCGAAATTGGGAATTTCCGGCTCGCCGATCTATCTCGCTTCCAAGGCGGCAACAGATGCTTTGACACTCGCTCTGGCTGGTGAGGTAAGATAAACTTCATTCCGCCAAAAGCCTATGATGTGATTTTCTGACTGTGCTTAGCTGGGCCGTGGTCATGGTGGCATAACCATCAACACGGTCTCCCCTGGCCCTGTGGACACGGATGGTGTGCCAGCTCCAGTAGCGGAAAAGATTCACAAGACTATGGTGCCCATGACCCGGGTTGAAGAGAGAGTTGGGACTGTGGAAGATGTTGCGGATGCGGTGCTGTTGTTGTGCTCCGAGAAAAGCCGATGGATCTCAGGACAGGTCATCTCAGTCAGTGGTGGCATTGTGGGTGGTTGAGGTGCTCTGATGCTTGTCTATATACTTATACAGATACACGATGAGTTGGATTTAGCTGCATAATCATTCGTTCAGTACGAATATGCAATGCATCGCTCCAGAGGATGCTCTCAATGATTTTCACCGCATGAGTAGCATCGATGGCCAGGGACTCGAGCGCAAGCCTGATTCCCCCTACATACAACCCATTTGCTTCTGGGTCTGAGACTAAAGAGACAGTCACCATCGCCCATAGGTAAAGCTTCAGACAGGCAGCATCATACTTTGTTACAGGCAAGGATGGAATGAGGGCCTCGAATTTGCGCTGCAGGTATGGCCATTCACTTGAGGTGAAGAGAAACACGTCTCTTTTCAAAGTTGCGAGGAGTATGAGAAGAGCCAATCGTATGGCTTCTCTGAGAAATTGGATCTCTTGCTGGTCGGTAGCGAGGCCCATTGGCCTTGTCATTGACAGCAGGAAATGCGTCGCTGGTCCGAATAATTTTATTAAGATGAGGTTATCTTCGCGCTTCCAGAATGGCCTGGAGTCACGTTGCCCTTCACAAGCAGCGGTTGCGACAAAGCTCACATGGTTGAGAGCGACTGGTACATCGCAGAACGATCCATGTCTTATTGAAATGTCGTCGAGAAGGCTTCTGATCGCGGGCTTTAAGGCGTCGGGAGGTTCCGTACCCAAATATCCTGCAAGTCCTGGCGGTTTGGGCATTCGAGGAGGCGTGTCCACCGCCACGCTACCCACAATATCGAGCCTGGCCATGCGAGCGTCAGCCGATGCCCAACCCCTCAAGAGCTCTGATTGTCATGAAAAACCAACCAAAAAGCAAACAAGGCCACATTGACACCCAGACCATCATAACCTCCTCTCAATCGGATAATTCGCTCAAGGCCTTGGAAGTGAGTATTCCATCGGTCACACATACCAACATACAACTCCACCACCAGTCAGTGTTCGAATCATTCCAGCTCACCAGGTTCAAGATTACTCACGTCATGACAGATCAATCCCAAAATTGCAGTGATCACTCCCTCACCAAGGCTCTCTTTAACATTTCCCAGCCGGCCTCTGACTTGCTGCACACATCTTCCGTAGTACGCTAGGCACTCCGAGCTTGTTTCGTAGCTAAACTCCTGCGCACGGAGTCGCTGATCGAGGAACATAGCCGCATTCGCCAAGGCCACGAAGGTGGCGCTGGGATCGGTCAACGCCATTGAGAACCAGACGGAGCGGAATGGTCGGAAGACATAGTCCTTGTCGCTTGTCACTAGATTGCGTGAGCTTCGCACTGGCTATGGAATAGACTGCTGTGGGGGAAGTGTACTAAAGTGCATCAGCTGTAGACCTCTGTCATCGAGCTGTGTAGGGTAGAAAGTGGCGTTGCAGGGATCGATTGATGCCGGGATTCTAGCGGGGTTTGCCGAAGATATGAGCGCCGTGCTTGGATGGATAGACGGTGTTAGAGACAGAGTCCAGGTTTGTGGCTTGCGCTGTGTCCGACGCGATCGTCCAATGTCGCGCATGACCCAACGCCGGATGGTGCGTTGAGTGGAAGCGGCCTTGATCTCATCGGGTCGCGATATGTTAACAAATACAAAGTCCTCTTGTTGAGAGAGCATTGACGCCATGATGTGCTGGTGTTTGCACGTGTGGGGAAGGAGAAGATCCGAGCTTGAAGATTGAGTTCTAGAGGGAGAAATGACACTAAGCCGGGTAGAGAATAATGCATCCTACTATCGACACTATCGACTCCGTCACGAGCTGTCATCATCCATACTTAAATTGCTAATTTGCTTAAGATTTGGGGACATGATGATTGCAACATCTATGGAAGTCCCTCAGGCCAAAGATGTACGCTGTGCGAATTCTTCTTCTCTATATCATAACTGCGTAGCTTCGTAACATCCTACTCTCCCCAAGGTAGCCTCTAACTAAGCAACTGGATTAGATGGTCGGCAATCAAGTTTCCCACCAAATCATAGCCATCTGGTTTCATATGAACTGCGTCATCCCAGATTCTAGCTTTGGTCTCCTTCGTAGCGTTGAGGTAAGGAATCTCTTTGTGGAGATCAAACGCATAACTACTGAATCAGTTCAGGTCCAGCCCTCACCTCAAGCAAGGTCGAAGACTCACAAGCTATCGGCGTCATGCTTCAATATTTGCGAGTTCAGCTCCGCTCTGGCATCGATCAGTCTCTGCAACCTTGCCCCGCATTCAGGGATTGTCAAGGCTAAGACGTTGGCGCCACTTTTTATAGCCGTGGCCCAGGCCTCTTTCAACGCGGGCAGGATCTTCTCCGGGGGGTACATAGAGCCGAGGTCACTGCCACACTCAGAATTAGTAGAATCATTGGAAGATGAGGAGGCTCTCGTACTTTGTCCCACCCAGTATGATCACCCAATCATAAGATGTTGCTGCGCCTGGTTCAGATCATTCGCCGATCAGCTTGAATACTTGACTGAAATATGCGACATTTCGGAAGCTGGAGAGAACTCACACTTCTGCTGCAAGCGGGGCAGAAAGCGCCCTGGAGGACTCTTGACCAAGTCGCCTGGGAGACCGTCGACATCGATGCGGAGGATATGAGTGGGAAATGCAGCCTTGAGACGCTTCTCCAGCTTCCATGCGTAAGGATGGTAGTCCTGGCCCCAATTGTAGTATCCTGCTGTCAGCGAATTACCGAAGCAGAGAATTGACAGCGATTTGCTCATCGTGTGGAGGTAAGCTAGATATGAAGCTGAGAGAAAGCTTGTAGTGGAATGTCAGTATTTATTTTGGGAACTTAGGTGAGAAAAAAAACACGAGGCAGAGTAGAGCGGGGTATTCTTTGTTGTTGCTGTTGCTGTTGCTGCAAGGCTGCCACTTCCAACATCGATGACTGACTCACAACTAAGCTGCAGGCTAATTTCTGAGATAATCCGCTGCACGCTTGAAGGAAAACTCAGCTCTGGTTCTCCTTGGCTATTCGCTCCTCTTGGGCAAGGCAGACTCAGCAAACACCTCGATGCCTTGTAACAGGTGTTCATGCAAGGCATCATGATCGATCTGAGAGATTGTGACACAAGTCGGATATTACATGCCACGAACCGGCGAATAGGATCGATATGACTCTTTCTACTTCTTGACCCTCTTTTTCTGTATTCGCAGAATGACTGGTCTTGTCAATTATAGGTCGACAGCTGAACCTCTCCGATAATCAGTGCTGCTGTGGTTAATGTATCCAGCATGATCAGATTCTTGACAGTGACCACTCACACGTGCAGTCGAGATCATGGCATTCTCGTCTAGTTCACTCCAGCTGATTAACTTCTCTGGAGAAGCTTGATATTTGATGTTCAGGCGAGCTACGGTCTTGAGGCCCAGAGCCCTTGTCGCCATGGACGATCTAGTGCACCAATCAATGGTGACCAGCCACAAATAGCACGAAGAACCGATTTCCTGCAACCTCATCACACCAAAGTGAGTGACAGTATATCAAGCGTCTCAGACGAGTTGATAAATAGTGCCCTATATTTCAACATCGAACATCTTCCCTTCTATACTCTAACCACCACCTACCTGAGCACTATCACTGTTGTCATGATGCAGAACATCCCAGATCACTGCATGGTACTTGTCGTCGGTGGTGGGCCAGGTGGCTCGTATTGCGCTGCTGCACTTGCTCGAGAGGGTGTTGATACAGTGTTGCTGGAAGCAGACCAGTTCCCTCGGTAAGTGCCATCTCTGCCTTCTTGGCGATCTACCGCGACCCAAGACTGATTTCCTGGCAAGCTATCATATTGGGGAGAGCATGCTGGCGTCTATGCGTCATCTACTTCGGTTCATCGACCTGGACCAAGCTTTCGACAAGTATGGCTTCACAAAGAAGGTCAGTTATCCTCTATACAACTGATAAATGCAACAACTAACAAAAGACGCCTAGATCGGAGCATCCTTCAAACTTGATAAAACCAAGCGAGCCGGATGTATGAGAAGAGCATGATTCCTTCTGCAATTTAGTGCTAATAAGCCTGTGTGACGCGCAGACACCGACTTTCTTGCCGCTGGCGGACGCGAAAACTACGCATGGAATGTTGTTCGCTCTGAGGCCGACCACTTGATGTTCCAGCATGCGGCCAAAAGCGGTGCAAAAACCTTCGATGGTGTCAAGGTCAAGTCCATCCAGTTCGCGCCCGATGCGGTTTCTAAGCTCGGCAAGCCTGTTTCGGCCACATATGTGTGTCAGCAAGACCAGTCGCAAGAGATTAAAGAGATTTCCTTCAACTATCTGGTCGATGCAAGTGGTCGGAAGGGCATGCTTAGTACCAAGTACCTTAACAACCGTCGGTACAACGAGAGTCTCAAGAACATTGCTCACTGGGGTTACTGGCAGGGAGCTGAGACTTATGCAAAGGGTACACCAATGGAAAACCAACCATTCTTTGAGACACTTCACGGTAGCAACACATCCGTTCTTCTTCTTCTTCTTCTTCTTCTTCTTCTTCTTCTTCTTCTTCTTCTTCTTCTTCTTCTTCTTCTTCTTCTTCTTCTTCTTCTTCTTCTTCTT